ATCAAAATTATTTTTTTATTGCATTTTATTAACTTCAATATATTTTTTACAATTTTATTTTTTTTAAAAAGGTTTATGCTACACATTATGACACAATGAGTACCGTCATGGTGTATGAAAATATATTAAAATTACTTTTAATATTTTATGCTATACATAAAATCAATGACCGTATCCGAGTAAGTATAGTCATTGATTTTATTGAAAATTAACTATGTATCTACACATATAATATCAACTATTTATTATTTTTTTAATATTTTAAAATTAATTTCTTTCAAATAAAATAATTAAAATAATATTTTAAAATAACCATTTAATAATTCAAATATAATTTTTATACTAATATTATTTATGATTTTGTAAATGAGCATATAGAAATCATAAGTACACATTGTCAAAAAGATATTATTCTAGTTGGTATTAAACAAGAGTAAAAAAGATTCATTTATTAATTTTTATGTAAGTTTTTATATTAATTGTTTCTTTATATCTTCGACGCAATATTATGAAAAAATATCAAGAATTTTTTTTAATTTTATATTATATTTAGATTATTATGGATTTTTATTTAAGAATAAATGCATAAGAAAGATTAAATTGTGTTTTTAACTACAAAATTTATTAAAAAATAAACAAAAAAATTAAATAAAATTTTTTGATTTAATATATTTTAATTGACAAATAACATAATATATGTTATTAAACTAAAATAAATATATTTAACTCGATCTGCAATGTAAAACGAGATAGGCAACTAGTAAAAACTATTTCGGCTCAAAAAAATAATAAATAAACAAAGGGAGGCTGATTTTGTGGCGGAATTTTTATATGGACATTGTTTGCATAGAGTTATTATTAGATTTGAACCAAAATCTAGTGTTATGAATAGTGACAGGTCAATGCAAAATGCTAATTGGCTAATTTTACACAGACTTGATTTATAAGTTTTTTTTTTTTGTTTTTCTAACGGTTCGGTTTTTTTTCTCCTTAAGTACAAACATTTGTTTGGATGAAAAGATGAACGAATACCACACTCGAATCTACGCATAGCCCATCCAATCGGAATGGATAGTATTAAATATCCAATTGATTGGGTGATATTTTCATTTATAATAATTAGTGTATAGATTCGATTGGTAAGTTCTCTAATTTAGACGCTTAGTATTAATAAGTATTACTTTTATCTAAAAAATATTGTACTTTTTGACTTTTTATATAGATTAAAAAATAATTAATCATTATGTTATATTAATATTTTTTATTGGTACTTTTTAAAATATTAATTTTTTCAAAATTGTAAATAATCATAAATTTTAATTTAAAATATTTTAAAATAAATATAAATAAAAAATTGTTTTTAGCAGGAGAGAGCACGAAGTGAAAACAATTATGACAAGGCTCCTCAAAACGAAAACAATTTGGCTACCTCGGTCAATCTATTCTTTGTCGCCTAAATTGTTCTAATTTGAACAACTTGATGACTTGGGTAGCCTGTTCTCTCTCTCTCCTCGATCCGTGGTCAAAGTACAGGACAGTGTGAGTACAAAAGACGTCGGTAATGGAGGACCACGTGGCATGGTAATTGACCAGGGAAGTGGAAAAGGATCTTTATCCTATAACTACGTCTGAAATCATTTACTGGCTACAATGTTCTAAAATTTTCCTAAAACCTGCTCTTCAATCATCTCCCAAGGCGGTATTAAAATTTTAAACTAAAAACATCCTTGCATTACCAATTACTTGTGAATGGTCAGAAGTGAGATTTTTTTTTTTAGCTTTACCGATAAGAGTATTTCTATATCAATTTTTACGTATTTTGTGACTAATTTTTCTTGAATATGATTAAAAAAACCTTTTAACGTATGATTTAAAATGTTTTGAGAATAAATTTTTATAATTATGGATTATAAAAATTGAATTCAAAATCCGATTTATAAATCAATGATTACTTAGAAGGAGGCTAGCATCTCGTGGTTAAGAAATGAGATAATTAATATTGTTAACATGTATTCTAAGAGTTCAGCAAACAAACCCATTTATAAATAAAAAAATGAAATGGAAAAGTCAAAAAGAAAAAGGAAAAGGGGTTCCAAATATGAAATTGACCATAACATTGTAATAAAGCACTGTAAATGCCAATAACAGTGGTTAATAAAGTTATTTGATGTCATTTTAAAAGATCTCCATACAGATTTTACTTACATTTACAAAGGAATTTACTATGAGAATAAAATAAAAAAAAGGAACGGAATTTGACTAATTCAAAGGAAAAACTTTCTTTATTTGTGATTTTGACGGGTTTTTCAATAAACTAAAAATTATAAAAGAATTAAGCATTTATAGCTTAATGATAATAGTTTTTTTATAAAAACAGATTACGAATTGAAATCCTAACATATTAATTTTATTAAAAATTTTGGATATATGAGTTTTTTTTTTAAATAAACTGGAAATTACGATAATTTTAAATGCGTGCCAACCATTAAATCGCCAGTTGTATTGATACTGGAGCCTACGCTCAGGGCTGCCATCAATTTGGTCAATGTCGAGTCTTTCACTTGTGTTGATTTTTTACTGGATTGATACTAGCAAATCTTGGAGCTAGGTGTTTTTCAACTGACTAATTAGAAATTCCATTAAAAAAGACATTTAATTATCCTTACTATCCTCTATTTTAGATGGCATTACACTTTACATCATATGTTTTGAAAATTTTACACCTTTCATTCTCTATTATTATTATTATTATTTTTCGTGATTTTACTTTCCATTTTCTATTAAAATCCTCCTATTTCCTGTTAGAAATTAAATTGACTTTTGATTAAAATTTTATAAAACGACCAAATAATTCCTGAAAAAAGTAATTTGTACATCACTACTGCTTTTTAGAAAGTTCTATGTGAATCTTGTGACCATTGCCAGTTCAAACAATAATAATAATAATAAATAAATAAATAAAAAGTGTTTCTATTGTCTATTATGGTCGTTCCGTTTCTTCGGAAACGTCTCCATTAATGGTTGTGTGGGCTTACTCTTCGCTGGCTTTCGTCGTAATACTGATCTAGGAGAAATGCAACCTGGGCCCACAAGTCTTCTCAGGCCCAAAATTTATTCATTCATTTAATTTTCATAAAAAATAAAAAGTAAATTCAATAGCTCTAGGACCATAAGATATATGGATGAATTAAATTAATGTACGTGTAACTATTGCGTTTTACATTTTCCTTGGACTCTTATTTTTTCCTAATCCTCAAGAAAAAGCCCATTGAATGATGAATATGAGTTACACAGTCAAATTTCTACATCAATATTGTTTTCAGGATGTTCCATGTGAATATTTTCTGCTCAAGAAAGAAAAAAATGTCTATATTGTTGAGTATTGACAATTCTTTTCTTTTGAAGCGTGTCCATAATCATCTCGTGGACTTGCTCTTTGCTGGCTTTCAGGCTCTTCTCCAGCCCACTTATAGCCTTCGTAGTAATATCGGTATAGGAGAATGAGTCCCACGCATACATTCAATCTGGGCCCACAAGTCTTCTCGGACCTACAATTTATTTTTTGATCCTATAAGATATTCCATTTCCAGAAGTAAGACTAATCCCTTGCTGATTTGTAGTTACCTACAATTTATTTTTTGATCCTACAAGATATTCCATTTCCAGAAGTAAGACTAATCCCTTGCTGATTTGTAGTTGTTCTATCTGGATGCATAAGACAAGACAATTATAGAAATAATATATATATATATATATATATATATATATATAAACTCGAATCAAAAGCAATTGGTAAAGTATTTCAGATATTATTAATTCTTTTATTCAATTTTAAAAAATAAATCTTTGGACGAGACATCGAGGAAGGCCATGACAAGAGACAACGAAGACCATGATTTGAGACCTATAAGCACTTAATCCAATCCCTTATAACTCGGTGTTTTATCAATTTTGATTATCATTCCAAGCTCAAGCTCCAGTATTTCCAAATTAACTCAATTGTTCAAGGAGAAAGTCTTTGAGTAGTGGATTGTTTTAGGTAGGGTCTTGTCATTGTCACAACATACTATTAACTAATAAACTCTTAACAACCTACATCTAACAGCATAGTACAGGGTTGGATTTGCTTGTAATAAACCCATAAAGTTTTGTTACATCTTGATGTTTAATTTTGACATTTGACAATAATGTAAGATGCCGTTAGCTTTAGAGACTTGTTTCTTTCAAAATATGGAAATTTGGTTCAGATGTCAGCCTTTCTACAATAATGTCATTTTGATGAATGCTGGTGATACTTTTTATCAGCCTGACATCATGCATGTACAAATCCTATAGACTATTCTCAAATTGAAATGGCAAAGCCTGATGCCAACAACTTACTTAACAAAGGAAGTATACGTTGCTGAGTCCGAATTGCAGCTATCGGTGTCTTGTGTGTTTTAGACATGGTTGGACCATCGCAATAGAGGTGGTGGATGCTGAGCACCGGTGGTGGTGGTCCTCGGTAATCTTGGTAACTGTGACGGTGACACTACTTGTTATCAGCTATTGAATCACGGTGCTATGCAGATTCTGATGCCCGTTAATTAACCGTACTAAGTAGACATCAGAGTGTCATTCAAGTAAAGAAAAAAGAAGCTATCATTCAAGTTTTTGCATATTAAGTTGTAGAATGATAAAGAAAATCTCAGCTGTCAAAAAAATTACCCTCGAGGTTCGGTGCCAGGTTATGTGACCCACCCTATGTATGGTGCCACTAGACAAGCTTCAGTCCACAAGTATACATAGAACAAAATGGAAAACAGGCTATTCAGTAGAAGAATTTGGTTAACAATTGCAAGAAAATGCAAGAAGCTTGGCTACTGGCATTTAGGTAACTTCCTAAGCAATTAGTTACCACAATATTGAGGATAGCAGTAATGCTAATTTATGTACAATGAAAAAGAACAAAAACAAGAAAAAAGAGGAAAATTTTCATCATATTTCATGAAGTTATCGAGTTAATAGAATCCTCTTGAACCTCTTGATTGATACAGTTCCAATCTACTCTTTGCTTCCGGTAACAAAGATTGGATTTCGGGTTCTTGTATCAGATGAGCCTGCTTTGTTGACCACTCTAGCACAATAAGGACCTCTTCATTTGCAAGAACCTCACTGTCAGGACAGTGCAATGAAATGAAGCATAGGAGAATCAAGGAGGGAATTTGAACCATTTGTTCACCGAAGTAAACAAGTTGAATTAGGTGTTTGGCACCTCCTGCAGTAATAATAGCCTTGGAGTGAGTCACACAAAGGAAATTATCTGACGTTGCGAACTTGTTCAGAGCAATTGCTGCCTCCATTGTGACCTCAGGTTCCCTTTCATCTAATAGCTTCACCAGTGGTCCGATCATCCTAGTTTCTGTTTCTCTAAAAGTCCTTGCCAAGTTGCCAATGGCTTGTACGCATGGTACGAGGAGGTCTGAGTCCGCTTTCTCAACTACTTTTAGTAATTGATCAACGACTGCTTTAGCCGTAGGGGATGTGGGCTTGAACGATGAGCGTCTCAAGTCAGCATTTTGTTCTGCTACTGCTGTGATTTCCATCAATGCCATTGCTGAATAGGATTGAACTTCGTCGTGACCTTTCTCTAACAAAACTGCAAAGCATAAAAGTGCTCTCGACTCTGTGATGGTACGGCATATGGTGACGTTTCCCTTTGCGAGTTGCCAAAGTGCTCTTGCTGCCATTGCCTTCATCTGTGCTTTTGTACCAGGATCTTCAAATTCCCTTCCCTTGATGCTAGTACCGGCCAACGACACATGCTGATGATTCTGTTGTTTCGCAGTATTGTGGTTGCCTTTAGCATGGTTTGAATTATTAGCATGGGGTGGGCTAGCAATGGTTTGCGAGAGGTTTTGGGGTTGGTTTTGTGTTGGCTTGTTAATGTTAGGAGGCTGACTTCTTATTGCCATAGAATTGGTCACCACACTGTGCATCTGGCTAGGAGTTTTATTATCCATTGGATGATGAATTCTTGTAGCTGGTTCATCTTCTTTAGGACTGGCACCATTGCTAGCCATCACAACTGAATGAATCGACATAGTATTCTTGCTTGCAATTGCATACTTACTATGTTCTTGGATCGTTTCGAATGCAAGATGACTGACAAGAAACCGAATTGTGTTGTTTTGCGCAAAATGGTCTTGGCATTTCGGATGATGTGCAGCCAATTCAGAGACAGCCCAAGCCACCACGACCTGAACTTTCATGTGACCTTCTTTGAGTATTTTCGCAAACACAGTGCAGACACCAGCATTCACAATCTGTTCGACGCTTTCCGGATCACGTCCTAATAGCCCAATAGCCCTAGCAGCATTTTCTTGACCTTCCATTTTGCCTTCTTTAGCCAACTTTAACAATGGTGCAACCCCACCTTCCTCTATAATCAACTTCCCATACCTGTCATTATCTCTTGCCAAAGAAACCAATGAAGCTGCAGCATCCGATCTATCTTCTAATGTCCCAGTGTAAAGTATTGCAATCTGTTCCCATATAAGACACAGAATTGGCTCATTGGCAGCAATAGGAGGCAGGCCTAAATACTCATCGTCTCGATCATCGGCGGAAGCTGAGACACGTAAAAGCCAAGAAACATCTCCTATTGAATTCTCTAGCTGCATCGAAATTTTTCGAAACGCCGCAGCAGGGATGATAGTGAACATTCTTTTCATTACGTTGCTTACGCGGCATTTGAGAACAAGAGCGAGGGCCTTGTCCAGGACTTGTTCCGTGTCATCGATGATTCGCCTTGTTGGACGTTCATAAAGATCATTGCTGGCACGAGCGGCTTGGCGTAAAAGCGCTGCCAGCTTCTCTGTTTTGGCTTTCAGTTCTAGACAATCTTGTTTGAAAGATTGTGCCTCATCTGCTAATTTTGTTACTTGGTCTGCTAATTGTATTGGCCTTGCCAAGATCTCTTTCACAATGTCCGCCATGGCCCCAGCGGACTAGAATCATAGAATTCAAATCAATCAGCCTTGGTAGAAAATAATCCTCAATCAAGAATTGTTGGGAGACGAAAGGATATTGATGGTTCTGTTTTATTTGCGTCGCTAAGAACAGCCAATTGCTCGTGGGGCACTTTACGGCCTCTGACTCTTGTGACTTCGTTTGTATCCACCTTAGTTAGTGGAGTTGGAGGTGGAGGTGGTCCCGGTGGTGGCCGGTGAGTTTTGTGAGAGGAGGGGGGGGGGTGGTTTGTAATGGTCAAACGTAATTTTCTCCAACTTCCATACTCGGAAGAATTTTTCTACCATTCTTTCCAACGTTATATATAGGAAGTGAATTTGGTTGGTCAGCACTTTTGTTAAAGCAATTTTAGTGCATGAGAAAGTAATACCCCAAGCGCGTCGGTTACGTGTTTGGTCTCCACGCTCCAAGATTATTGAGGATGAAAATTGCTTCTTCTTCTTCTTCTTCTTCTTTTTTTTTTTTTTTTTTTTTTTTTTTTTTTGGAATTGAACAGTAAATAAACTCTCGAGCATACTGAAAGTAAGTTTCTTCACAATCGTGTTTTAAACAAACAGTAGGTTACCCCTCAATTTAATGTGGTAGCCATAAATGAGCTAATAAAAAAAGATTTGAAAGTTCTGTTACTCACTACTTGTAAAGGTTAAATCAGAATTAGATTGATTTTTTTCCATTTTATTTTTTTTCTACTTTTCATACAGATTAAAAAATTTATTAATTATTATGCTACGTTAATATTTTTTCGTTTGTTTATTTTTTCTTAAAATGTTGGACAAACAAGCATTTGTAACTAAGAAAGTAACATTTTGAATGATTGATCCCAAGCTTTTCATCTTGACCACTCTCAACAATATATGGGATTTATAATTTATAATTCCAGCCTAATCATCTTTCCTTATACAGGCCTACTAACTTACCAAATTATGAAAAATTTTATAATATATAATGAGTAACTAATAACATATATAGTAGTTATTCCATAGACTCGTTTCAGAAAAAAGATAGATATATTGAATTACATCCGGATACATCAAAAGTGATAAAAAGATTTTCACGTTAACTCAATTTTTTTTCATTTTCTCTTTTTGTTTCTCTCTCTCTCTTTTGTGTCTATCTTTCTTCTTAAAGTAAGTTTATAGAGTAATTTCTATACATGTCACTAGTTACTTTTGTATTATAAAATTTCTCATAAATTATTAAAGAGGGTAATTAAAACGTTATCTGCAGTGAGATGTTTCAAATCCTTCTCGTTAATGACTTAATTATTCATGAAAATAACATAAGAAAATTGAACAAAAAAATCACAAGCATAATCCTGAATTGTTATGTTTTATGGTAAATGAATCTGAAGTATCTAGGCTTTGTTTAGTACTGCAGTAATTGCAGTGGACCAGTGGCTATCAAAAGTATGTGTGTTTATATAGAAACGTGCCATCCAGAATTATGAGGTTTGAGTCTGTTTTTTCTCCAGAACCGGATAGTTTTGTTGGGTTGGAACTTGCCTCCGAGTCCTTTTAACTCTTTCTGGAGGTGGGGTTAGAGTTGGGCATCCTCGTTTGTGATTTTCACTTCTGCAGCGGTATGAGTTAAGATTGAATTAGATTCCTTCATTTCTTTTGGTTTGATGGTCAGTTTGGTTTTCTCAAGTCAGCTGGCATTACTAAAATTCTATTTTTTTTCCCCTTCATAGGCCAAGATTTGAGAGTAGTTTCTGCAAGAATCAATAACTTAACCTTCTGGTGTGCTTTGTCCTGCTGCTGCAGAGAACAATGGCTTGAACTAATTAGCCACAACGATAAAATTGGAGCGGACCTAGAAGTGTGGACCTCACGGAGTTCATAAAATTAATTAGAACAGAAATAAGATACAGATGGAAATCATGCATAAGTAGATGGTCCAATAACTATTTATCCCTACAACTTTGTTGTTTATTAGATTATCTTCATTATTTCAGCAACAATTGGTTTACTGGTTGCACAGTGAAAGCAGAGCTGAAATATTCCTAGGCGACATGTGATAAAGCATAGCATTAATGTCCCTTATGTTGTCTCTAGCAAGGTTATTTCTTGGAAGCTGCCGAAATGATGATGTCTTTTCGACCTCCAGTTTAATTATTTCCTTTTCTTTTGCTGCTAAAAAAGGTGAAGATGAGAAGAGAGTGGTGTCCCCATTAGTGCTAGACACAAGTTTTCGTTCATTTCAGAAATTAAACCCTAACTCACTTCATCAATGTATTTACAATAACATTGTTTGTTTCTATAATCATCATGAGCAAAATGAAGGAAAAATTGCCATGATTTGACAAGCAGAAGATATTTCGTTTCGGCAATCTTTTCCGTACGTCTTAGGTAATGTAATACGACCCTGGTCCACCGTGTAATCTGTGGACTAAGGTTATCCCTGAAATGCCATAGTGGTAAGTTGCTAATCTCAAGATCTAATCAATACAATCTTGTAATCCGATAGGCAATAACGAAATAATAAGGATAATTCATGCATCATCTCAAAAGACAGGATTTCTTCTGAATGATATGGCCGTAGAGTCTTCATTTTCATGCGTTGATGTAACATCAGTAGAAATTCATGGTACGGAAACAATCATGCAGCATCTCAAGAATCTTGTCGCGAATATTGGAAGAAAGCTATGTTTAATATCATTACTCATGATGCCTCAGTTGTCTAATTACTTAATTTTGTAATTGGCGTCAAGGATGTGCAGAAGCAGTATCTGTTCATAATTAAATTTCAACCAAGCAATTACTGCAATACGTAAAACTTAAAACTTACTCAAGGACATTTTTCCAAGAATCAAGTCGTGAATATTAGAAGAAAGCTATGTTTAATGTCATTACCCATGATGCCTCACTTGTCTAATTACTTAAGTTTGTAATTGGCATCGCCTAGGATGCGCGGAAGCAGTATCTGTTCTATTAGTAAATTTCAATCAGGCAATTACTGCAATACATAAAACTTACAACTTACTCGAGGACATTTTTCTCAACTGTAGCTGCAGAAATGATCAACACTAGAGACTGAAGCATTTTATGCTTCAATAGAAGAATCTGAAGGCTGCCATTAATTGATCTTTCAGTTGTCAGCCATGCAAGTACTGATACATGTACTAAGACATAAATTCTATTTGGATTTAGTAACAATCAGAGGCCATGAAAGTTCACATTTGTTCCAGGAAACGTGAGATTCGTGCAGCTGGAGTCTCCAAATACAACATATCGGCTTCTGCAAGCAAGGAATATTTAGTTAAAGATCAGCGCTTTGTGGATTGCTTTTTAATGCAAAGAACAAAATAAATACTATCATATAGTAATATAAACATTTACACTTAATTCGCCTCTATTCCATCTATATTGGTTCTTGACCAGTACCTCCCCACTAGGCCTAAATGGTCCATTAATTTACCATATATGAGTCAACAGTAGAATCATTCGCCATTTAACCACGGCAGCAGTTAATATAAACTGATGAAAAGGAGGCACTTTGCATAATTAATATGACATTGTTGAGCTTTCTATGTCAGAAAGAAAAATCCTTAGAAAGGAATTTGCAGTAATTTCTTCCTTTCCAGCAAACTGGTCTCACTTGAGTGTAATGGCGCCAAGCATGTCAAGGGATCAAAACCTTGTTGTTCTTTTATGGACTATTTAAGATAATCATGAACATGAGTCACGAGTTTGAAATTCTTGAGCACCCTCTTGGTTTGAGAGCCACTCAAATTATTGCAGGTTCGATGCCATGTGTGAGGCAGAAAATGGCCCACTGGTTGCCGTAACAAAAATGCAAATAAGGATATAATGAATGGCTGAGAATTAAAATCATATTTTCCTGAACTTTATGTGATTTTAAAATCATTTTCAACTTTTAATTTGGGATTGGGTTTTTTTTTTGTGATTATTTTTTATTTGAAATTAAATCATACAGTTTTTATCAATTATAATTATGAAGATACACATAACTTATATTTAGTTGGTTTTTTAATTTTCTTAAGAGTTAGAAATGTGCCAAACCGTTAAATATTTTGTTTTTCTCTCAAAAGCTTATTTATTTCCTTTTTTTAAAAAAATTATTTACTTCTTAGCATTTAAAAGAAAAATATAAATTATTTATAGGTTTTGGCATTTATTTTTAAATGTTGAGAAATTATACTTATATGTTAAAATTTATAAAAATTTAGTAAAAAAAACCAAATTCAAATGAAAAAAATGAAAAATAATTGAAAAAGTTCCAACATAAAGTTGAAAGTTGAAAAACCAATTCTCTCAGGTGACTTAAAACTTCAGAAGAAGTTCAAAAAGTTTAGTCTTAAAATTCAAGTTTCATACTTTGCAATTGAATAAATTATAAGTTAGTCCCTTTAGTTTCAATGAACAAATTAGTTAGTCCTCTCTATTTTAAAAGTTAATTATTTAGTTCTTTTTATTCATTTTATGTTCATTTTTAATTTAATTTATTTTTTCTTTAAAAATAGAAAAAGAAAAAAGTGGCATTATGGAAATTCATGAAAAAATAAGATATTTTTAGAATAAAATAATATTAAATTAAGTCTGATCAATATTGATTAAAAGACTGAATAATTAGTTTTTTTTATAAAAAATATTAATTAATTTATTTTTTGAAACGAGGGACTAATTTATAATTTACTGTTTGCCAATTATATGCCTGTGGACCTTTTTTCTGCTCTTTCCCAACAAGCACTCTCCGGAAACTGCAATGAAAATTCCAAAGAAGTTAAGACAAACCAATAAAGAATCATCAGCTTGTGCTTATTCGATATGTCCATTGAGATACGGTCCCTTGAATTCTACACGTACCATGACAGTATTTACAACTGCCTTCGTTTCAATGACAATGTTAAGAATTTTAAACGTGGATCACTCAGTGGATAAGACTGTCTTCGTGCATGTATTTACCTGAATTATTGCGCTAACAAAATCAAACTAATTCATAAGCATGCCTAGAGTTTTTTTTTTGGTTTTTTTCGTCTTTTGGAAAGCGACTTTAGATTGGAACTCACGAAACCATTGGATATATAACTCTAGGTAAACCTACAGTTGCATAAGGCATGCGTCTCCATTGTAACACTAGCAATTGGTGTTATGTGGTCTAAAGGGTTCACATATGATCAAGAAGTGACATAAGGGCAGGGACAAGTTGTTTTGCTATAGAACTTTCCTGTTAGCTCTCAATTTGTCAGCTCAGCCAAAAACATTGACATGAACATGGGGTGCTCTTATAATCCTGTATCATTTTATATGCAGATTCTCGAATGAACATGCAAATATTGAGTTCAACGTCATAAAGAATACTGGGACTCTGGGAGGAAAGCTAATTCTATATATTTCCTCCAACAAAATTTGATGCCACTACCCATTCTTGTGCTTAAATTACAGATGTAGCTGCTGCCAGCTAGTAGGACGTAAGCTTAAATTTTCTGCGCAAGAAATACAAAAATTTCATTTTCACTCTGACAAGCAGCGGTCCCTACTCTATGCCCTGGCTAGCATAAGCTATACCAAGTTGTACACTTGTACTTGCCTAATTGCCTTCCCATTGGTTACATGTCTGTACCTCTCACGTGGCTGGGTAAGCAATAGTTCAAGTATAGTTGAGAGTTGAGAATCCATAAACTTTCTTGTTTTACTCTCAAGACAATAACTGGCACGGTTACGAATAGATTCGCAGTAAAATTCTCCCACAGATCTCAGAACAGGACACTTGTGCGTGCACCGGTACTAGACATTTCCCTTCCATCATGTACTCAAGCATGAAGTACCATGTTTTTTTTTTTTTTTTTTTTTTTAAGGCGTAGAGCCAATGCATCGAACAAGACTAAATTTCCCTTTTTTGGATAATCTTCACACCGGCTTAAAATTTTCACGGGAATTTATTCCCACAAGAGATCCCAGAACAGGCCGCTGATTCAAGAACCAATAGACTGTAAAAATTTACTTCGACATGAAATCAAGGATGAAGTATCATATAAAGTACATTTCTACGAACAATTGGCCATCCCTGCCGAGTTCTGCGACCAAGGACAAGGACAAGCACCGAAGTTGCTTGATCATGATAATTTGTTGTTTGAGGTACGGACTCAGCAGCCTGGCTAATGTTTCAAGAGTAAATTATTCTTTTGAAAATCATACTAACAATAAAAAGATAAATATATATAATTTTTTTTACAGTTTTTTTTACAAAATTGAAATCGTTCTAAATCATTTTCTATTTTTTTATGATTTTGTAAATATTTTAATTTTTAATAAAAATAAAAAATACTTTCTAATTTCAACAAATTTTGAAATTATTTTTAAAAATAGATTGGATTTTTATTAGCGCATGTGAAAAATTTCAGCTCAAAATATAGAAAAATTAAATTTTTTTAAAGAGGCTTTTGTGATTGATAATGGAGAATTAACCATGCAAAATTAAAATATACTATATTATAAATGAATAATTGAAGTTAAAGACATAATTGTATTGAAAACTGTGGGACGAAATAATAATTTACTAATATCTGAAATGTGATCTACGGACCAACCCCTAGGCTAGGACATAATTAAATCAGTGACCATATTAATCTTTTTAAAACTATTAATCGTGTATTTTTATCTATTTTTTCATTAATTAATGATATGTTCATTACTCGTAAAATATCAAATTATAATTTTATTTTTTTTCTATTGTAAAAAACTTTCTTTTTAAATGGTCATAAACAATATATTTTTTTTTATATGAAAAATCTCACATTTTATGTTTATTTATTTATTTATTTTCATACCTAAACCTAATTGAGTTTAGCTTTGAATTTTATGACTAAAAAATAATTTTTTGATTATTTTTCAAATTTTGAAATGGTAGAATAATTTGAGAAAAAGTTTTCTCTAACAAAAAAAGGGTAAATTTATAATTTGATATTCTAAAGTAATTGACCCTGCATCAATTAATAGAAAAATTAATAAAAATACTTGATTAACAGTTTTGAAAAGTCAATATAATAGAAAAAAAATCCATGCACTCGATTGATAAAAAAAGAAGAAGCAAAATTATAACTTGTTATTCTAAAAATAACGGACGCGTCATAATTTAACAGAAAAAATTAACAAAAATACTCGATTGATAATTTTTTTAAAATTAACGTATTAAAAAAAAAACAAAAATTACATATTAGATTAAAATAAAGTTAAAAATTAGTATATTTATAATACAATTATCTCCGGAAATTTTATATCCCATCTTGGAATAGAAATGTTGTCATTGAAAAAATTTATTGACAAGTAATGCATCCTTAAAGTTTATCCCGTCATTTTAAAACAAATCATTTTGGTTGAAATCTTACTGGTTTGAAAAAAAGTATTTCACTGATTCCGGAAAGAGGATGTAAGGAAAACCCTTAAACTAAGGCAAAATGAAGAGACGAAAACCACAAATATAAGGGATGAAAGTGTAGACTAGTCGTTATCTTTGGTCATTCTGGTTAAATAACCTTCTGTCCTATCAAATGACCCTTTGGTCTGACCGCTGATCATTCCTAAAAGTCTGATTAACATTGTTGCTGTTTCTTCAGTACAAAAACCCTACCTTTGATTAAAAGTACTTTCCGTGAAGAATCAATTAAAGAACAAAATTTCTTATATGCATAGGATTTGTTTAGGATTATATATGGATATGATAGCGGCATTAGTGGTGATGACAAATTGAACCTAAAATTCCTTTCCCTTTTAATGAAAATTTTGAACCAACTCAAAACTTTAAACAACCTATCTGCGTTTTCTTGAAATGTATATATATATATATTAACACTATTAACATGTTGGAGGAAAGTTAACATCCAAGACACATAAGAAATTTTCAAAAAAGTGGAAAACATTTTAATTTATTCTAACAATACATATATAGTTTGTGTTACAAAATAATATAAATTATATATTACGATTTCATCCATCAATTTAATTTTTTTTTATTGAAAAGACTCTTCAATATAATATAAAAAATTCTTAATGACCAATAAATCACGAGTCAAATTTCAGTGTTCATATCCTCTTTTATTAAAATTAAAATAATTTTGCGCAAAGTAGTGTTGGATATTTACAAATTTCAAGTCCAAAAGATTTTAATTTTAAAAAACGTAATAAAGCGTAATATGAATTATATTTTCACTTATTAGTTTAATTTTTTGGGTTGAAATAGTTTTTTTAACATTTGTATAAAAAAGAAATAAACTACTATGATCAAAATATTCTCCGAGATAAATTTAAATAAAAATAATATTACAATTTAATCAAAATTTAAAAATTTTTAACTCATGAAAATTCTAAATTATACTTACATTCATTTTTTTAAAAAAAGAAAAAACTTTAAAATCATTTTTACCAAATATCTTTCCAACTTAAATTTATTTACCAAATTATTTATGAAAAAATAATTTTTGAATCATGACTAAAGGTAAAAGTCACGATTCAAATACATACTAAACAAATTATCAATTTTAATATACAAACTCTAACTTTAGAATACCGTGGAGGTTAGCACCAAAATAGAAAATTCACTAAGAGAGATTTCTAGCCCCATGCTTGTATTTGCGCACTGTCTAATGAAGACTGGGCCTTGGACACTATTTCTGGGCGTATTTTCATGCTCGGTTCCTTTGCAGCCCGGCCCAGTAAACAACGCCGAGGATGAATTCTCACTGCTTCCCTATGCCGTGACCCCAAATAATATATAGGAAATTGAGATTAGGGTTTGTTTTATCCTAAACCTAATCCCCAAATCGATTTGGGGGTCTTTAACCAGTGAGTTACGTGACATCACATGTGCGCTCTAGTGTGGCCTATATAATGCTCCTTCAATCCTTCCCTTTGAACTCGAGTGCAACATCACCAAAACCCAAGATCATATATATATATATATATATTACTGTAGTTAACTTAAATGTATTAAAATGATGTTGTTTTGAGGTTTTTTTTTAAAAGAAAAAAAATAAATAAGTGAATTTTTATAAATATCAATTTGTTTTGGTTCTTGATATTTGATTTTATAATATGAATTCACTTTAGTCCTTAATTTGTAAGGAATGATCCTTAAATTTATTTATGTTAGAATGAGGTACCTTGACGTCAAGAAAGAAAAGAATAGAAAAGAGAGATTTTTTTTTTTTTTGAGTTTTTAGAGTTGATTAAAACATATTTTGAGGTTAAATGATTTTAAATGTTGTTGGTGAGATTCTAAAGTATTTGAAGGCAAAAATGGTATAAAAATTAAGATTTTAGGTAAAAAAAACAACAGCCTTAGATTTTTTGACGACAAAATTACAAAGACGGGACCAATCAGTCTTCACAGAGGATATATATATATTTTTTTTCAATTGGCTAGGTCGCACGCGTCTTTTCTCTACCCAACTTCGTTTCCTGTTATTTTTAAAATTTCTTCTCTTTTCTTTTATGCATTTGTTTTTCTAATTTTTATTATTTGATTAAAATAAATTTTTTCTTAATAATTAATGTTTATTTAGCGATTTTTTTTATAAATTCATTAACTAAAATTAAACATACTTCTTATATGCATTGATTTAGCACATTTTCAGTATCAGTTTTCGCTTTTATTCGAGTATTGACTCTTCTAATTTAATTTTATATATATATATATATATATATATATCAAACATATTCATACGATATATTTTAATTCAAATATAAAATAAACATGATATTAAAATGATAAAATACATTTTAAATTAAAAAAATCTACAATTAATATTAATTCTATTTTTATTTCATTAACATAAATTTTTAAATTAAATGAAAAATTAAATTATATTTCATAGATTTATCCAGACAACATTCAAATATTACTTTAATGAATAATCTAACGTACATAGTAGGTAGTAGGTAGTGCCTGACAAAGATTCCTCCAAATTTCCTAAAATCTCCTCCATTAGAGAGAGAATGGAATAAAAAATTATTGCCAAAAGACTTATCCGTAACAATAAATAAAGCGTTATAAAATAATGAATGTCCATCCGTTTTTTATATTCCCACTACTCATGATCATGTGAATCAATTATTGAAAGGATGATATGATTGATGTACTTATTTATAGTCTTTTTCAATTCTCATCTCAATTTTGAGACCTATAAATAAGCTCGATTATTCATTTGTTGATATACAAGTTTTTAGAAAGATTAAGAAAATAACTTAAAGTTTTTCTCATTTGTATTCACTTTACAGTGAATTCTTCTTCTTGTCATCATTCATTTAAATTCTCGTATATCTTTTATTTTTTACAACATAAAGAAAATTCTTGTAAAGTCGTAAGGTTTATTGCGGTTTCAATAAAAAAAATGACCAATTAATTTGGATTCAAGTGATTAACATGAAATAAGTTTCTTTGGCTCTTTGCTGAAAGAACTGGACGACAGATTCTTTTTAATCTCTCAATCATAAGAAACTTCATTGACTTTTTTCTATCAGACAAAACATTTCACGTAGAGAGAGATGAAGGGAATCAACTACCTTGAACGTTTCAGCGATGAGCATCAACTGATGCTGATCGAGAAGGTTGACAAAGACAATTTAGCGCTATGCAAAGTTTGCAAGGATTACTGTCATGATCCTTATTATTATAGTTGCAGCGTGTGTGTTTTCAACCTCCATGATATGTGTGCAAATTTGCCATCATGGTACTCGAATCCTTTTCATCTCCACAAGCTTTTAAGCTTTCAGACTAATGTGATAGGCGAGCCGGAACAGTGTCAGTGCCATGCCTGTTCTAGGGACATAGATGGCTACACCCACGGCTACAAATGCGAGGAGTGCGATGTGTATCTAGATGTTGAATGTGCTTTACTAAGACCAACCATAAAAGAAGATGAAGATCGTGTTCTAAACCATTTTGCCCAATCTTCACCCATTAGTCCTAGTTGCTACTGAGCTAAAGGATGTTGATGAGGATCTCCCACGCTGCTACTTCTGTTGGGAATTTATAATTAGCTCGGTCGAGTTCTACAAGCGTGAACCCTGCAGATTCTATCTTCACAAATCATGTGCTGAACTGAAGTTGCCGGAAGAGTTGAGTCACTTCTATCGCCGTTGCCCTCTCACTCTATGCACCAAAAGAAACTCTTATAATTGCAAGGCTTGCTTACAGAATCGCAATGGCTTCCACTGCCTCTGCTTCAAATGCAACTTCAGGCTGGATAGCAACTGCTCTCTACTGCCTGAGAAAATGAAATCCGAAGGTCAAGATCTTTACTGTCATCCTACGCATGGGCATCCTTTGACGCTTGTTGATGTAACTGATGATGAAGCAATTCAGTGTGTTGCTTGCCAGAAGAGCAATTGTGATAAGACTTATGTCTGTCGTTGGGGTGGGACATGCAAATTTTTCCTCCATCAATGGTGCTTTGATTTGCCTCCATGGATATCCAACCCTTATTTTCCTGCAGGCCCCAAGTTGGAGTTGACTCCTGAGTGTTTTCCTAAAGCAAGATGCAGAGTCTGTTACTATTTATGGAACGGCTTATTCTACCGCCCTCCGTCCATTTTATCAAAGAAGCAGCAAAAAAATTCGGTGGCCTTAACATTTAACGTACACGTTAAATGTCCCGTGGAGGTGTCCACCATAGCATATCAAGCTCATCCTCACAATCTTATATTTATCGAGAACACCATAGACAATGATATGACCGACATTAAAAATGGATACAAGTGCAGCGCCTGCGGCAAGGATTGCATATCATCATCTCGTCTGTTTCGTTGCGTCAAATGCAATTACAGTCTTCATCTTGAATGTGGTCCCTTGCCGTGTATCATTCCCTACAAAAGTCAATTACACACACATCCTCTCAGGCTTACCGATTCTCCGGTGGACGAGGAATATAATCCAGATATGGATGTATTTTGTTTCGATGAGTGTGAAAAGGAAAGAGAACCAAGGCTACCAGTTTATTGTTGCTCTGAGGGCTGCCCCTTTATTGCTGAGATTAAATGCGTGATCTCTGAGGTACATTTCTACTCTGTATATTCAGAAATTTCTATACCAATTTCTTGTAGACAATTATCTAATTCTGTAATTGATTATATTAAAAAAATTTCTCACTCTGACAGAGTGATGGAGTAAGGGGATGGAAACATGATCCATGCCTTCACACTTATAATTAAATAAAAAACAAGGCCTCGTGTTTCTCCTTTACAGCACTTGTTTTGCTGTCAGGTGAAACGTTCGTTGTTGGGAGATTATGGCGATGTGGAATTGAAGTCCTCGATCACAAAGATGGCTGGCCGGGTGATTGGCCAAAATTATGTTCCTCAAGCGCAATATCAGGAATTAAGATGGGACAGCGGAACAAACGATGAAGATTGCAATAAAATTGCCAGCCGTTTCACTAGACAAGACACTGACTTTTATCGAAGCATTTCTAAGGCTGCAAGATTGTGGGAATCACAAGCTTCTCTGTTAGGCTCATACTCTTATGAACTTATTATATGGGGGCAAAGATATATTTATAGATGATGCGCAGATTTTCAAGGTTGAAGATCATTTTTTAAAGTCGGACTTTGCATACTTAAGGGAGGCACTAGATGATGTTACTCCTGCGGAATCCATTTTGCGAGATTCACCAGCAGGGTACTATTTCAGATTTATGTTATGTTAGACTATAAACAGCATGTGCACCACAAGAGTTGTTGATATTTCCCAAGAACTACTGTCCAAGTGGTGGAAGATCTTAAAAATGGTGCATTTTGCAGGTTTCAATATACAGTTTGCCTTGGATCGTCTGGACAGGATCGTGCTTTCTTCCTATGGTCTTGAAGCTAAAGCAGAATACGAGAACCTGGAGAAAATGGATAAAGAAATAATAGAACTTGATCAAGATATTAAGGAATTAGAAGCAATATTGGTGGAGAAAAGAGCAAGGTTACTGGCTCTCCAGAAGAGACGCGGGCATGCGGCCTCCAAAGAAACTCTGGATTCTAGCTTAATAGACAAATGCTTAGGGGAGGCTTCTGAACTGAAGTGGTGGACAGGTGGTGAAGGTTTTTTGGATAAATAGGTGCTGAACTTGGCATTTGTTTTTACTATTCTGCACTTGCTTTGTGATATAGATTGTGATTGTCCTGTTTAGCTTTAAGTTTGTCAAAACTTCGTTTCTGGATGATTGTAATATATGCTGCAAATCTGCATTATGAAAAGCAAGAGACTGGGATTTCATACACAAAACTGCATACCTAGTTGCTTTTAATATTCAAAAGCATAGCCCTACAAACAATACATTTATGGTTTAAGATCAGAAGGCAGTACTAGATTCTGCAGAGAACACTAGTTCCATGAGTAGGATGTCCAGCATTCGGGCTGGTGCACTGAGAGAATGTACAGTGTCTTTTGGGCACGACTTGTATGATTATCTCCAAATTATATTGTACAACTTCATCGTTCATCTCTTGAAGAGTAATTATCCTAATGGGCTCGGAAGTTTAGAAACCACTTCATTGAACAGTTAGGATTCTTGTGGAACCAGCCAATAAATCCCATCCACCAGTCCACGACCCTTCCATTGATGAATTTCTGAAGAGGTGAAATCCTGGGACAGAACTTCAAATCTCTTGCAAACTGAGGTTTACAGCTTGAAGTGTGGATTGGGTCTTCATGTTTGGGCTGAAACAAGTATCTAGCCATTGTAGGCTTCATGATAATGGGCTCTCGTTACAACCTTCCGTATTTGCAGTCCGAGCCTCTATTTAGGTCTTCGGTGTAAAATATGCTTGAATAACGAGTCCACTCTAGTAAATAAATAAATAAAACAACAACAACAATAATAAAACACGTATGATTATAATAATCATATATATCGTCAAAAAAAGTACTAAATTCTATATGTATATATATATATATATATATATATTTTAATGATAATTCAGTTAGAATCGGCACTCAATTCCTTAGTCATTAATAATTCTCATTTACTTAAATCATTGTAATTTTATAGTAGAAGTTTGAAAAAAAAATTGTTTCAAAATTCTTGACTTGCACAATAGGTGCACAATTTGTATATTGCCCTCCATTACTCCATGGTCCCTCTAAAGTCTTGACACCTACATATAGTTTTTTTTTTTTTTTTTTTTCTTTCTAGGGTATTTCAATCTTAAAAATTTAAATTAATTTTTTATTGTTTTATTGAAGAGATAAGATAAAGACAGCTATTAATAAAGTTTTTTGTTTTTTTGTTGCTTTCAATTCCAATCAGGATATTCTAGTTCAACTTTCAAGAATTAAGATTGGTTCCTTTTTCTTTTTCAAGTTCAGGAAGGCCAATCACACCAAAAGACCAAAACAAAAGAAGAGTTGATTGAAATATTTATTGGGAAACCAATCATATAAATAATTAAACTACCAGTCTTGAATATAAGCAAGTCAAGTGAGTATCAAACAGGTGGCGCTGTCATGTCAATGGTAGCATGCAGTTGATTGGTCATTTTCTCAGCATAGCATTAGCATCTTCCACGTGAAGCTCACACGTAGCAACGATTCATCATCTGGTGGCCACTTGCACGAACTAGAACAAAACAGCACATGAGAGGAGGGGGCAACAGAGTTTTTTATGTCATTTTCAATTCAAATTCTTTTCCCAAAACGCAATAACAATTTTTATTAGTCCTGTTTGTTTGCGTTGGTTGCATGAACACCATTGAATCTGTGCTTCAGATAAGGTTATTACATGAATGGATAAGCATTCAATTTTGACTAATGTGCTCACATATCTCAAATATTTTTTGATCTATTTTTCAAAAAAAAAAAAAAAACCTTCAATATATATATTCTAATAATATAAAAATTAATTTCTAAATTTTTTAAAAATTTTTGATAAAAATAAATGAAAAAATAAAATAAAAAAATAATTTTTTCAAATCACATAAATTATGTATTTCATTTGATTGAAAGATTTAACTTAAAAAATATATTAGAAAACATCTCAAAATTAAAAAAAAAAAAAAAAACAACAGAGTGAAGATGTTTTTATAAAAAAATACGAGTAAGAATTTACCCTATTATAAAGCATGAATCCATGACAAATATATGAAACAAATTAAGACAACACTTATTGAATACAGATAGATTAAAATGTTGAATTAAGTATTATTTTAGTTAAATGTTTAGAATTGAATAACTTGTTTTGAATAATTTGATAAATCCATATTCTCACACTATGAGAAGAAACATTTTTATTATAAATTCTGCAGCTTTTTTGTTTTCACAAATCATAGATGTTTACATTTTATGCTAATATGATAATAATCAATTGAAAATTTTTCCTTTGCAAATGCTCCATTATTCATTGTTATTTTATATTTTAACTATCAATTGCTTCATAAAATGCACATTTTAAAAGAATAGTATTTCACACTGCCTTAGAGTAAAAACATTAGGAAAAAAATAAATCCAGAAAAAAACATAATTAACTAGTAGAGGGGTGCAGTAACTATACGAATGCTATGATTTTTGGGAATTTTTATTGTCACTCCCCATTATACAATAGTTGATGCATTTGCATGCCATTAATTAATCAACACTATTAAACTCCTTGATCAAGACGCTATGCATTTTTATTTTTTATTTTTAGTTCAAGAACATGGTCTTGTAGGTTGATTTCAGGCATCAAATGAGTACGATAAAAATAATGGGTCCCCCAACGAGTGGGGCTCATTAATTGATGGACGTTACGAAGGTTCCACTCACAATCAAATTGACCATATTAACTTATAGATTTATTTACTATATTTCTCTCTATTATTAGCAATGTCTTCTTTAGATGATGGATAATTGTATATTTTATATTTTGGAGATGGACAGCTCGGTACATGGAAAAGTAACCATACTACTCTGTACATTTTGTTTATTTTGCTGACTTGTTGCCAATTGCCACCTTATGGTTTTATCCATTTTGTTGTCATTGTCAACTTAGGATAGCTGATCACCTTAAGGCTCTTGAAATGTCAATGTAGGTTCGAAAATTCTCACTTGTTAAGGTCCAATTTCAACTAATTCAATCTTATCCTGGACAAATTGCATGTTACTTGGATGTTCTCTAATCAAATTGATATCCATTCTAACGAATAGATAATCTTAAAAAGATAACGAAAAAATTATCGATGAATATTTAGTTTAACGATATCGTTTATGTGATACGGGATGATAAGATAGAACTCATATTTCAAAATTTTAACTTTAATATATGAAAGAAATAATGACTTGTAAAATTAGAAGGTAAAAGTAATAAAAGACTTAGACATCCACATTAAATTACGCTAAAAATATGTCCATTTCTACAAAGTACAAACTAGCTCTGTTTTCCCCTGTTTTATCTCCTCTGTTTTCAATAAAAAGAATTGATAACAGAAAAATAAGAACAGAGTTTAAGGGATCAACACCCATTTTCATGCTAACTTAAGAGCTTAAATTACATACACTGAGGAAATATGAAACAATAACTACCAACACTGGTCAGTCTCCCAGTTCCTACTAGTATAACCAGAAGCAGCTGCCATTGTTGCTGACCTCATAGAAGAAGACCCAAAAGGCCTACGATCTTTATAAAGATTTCTATCATAATTTGCACGTTTATCAGGGTCTGATAATGTTGAATATGCTGCATGGAGTTTAATGAACTCACTGGCTGACATTTCTTTTTGATTCATAGACACAACATCAGGGTGGCAAGTTCTTGCTAGTCTTCTGTAAGCAGCCTTTATTTCATGGCCACTAGCACTCATTGGAAGCCCTAGCACTTCATAGAACGAGGAAGTTGTAGCCATTGCGTCAATGCCCACTTTTGGTCTTTTGGCTTGGGAAGTAGTAGTTAAAGATGCTACAAGTTTAAGTGGATAGAAGGGCTAGCTTGAGTAAGGTGGTGGTGATTTTGAGGAATGAAGTGGTAGAAGCTGTAAGCACGAGAGTATTGGAACGTTGAATTTTGGGATGGCTAAAATGGGAGGGGATGTGATGATTTTATAGAGAGGCTATGAGAATTTAACTAAGGTTAGACGTTAGTGGTTTTGTCAGTTATGGTTCACAATTTATTATTTTAAAACATTTATCCTTAGGATAATGTCTTCCGCTGACTCAGCTAACTCTTTATATAGATAGGCCTTCGCTACTTCATCGGTCCCACTTCTTCCTCTTCCACCGCCATCAGTGCACGACGAGCACCTCAAGATATGCACTCCATTGATGCAGGAGAGTACTGGTCAGTGAGGATTCAATATACTATAATATGAAAAAATGAACCATATTTTCTTGGAGAAGTTCAGATCTTCCTGTGTATGCCAAGATTGAAACTCAAATATCTTTGTCGATAAAATCACAGAATGTAGAATTGCCACCAATCTCAGCTACGGTAGGATCCGAAATCAAAAACCGAAATCTTTATCACTACATCAAATGGATGTTGGCAGAATGGAATTGAAGGTTACCAAGTTAGAGTTCACCTTCTAGTAGTTGTGAAATTGAATGTTACAGTAGTTGGTTAGCTAGGATGAATTTCCAAGTTAAAGGGGCTGTCTTATCCATTAAAGGCATTGGTCGGCCAAAAAAGGAACGATAAGGACATAAACCTGTCACGGACTCACAGTATTCTTGTGCAATCCTTTCAATGGTGTATCTCGATCAGGACCATAGAAAATAGCAAACGTAATCTAAAGCAACAGAAATTATTTTTGGTAGGGAATTGGGACAGGATTTACTTTTCAATGCTGGCTTTGGCTCATTAACTTTCACTATGCTCTGTACTTTATGGAGGCATAGGTTACTGAAAAAATCAAGAAACTTATATAAACAAATATGCTAATTGGATCCAGTATGTACTACATGGTTGATGCTGTGGCCTTTTCTGTTTTCTTTTTTGGAAGACATGCAATAGATAAACACACTGGTGATAGAGGATTAGGGTCTACATAAATTGGAATTTTCACCAACTTGATCTTGTTGTCCCCGGCAACAAACATGCGTGAACTAGTTCACGAAGTTATGTGTGTGTCTGGATAGCCCAGAGTTTCGATAAGATCCTGCCAAAATCTCCTGTTATCTCATTGCTTAATTAATTTAATGCACACTTTTCTCGTAGGCAAAAACATAGCTAACCATTTATTATCCTGTATTTGTGGACTGTGATCACTGGCAATCTTATCGTGTTTCACAACTGCCTTCAGATTTTAGTCTCTGAAATTCTCAGCAAAATTTAGCACTCAACATTCATTAATTGCTACCATTGATCAGTTTTTATAACTTTCACCTTACAAGAATCTTATTATTAAATATACTAAAACAAAATCCAAAAGTGTTATACACACATTATTCATTTACTATTCATACACTCATCTTTCACTATTTATTTGTTGTTCACTCCGTCTGTGATTATTATTCATTCATTGTGCAAGACATTGTTTATCTTTACTAAATACACTAAAACAAAACTTAAAAGCATTATGCTCGCACAAACTATTCATTCATTGTTTACACACTCATCTTTTACTATTCATTTGTTGTTCACTCTCTCTTTAAAATAATTATTCATTCACTATGTAAGAAACTATGTATTTTTATAAAATATATTGAAACAAAACCTAAAAATATTATGCACACATTATTCATTCACTATTCATACACTCAATTTCTTTACTACTCACTTTTTTAAAAATCACCATTCATTGACTGTGCAAGACATTGTTTATCCAAAAAATTCACTTTAGCCCCTCATTTTTTAACATTATTTTTTCGATTTGCAACTTCATTTACGTTTGTTTTGGTCCCCGCAACCTAAGAGGAGAGAGAAGGGATGAGAGAGAGACGACCAGCGAGGTCCATTTTGACCACCTCGATGATCGAGTTTACTATCATTTTGTTTGCATTGAAGACTAAAATTTGTTTTTGGTGGTAGAAATCAATAAAATGGTCGGATGAAGTAGATAAAAAATCGAAAATATTTTGATTTGAATTTTTTTTATTTGTTGTATGAATTAGGCTTTTGAAGTTCTAACCATTTTTGTTTACATTATTTCTATAATTTTTTAGGATTTTTTTTTTTGACAAAAACGGAGTTGACTTACGTTTTGAAAGGTCGAAAATTGAGAAACCCAACTTTCCAAGCAACTTTTTTGGCAAAATTGAAACATCGAGCGTTATTATTTGTATTTTTAACGCAATACGAAGAAAGAAAAAAGAAAAAAAAATATATATATATATCTTTTTATATTTTAAAATTAACATATATTTTAGATTATATTGCTTTTACCATTTAAATTTTATTTTTAAAATTGGTTAGTTTTTTATGAAAATTCTTATCCAATTAATATTTTTTTATATAACATTTTACTTACCGATAAATATGATTAATTTTCTCTAAATTTGAATTTTAGAATAAAATTTTAAAATATTTTTGCTTTTTTTAAATAAATTGATATGCTATATATCATGAATTTTTAGAATTTTTAAATGATAATTATATATATATATATATAATAAAAAAGTTAAAAATACTTCGGATAATTTATCTTAGTCAATTAGACATGGTCAACACATATAAAAAAAAAAACTATTGAATCATTAGTATTATTAAAAATTAACTATACATCTTCACAATCAAATGATTTTTAGCCTCTAGTAGTAGTGATCTTTTACAAGAGATCACGTATTTAAATCCTTATAGACTAGTTCGGTTAGGAGTCTTGAGCGTGTGAGTTAAAAAAAAAATACACATTTTCACACATAATACAAACTATTTGTTATGTATATTTTTTTTATATATAAAATTATAGAACCAATTTATTTAAAATAAAATAATTAAAATATTTTTTCAAAGAACCAACCAATTATTCAAATATAATTTTTTATGCTAACATTGTTGATTATTTTGTAAATAAATATATATAGATAAAATGCATATATTTTCAAAAATTAATCTTCTCATCAAAATTAAATAAGAATATATTTTTTTCAGTTTTTTTATATAAGTTTATACATTAATTATAATTTTATTTTTTAAATACATTCTTATGAAAAATATATTTTCATAGTATTTTTTTAATTCTTGATTAATATTTTGGTTTAAATTGTTATAATTTTTTATTTAATAATCAATGCATAAAGAAAAATAAATTATGTTTTTTATGTAGAAAAATTATAAAATTATAAAAATAATAATTAAAAAAATTAATGAAAACTATAAAATTATAAAATAATTTTATTTTATTTGCCTACAACGATAGTTTGGGTAAACAGCTAGTAAATTTCCAAAGGATCATTAGCTGCTCCTTTATCGATGGAGGCTGCATTAAATTAAAAGGGCTGAGGCAAAGCTAGAAAACTCTAAAGAGGCTAGACCCAAATTTATGAAGGAAGAATTAGCCCAGCCCTGCACAATCCAAGAACCCAAAAACCATCCCTGAAGACAAGTAGAAAGCTCCGAAAATGCACAAGTTGAAACTTGGAGGCTTTTAAAACAAGGACAGATATCTAAGTCTCATACGCTAAGACTCAACTCCTATCATGAGTTTTTCAGAAGCCCAATTCTATGCTTCTAAATAAGCCCATCAACCTGTAGAAATTCATTTCCGTTGGGAAATTAAAAAATTGTCTAAAATTAAAAATAAAAACCATAAAAATAAAATCATTCCTACTTGCTTGTCTAATTTTATAAAGAGATAGCTAGTCTGTCTACCATCTACCGTGATCTGATGTACAGAATAATTTCATAAAAATTCAATATATAACTACACTGTAGGACCAATATTTTAAATTTAAAATCGTAAAATATAACAAAATATAATAGCTAATTAAAATCATGACAAAACTTTAAGTGTCAAAGGATACTTTGGGAAGAAAAGAGGATTTTTTAACAATACAATGGAGGTATCCATGGTTGGATTTTTAGGGGAAAAAATAATGAATATATATTCTTTTGTAATCTATTTATAAATGAAAAAGAAGTGAATTAGTTTTAGTGTATGAAAAATTATATAAGGATATCTCAATTTTTAGAGATAAAAAGAAGAAGAAGAAGAAGTTCTTATCAATTTAGCAATGTATTTTAGATCTTCTTCAACATAATTGTTGTTTCTTATTTTTAGTCTTTTTTTTTTTAAATTCTGTAAAATAAAATTATAAAAGATAAAATGGAGAATAATGTTAAAAAACTAACAAATGAGCATAAAAAAGTATAAGATTTAGATTATATGGCTAATAAGAAATTTGAAAATAGTTTTATTAAAAAACGGAAAAAAAGAAAGGTAACTGACCCTGAATTTTCAAGGTTGGAATTGATTGGTGAGCCCAAGATCCCAAAATCACAAAGCCCAAAGCCGAACCAATCCAGTCCTGCCAAAAAGACACGTCGTCGACGAGAACAGCGATTCCTCTGTGAATGGTTCAGTTTCTGCCAGCTCCATTCTCTCTCTGCTCCCTAAAATTCAAAAAACACTAAAACAGAATGCCAAGCAAGAAGAACAAGAGAAAGAGACCCGAACGACCCACCATCCACCCAAAAAACAAATACTCCGATAACCCACCTGATTTTGCTCTCCTAGCTTCCCTCTATCCATCTTTCAAGCCTTTTGTTTTCTACTCTCGTGATGGTCGACCCAGAATTGACTGGACCGATTTCAACTCTACCCGAGAACTGACACGGGTCCTGCTCCTCCATGATCATGGCCTCGATTGGTAATAATCATTTTGACTCTCTCAGTAGATACAAATGATGTTTTGTTCCTTTTAAATAAGACCCACTGTAGTGAAAACTGTGAAAGTTAAGAATCTTTAGGTTCTTTTGTTTTTCCTGAGCTGTAAAGACTGAGACTTTATGTGATTTTAAGGTCGTTTTTTTCATGTGTTTTCGGTCTGAGGTTGCAGCTGGGGAGTTGAACGTTCTAGGTGGATTTTTATGCCATTTGTTGTAAATGATTTATAAAGGTTACGGTTGTTGTTTTAAGGTTTGTTTGGTCTATGCTGTTGGTTGTAGTTGGGTATGTATTCGTTGTTGTTTCTTTTTTTATCCGAATAAAACATTCGAGGTGGTTTTTTAGGTTCTTCTGCTGTAAAGAGTTATAAACAGTTGGCGTTTTTTTCTTTTCCCGAATGTTAAGGTTGTTGTGTAAGGCTTTTTGGTTTATGGGGTTTTGTGAATTGAATATTCTAGGTGGATTCCTGATGGGCAGTTATGCCCTACAGTGCCGAATAGATCAAACTACATTCATTGGATTGAGGATCTTTTGTCATCCGATATCATTCCAAAGAATAACAACAATAGAGATATTGTGAGAGGCTTTGATATTGGCACTGGAGCTAACTGCATTTACCCTCTACTTGGTGCCTCTCTTCTTGGATGGACTTTTGTTGGGTCAGGTAGCTTCTTTTTTTTCCTTTCTTTTTGGGTTATTTTGTGGAGCAGTGTTGTTTATAATTTGTTGGATAATATGTTGGTGATTGTGGTTGTAGATGTGACTGATGTAGCACTAGAGTGGGCAGAGAGAAATGTTAAAAGTAATCAACATATATCAGAACTAATTGAAATTAGGAAGGTTACAAATTGTCAAGGAACCCTTTCTATTGAAGATTCAAATTGTGGAGAGTTGGTAAATGGCAAAAGCAAAATGGATGGAAGTGGGAGTGTGGTTGACGAGGCAGAGCCTTTGCCCTCATCTTCTTTTGATCTCCCATCAGATGCGAAAAAGAAGGATTCTGGACCACCTATACTTCTTGGAGTAGTCAGGGATGGCGAGAAGTTTGATTTCTGCATGTGTAATCCCCCATTTTTTGAGACCATGGAGGAAGCAGGACTGAATCCCAAAACTTCTTGTGGTGGGACTCCTGAGGAGATGGTTTGCCCTGGTGGAGAGAGAGCTTTTATCACTCGTATCATTGAAGATAGTGTGGTGTTGAAGGAGTCCTTTTGGTACTTTTCTCATCTATACATTTTTTATTATTCATATCCAACTTTTCCATGTACTCAGTTCTGAAACACGGGTCTTTGTATTTACATTTTGTTTGAAGGTGGTTTACTTCGATGCTTGGAAGGAAAACAAACCTCAAATTTCTTACCTCAAAGCTTCGGGAGGTGGGAGTCACCATAGTAAAAACCACTGAATTTGTCCAAGGTCAAACATGTCGGTGGGGGCTTGCTTGGTCTTTTGTGCCTCCTGTCAGGAAAATAATATCACCTCTTGTGCCTGAGAAGAGTAACCTATCTTTCACTCTTGAGGTATGGATGTGTCTCTCACTTTCACTATCCAGTAAATATGTCCCAAAAATTATTTATTTCGTTACCTCAACTATATTTGAGGCGACAAGTTTTGAACATCGGGAGGTATGGACTGTGCTGAAGGCATTACTTGGTCAGCCATACTTGTTCTTCTTGCCCCCTTTTGTGTCCGAACTTGTCAAGGCATGCATGGATGCTGCATGAATTTGCATATAGCCACATACATCCTTTTGTTTAGACAGTTTGAGGGCTTTAATACAAGAACCCTTTTTTCTCTTTTGGTGCAATTCCTGCTGCACCATAACAGCATTGACCATTTTCTGAAGATAAGTGGTAGCATTAGCTACCAAATGCTTATTTATCCAAGCTTGCAAAATAAAATCACTGCAGCATGGCTTTTAAAATTTAATACTCTCACCATGTGATACTTTGGTTTTGTACTAATATATGTCATGACGATTTTTACTATCTAACAGGGTCTTCAACGGCAATTCAGTGCCTTTCATGTATTACAATCTGTCGAGTCCTTTTTCTGCAATGGTGGTGCATCCTGTAAATTGAATGCCTCTTCATTTGTTGTTGATGTAAGAACCATGATTCTTGGTTACTTAATTCTCTGTCTCAACTGTTTATAATATTTCTGTGTCCTTACATGCAGTACAATCTCATTTTACTAGATCACTGCCTCAAATGATCAGTGCAAAGCAATCCTGAGGAATGAAGCAAGGCATCTCGATGGAGCTGCCACTTGCAACCCTTTGGAGAAGGCATCCAATAGCTCAAGTTATTTGCACCCTCCTTCAAATAACTTATCCTTTCGCATTTCAGTAGGCTCACCTCCTTGCCTGGCTTGAATAAAACAGACTTATATTATTAAAATCTACATATGACTGTGTTATGTTCCTGCCAGGTGTTTCAGCAAATCCCAGGCACCCTTTTGGTGAGAGCTTCATTACAGCGTAGAGATAACCCAGTTCCAGGTTCCAGCATAGAGATATACTTTTTTTGTCGTATACACAGCCACATATATGTCCTATATGAGAGAAGTGACCTTGCTAATTTGAATATACTTACAACAGAAATTAGTCTGCAGATCCTACAACTGTATTTTGCTAAATTGGTTTTACTGGATCAAAGTTTTTATGACTGATATGTTGTGTTCTCTGGCTATTTTTCCACAAGTATTCTAATTGATAATCTAACAATTGGAGGAAACTCTGAGACATAAGTTCTATGAAGAAAAGAGCACTCTCAACTGAACTTGGTCAATTTCAGCCATGTATAATCATTTAGAAAATTTCATGAAAATTTCAGCATGGAATATTTTAGGATGCTTAATGGTGAAAGTTACTTCCTAAAATTGGATGCATAAAGGCGATTGTGAGTTCCTATCTCTCTAGTTCATAAAACTGATTTATACCATATGGCCTGTGAACTAAATAGATTGGAACTAACACTCACCATTATGCATCCAATCTTGAATAATCCTATTGAGATGAATAGTGAAACATATGAGGTGCAGGTTCATCAAATCTCTACATTCTTGTGCATGGCTGAATCAGACCGAATTTTGTTGAGACTTGAGAGTCACCTTTTCTCTTCCAAAACTTGTGTCAGAGCTTCCATGAACTGTTGGATTCTCAATGAACTCCTGCAAAATATCGCTGTTTTGAATTTTTCATAGCTGACATAAAATCTTGGGCAATTTTTTGCAGGAGTATTCTCGTTGATAATCCAACAATTGGAGGAAACTTTGAGATGCAAGTATTGCAGAGACAAGGCCACGCTCAACTAAATTGCATCTGATTCAGCCTTCTACAAGTTTTTAGGGATGGGATGAACTCGAAACTTATATATGGTGTTTTGATAGGCTTTTACCATGAAAAGGTGAATGTTAGTTTCTACCTGTCCAGTTCAGAGGTTGATGGAATTGATTGTATAACGTGGGCTTAAACAGCAACAAGCTTTTACTGAGTTGTGATGTGGTGTTGGTATGTACATTATTTTCCTGTAGTGTCTGTATCCCAGAATTTCTTTGTTATTTTCATTTTATATTATTGTTTAAATCCTTTTCAAAATGCTCATTTCACTACTGCTTTGTTATGTGTCAGATCTTTGTAATTGGTTGTTGGGACTTGGGAGCTAGTTTTTGTTTTTTTTTATCTTATCTACACTGCCTTGGTTTAATTCTGCTTCTTACCAATGCCCTTTTATGAATATTGGTTTGTGCTTTATAAATGAAATTGATTCCTTCATGGGACATATGATCTGTAGCTAGTCAAAAGAAAAAAGAAAAAAATACATGATAATGACATTGCCATGTGATACACAATGACATTTTTAGTTGACCTTTCAATGAAAAAGTCTATTATCGATTTGGTAAGGAAAGGAAGTGGATGTTGGGGAGTTAAAAAATAAAAAATAAAAACAGGAGCTTTTTCTCATGTTGTTTCTTGTCGGCTAGGACCTTTGGTATGCTGGACTTTCCTCCCTCCCATTTAAAAATGATTCTGTAACAGGTTACTTGCATCACATGGAAGCGCAACTCGATAGCATTTACATTCCGAAGAAGATTTTTTTTTTTTTTTTTTTTTTTGGAACAGTTTGGATGTGAAGTGACACCAAATTCTTTCACAGTTAGGTTTTAGGCAAATCATCTACACTTGAAGTGGTGTATTTATGAAATTTTCTTTCTTGCAACTTCAGATAAGAACATGTGATGATAACAGGATAACCTGCTTCACATGTGAACCAACAAAACCTTAATTATAGGGTAAAATGACGATTTCTATAATAGCTTGTTTTCCTTTTTCGATTTGAAAATCTCTAACTTTCATCATATTAGAAACTGCTTTCTACATGTGAAGTTGTGATGGGGGCACTAAGAGTGATAATCCAGCTCAATGCATCTTATTACAATTAACGGCATATTCCCAGAGTAGGCAGGCCTTGAAAGGTCAGTGAGATAAGTTGGAAAGAAGAAAAGGTGTGCCAACCACAATCATTGAATTATACACACACAAACCTTTTATACATCAGAAACAAATAATTTAGCATACATGCAGACAAATGAATAGTTTACCCCACTGAGGATAATGGAGCAAATTTGGACCCCCCAGAAATTAATTACAAGAGATAATGACTCATAATAAAAATCTTTAAAATGGAACAAGAACTCCAGAAAATGCGACAAATTTTAAGCCTTCCCTTCAACTCTTGCCTGTGTCAACCCAACACATGCATCAACAAAATCCTCTTCAATAAAATCTGTAGAGAAGATCTGCAGCTTATCAGCACAACCCTTTGAGAAGCACTGTGTTATGAACAGCCTAGCATATCCATGAATCCGGTTTGTCACAGGTTTAACACACAGAATTGGGTTATCTGCTTGTGGTGTAACAGTATTCTCCACTCTGTAAAAGTATTTCCTTGACGAAACTGGTGGTTGCTCACTCAAATGCTTCATGTTGCTATCAAATTTTGTTGATGGCAAATCTGTGTCAATCCAATTATCTTTCAAATATCCGGCACTCCATAACGGGCTTCCATGTTTCGGAGCTGGTGATTTCCTTGGCTTCCATACACAGATTACCCTCTTTGGCAACAATTCTGCAATTGTCTTGCCAAAAACATGATCATCCTGATGGATCAGATATTCTCCGAGTTGTTCCTCCAAGTACTTGTCAAATTCTGGAGGATCATCATGGCCAAACTCCGTCCTGATCTCAAGAATTACGATCTCTGACTGAGTTTCTGACAAGAATTTCTTGAGGTCTTTGATAACAACATCAACACTATATGTTTTCAGGATTCCATGGCAGACGCGACGATCTTCCTGAACCCGAATATCAAGAACTCTGCTGCCTACACAAAGCTGACGGTAGATGGACAAACACTGACATTGAGCGAAAGGACGAGTGATCAATGGGATGCCAATCTTATTGGTAGCAGAATCATGGGTTCCAGGCCATACAATTTGGTTTGTGTGAAGTTTCTCAAGGTTGAGCCCAGTCATCCAATTCTTCCTGTCCGAGGGACGATATTCAGAACCTGGATATGTTTCTCCAGAGCTTCCATCAAGATCAACTAAAATCTTCTTCTCTGTTGATATTGCTTTACGCTTTTCGATCTGTCTAGAGAACTGAGAACCCATTTTTTCCTATGTCAGAAATAAGGAAGAAGAAGAAGAGGAGGAGGAGGAATGTTGAGTTCTTCCTCTTCTTTCCTTTTTCTTGTTTTAGGTAGGGCAGGCTTTATTGCACAGGAAAAGGATTCGTTTGTGGGTTTTAATACACAGCATTGTTCCTTTAATTGGAAGAAAATACTATACAGTTAAGACTTCTGAGATTATAAAAACAGACTAGGGAAGACTATTTCTTTCCTTCCAAACTTTTTTATTTTTTTCTCAATAATCTTCATTATGATTAGGATATGCTTTGTTGTCTTTAGTTTGGTTGGTTGCCTGCAGCTTGCATTATTGGTATAGAGTTATAATCCAGATAATGTTTCCTTGGTTGGTCCACCACATTTGTGGCTGTACAAAATTGTTTTTGAGGCTTGTCGGTTCTGCACAGCTTTGTGCCTTTCTCCTCCTCTCCTTTGCAAAACTTGTATCGAAAGTGTGTTTGATAATGTATTTGCACCGTGTTTGAAAATACTTCTTTAAAATATAAAAGCATCTGCGTCACATTACCAAACACACATTAAATCCACCATTATAACAGAGGTTCCACCCTTGATAAGCTGCCGCATGGCAGCAGAAACTACAGTTCCTTTACATGGCTTATTCATCTATATGGATCTTTTCAAATTTGGTTCAACCACTTAAACATGGTTGAGGGCTAATCATGTCCATAATTGAAAGTAAATGTCCACTTCCATGACCTTTATAAAAGACGAAGGTTGTGGACTATCTCTTAATTAAAAATCATGGATTAAGGTCTATTTAATCAATCAATAGCTGTTTTCTCCACTTATCTTTTTCAGAGCAACTTCTTAAATTGATGTTAAATTGCTCAATGCATCTCATCAACGAGGCCCATTCCGAAGTATATTCCCATCCTATCTCCTCATAGGTCAGCTAACCATTTCCTTTTCCTGGACAGAGATCAAGCAACCAGATAGCTACAACAACTGCTTCAAACAAAATAAAAACACAATTGACAGAGAATAAAAAACCTAACACGTGTTATGCCCGGAAAAAGTCACAAACAATCCTAGCTCCGTATTCCACATGATAATCAAAGCAAACGAGTTGAAAGGCATCCTTGTTCATAAATTCAAATAATGTCAACTTTTACGCTTTACAACCTATCTATTAGATGTTATTTGAATAATTAATTAGTAAAACTGTTAAAAATATATAACAGAATGAATTTATTTATTAACAACTACTAATGTATTTATAACATTGATTGTCACGATTATTATTTTACTATCGTAATAAGTCGCAATTATCGATCACAATTTTTTTTCAATTGTGTTTGCGATTTAAAACTATTCTCAAAATAACTGCAACTGTAAGGAATGATTTCTTCTTATGTTTCATTTTTAAATTACAACAGGAAAAAAAATGTGGGAATTTTATTTATTTATTTATTTTTGTAAATACATTAGAGAAGGGCTAAATTGCAAAGTACTGAAAAAATATATCCCGAATATTAATAAATAAATAAAAAGTTGAAGGCTATTTGAATACTTCAGCGGTATTCGAGAGATTATCACATGTCTCTACTCCTCAGTAAGATAAACAAGAAATTCCCATGGACCTCAAACCTTGAAGTTTAAAGGGGCCTACCATGTGCATTTAGCATCCAGGGACTAAGCCACAATCATTCAAAGGCAATCATAAGTTGCAGCACCCTCCAACCTTGCTAGAAAAATGCTATCTCTTGTCCGAATAGAGATGCAGAACATGATAGTACGAGGATCAAAGACATGCAACATCCATTGAATCGTGTGACTGCCGGTATAAAATGCAAAAATCATAAATTCACACCCATTTCTGTTCACACAAGCTTATCATAAAAGAGCTGTTGCATTACAGTGAGGCCATAACCAGGTAATGGATTTCACAGGAATCCAAAGCATTGTAAGATAGTTCAGATGTATTTTTTATAAGAAATCAAGAAAGGTAATTGGTCAGCGTTTGAAGCAATGACAAGCTTATAGCTCAAATTATAAACAACAATAAGTTGACATGAGATCTACCTCTTCTTCCATCTTTGGAGTGATTTCACTGACCTAACTTCTGCAGTTCCTTTGAAAATCAATCAATGAAATATGGATGAACTTGCCAGAAAATAACAGAACAAGACAACAATTCCCATCTCCCTCAAGCAATAAGAACATCTAACACTCAGAAAATCCCGAGAAAATAAAATGGTTGATAATTGACAAAATACTGTCAGTTGCAAAACAGATGCAGACATGCAGTATCTTCTTAACACCATCAATTTTCAAAAACAAGGCTAAGAAAGCACTTAAGCAAACCAGCAGTCCTTGTTTCCTTCACAAGCTTTATGTAACAATGAGGCAATTCAGAGTTCAGACAAATTGGCTCTGGTTGAGGACCAACTAATGCCAAAAACCAGGAACAGGTAAACCCAGCGAAACAACCACAACTTTACTTAATTATTATAGTAATTACATACTGGCATGTTCTATTATTTGTATTTATACTTTAAGCATGCATAATTTGTGAAGTCCTCAACCACACCCCAACTCATTCCAAATTGGGCTTATGCTACATACTTCAGGCCCACAGTTGCCCAATAGTTCTATTGGACTGATGAATTGAGTTCATCTAACAATACAACTTCTATGATTTCAGAGATTTCACAGAGAAAATACCTGCATCTTATGTGTGTTTATTCAATTAAGGAAGTAAAGCCTCTATAGCTACAAAGTACAAACAACTGATGTTACAAAAAGATAATCAAATACCACATCATGGAAAAACATTGTAAACAATATCTCTGTACCAGTTTTATTTGATACACTATTATTCAAAACAATGATTTTTCTATCTAATTTCAGAAAGAAATTCCGCAGATGTAACAATGTGCACTGTGGTTTCAATCCTGTGAGATGTGAAACCGAAATACAATTTTCAACACTAGAAGACCTCATTCGAGTAAAAAAACAAAAAAATGTTACAAGTTAAGGAAAATTGTACCAAAAATACAACTTATGTAGGTATCCTCAATATTGCCTGGTGGCAGAAGTAAGGATCAAAATCTACCTTTCAGCAATAGTTGATGAAACTTCCTCTTCCATCTGGCCAGCTAATTGTTCCAAGACTGAATATATCACTTCTTTCAAAGGGTGTGACCTATCTGAGAAAGAGAAAACATGCACTTTACTTTCAATCTCTATCCAACTAATAAATGGCTCCTTCCTTACACGTCTCTCTTTCATACGCTGTCTGACTTTCTCTACCAAGTCCAATCTCCCAAGTTCAGCATATACACTTGATAGTAGCATATAGGCTGCAGGGGACAGTGGCTCCAACTCTATAAGCTGTTCAGCTACTTTCCTTGCCAACTCTATGTTCCCATGGATTCTACAAACACCAATTACAGCATTCCAAATCTGACTGTTAGGCTTGCAGTGCATCTTCTCAAGTTGGCCCATCAACTTGTCAAAATTTCCTGCTTGACCCAGGAGATCAATCAAGCATGCATAATGTTCCTGATCGGGAACAACACCATGACCCCAAGTCATGGATTCAAATAACCTGAGCCCTTCTTCCACAAGACCTGCATGACTGCATGCATTGAGAACGACAGCCAATGTTATCCTATCTCGTGTTAATCCATTTCTAACCATGCAATCAAACATCTGAATGGCTTCTTCACCATGACCATGTTGTGCCAAAGCATAAATCATGGTGTTCCACAAGACAACATCTTGCTTATTACCCATAAGATCAAAAGCCAGCCTCCCAACTTCCAAACTTCCACATTTTGAATACATGTCAATGAGAGAACTCACAACAATTGTATTAGGTCTAAAATTTGTTCTTATCAAATAACCATGTATTTGCTTACCAAGCTTAATCGAAGCTATACTGGCACAAGCACAAAGACAACTACTAAACGTAAATTGATCCGGTCTAATGCCTGACATCATCATCTTTGTAAACAACTCAAGTGCCTTATACACCAAACCATGTCTAACATACCCAGAAATCAAAGCCGTCCACGAAACCGAATTCTTGTTAGGCATCAAATCAAACAATTCCCTAGCCGCCTCCATATCTCCACACTGTGCATACCCTGAAACCATTGTTGTCCATGCAAGAACATCCTTCACATTCATCCCATCAAACAACCTCTTTGCATCACTCATGTCTCCACATTTCGCATATCCATCAACAACCGAGCTCAAAATCACCACGTTACACAATAATCCAGCAACCAAAACCTGCCCATGGCCCTGTTTAACAAGTCCCAATTCCTTAGACTTAACACAAACAGTCATTAACCCTGCAAAACTATACTCATTGTACCCAACCCCTAATCTCCTAAACTCCTTATAAAACCTCAAACCTTCACTAAAAAACCCATTTTGAGCATACCCAATAACCATAGTATTCCAGGAAACAGTGTCTCTCTCAGGCATTTTATCAAATAACTTCCTAGCTGGCTTTATCATGCCTAATTTAGCATACCCAGAAAGCATATTATTCCAAGAGTACAAATTTCTGTCGGACATTTTATCAAACACTTTATAAGCACTAACATGATCACCACATTGTACATACATACGAATCAAATTATTAGATAAAAACGTACCGGGTCTTTTTAATCCAGTTACTTTCGAATGAATATGAACCCATTTGCCTAATTTAAGAGACTTGAAATTAGCGCATCGTTGTATAAGGTAAGCTAGCGTTTGACAAGGTAAGCGAATGCCTTTGCTTGATAAAACCTGAAGAGAAGAGACTGCTTGCGTGAGCTGGGATTGATTGGAGATGTTAATGAAGGGTTGGATTATGCAAGGAAGGTTTTTGGCGATGTGTCGTTTGGTGGGATTCGAGTGAAGTTTTGAGAGACTGGAGAGTTTTGGTGGAGGAGGGAGAGAGGGCATTGGAGAGAGAAGGAACCATGTGAGGGTGAGCAAACGATGTGTCGTTCTTCATTGGCGGTGGTGATGGTGGCGGTGTTGGCTCTTAAGGTCCGGTGACGTTGGCATCGCAGGTGGGTGAATGGAGGACGGCAGGAGGAAAGTTTAGGACTTTGTGGTGGTCCTGATTGGTAGGGTCTTTTTTTCAGGGACCAATTGTGTTTTGCCATGTCAGCATTGTACAAGTGGGTTCCACTGCTATTTTTACAAGAATTTTCTCCCTCCATTTGCAGTGAGATTTCTATTATTTTTTTCCTTTTAATGAATATTCTAATCTTCCAATGAAATTTAACAAATTAAAAAAAAAGGAAGGAAATGAAATTTCATTAATTCAGTTTGAGAATTTTTGTTTGAATGTATTGCAAAAATAAACCTTTTTAAAAGCGCACTTGCTTACATCATGAAGGTTTTTTTTTTAATGAAATGTATTAAAAAAAGTAGTGAGTTTTTCACACTTATTATAAAAGAAATTTAAAATAGTTTTTATTTATTTATAATTGTAATTAATTCAGCTTTTCTTCCGTGCTCTGCTATCTACTAATGCTGACCCTGACCATCAATTAATCGAGTTTAAAATTAAATCTAACAAATAATAATCCTTGGTCATGCATGATTATAAAAGTCGATGATGGTGTGAGAAAGCATGCTACCTCACACATTTTAAATCAATCAAATTTGAAATGTTGGCTCAATAATTAATCAATTTGTTTCTTATGTTATTATCTTGGATTTCATTTAAAAGGAAAGTTGTGATTTTTTTTTTCAATAAATGAAGTGATTCAAATGCTTGTAATTTGCTTAAAATCAAACCACTAGACTTTTTATTCGAAAATGTCATTATTAAAACCCAAAAACTAAAGTATCTGTTAATTTTAAATAGAGATAATTGCACTATAAATACATCAATTTTTATTTAATTTGCTTAAAATCAAACCATTAGACTTTTTATTTGAAAACGTCATTATTAAAACCCAAAAATTAAAGGATCTATTAATTTCAAATAGAGATAATTGCATTATAAATACATCAATATTTTTTTTTCAATTGAATACATGAATTTTTTTTTTAAGTACACTAATATTTTCAAAACCGTCGATTAAAAATTTCGTCAACCGATGACATATCCGTCACCTTTAAAACATCAAGTTATGATTTTATCTTTTTCTCTCACTTGAATACATTAATTTTTTTTGTTGAAATACATCAAATTTTTCAAAATTATTAATCAAGTATTTTTGGTTAATTTTTTTATTAATTGATGACGTGTTCGAGTATCAAGATATATATTTTCTCTCTTTTTATTGTAAGAAACTTTCTATCCGAATTATTATACTATTTTAAACTTTGACAAAAAATTATATATATATTAGTTATAAGATTTCGAACTAAATTTAATTAGACATACTATTAAAAAAAAAAACCCAATTAGGTTCTAGGCATAAAAATTGAAGGAAACATAAACATAAGATTTTTCGTTAAGGAGATTTATTTGTGTTTTTCGTCAATTTTCTCCTCTAAACCTGATTGATTTTTTTTTTAACAAATAATCCTATTGAGTTTAGTTTAAATTATATATATGTGTGTGTGTGTGTTTAAATTTTTTATCAAATTTTGAAACGATAGAATAAATCGGAGAGAAAGTTTCCTTCAACTAAAAACATGTAAAATTATAATTTTGTATTCAAACATACAATTTGTTAAAAAAATAATTAATAAAATTATTTAATTGATAGTTTTAAAAAAAATTGATGTACTTAAATAAAATAATTAAAATCCATATACTCGATTAAGGAAAAAAATGATAAAATTATATTTTGATATTTTGAGAATGACTAATATGTCACTAGTTAACAAAAAAATTAACAAAAGTATTTAATTGACCATTTAAAAAAAATTATTATTTTAAATAAAAAAATTAAATTTATGTATTCGATTAAATTTAACGTATTTGTAGTGTAATTATCTCATCTAAGATATATTACGCACAAGCCTACACGGGTAACACGGCTACACCTTGTGTTTATACTAAATCCTACACTCATCTGGTAGCAAGAAGTCTTTTGGGCTTAGAAGCCCTTTACCACATTTGTCAAATTCTATCCTGGGTCATTATTGCTGTTCGGCGGAACTCTGCCTTATGAGAGAAGAGTATAAAAAGAAGTGAAGAAAAGGATATTATCCCCGCGTTCCCAGTCTCAACCGAACAACTCTTATCTCCTTCCTTCACTTTGCTTCACTTCCACTGCTAATCAAAAGACGCAACCACTTAGCTTCCACATACTCTTTTAGTACAAGTATACTCAGTCTTAAAACCCTTTTGATAAACGGAACAAGAAACCTTTTCCTCTTTTTCTTCAAGGGCTTAAAACTTTCCTTCTACGCAGCATCCAAGAAACCAACCAGGTAAGTTTTGTTTGTTTTATGTTTCGTTGTAAGTTTCTATGGATGTTGTTATATTTACTTCGCTTTCATTTCTTTCTGGAAACCCTGATACAACCCTTTTGAGACTGAATTTTCTCACGGGGTTATCTTTATGTGATGTTTTGAATTGAGTTAGATATCCATGTTTTTACTTGCCTTTGATTGGTTACAGTGGTTTTTTTTTTTTTTTGGCTGATTATTGATTCTTTATTGTGTTCTGTGGTGTCATGATGTATTACTACTAAAGACGAGTCTTTGTTTTGATTCGTTTCTTGCTATTGAGTTGGTTTTGATTGACAGAATTTTTCTTTTGTTTGGTGATTATATGTGAGTCTCTTAAGTAAATCATTTCGTGTTTGATTTTTTTGGTTTTGGTGAAACTATGATTCGTAGGTAAAGGGAGTTGAAAATGGAAAATGGGGTTGATAGAGTTGTTGACGAGACACAATTAGAAAATAACAACAATGTTAAGAACGAAGTTTCTAAGGATAAGGTAGAGGATAAAAAGGAGGTTTTGGGCGATAAGGTGGAGGCCTTGGAGGGAAAAAATGAGGTTTTTAGGGATAAGGCAGTGGAGAAGGTTACGGTGGGGTCCAGTGAATCAAAGGATTTGAAAGATGAGATTTTTGAGGAGGCTCTTGAGTCACCTGAGCAATTGCAGGAGGAGGTAGTGAAATTTGAGTCAGATGGTGTTGTTGGGAGTGTTGGCGGTTCAGGTTTGATGGTCGGGGATACAAATTCGGATGTAGGGAATGGAACAGAGAAATTTGAGTCACATGAGTTAGATGGTGGTGATTCTGGTTCAGTTGTCGTCTACAAGAAACAAAATGTAGGAAATGAGATGGAGAAATTTGAAGAGCCAATTTTTGTTCCTGCTGAATCTGGGAACTCCAAGGAGTTGATCAAGATGGTTGGTGAAGAGAAGGTGGTGGATTTGGTGGGTACAGAGCGTGTCCATAAGATTGATGAGGGAGGGACTGCTGTGGAAGTGGAGGGCATTGTGTTGAATGGAGGAGATGTTGTTTCTGAGATTGCTAGTGATGGAGGAACAGAGGTTTTGAAGGGTGAGGATGGAGTGGATTCTATGCAGGAAATTGAATCAAGCGAGGGGATTCTTCCTGAGGATAGTAAGAGAGAGGAAATCAAAGTGGATGGCTTGTCTAGTGAATATCAAGTGACCAGGGAACCTACTGATGCCTCAGCTGAGCTTCAAGAAAGAAGAGGTGAATTACTTGATGAGAATCCGACAGAAGTTGATACAGAAGGTCAGGATGACAATAGTGGAGAATTGAAAGGGGATGGGGTCCACAAGGGTGAGCATCCAGAGGCCATTTCAGCTACTGCTAACACAAAACACCTAGATACCAGCAATGGAGACTCGGAAGATACTTTAGCTCTAGTGGATCCAGGGCATCATGAAAAAACTCCTGAACTGAAAGCTACTTCAGCTTTCCCACATACAGCCCACATACTTCAGAGTTCTTTAGATAACTCTGTGAATGAGAAAAATGAAGAGATTCAGGCTGATGCTGCGAATTTGAGAGCGGAGAATAACAAGGATTCTGAACCAGAGCATGCTGCTGAAAATGTTAATGGTGTTGGCCAGAGCAATATCGTGTCTGAGGAGCCTGAAAGGATTGGAGAAACACATCAAGAAAAGCAAAACACTCCAGTGAATAAAGAAGGTGAAAGGGATCCTGAACCTAAGCTTGCTTCTTTATCTGGAAAATCTTCAAATCCTGCTCCCTTCCATTCCCGTCCAGCTGGCCTAGGGCTTGCTGCCCCCTCTTGGAACCTGCAACTAGGGCAATGCAGCAGTTGCGTGCTAATGGAGCCAGGTCTCATATGCGATCTCAACAGCCTGAAGACCCTACTAATGCGGAGTCAGAGGAGCATGATGAGACTCGTGAAAAACTCAAGATGATCAGGGTGAAATTCTTACGGCTTGTGCATAGGCTCGGGTTGACTCCCAGTGATACAGTTGTGGCACAGGTTTTATACAGATTGGGAGCAGCTGAGCAGCTGCGAGGGAGAAATCAAGGTCGCATTGGCACTTTAAGTTTTGATCCTGCAAGTGCCATGGCAGAGCAGCTCGAGGCAGATGGGCAGGAACCCCTTGATTTCTCCTGTACAATAATGGTTCTTGGAAAGACTGGGGTTGGTAAAAGTGCCACTATCAATTCGATATTTGATGAAGCAAAGTTCCCCACCAATGCTTTTCAATCTGGTACAAAAGTAGTTCAGGATGTTGTGGGAACTGTTCAGGGGATCAAGGTACGGGTCATTGACACACCAGGTCTCCTTCCTTCCTGGTCTGACCAGCGCCAGAATGAGAAAATCCTTCACTCGGTGAAAAACTTTATCAAGAAAACTCCTCCAGATATTGTGTTGTATTTGGATAGGTTGGACATGCAGAGCAAGGATTTTGGTGATCTGCTTCTATTACGAACCATTTCCAAGATATTTGGTCCATCTATATGGCTTAATGCAATTGTTGTCCTGAGTCATGCAGCTTCTGCTCCACCGGATAGTCCACAAGGTACTGCTTCAAGTTATGATATGTTTGTCACTCAACGTTCTCATGTTGTTCAACAAGCAATTCGTCAAGCAGCTGGGGATATGTGGCTTGTAAATCCCGTTTCATTGGTGGAGAATCACTCTGCATGTAGAAGAAACAGGGCAGGGCTGAGAGTGTTGCCAAATGGTCAATTTTGGAAGCCGCAATTGTTGCTACTCTCCTTTGCATCAAAAATCCTTGCTGAAGCAAACACTATATTGAAGTTGCAAGATAGTCCACCTAAGAAGCATTTTGCAACTCGGTCAAGAGCTCCTCCTTTACCATACCTGCTGTCATCTCTTCTCCGGTCAAGACCACAAGTTAAGCTACCTGAAGAACAGTTTGGTGATGAGGATGGTTTAGATGATGATATGGATGAGTCATCAGATTCCGAGGATGAGTCTGAATATGATGATTTACCCCCATTTAAAAGCTTAACCAAGGCCCAGGTGGCAAAGCTTACTAAAGCTCAGAAGAAAGCATATTTTGATGAGTTAGACTATAGGGAAAAACTTTTTATGAAGAAACAGTTAAAGGAAGAGAAAAGGCAACGAAGGATGATGAAGAAAACTGCAGCAGCAGGTAATGCTCTGCCTAGTGACTATAGTGAAAATGCAGAAGAAGAAAGTGAAGGTCCTGCATCTGTGCCAGTTCCCATGCCAGATTTAGCCTTACCAGCTTCTTTTGACTCTGATAATCCCACCCACCGATACCGCTATCTTGATAATTCCAATCAGTGGCTTGTAAGGCCAGTTCTTGATACACATGGTTGGGATCATGATGTTGGGTACGAAGGTATAAATGTGGAGAGATTATTTGTAGTTAAACACAAGATTCCCATATCTTTTTCTGGCCAGGTAACGAAGGACAAGAAGGATGGCAATGTTCAAATGGAATTAGCAAGTTCTATAAAGCATGGGGAAGGGAAAGCAACTTCACTAGGTTTTGATATGCAGACTTTAGGAAAGGACTTGGGCTATACTTTACGCAGTGAGACAAGGTTCATTAATTTTAGGAAGAACAAGGCAACTGCTGGTCTTTCGGTTACTCTATTGGGTGATGCCTTATCAGCTGGAGTGAAAGTTGAGGATAAATTGATTGCTAATAAGCGCTTCCAAATGGTCATGTCTGGTGGTGCAATGACCGGTCGCGGTGATATTGCTTATGGTGGTAGTCTGGAGGCCCAACTGAGAGATGAGGATTATCCCCTTGGTCGTTCCCTATCAACTCTTGGACTCTCTGTCGTTGATTGGCATGGAGTTCTAGCTGTTGGTTGCAATATACAATCTCAGGTTCCTATTGGACGGTCTACAAACTTGATTGCCCGTGCCAATTTGAATAACAAGGGTGCAGGACAACTCAGTGTTCGCATAAATAGTTCAGAATACCTACAAATAGCTTTGGCAGGCCTCCTTCCTCTAGTGAGAAAGCTTTTTGATTACCATCAAGAAATGCAGTTTGGACAATGAAGATAATTCGGTGCTTTTTTCCTGTGGTAGCAAAGCAGTAACAGGAAACATCGAGCTGGCCACCTTGTGATGGTCATTGATAAGAATGAGCAAAGCTAAGCTTGCCTTTTGGTTCCTCTCCTTTTTTTGTTGTTGTATTTCAACATCATGTTACCTTGATAAAGTTTTTTTGTTTGATATTTTCATATGGTGGTTTTTGTCCCGACTACACCACTGAGCCAAACATTGTTTCTTGTTCACTTATGCCTCTGTCTAGCTATTTACTCCATCTGCATTGGTGTGCACATTTATTTATCTTGTCCAACAATTATATTTGCCATCTCTTACTGTTTTCTGCTCTTCTTTTTGCCACACGAGTTTAATCTAATCTACAGCTATTCCTTTTTTCTGCCAAGGGCAATTTTATTGATGCCTCTGCCCTGCAGCTGTGCTATCAATGTTCACAAAATCAGAATTCTGGTTTCGAAAATGTTGTCTTCAAATGATGTTTCCAATTCCAATGGATGACATCATGGCAAGTTCCAGCCTACGGAAAATCTAGGTGCAAAGTTAATGCTGCTTGGAATAAGGCAGACTAAGAATGGTGTTTAGTGATGAACATGGTCCTTTTCTTGCAGCAAAATCTGTTTTCTGCAGATATGTTCCTGGAACTAAGTGATGGAGGCCATGGCTATAAAAGAGGCGTTTTGTGGGGCTGAAGATGATGGTTAGAGAGATTTGAGTTGGAACCTGACTGTCTTGAGTTCATTCATGATATTCGAGAAGCCCTTTCCCAGTGATATGGAATCTGTTCTCTATGATGTTTTGTAGCTTAGTCAGTTTATTGTAGTTTCTGTATTTTTTACATGTTCATTGGCTTGTACATAGAGTGGCTCATATTCATGGCTTAACGAGGAAAAAAGGAACATCCTTTTGCTTTCAATCAAAAGGACCATGTTTCCTTTTGTTGATACCTTCACTGTCTGCTTCCAATAATTAGAAAAGGCAATAAGAACCCACTGGCCCAGAAGGATTCTTATGTCCATTGCTAGCTTTAACCAGTGTAAAATAATTCATTTCCTCTCTGCATATATAGACCAATTGTAAATCTTTTCCTATGCATTACCTTGATGTGTAAGATACTGAGATTTTGAGAAGAGACAGAGCGGTGAAAGTTAGAGACTTTATCCTTGTTTTGCTCATTTTAACAGTCGCATCAGTTTTTAACAAACGATTGAGACTTTCATCCTTGTTTTTCTCGAACTGCGACTTTTATCCTGAGCAACTGTTTTTTTTTTCTTTCCCGCCCCCATTTTTTTACGAGCTGGAGATCTTTTGGACATGTCCAAGAAGATAGATTTTGATTCCAGCGGTTACATTGAGATAGAAGGAAATTACCATCCACTGATCTTAATTATTTTCGTCTAAATTTGAGCCACGCTGTCCAAGAAAAACATATTTCCTTACAATAATAGCAAAAAGGGCCCAAAAATCTAAATTTAGCTATATAATTATAGGAAATGCTAGAAATGCTAACATGCAAAGAGCCGAAGCGTTATCATTTATGGACAAGCGGATCTCCCAAAAAGCCCAAGTTGGCCAAGTTGGAACAAAACGGAATCAACCATGCTGGATGCGTACGTGAATTGGGAGGGTAAAAATTTACTTTTTAGGCAGGCTAACTTCTATCTTTTCTTTAAAAAAAATTCCCTTTAACTTTGCCCCGAGAAACAATCTACTTGGACTCTACCCCCAACAACCAGTCCAAGTTCCCAATGAGTTTCTAATAGCCTTGTGAGTTGAATTGCTTTGAAAATAAGTAAGGTCTGATAACTCCGAATTAATAATTAAACGTACTTTAATCAATTTTTTAAAGGTATGCTACGAAGATAATTTTTGTATGCAAAAACTAAATCTTTTTCTTTTTTTTTAAATATTTACAATTAAATCAGTATATTTGCGAAAAAATTATATCTTATAAAATTTACTTGCTTTACCCGTACATGTTTAGTTTAAAAATGTTGAGTTCAATTTATGTTAATCGTTAGTTTATTCAATTAATTTTTTATAACATGGTTAATTTAAAAAATTATGAACTTTTTAGCCCTGGAAAACCATCTTTTTGACCAACTAAATAGACTTTGAATTGGGGATAGTTTTGAGCCATAATGCATTATGACCGTTTTTTCCTTTTTCGTTTTTTCTCGTTGGCGCCTATCATATCTACATTTACCCTTTTTCATGATCCTGTGACTGTATAAGAGATGGACCACCAATCCCTACCTATCCAGATCTCTTTGATGAGTGCCTTACATTGATTCTCTGGATCCATAAACATCAAAGTGTTTTTGTCTTTGCCTGTTTGTATATTTTTGACGTCAACGATCACTTCCTTTCTCTTTTCTCCTATTATTCGATTATTTTTATTATTTATTTATAGTGAAAGCTAATCTGAGATGACTATTTTCTTTTTTATAAGAATTATCTTTTCCTACAATTCAACGTTTATTACTAAAAATTTGAATTTAAATTAATTTTTAATATATATATATATATATATATATATATATATATATATATATATATATAAGAATTAACTTAATAAATATTAAGTATTGGCATGCAATTAATCTGGATTTAATTTCCAAAACGAAAATTAATCTAGATTTTCACACATTCAGTGTTATATATATAAATAAAAAAATAATATAAAATCTCAACTGAATTACATATTAATTCATCAAAAAAAGAAAAGAAAAGAAAACATAAATAAAACTGTTTAAAAGTCACGTACGAATAGCCTCCCGAGTATCATTAATCGGTAATCACAAATTTACTTATAAGCAATTAATTAATCCATGACTATGAGTATGCAATATTTATAGATCTTATTGAGCATTTAACCTATACAACTATCGTTTGATACTCACCAAAACACAATCATCATTTTTATTTTATTTTCAGAATAAAGCAATTATCATTAATGCTCTTCCTTTGTTGATTTAACAAAACAATTATCATTAATGCTTTTTCCTTCGTTGATTTAACAAAACAATCTCATAACATTAAAGAAAATACGTGATTAGTGGGCACAAGAGGAACAAGACAATTAACATGTTCTTGATCACTAGTCTCGCTCGTCAATCAAATCACCAAGATCGACGGCCCGAAAACGTTCCCGAATCTCCTCACGTGACCCACCACATGTCGGGTCGGGCCTCTTGCGTCAGCCTTTTTTTCATTTCTTTTTGGCTCTATCATAGGGTTTAACCCATTAGTTGGGCCCTTACTTTTTTTAGTTCTTATAAATTCCAATCTTGTACTTCTATTTTTACTAATTCAGATCCTATGCATTATGTTCTAAACTGATTATTTCATCAAATTCGTGACAATTAGCGAATAAAGATCCTTTTAAAAATAATTAATTATTTAAATAAAATTTTATCAATTTAAAAATAAAATTTTAAAAAAACATTAGTAACAAAACATTGTCACATTATCATCTTAGGTTTAACTCGGTTATAAAAACCAAAATTTTCGTGAATATAACAATTTAAGAATATATTTGTATCGTGTAAAATATCTTTTGAATTTTTTTTTATATAACATGAATTATTTTACATTGTATAGCCATGACCAAAAAACAAGCTTGTTTTTTATGTTTCGCAACATTAAAACTTTTTTAGAGAATTACTAACCTAATAAAATAACAAAACATAGTAATTTATTTCATTTCAATGTAATTTAAGAATTGGATGGCCTCTAAATAATCAAGATGAAAGTAAAGAGAAACATCATTGCCATCTAGATCAATTTACGATCACTTCGTAGTTCTAGTTACTTCACTTCATTTTCTATATTAGCAAATTTAACATTTATATTCTTTCACCACTATATCCTCGCTTGAAGAACTCTTAGTTTTAATTTTACCACGACTATCAACCTTCTCACTAACAATAGAGTCAATAATTTGAGTTGTTTTTTTCTATCACTATTACCAACATGTATGTAAATAATCAAAATTTGATTTTCATACCTCATTACTTCAACAAAAATTTTACCATTGACAATAATTTGCCTTAAATTAGAAGAGAGATTGAATCATGGAGGGGTTATTAATGATAGTGACCGAGTTAATGTTATCTTTCTATTAAGAGTGTAGAAAATTAAAAGATAAATATTTTGAGAGAATTACAAAGCAACAAGAGAATAAGATACAATCTAAAAGAAATAGAGACTATTAGCAAAAAAAAAGGTGAGAATTTTCGTTTCAAATATTTTAGTAATGTAAGCTTTGGACAATATTTTGCATGTTTTATCAACACATACGAGATTTTACTTTTTTGTGTTTTTAGTTTTTTAGTTGATTAAAAACTTTATATTTTGATTTATTTTTCTAATGTTAAAGAAAACATACCTAATTGTGGGTTTTATGTATCCCTGAGAAATGATCTCATTTCGATAAGTGAAAGTAAGCTTGATAATGCACCGTTAAAACTTTTTAGAAACGAGACATAGTATGTAGGGACTAGATTAATAAATAAAAACTTCCAGGATCTGGATTAAAACAATTAAGAGATCAAGGACCATTAAGGGTTAGACCTAAACCCTAATTTCATACAAGTAAATCCACGTCAACATGGCTTGGTGTCTTTCAACGATGATATCAAAGCAATCAAGCAAAACCCAATAAAAAAAAATCCTCCATCGTCCGATAAAAAAACTCAATAACTCCAAATCTCCACCGTCAGATGAAAAATTCTTATCTCCATAATTCACACAACTGGGTAAGCCATAGCTGCTGCAGACAGTAGATTGCATTTAGGATTCGTTCACTGACTCTCTCTCCTTTTCTCTCTGAAAAGCTCTCACTTTCTATCTCTAGAAAACAAGGTATGCAAAACGAATATGGAGTTTTTTTTTTTGTTCTCTTATCTTTTTAGTTAATTAATTATGATCTTGTATTGATTTAATTGCATTTTTATGTTTGTTTTTCATTTTTGTGCAAAGCCCCAGTGAAAACATGTTAAAGTTGCTTATTGAGATCTGAAATTTTCAATTTTGGTTATTGTACGGATCGGTTGTTATATAAAGTTATGCTGTCTGAGTGAAAGATGGAAACTTTATGATGGGTTTTTGTTTTCTTGACTGGTTATGTGATTGGTTGTGATGATATTGAAATATAGTTTTGTGTTTTGATATTGTGGGTTTTATGTGAATTAGGATTTTGAAGCAAAAAATGGAAAATGGGTTTAAGAGAGTTGTTGTGGAAGAGAAAATCAATGTGGGAAATGAGGGTTTTGGGGATAAGGTAGAGGAGGAGAGACTGGTGGTGGGGTCTGATGAATCGAAGGATTTGGAAGATGAGGTTTTTGAGGAGGCAATTGAGTCACACGAACAATTGCAGGAGGAGGAGGAGGTGGGAATGAAAGTTGAGTCAGATGGTGTTGTTGTTGAGAGTGTTGGTGATTTGAGTTCAGTAGTTGTTGATGAGAGTACAAATTTAGGAAACGAGGCAGAGAAATTTGAGGAGGCGATTTTTGTTCCTGCTGAGAGTGGGAATCCTGAGGAGTTGAGTGGGGTAGTTGTTGAAGAGAAGGTAAAGGATTTGGTAGGTGAAGATATTGTTTATAAGATTGATGAGGGAGGGACTGCAAAGGAATCTGGAAGCAATGAGTCGAGTGCAGGAGAGGTTGCTGAGATTGTTGGTAATGGAGTAGCAGAGGTTTTGAAGGCTGAGGGTGATGATGAGATGTATTCTAAGCAGGGATCTGAACTGGGTGAGGAGATTCTGCCCAAGGATAATGAGAGAGAGGAACTAAAGGAGAATAAGTTGGTTACTGAATATCAGGTGACTAGTGACAATTCAGTTAGCATTTTAGAGGACAAGGGTGAAGGCATGGGCCAGAATTTATTAAAAATGGATGCTGAACACTTGGATGAGAAAACTGGGGCATTGAAAGGTGATGGAGAGACTGCTAAGGAAGTTGGGAACAATGAATTGATTGGAGGTGTGGAGATTTCTGTTAAGGGAGAAACTCAGGCTTTAACAAGTGAGGGTGGGGCCAATTCTGATCAAGAAATTGAGTCAAGCAAGGAATTGAATGGTGATGGAGAGTCTGCTCAGGAAGCGGTGAACAGCGAGACGAGTGGAGGTGCAGAGGTTTCTGAGATTGCTGGTAATTTAGGAAGAGAGGCTTTGAAGGCTGAGGATGAGGCTGATCCTAATCGAGAAATTGAGTCGATCAAGGAGATTCGTCCAGAAGATAGCAAAAGCGGGGAACTGCAGGAGGACAAGTTGGGTGCCGAATATCAGGAGGCCAACAAATCATTTAATGTGTCAGGTGATCTGCAAGGTGACAAGAGTGAAGGACTGGATGAGAATCCAGAAAAAAAAGATATAAAACACAAGGTTGAGAAAAATGAGGATTTTGACAGTGCAATAGTAGGCCTTGATTCTGGAAATGGGGTTGATAAGAGTGAACAGTTCACGGACATCGCAGCAGGTGTGGACGTAGAAGACCAAGGTGATGGCAATAGGAACTCAAAAGATGTTTCAGCTGTTATAGCTTCAGAGCAAAATGGGGAAACTCATGAACTGAAAGCTGCTTCAGCTGTCCCACAGACAGTCGTGGATGAAATAGAGCTGGTACCAGAAGTTTTAGCCTCATCTTCTTTAGAGAAATCTGTGATTGAGAGAAATGAGGAGATTCAGGCTCATGCATCCAATTCGCGAGCAGAGGATAACAAGTTTTCTGCAGTACATCATGCTGCCAACAACAGTAATGGAATCAGTGAAAACACTACTGTGACTGAAGAGCCTCAGAAGAAAGCAGAAAAGGGTCAGGAGGATAAGCAAACTGCTCCAGCAAATATAGAGCGTAAAATTCTGCATTTACCTGAGATTGCACCTTCATCTGCAAAATCTTCAAGTGCAGCTCCCACACCTTCTCGTCCAGCTGGCCTTGGGCGTGCTGCTCCACTATTGGAACCTGCACCCAGGGCAGTCCAGCAGCCTCGTGCTGCTAATGGAGCTGTTTCTCATACACAATCCCAACATATTGAAGATCCTACAACCGGGGAATCAGAAGAGTTTGATGAGACTCGCGAAAAACTTCAGATGATCAGGGTGAAATTTTTGCGGCTTGCGCATAGACTTGGGCAGACTCCCCATAATGTTGTTGTTGCACAGGTTTTATACAGACTGGGATTAGCTGAGCAGCTGCGAGGTAGAAATGGTGGCCGCGTTGCTGGTTACAGTTTTGATCGTGCCAGTGCCATGGCAGAGCAGCTTGAGGCTGCCGGGCAGGAACCCCTTGATTTCTCCTGTACAATTATGGTTCTTGGAAAATCAGGTGTTGGTAAAAGTGCCACTATCAATTCGATATTTGATGAAGTGAAGTTTGGCACTGATGCTTTTCAATTGGGTACAAAAAAGGTTCAGGATGTTGTGGGCACTGTTCAGGGGATAAAGGTACGGGTTATTGACACACCAGGACTTCTTCCTTCATGGTCTGACCAGCGTCAGAATGAGAAGATCCTTCACTCTGTTAAACGCTTTATCAAGAAAACTCCTCCAGATATTGTGTTGTATCTTGACAGGTTGGATATGCAGAGCAGGGATTTTGGTGATATGCCCCTCTTGCGTACCATCACTGACATATTTGGTCCATCTATATGGTTCAATGCAATTGTTGTCCTGACCCATGCAGCATCAGCTCCACCTGATGGTCCGAATGGTACTGCTTCAAGTTATGATATGTTTGTCACTCAGCGTTCACATGCTGTCCAACAAGCAATTCGTCAGGCAGCTGGAGATATGCGACTCATGAATCCTGTTTCATTGGTTGAGAACCACTCAGCATGTAGAACAAATAGGGCAGGGCAGAGAGTGTTGCCAAATGGTCAGGTTTGGAAGCCCCACTTATTGCTGCTCTCTTTTGCATCTAAGATTCTTGCTGAGGCAAATGCACTTTTGAAGCTACAAGATAGTGCACCTGCAAGACCTTTTGCAACTCGATCAAGAGCACCTCCTTTACCGTTCCTACTTTCATCACTTCTCCAGTCAAGACCACAAGTTAAGCTGCCGGAGGAACAGTATGGCGACGAGGATGGTTTAGATGATGATTTAGACGAGTCATCAGATTCTGAGGATGAATCAGAATATGATGAATTGCCCTCATTTAAAAGTTTGACAAAGGCTCAGATTGCAAAGCTTACTAAAGCTCAGAAGAAGGCATATTTTGATGAGTTAGAATACAGAGAGAAACTTTTCGTGAAAAAACAGTTGAAGGAAGAGAAAAGGCGACGGAAGATGATGAAGAAAATGGCTGCAGCTGCTAAGGACCTGCCTAGTGAGTACACTGAAAATGCAGAGGAAGAAGTTGGAGGAGCTGCATCTGTTCCTGTTCCCATGCCGGATTTAGCCTTACCTGCTTCGTTTGATTCTGATAATCCCACTCACCGGTACCGATATCTTGATTCCTCCAACCAGTGGCTTGTGAGACCAGTTCTAGAAACTCATGGTTGGGATCATGATGTTGGTTATGAAGGTATAAACGTGGAGAGGTTGTTTGTGGTTAAAGACAAAATCCCCATATCTTTTTCTGGCCAGGTATCGAAGGACAAGAAGGATGCCAATGTTCAAATGGAATTAGCAAGTTCTGTAAAGCATGGAGAAGGAAAAGCAACTTCACTGGGGTTTGATATGCAGACTGTGGGAAAAGACTTGGCCTATACTTTACGCAGTGAGACTCGGTTCAGTAACTTTAGGAAAAATAAGGCTACAGCTGGTCTCTCTGTTACTCTATTGGGTGATGTCTTATCAGCTGGAGTGAAAGTTGAGGATAAATTGATTGCTGGTAAACGGTTCCAAATGGTCATGTCTGGTGGTGCAATGACGGGTCGTGGTGATGCTGCTTATGGTGGTAGTTTGGAGGTCCAACTGAGAGACAAAGATTATCCTCTTGGTCGTTCATTATCAACACTTGGGCTCTCTGTCATGGACTGGCATGGAGATCTTGCCATTGGCTGCAATGTACAATCCCAGATTCCTATAGGACGATCTACAAATTTGATTGGTCGGGCTAATTTGAATAACAGGGGAGCTGGACAAATCAGTATTCGCTTAAATAGCTCAGAACAGCTTCAACTTGCTTTAGTTGGCCTCATTCCTCTATTGAAGAAGCTAATCGAGTATCCTCAACAAATGCAATTTGGACAATGAAGAAAATTGTAGGTTATACTTGCTAGGACACTTCTGATGTCGCCATCTTGTGATGGTCCTGGAGAATGCGAGTGAAGTTATTGTTCCTCTTCCCTTCTTTTTTTGTTCGAGTCAGATTACAACAATATATTGCTTAATGTTAGTGGTTGTAATTTCTTTGTTAGATATTTTCATAAAGTGGTTTTCTTGTTAAGCCGCTGGGTCAGTTATTGCTTCATGTTCAACCATGCTCGTCTCTAGAATCTTTAGTTTTCTTATCATATGGCTGTTGAAAGAGATTGGCTTTGTGCCAAACTTGATAGTTTGCCGTGTACAGCTCTCGTGTTTCTAGTTTCTAGGTTTAGGCTAGAACCACCTATTGTTATATTATGAGAAAGCATGGGAGTTTCTCATGCTGTTTTCCGCCTGTGCTATCAATAAGAGAACAGAACGTCCTGGCGAATTAAATCTGCCTTCATTTCGACTGCTTTCTGCTGAGAAAAAACAGAGAGAAAACAAAGCAGAAAGTGTGCTCTTTCACCAGGTAACAGCTTGGGTCATGAATGGACCTGCCATACTACTGTAGATCATTATCTCAAATTCTAAAATGTGTCAATGTCACATGGCTACTAAACATGCTTTATTTGAAAATCAAGATCACTCGCATTTGGCAGAAAACAGCAGCCTTCTCCTCTGAGGAATACTTTTAAGTTCATGAACTTCATGACGACAAAAATCCAATTTTTGCTCCTCATTCGAAGCCATATAGTCCTTGAGCTGAGGTCATTCAAGTTTGGGTGTTGCTTGTGATAACTTGTTCCCAACATATGAGAATTTAGACTACCACCTTATTGAGTTCACTACAAAAAAGACTAGTAATATCTGTTAGGTCTAAATTCTACAACCTTATCATGTTCATCTTGCCTCCATTTTTTTTTTTCCCCTCTGTCTTGTTTTGTTGATCGAACTCTGGAAAACTATTGCCCTCGTTGCTTTTTATATTTACTTTCTTGAACATAAAGACTAGTAACATTGTTGATGAAAAGACGTGCACGCAAGAGGTTCTATGGTGTAGTGGTTAGCACTCTGGACTTTGAATCCAGCGACCTGGGTTCGACTCCCGGTAGGACCTCAATTCAATTTCTATTTTTGCGCTTTTTAACATCTTGTTTGGAACCAGTTCTTCAGTTGAATTAAATTCAATTTTATCAATCAGTAGAATGGATTTCAATTTATTACAAATTCTTGTGTTTGGTATAAATTTTGAAAAAAATAAACTAGTGTATCTTTATTAAAGTTATTCATGTATCTTTTCATAAGTTATTCTTAATAAGTAAAGGTTAAGATAAAGTGATTTTTTGAAAAAAAATAAAAATAAAAAATCGACAATACCAAAACAGGCCTGAGATGAAGTTTTTAAAGAATATTGTCACTTCTTATATATATATATATATATAGATATTCATGTGAATTCTTTTGGCAATTGGTTACTATTTTGTTGTCACTTCTTATGCTTCTTCAACTTCAATCAATTTAATCAACTTTTGTTGATCATTCTTAACTATTGAGTGGATTAAAGTGAAAAACCTTGATAAAAGGTTCGTATGGAACAGTTTACTTTGCAATATCGATAGATAATACTGTTATATATAGATTATTTGGTGTGAAAAATACAAAAAAAATTGAAAAATCTATTTGTTTAGGATATTAAAATTGTATTTGTCTTTATTAAATCAAGTTGGGTCTTGGTTTGATCAATTTTACATCTCTCACCTCTTTTCCTGCACTAGGTTAAGATTGGTATTATAATAATTTATATAAAACACAAAACTAATAATATATATTTATTTTGTTCAAGGAGTGAGGGGTGTTGACGAGGAATGCAAAAACTTTCATTTCCCATTTAGTTAAGTAAAAATAAGTTTTTTTTTACCCTCCGGATGGATACTAATTGATTTTTCATTGAGACCAAATTGTTATCACTTCAGATAAAGGGATTCAATTCATTGTAAATTCAAAGTAAAGGTTCAATTGATGAAGGTTTAAGAGTATGAAGTTAGTTTATTAAACAAAGTAAATAGTTGAAATATAAATTTATCTCTCTCCTACTACATGTGATTTTTTTTTACCAAATTGATTTAATTGTTGTTAAAGAATCTATCTCACGTTGAACACTTAAATAAAAGATGAATAATAAATAAAATTAAAAAAAAATCATTTATCATAAAGTATAAGTTTTTTTAATTGAATAAATTTCAACTATCTAATTTTATATCATATCAAAACCTAAAAGAGATTTAACGGCCAAATAAAGATTCGAAGTCGAAACTACTTGACAAATTACAAAAGATAGACCGCAAATAATTAAGGAGGAGTGTTAGAATCATTTTGAATAGAATTCAATTTTATATGGTATCAAAACCTTAAAAAGGTTTAACGGCCAAATAAAAATCTTGAAGTTGAAACTATTTGGCAAATTGAGTGTTAGAGTCTTTTGAATAGAATTCAATTTCAATTATCAAACTCTTTAATTGTTGTCAAAATTAGTTCGATATTATTTTTAAAGAAAAAAAATGATTGTTGTCAAAATTGTACCTTAATTTCATGAAAATTATATATATATCTTATTTAATATTATTAAAAACAGGAAGTAACAAATTTTTTTTAAAAAATTATCATTGCAGGTTATTAATTATTGTGACCAATCAAGTGAAAGAAATATTTTAACCACCAATGGTTCATGGCATTCAAACTGAAAAAGTAACCAGTATTTTAGCTAGTGTAATCCTTTTTTTAATAAGGAATTATTGAAAATACGATCATACATACGTGCATTTAAATATCACTATTTCTATTTTTGTTCCACTTTCTTATATATACTTCTCCAATCAATTTAGTAATTTGCTTTTAATCTCTTAATTCATTTGTTTTTAGTTTTTATTTATTTATTATTATTATTATCCTCTATGGATTGGCTGGGATTGAAAAGCGTAGGCAAAGTTTCCAATGGTATGAATATCAATAGATACTAATGTCATGGATGGATTGTTTGCCATAAAAATTGCAAATCTTTAGAAAGACGAGGATATTAGAAAGTGCCAAGTTTTCTCCATTATAACCCACCTTTTATTCCTACTATTTTCTGCTTCCTCGGATCCATGTTGAATAGAAAGTGGCAAGCTTTTAACCCCACCATAAAACTCACTGGATTCTCGAGCAGAATTAATCATAGGCTAATTGATTCAAGAATAGTGGCTCTTTCATGTTGAGCAGAATGCATCTTTAACCTACTAGTTCTTCTCTCCATAGCACCTTAGTCGCTTTTCTTGATTGAAATGAGTATTTGATTTTTTTAATTAAATTTGTAAGATATTTTGATTGATAAACATGATGTTTAATGAGTTGTTTTAGATTAATTTACATTTAATTTATGGTGTCATGATCTATAAGTTTAGGATGGAGAAAACATGAAAATCCATGATTTCTATTTGGATCTGGTTCACTCATCCATTACCTAGTTTTCACTGAATTAATCCTTACTAAAATGACGATGGAGTTTTAATTTGATATCTGCGTGGCAACAAAGTTGCCTTTGTTTGAAAATTGAGTTTAAAAATATCCTTGGTCGCTCTCTCTCTCTCTTTCTCTTATGCATAAACATTCTTTCAATAATATTTGTTTGAGTTATAGCTGATGATTATTTAGTCATTTGTGATAGCCTCTTAATCTTTCTCTTATTTTTTCTTTTTTTTATTTTCTTAATAATTCTTGATTTATTTTCTAAAAGATCTAATGTTTTTGATAGTCCTAATAATTATAGATTTAAATCTATATGATCCAATTAAAATTTTTGGTCTTATTTGATTTGTTATCCTCAATATTTGAGATTTTTTTGTTGATGTTGGTTTGTATTGATTGAAGATTCGTTCAAAGATTTATGATGAATTGGAGTATTGAGTTACGAGTTTCAAATTGATTTTAAGTGATATAATTATTTGATCCGTTAATAGAAAAAAGTTAGATTCTTGAGATTGCGACAAAGGAAAAAAAATCATATTGTAAATAACATATTGAGTAGAAATTCAAAAAACTCATTTGAAAGTCCATAAAATAGAGAAGACGACATACTATACAGAAGGTTAATAATTTTTTCTTGAGTGAGTACTAAGTCTTTTCTCACTTGATTAGAATGGATCATGATGCTTGTAATCTCTGTTAACAATAAATTAAGATTTGAAAGTGTCTTAATTTGCAAGAAAACTCTAAAACTTCTTGTGGTATAATTTACTTATATTATTATTTATCAACAATATATATATTCAATTCAAACAATATTGAACCTTTATTTTTAGTTTCCTCCAAAATTTCTATTACTTTCAACAAAAATTTCTTAAACAATTTATAGGAATTTTTCTTTAAAAATGTATTAAAACAATTAACCAACTAAACTAATCACATCTTTCTTTATTAAAATAAATAAATAAACCACATCTTTCAATTTTAAGCGAAGACGTTTGGGTAATAAATAGGCACTTATTGATGCAATAAGTAAGACATAAAAACGAGTATAGTGTATATGAACAATACTAGATATTAATTTGTGCCCTGCATGTTTCAATTGTTTTTTCTTTTTATGGAGAGATTTGTTGGGTCTTGAATTATATAGTGAAGAGCAAGTCAACTCCTCTTTACATAATAATTAAATAAAATGAAATTAGTAGAAGGTTAGATAGGATGAACCTCGCTTAATTTTTTTTATATAGTTTTAGTCAATTTTTAAGTTTTTTTTTTGTCAAGATAACGATCAAATAAATAGTCAACTGATGGAAAAATTTTAATAAAATTTATCTGAAGCTCTCTAAAAAAATTAAGATCATTCCGGATTATTTTCTATTTTCTCAATTTCTACACTTTAATGCTCATAAAATTAAAAAATATATATTTTTCTCAATCTTGAAAAATTCTAGGATTTTTTTTTCAGAAAATAAATTACATTTTTTTTCAACATTTGTGAAAAACGTTAGCTCAAAATACCAGGACTTAATTTTTTTTTAAAAAGGGAGAGTGATAGCTACAAATAATAAGATGTATTAAATCTTAAAAAAAAAAAAAAAAAAATCAAAGTTCATAGGATGCCAAACCCAAAATTAAAAGTTTAAGAACTGATTTTCAAATAAATTAAAATATAAAACAGGTTTGACCCTTTTTTTTTTTTTTTTATTAGAATTCAAACTTTCTTTACTAAAAGAACCTCCTTTATACATAAATGTTAATCTTATTGATGGACATGCTTATGTTTATATCACATGATGAGACAGACCAGTGAGCAACGTTAATCTAGTCCTACTGCTCTCTAAACCCTATTATTGCTGAACATAACAGCAACAATGCCAATCAACATTTTGATATATATATCTTTGTATTACTTTGGTTGTTTCCTTATATTTCGTAGAAAAAAGAGAAGGAAAGAAAAAGAAGAAGTGATCGCATGTCCTTTTGTTTTCTCATGAATATTGAAAATTACGAAGATTGATAAACAAGTTAGCAAACAACAACTCTATGGAGGTATATGTTCTATTGTTCTTGGCACTAAGTTGTAATTGTTGGATTAGCAAACAACTGACATAATTTAGATCTTAATAAGTTCAAATTTTCATGAAGAAATTTTAACAAAATGATGCTTAATATATTATACATGCATGTGAGTATAACTTGAAAGTAATGAACACACATGCATGGTGCTGTTGCATCAAATATCATAGCCTAAAAGTAGGTAACCAACACATGGCAAACCAGAATGAGAAAAAGCATGACTATACTTTTATGAAACAATAAAGCAAGTAATTAACATTCAGTGAACTACTGTAACATTGTAGCCAACTATGGCATCACCAGTGGCAATATCAAGCCAATAGGTTTGTGCAATAGCATAACCACGCGCCAGCCGGAAAAGGCCGGTCCCGCCAACAATCGGCATCTCACGAACAGGATTCATTGCCGGATTCTTGCCAAGGAGGCTGATGCAGCTACCATTATAGATACCATCAGTGAAAGCAAAGTTCATGGCCATGATCAAGGCCAATTCATTCTGCCCTGCTGACCCATACATCCCTTGGGCTCGCCCGACAGGCTTTGAGTTTGGATCAGGCCCTTCAGTCAAGGGATCATCAGCCATCATGATAGAACCGAAGAGGGTGGCAGATTTGTTTTCACTTGGTTGAGCAACTTTAATAGCTGTAGGATTTTTGCCACTAACTATGTCATGGAAGTAGAATTGGAGGTTGGTTACATTCTCCTTTTCAGCTTCAAGTCTTCTAGCCCAACCCTCCGCATTAGTAGTTTTAGCCCATTGCACGACGCCCACTAAGGAAACGACCAGCAAAACTACAGATAGTTTTGCCATTTTCTTGCTCCTTTATCCTTTACACAAGAAAAACAGAGGAGGGACTTTGAGAGAATAATTTGGGAAGGTGTGTTTTGGTTGATGATTTTAGAGGGGTTTTTATAGGAGAGTTTTAACATCACAGATTCAAAAAACAGGTTAACTACATAGGGACCCACTTGTTATGAATTATAAGTTCATGGACCAACTATTCTGCTAATTGGAGAGAACCAAATAATGCCATCTGTGATAGGTCCAAATTGAATCATCCACCCCTTTCTTTTTCGGTCAAAAAAAAAAAAAAAAAACCCACTTTATTACTTTAATGAACGAACTATATGATATGGTCGGAATGCAGCAAATTGAAGCACACCTTCTCCCCTAGAAATCAGGAAATTATTATATGAACAGAAACCCATTATAATGTAAGGATTCACTATTTTTAATAATAAATTAAGATCCATTGCACGATCAATAAAATAGTTTTGATTTATACAAATTTGGTCAGTATAATAATATTTCACAATTAATCATCATTGAGATTGATTTTCGGAAAAATCTAACTAGTAATTTTGAGGCATTTTATAGCTATAATTTTTAAGATACCCAATTTCGTTAGTCAAAGTGGGTGAATCACTAAAAGGCAGTCCTACTCCTAACCGTTCCATAGCATTTTCATGGACATAAGGGTTAAGGGAGTTGGTGGGTTGATTGTGGGTTCAAACAAGTTAAAAACCTATGAAATTAGCATAAGAACATGAATTGCAGTATGAGAACCACAATTCTAATTATTTAATTTGTAGATTGCGTAGTCCACCTAACTCATTTCCATCTGCATTTCAACAATATAGGAAAGAAATCATGTGCAATAAAGGAAAAGTTCAACAGTTTGGTTGGCTTTATGCATAGATTTAGGCTACCTTGTTCAAACGAGAGATCTCTTATTAATTGCGATGGTGCGGGCGGCATGTAAAAATCAACTAAATCATTGAGAATATGATATTTAATTCTCAATCATCTCATAGACTACAGGAAAAATTACGATTTGAATGCTTTTTTTTTTTTTAGCGTTCAACTGATAAATTCTTTTATTTGAATGTCTAATTTTTAATTATTTTTCTATTTGAGTACCCAAATTTGATTATTTATTTTAATATTTTTAGTTATTTAAAACTAAAAAATATTTATGTGATCAGAATTTACTAACACGTTATGATGTTTAGCTTACTTGTAAAAAAAGAAAAATAGATCCCACTCGGATTTATTGAGAAAAAATTATAAAATTTTTAAAAGAGAAAATAATTAGCGAGAATTTAAAAAAAAATCAAAATTAATTATTGTTAACCGAACGAGCTGCTCGAAATGTTTAGATGATCTAATGTTAAAATTCTTTGATTATGCAAACAAAACGTTAAGATTAGGACATCTAGGAGGTTTATAAAAAACTGGTCAGCAAACTTATTGAGTTCATTCAATTAATAATAATTGATTTTGACTTTTTTTTAATTATTGCCGAGTACCTTTTTTTTATATAAAAGTTTTATATATTTTTTATTTTTTTCAATTAATTTGAATAGGATCCATTTTTACTAGGAATGACAATGGGGTAGGCCATCCCTACCCCTGAAAATTTTGCCTCGTACTCGCCTTATGCCCCTGTGGGAGGTAATATTTCTCATGCCATCTCCTCCCCAAACGGGGATCGGAATCCCTGCGAGGCACTCGGTGATCGATTTAATTTTTTGTTTTCATCTCGTCCCGCTCCATTCTACTATCAAATTTTAAAATATAGCAAAAAAAATGATAATTCATATAAAAAATAAACCTAAAAGTCAATAGTGATAAATTTTATATAGGCTATAATTATAATTTCGGGGATATAGTGAGGCAAACGGGACGGGACGGTAAATATCATCCCCGCCCTCGCCTCACCCCATCCATGTTCAAAATAAATATGGGAGGGGGCACCCCACCTCGTTCCTTAGTCAACTCAAAGAATCCTTGCGTTGATTGAGGCGAGAGCGGGATAAATTGTCATTCCTAATTTTAACTACATGTCGAGTTAAAAACTATTGTGTGTTAATAGATCTTGATCATACGAGTATTTTTTAATTTCAAATGAGTGATGGAACTCAAATAGAAAATCAAATAAAATTTCAGGCACTCAAACAGAAAAATAATAAAAATTAGACATTTAAATTGTAATTTTTTTCTATTTTTTTTAATAATCAAAGTGAGACTCATTTTTTTATCACGTTTAAATATTGTTATGTGGTAGTTCATTCTGAACACAACATCATTTTTTAGTCTAGCATTTTTCAATCTGAGGTGACTGTGGATGATAAAAAACAAAAAAATCAAAAATCAAAACTTAGATACTCTAATAAAAAGATGTATCGGATAGATATTAAAAAAACATAAGTTGGACATTCAAATTACAGTTTTTCCTCAAATGTCAATTTGGTTTGGCAATTTTCGTTTAATTGTGTGTGAAAGTTAAACCATATTTCCACTTGAATAATAAGATTTATTATTTATTTATTTATTTATTATTATTATTATTTGTGTAATTAAGAAGATGTCAGCCATATTGGAAGTCTCTTTGTTTTCTTTGGTGAAGTGCATCCTTCCAAACGCAGAATCAAAAAGCACAGACAAATTAAATTAAGATATTGAATTCAAACAGTTATTACGCCCCTTTCTGTATTCCATCAGATTGCAACAATCCTCCAACAGATTATTCATTTTACAGTGTGCTCAAGCATTCTTAATTCTATAACCCAAGCTAGCTAACTCAGTAATGAATCAAAGTGACCTTATACTCAAGAATAGCATCACCATTAGTAGCATTGAAATAGCTACTTTTGATCTCGGCAAATCCTCGAGCCATCCTGAACTTCCCTCTTCCTCCAACCACCGCAACCTCGCGATGGGCCTCTGACACTGGATTCCTCGAAAACACGCCAAATGAACTTCCATTGAACTTACCTGTTGTAAAAGCAAAATCCATGTACATCATTATAGTAAATTTGCTATAATCTTGGCTGGATGATAAATAGAGCCCTTGTGCATTCCCTACAATCTTCGAGTCTGGCTCAGGCCCCACTCTAAGAGGATCATCAACGGCAAATACACTACCAAATGGTGTTGGTGATTTGTCACCTTCGGTGCGGTTTGATCCGGCTACCTTGACCGCAGTAGGGTTTTTGCCACTAAGAATGTCATGGAGGAAGAAGTGAAGGTGGGTCACCTTCTCCCTCCTTGGGACATGCCTCCTCTCTGAGTAATATTCACCATATGCTGGGACAATAGCAATACAAATGATCAAAGCATAAGCAAATCCTGCCATTCTTGCCATTTTTTTTTTTTACTCTCGAATTGTTGATGGAGAATCAAGGACACCTCTACCATTTTTATAGCACTTAATTATGTGCTAAATTTTAGTCCTTGATATCTTGAAGTAATAATGTTACCACGTTTAAAGATTAAAATATAGATATTGATTCAAAGTATTTAACCATCATATCCATAGAGAAATCAGTAACGTGCTAAATTGGAACAGCTCAAGATCCTTTAATTAATTTGAAAAATGCTTAACATGGATCTGTGATAAAATCCATATTAGGCAATTAATTAAGGATTTGCAATTAATCAAAAGCAATTTAATTTTTCATGGCTAAAAATGAATAAAGTTGTCTTATTAAAAGTTTCTTTCCTAATTAAATTCCTTGAAATAGGGAGAATTACTAAAAAAAACCTTTTATTTAAAAAAATCTATCAATTTATTTTCAAATATCTCAAACCCAAAATAATATTTTATTTACCAAATCACATAATAGTTAACCCCAAACTACTGGGTGTAGTGGTAAAAAAAAAAAAAATTTATTTTGAGTTTGAAAGATTTAAAATAAATTAGTAGGCTTTTTAGATAAGACATTTTTTTAAAGAGCTTTTCTCATAATTATCTAATAATAATCTTATTTCATACTTTTTGCTGAGTTTTTTTTTCAAGATCAATTTTTTTTTTTATTGAAATCAAAAAGAAAAAAAAGTTTTCTCGAGTTTTTTTACTACTGACTTTCCTTATATTATTTCCTTATCATATTAAAAAATTTCCTGTTTTTATTTTCCTTGTATAAAAACGTTTGTTTCATTAATCAAGGAATTAGATTTATTATTTAGTAAATATAATAACTGATGCAATTCAATTAATTAATAAAGATGACACGAGACTCATGTTACCTATTTGTAATTTAATTCGAAAGGTGTAGTACAAATAAAAAAACCAAGAATATATATATATATATATATACACATATCTATAAGAACTCAATACGAATGTGAGATAATTAAGATAGAAAAGCATCATTGCTGATAACAGATTAGCAGACAGAATATCTAGCAGATACGATAACATTGATTGAGAACAGATTCACAAACAGAATATCTAGCAGATACGATCGATAACATACCACATTATTGGTCATGAGCTTATCCTTGAGAGCTACTCTCCAGATCTGCCTTCTCCAAGTTTGCCTTACCAGCAATACTGAGCAGCGGAAAGCATCAGAAAAGTGATGTAAGGATCATATAAGGAGGAAAAGCCTACCCTGCAGATGATCAAGGCATAAACAAAGGCTCCCGTTATTGCCATCTTAATTTTTGCTGTTCCTTAGAATTAATTGTTGATTGAAAGTCAACCTACCCTTCAGCTTGTACCTCCATGTTTATATGATGCCCAGTCGATGCACGTTAATCCCTCACATCTCTTAAGAACCATGTTACCAATTTTAATTGAACAATTAGAATAGAATTTTTTTTCAAGGTATCCAATTGTGCTCCTCATATCTCTTAAGTTTTTTGAGTAAACAATTGTAATGGAATGCCCAAAAAAGAAAAAAAAAGAAAAAAAAAGGAAATAAAAACAATTGTATTAATTAGAATGCCGTCTCTGAAAATGCATGTTGAAGGAAAAGGCTCAACTAGCTGTGATAAAAACATTGAGAGTAACTTAAAAAGCTTGGTTTGAGCCAAAAAAAAAAAAAAAAAAAAAACTTTAGTCATTTAAATAAGTAATTTCGATTTCGAATTCTTATATACAAAAAAATGTTTTTTAATAACTATGTCTATCTTATATGCCCATTCCAATAGTGAGTAATTATTCTAGACATTTGGATTTAAAAAACGCTGAGGAGGTTATTACTGAAGGATTTGGTAGCAATTAGTACACTATTTTTTTTAAGTAATGGCTAGAAAAAAGGCATAAAACTAATAAAACAGAGAAAAAAGAATCAAGGATTACACCATTATGTATGGTCTCGAAAAATTACTTGATGCGCAGAAGGAAGTATTAATTTAATTTTGCAAAAAAAAAAAAAAATTAATTCTAGTCATAATTATTATCATAAATGGATGATTAAATCTTAGGCATTAATGGAATTTAATTTGTCCTGCATGTCCCAAATGATACTATTTCTTCCGAAAATCAGAGCCCGAATGGATCTCCCAAAAGTGCCCATCCACCATATTAATGGACCTCATTAGTACGTCCGACGGGAACCGGTAGCTCTAGTAGTTGAGAATCTTCGGCAAATTTTTTCGGAGTGGGATTTTTGGCCACATAAATTCATGTCACTCCTCCATGTTTAGACCAAGAAGAATGATTTTTCTTCGAAATATATTGCAACGGATCTAAGATGACATATAGTGGGCATAATGGCCCAATTATACATTAGTCAGGAAAAGCAACGGGTCTATTAGCCAACCCATCTAAGGAAACTAATTTCAAAGAAGCAGGCCACGAATGAAGTCAGTCCAACACCAAAGATTCACAAAGCTGTCAACTTAATTTGCAAGTCTTGGGAGAAAGAAAATTAATGTTCTTGCCCAGAAGAAATGTTTTATTATAGAAGTAAGAAGTAGTTCATTAACACTAGGAACCACATTGGTCTTAATTACTTTTAACAAGTCTCAGTGGGGCATTTTACTAGGCTTTTAAGGCTTGAATGTAGGCGGCTTCCTAACCTTAGTAGCTGTTTCAAAGCCATAAGCAATCTCAATAAGTTTTGGCTCTGAACCCTTTAGTCCCCCAAAGCAAATGCCAAAAGGCACTCCCTCACTATTATACCCAGCGGGGACACTGATTCCTGGATATTGTCCAATTGCAAGAACAGACCTTACGTAGCTGGAACTAGGTGCCACCAAAACATCTAGTTTGTTCTTCTTGATTAATTTCTCCAGTCCATTCTTGGAAAGTTTTTTGAAATTTGACACCAGTTTCTTCAATGTAGCATCAACATTCGATAAATTTGACTCAAGAACTCGGCTTGCTCGAAGAAGACTTGACCATACTCCTTAGTCTTCTCCTGCAAGACCAGTCAAATGAATCAACCAATTGTGAACTGTCTACACTCATGTTGGTTCATTGTCAATTATATATATTTGCTCATGTACTAACCAGTTTGGAGAATTTTTTGTTGAAGGCTATCACATCTGCTAAGGATCTGACTGGAGATGCCACCAACTGTTCTAGATATTTATTCAAAGCTGGCTTGAATTCGAGCAACATTGCAAGTAATTCACCACTCTGCTCGATGTTTGTGATTGTGTCAACATCGCTTATTTGCAAATTGTCTATAAGGACTGCCCCTTCTCGTCTTGAAAAAACAAAGGTCTATTCAGCTTGCACAAATTTGCTACAACCTTATTAAAAAACTACTAGGAATGTTGGCTTTTTGTTACCTTAGAGTCTGAAAATGGTGCTCAAAAGTTTGATTGATCAGACCGGATCCTTCAACGTTGCTGAAATTGTAAAATGGATCCCTCACTATCCCCAGTCTCTTCCCCTTAAGCCCAAGAGGGTCAAGAAATTGTCTGCAGCCACCATGTGGAATGTATTTTGCCGCTTCTCTAGTTGCAACATCATTTGAATCAAAGCCTACAATGGCATCAAGGACATATACAGCGTCTGATACTGTCCTGCAAATTGGCCTGCTCCATCCAACATGTTACCACCATTAAGTGAAATCAGTAAAAATTTCATTAACCAGTAAGTGTGGTACTGCAAAGTTCTATTTCTCCTAGGAAGTAACAGCTGAATTTTAACAATGTGGTATCTTAGAAAAATTAATCAGCAAAAATTATCACGGTTGGGTAAGAACAACAGATAAATTTCGTTCTATCACAGAGACGAGAAAAAGGTTAAGAATTCACCTACCCCACAGTGTCTTGTCTTGGGGTGATTGGGATAACCCCAGCTCTACTTGTGAGACCAACAGTGGGTTTGATGCCCACAACTGAGTTGTAACTGGATGGACATAGGATGGAGCCATCAGTCTCAGACCCTAGTGACACGGCTGCCAAATTTGCTGCCACCGAAATTCCTGACCCACTGCTTGACCCACAAGGAGTTGCAGACAAAACATACGGATTCTTCAAGCAAAAATCATACGTCAATAATTAACACTGATCCTGCTTGTTTGTTCTTAGTAACAGCTAAAAAACCTTCCAGACTTTACATAATGATTGGCTATAACCACAATCAAACCCCAAAATCATCGTTAGACAAGTAACACCAAAAGTTCGTGAGAGATGGTAATTAACAGAGCATTACAAGCATTTTAAGCCCGATTAAAAGAATCATTTCAAGAAAAGCGTAAAACAATGCACTTGTGCAAGTGATTAATCAACTCACCTTTCCTCGGCCACTTCTCCCGCAAAAACCTGAGGGTGCACCATTTGTCCTAAAATTAGCCCACTCGCTCAAGCTTGCCTTCCCTAAAATGATAGCTCCAGCTTTTCTCAACTTCACCACCACACCTGCATCCCGAGGCACAACTGAACCAAGCAGTGCATAAGAGCCAGCTGTAGTGTTCAGTTTGTCTTTGGTTGCAATATTGTCCTTAAGCAGGATAGGAATGCCATGTAAACCAACAGAAGACCCTGGTGTGTTGGCCTTGCGCTCTCTGTCAGCCTTATCGGCGAGGAAGAGTGCATCAGGGTTCACCTCTATGACCCCTTTAAGAAGTGGGTTGAGTCTGCGTATCCGTTTGAGGTAGAACGCAACAAGTCGTCTTGAGGTTAGTTGGTTTTGCTTAAAAGCTAGCTGAAGATCATCAATAGTTGCTTCTTCAATGGAGAAGGCACCGCTTGTCTTGGTATAAAGCCCAGACAATTGTAAAAAACCAAGAACGAAAAGCAGTAGTGAATTGGTAGACATAGCTTCAGATGAAATGGAAAGAATTGCTCAATTGAGTTACGCAGCTGAGTTTTCAAGTCTGGAAGGGAGTACAGGTGAGATAGCTAGTAAGTGTTGCTGCCATAAATAGACAAAGCCTGCAGGAGGCAGCAGCATAGGATCTTGGTCAATGGCCTGGGTTTTGCGCCACTTAATTTCTTGGTCTATGAAAATATGGATAAGGGTATTAATTATTAAAGCATTTTTCTTTTCTTTTTAGTCTAATTTATTATGTTCGTTACTTCAAGAGTATGAACCTGCTTTATGTCACATTGCAATGATTTGACTCCAGAGGTTTCAAAAGTTTGAAGCCGACGTAAGGTTTTCATGGGCCTTCTTTTCTTTTATCCAAAATTCTTAACCCATTTGAGAATCATGTCCAGAATCTTTCGAGAAAGCCTTAAATCCAAGAATGTACCACAAAGTTCACCAATGGAAGCCGAAACGATCGTCAAGACAGATCAAGTTAAGGCTTAAATGGAGAATGGGGTTCTTACTGTCACTGTGGCTAAGGGAGAAATCAAAGAAACCTGATGGAGAGGCTGTTCAAATTACCTTTTGAGTGAGATGATGCATTGATGCCTATTGATCTTGCATGATGAAAATTTTGTCCTGGCAATTACTAGTATTATTGTTTTTATCACAACCAGTGCTGTTCTGACATGATTGAACAATTTATTACTTGAAATTTCTCAAGATATTTAATCATACAAGAGTTAAACTTCAAAGGATCATTCTTGTGAAGTTTCAAGGGTTGGAGGCTTTCTTTTTTAGTTGCTTGCTCAATGCCAAATGCAATCTCAATCATTTTTGGTTCTGTGCCCTTTAATCCTCCAAAGTTAATGCCAAAAGGTACTCCCATACCATCATATCCTACCGGAACATTAATTCCTAGTAATCCTTCAATGGCAAGAACACTAGCAATACCTGCTCCGGGAGTTACCAATGCATCTAGGTTGTAATCACACATCAACTTCTGAAATCCATCTCCTGTCAGTTTCTCTGAACTTGGCAATGCTGCTTTCTCTATGGTTCCAATTCCATTTGTAGCTTGAGCTGCTAGGAAGAGGTCTTGGCCAAATGCCTTGATCTTTTCCCGCAAGGTCTTTTGAAATTTCGAATATCTTTTAGATTTTATGCGATGTATAAGCATTATATATGTTTGCTTATATTTTCATGCACTTTCCACATCTGAAAATTTCTGATCGTATGCTATGAGATCAGCCAATGTTCGGACAGGGGAAGCAACCAGCTCTTTCAGGTATGCGTTCAAGGATATTTTCAACTCAGCCAGCAATGCTGTTCCTTCGGCTGTCCCGGTGGAAATAGTATCCATGTTGGCTATTTCCAAGTGGTCTACTAAAACTGCTCCTCCTTGCCTTCATTTGCAGATAAAACTTATCATGATGATAAATTTTTGTACATCATGTAAGTAAAATTAGTGCTTGAAGTCTGTTTTATTACCAGAGTGTTCGGAGATGGTGCTCAAAAGCTTGACTCTCAGATTCACTGGCAGAACTCAAGAATGGAGTCCTGACGATTCCAAGTCTTTTGCCTTCGAACCCATGACGCTTGAGAAACTGTTTGTAACCACCGTGTGGAATGTACTTCGCTGCTTCTTGCGTTGCACCATCATGGTAATCAATTCCTACAATGGCGTCAAGAACGTAAACAGCATCCAATACGGTCCTGCAGGTAGGTCTGTTCCATCCACACACAAGGAATGAATTATGTTTCTTGAATTTAATAGAAGAGTTTCGAAACAACAAATTACTCTGTAGTTGGAATGACTGACAAGTTACTCGTTTGGTTGAATGCAGTATAGCTTATTAATTGCTTAAATGGAGAGAAAACAAAAAAAAAAAAATACACGTCAAGTTCAATTCATCCATATATATGACAACGAAGGTAGCAGCAACTTGCCCAGATTTAGACGTATAGCCTTTCTTGCTTATTATTGGGAAAACATTGATGATCTATTTTAGGCCTATCAAATCTCATAATTAAGCTGATAAGAATAACGTAAGATCATTCACCCAACAGTGTCTTGTCTAGCAGAAATTGGGATTACTCCAGCTCTGCTGGTAAGATCAACTGTTGTTTTTAGTCCTCCCACCACTAAGTTAGCGTTTGATGGACATAAGATGGAGCCATCAGTCTCAGTTCCTGGAGACATAGTTACCAAATTCGCTGTTACTGATATTGCTATTCACTACTTGATCCACAAGGATCTGCTGATAGAACATAAGGATTCTGCATAAATATTCAAACCGCCAGAATGTCAGTCTACCGAATATGTTTGATATTTTCTCTGTCCAAGACTTGCAGTCCAGTGAGCATTTATTCTATCAAAAATAGCAAGAATTACTAAATTCTGAAGATTAACGTAAACCACCTTTCCTTGGCCACCTCTAGCACTAAAACCACCAGGAGTTCTAACTAGCATGAAAGCAGACCACTCACTCAAGCTAGCCTTTCCAAAAATTATAGCTTCAGCTTTCCTTAACTTCACCACGACGCCTGCATCACGAGGCACGACTGATCCAAGCAGTGCAAAAGAGCCAGACGAGGTGTTCAACTTATCCTTGGTTGCAATGTTATCCTTGGGCAGGATAGGAATGCCATGCAGGCCAACCAATGAACCCGGCGCCTTAACCCTGCGCTCATAGTCAGCCCTATCAGCTTGGAAGAGCGCACCAGGGTTTATTTCCATGACCCCTTTAAGGATTGGGTTCAGTCTACTGATTTCTCCAATGTAGAACTCAACTAGCTTCCTTGACGTGAGTTTGTTCTGCTTAAAAGCAAGCTGGAGATCACATATGCTTGCTTCCTCGATTGAGAATCCATGGCTTGATTTGTCAAATGTAGAACTCAACGATTATATTGTTTGCTACTCCTGGTCAGGATCAAATAGACAACATTTTTTTTTAAATTCCAAGTAGCAAAAATTCAGCATCACGAAGAAGGGAAAAAAAAGAAAAAAAAAGGTTAGAATCAAGTACTAGAATAATTGCATTATAAATAAATTAATTTTTAACTTTTTTCAATCGAGTACATGAATTTTAATTTTTTTAGTAAACTATTTTTTTTAAATTACGAATTAACTACTTTCATTCAATTTTTTTTATTAACTAATGACATGTCTTTCGCTCTCAAAATATCAAATTATAGCTTTTCTTTTTTCTCAATTGAAAACATAAACTTTAATTTTATCAATCAAGTATTTTCATTAATTTTTGAAAAAATTACCAGAAAAATCTTCTTAAAAAATCTTATATCCAAGAAACCCATTAATTTATTCTTAAATCCCTCGGACCCAAAATAATATATATTGTTTTTTTTACAAAAACACCCAATAGTTAATTAACCTCTAACTTAACACTAGTTAACTATTGGGTCTTTTGGTAAGAAATTTTTTTTATTTTTAGTTTTGAGAGATTTAAAAAATAAATTGATGAATTTTTTAGATAGAAACTTTTTTAGAGTTTTTTTAATAGTTTTTATCTAATAATAAACTCATTTCATAGTTTTTAATGAGTTTGATATTTTTTTTTCATGATCAAGTCAAGTTCTTTTTTATTGCATTCGAAAGAAAAAAAAAAGTTTTTGAGGTTCTTTGACTTTTAAACACTAGCATTCGACTACCTTTTATCGACCATTTTTTTCTTTAATTACAAAATTAATTTTTTATTATACTAAAAAATTCCTTATATTCGAGTTTTTTTATTGACCATTTTTTTCTTTAATTGCAAGATTAATTTTACTATCTATTAACTATAGCAACCAAGGCAATTTAACTAATTAATATTGATAAAATGAGACTCTTGTCTTTCTTTTGTAATTTAATCAAAGGGTTATCATACAAATAAGAAAAATAAAATATGTATGATTATGAACATTAATAATTTCATAAATCCTAATATATTGATAGAAAAAAAACATCGACGGCAACACTAGTTTCTAATTAATAAAAAACTCAATATTTTTTATCAAACAATTAAATTAAATTACAAGATGAATGAATAATATATTTTAGTATATTAATTAAATAAAACATGATCATCCACAATAGAAATACATATCTTGAAAAATAATTATTTCATTTAAACTAGGAATAATTACAAAAATACCTTTTAAAAATCTTCGATCTAAAAAATTTGCTATTTTATTTTTAAATTTCTCGGACACAAAACAATATTTTTAAATCTTACAAGCCTAAAACAATATTTTTCTTATCAAAACAACCAATAGTTAACACTAGTGTTAATTATTAGATGTTTTTGGTAAGAAAAATATTATTTTGAGTTTGAGAGATTTAAAAATAAATTTGTGAGCTTTTTAGATAGAAGATTTTTTTATAAGGTTTTTCTAGTAATTATCCTTTTATTTTTTTATTTTTATTAATTGATAACATGTTTGAATATAAAGTTATAAAAAATCTATTCTTTTCTGTTGAAGATAACTCTCTTTAAATTATTCTACAATTTCAAATTTTGACAAAAAATTAAAAGATATTACTTTTTTTAGCTATAAAATCTCAAAGAGATCTAACAGCAAATTTTATTTTCACACCCAAAACCTAATTGAGTTTTTTTTTTTCTAACAAGTCAAACTGAGTTTAATTTAGAATTTTAAAGATGAAAATAATTTGTTCTTTGAAAAAAAAGAGAAAAAATAATTTAATATTCAAATATATTATTAGTTAATAACAAAATTGATAGAAATATTTAATTGACGGTTTAAAAAAAAATTAATACATTCAAATATAAAATAATAATAATAATAATAATAATTAAAGTTCATGTACTTGATTGAAAAAAAAATTGTAATTTGGTGTTTTGAGGGTGATAAACCCACTATCCATTAAAAAAAAATTAACAAAAATACTCTATTAACAATTTTGAAAAAATTAATGCATTCAAATGAAAAAAAAAGTTCATGTACTCAATTTCGAAAAAAAGAAAAAGAAAAAAGGTTAAAGGTCACTATTTGTCAAACAAATGCAGATGTTATGATTCAGTCCAACATGGGTACAGCATAGACTTTTTATACCCCGGATCAATAGCCTAAGACGTACAATGCTATCCAATGATGTCCAGGCTGTGGCTTAACATTAATACAACCAATTTATTTCAAAAAGAAGGAAAACTGAAACTGAAAAAACGGAAGCTGAGAACAAAGCAGATCCCAGTCGAGCAAAGTTGACTCCTTTCAAAGGATCCTTATGCTAGCTTTGATAGCATGAAAACAAATGAAGAAAAAAATAATGATTATTTCAAATAAATATAATGGTGCCAACCAAAATTTCTGTGAAGGAAGCATTCATTTCTTTTCTAAACTAAGAATCAATAATGACTGGTTCCAATCTGCAAAAAACATATCAACATAGGAAAACAAAGGGTGAAAAATGAAAACTATTAGAAAGCCTGATTAGCAGAGAAAGAAACTATTCTATGCCTCATCTCCCGTGCCTTTTGAACTGAAAACATCCTGTAGAACAAAATTTCAACTTTGGAAACAGAACAATAAAAAATTCTTGATGCAACTGAAACATGAATCCAACATAAATTTTGAACTCAAACTCAACTCTGCACTTGGTTTGTCAAGTTGTGCACTAATGGCAAATCATCAAGCCAATCAGCGTAAATCCGATTTATTTTCTTCTGTCCTTTCCCCTTTAATATGCATTTCGTACCTTGCTTCTCCTCAATTAAACTAGGAACATTCACCGTCATACTTGGAGACACATTATTAGAAAAAACAGGCGGTGGTGGTTTAGTCAAAATGGTGCCTGCATTTCCTGCTTCCACCTCAGTGCGTCCACCAGGGACTTGTAACTCTGAGTTCAATGAAAAGTTGAATTAATAGATAAAAATAAAAATTAACCCATCAATTGAGATGAGTTCTTTGCATCTTTTCTAGTGGAACACAAATATGCCCATATGATGCAACAACATCAAATACATGGATCAACTTTTCTAGTCAAGAAAATCAAAGGAAGATAAGACAAGTAGACAAATATAGATATCACACACATAGCTCGTATTGCTCACTCATATCAACATATATGCAAGCTTGTGACCAACTCTGTGTCTCTCTAATCGTAGAACCAGAATTGAGGATGCAAAAAATCATTATTACTGCTGCACCAGATAGGACAGTTAAAATTTCTAACTAAAATTGAAATTTTATTTTAGATAAAAAAAAGACTGTACTTTCATGATATAAGTGATGAATGGTTTTGCAGATGAGAATAATACAGCCTCGCAGAAAGTCAAAAGAAAGAAGCAAATCAAGACAATAGGAAGTGTTGATCCTGTTAAATATTAGCTTAAGAAGACTCAAAAGTCCCAAAAAACACAACTCCCTACGGAAATGAAAAAGGCTATTCTAAACAGTTATAGCGTGCATATAATTAGGAACTGATTATAAGAGAACTGACTGACCAAGGGATCTACGTCCAGAAAATGGAACTTTGAATATTAGCTAGCAGCTTAGCACAATATGGATTCCTCTACACAAATGATAAAGCCTTTACTATTCATGCAAGAATTTTGCCTCAATTCGAAGACAGTTAATTTGACATATAAGAGGTATGCCAGTATCTCAGGGACACTAAACATACAAAACGGATTTTTTAAGCTTAAACTCGCTGATCATCTTACTAAGAGCACAACGTCTTGGTTTATCTTCGGGAGCCTGGTGACTTCCCACTGATCTTATTAAATTTCATCAAACTATGACTCTAATAGTTACTCTTCGCCCTATCAGTTTACATATGATGAACGCAAATTCCGATATTGGGCTGGTGATCTTTGAAAAATGAAGGGCGTGGCACTTACAATTAGTTTCAATCAATTTCAAGCATAGCAACAGTTCTTCGTCCTTAAACAGAGAAATAACAATCAATTTTTTTGACCTTCTCAATGATTCTAAGCCCACAAAACTCTCATTCTACCACTCATCCCTTAGAAGCTATCAAGATAAGGAAAGGTGTTCCATCATCTAGATAAATTCCAATAACAAACAAAAGAAGAAAGTAAACATGGAAGGAAGAAACTGTAGTAACAAATTCAAGTTCAATATAACAATGAAATACAATTTAAACAACAAAAAGTACCTGCTAGCCCATGAGCAAAGTGACATTTCTCGCCAAAGGGGCATTGACCTGTCATCTCCCACTTAGTGCACAACTTTGTCTTCCAATAAACAGGCTTTGTTATATTTAAACGAGAAGCATCAGAAACAACATTGTTTGAAGGCCTACTAACTTCAGCAGCATTAAACACAGCACTTCCATGGCTCAACGGCTGCCCTGTAGTCCCAATACTTATTGCAGAACTCTCCCTGAACCTCCCTGTGTCCTCCCTGAACTTTGATGGATCCTCATGAAGGAAATTGCACCTATCTCCATAAGGACACTCCTCCCCATTATAAAACTTCTTGCACAACTTCATCTTGTGGATTATCCTCTGATCATCTTCCCAATTTGTTGCTGTTGACCTATCCTCTTCGCCACTTACACTTACACTTACACCCACTAGTTCCTTCCAATTTGGCGGAGGCTGCCTCAAGTCTTGCATTCCATGAGCAAAATTGCAATTCTCACCATTCCTACAAGTACCGGTCTTAAACTTTGCACACACTCTTGTCTTGAAAAAGATGTTGGTTGCTCCCTTATGGACTGGAAGGTTGTTTGTTGGTGGCATCCTAGAATTCAAGGATTGGTTGGTATTATCCTCAGAGTTTCTTGCTCTTTTATAAGGAGGTTGGTGTTGATGTAGTTCTAATTGCTCATTGTTATTCATTACAAATTGAGGCCACACACCAATAGCATCACTGCCTGATTGATATGAGGCCTGTGGTGCCATAAAAGAAACATGGGAATCAGGGTAACTCATATTTCTACAATGTAGAATTGAACTTATTCAGAATAACTAACTCAGGACTAAAAAACCCTTGATTTCTAACACTAAAAACCAACAAACCAATCAAGAAAGATGCAATCTTTAACACCAAGAAACAAACTTTTCACTAAAGATACGAACTTTTGGCTTGGTACTGAATCAATCAATCGAGATTGGGCAAAGAAAGGAAAACCCAGATGAAAAAAAAAAAAACTGAAGAAAATCAATAGAATTTATGACTTACTTGAGAGAAGTAATGAATGGTACATAAAAGAATTTAGGCAAAACCCAGAAGAGAAATTTGGCTTATAATGATAAAAAGTTTATACCTTTAACAAACAGGATTATATACAGAGTCCGAATATGAAAAGGAATGGCACAAACTAAACCCTAGCCGCCGAATTGAGTTGATTCATGGTATTTGCTAGGGTTTTTGTGATACCATATAGGTGATTCTTATTTGGTTTTAGGAGGCAGTCTTGAGTCAAAAGTTTTTAAATGGGAAACAGCAAAACGCCTTTAGGCATTTAATCTATGATTTGACGTTTAATGGATACTTGTTGATGGGCTGGCCCTTAGACGGTTAGGCCTATTTTATCGAACGAAATTTCATACCTAAGCTATTGAAATTTAATAATATCAAAACCGTTTAATGATAATACATGTTTTTCTGGCATCGAGGAAAAAAATATCGTAATGGTTTTAATTTAAATAATTGAGTATTTATGGATTGGTCGGTTTGAGACCCTCTCATTTATATGATAAACTCGCTTTTTGTCTAATTTTAACTTTTTAAGGAGATGGCCGATAGAACAAGAAACTATTCCTTTATTTCAAAAACCTGATTAAGAATTCATCAATTCTAATTTCAAAAAAAAAAAAAAAACTGATAAAAAATTTAACTAAAAAATTATTAAAAAATTCAAAATTTTATTTATTTACTTATAGATTTTTTTTACGGAAGAATTTTTTTAATTTTTATTTTAAAAAGACAAAAAAAAAAGAAATCAAAATTTTAATAATTTATGCCTGATTTTTTATATGTTTGTATTTTTTTTAATATTTCTATATGAATTTTTATTTTATTTTCTAAAGTCAAATAAAAGCATTAAAAATATATTTATATAAAATAATAAAAACTCAAACACATAAAATCAAATATTTTGTAAAAAAAATAGATTAGAAAATAATGTCTAGGGAAAAACATAAATTAAATTAAATATATTTCATCAATAAATCTATATTTTTATCCTTTATTGATAAAAGTAACAAAAATAAAATAATTTTTTTAAAAAATAAAGTAAAAACAAACAGAAAACCACTTTTTCTATAGTAAATATATAAGCAGTTAGATAGAAAATTAAAAGTTAAAAAAAGATGAAATTTCAGCCGAAAATGATGAAACTCAACTTTTTTATGACTTTTCTAGTGAGGTCATCGAAATTAAAGGTAACCAGTTTTTCTTTTTACCAGGCTCATTCGAGGCTAGTGCTCCAGGCCGAGGCGCGCGGGCTAGTTGCTCCAGGCCCAAGTGGGCGGGCCTGGTTCTTGTTTTTTTTTTTTCCTTCTATTCTTTAATTTTTTTAATCAAGAATTTTTAGGTAAAAATTATGGAACATGGAACATTATTATTTATGTTTTTCATACATTGCAGCGAGAATAAAATATATATACTATTTTTTATATTTTAAAATTAATATATATTTTAGATTATACTACTTTTATTATTTAAAATTTATTCTTTGAATCTGTCATTTATTATGAAAATTTCCATTCAATTAATATTTTTATATAAAATATATGATAAATATAATTCATTTTTCTCTATATTTGTATTTTATAATAAAATTTTAAAACATATTGGTTTTCTTTTTAAAAAATATACTCGATATAATATATATAATGAATTCTTATAATTTTTAAATGATAGTTGCATATATATATAAAGTTAAAAGTGTATTTAAAATAATTTATCTCAGTCCATTAGGTACGATTAAAACATATAAAAAAACTATCGAACCATCGATTTAATTAAAAATTAACTATACATCTTCATATATAATACTAACTATTTGCTATAAATATTTTTTTAAACACAATTAAATCAATTTTTTTGAAATAAAATAATTAAAATAATTTTAAAAAACCACATAATTATTTAAATATAATTTTTGTGTTAATATTATTGATTATTTTATAAATAAATATATATAGATCAAATGCGTATACTTTTAAAAAATAGTAAAGAAAAATGAAGAAAATCAATAGAATTTATGACTTGCTCGATAGAAGTAATGAATGGTACATAAAAGAATTTATGCAAAACCCAGAAGGGAAATTTGGCTTATAATGATAAAAAAGTTTATACCTTTAACAAACAGGATTATATACAGAGTCCGAATATGAATAGGAACGGCACAATCTAAACCCTAGCCGCCTGATTCATAGTATTTGCTAGGGTTTCTGTGATGTTATATAGGTGATTCTAATTTGGTTTTAGGAGGCAGTCTTGACTCTTGAGTCAAAGTTTTTAAATGGGAAACAGCAAAATGCCTTTAGGCATTTAAACAATGATTTAAAAGTACAAGATTTATACTTGTTGATGGGCTGGCCCTTAGGCGTTTAGGCCTATTTTCTCGAACAAAATTTTCATACCTAGCCTATTGAAATTTAATAAAATCAAAACCGTTTAATGATAATACATGTTTTCTGGCGTCGAGGAAAAAAATATCTTAATGGTTTTAATTTAAATAATTGAGTATCTATGGATTGGTCGGTTTGAGATACTCTCATTTATATGATGAACTCGCTTTTTCTCTAATTTTAACTTTTAAAGGAGATGGCCAATAGAACAAGAAACTATATATTTATTTCAAAAACCTGATTAAGAATTCATCAATTCTATTTTTTTTAAAAAAAAAGCAAAACTGATCAAAAATATAAATAAAAAATTATTAAAATCATTTATTTATTTATTCATAGATTTTTTTATGAAAGAATTTTTCTAAATTTTTGTTTTAAAAAGACGCCAAACAAAAAAAAAGAAATCAAATTTTTAATAATTTGTGCCAGATTTTTAATATGTTTTTATTTTTTTTTATATGTCTATATGATTTTTTATTTAATTTTCCAAAGTCATAAAAACATTAAAAATAAATTTATATAAAATAATAAAATCTCAAACACATAAAATCAAATATTTTGTAAGAAAATTAGATTAGAAAATAATGTCTACGGAAAAAACATAAATTAAATGAAATATATTTCATCAATAAATCTATTTTTGTATCCTTTATTGATAAAATTAAAAAATATATATATTTTTTTCTAAAAAAATAAATTAAAAACAAACAAAAAACCACCTTTTCTATGGTAAATATATAAGCAGTTAGATAGACATTAAAAATTTAAAAATAATGACAATTTAGCATAAATTAATAAAAAAAAGTAACTATTTTATTTTTTTTCCTTTTAAAATAAAGTATTCTAGCGTAAAATAGAAAAAAAAATCTTTCTAGCTATAAATAACTCAAAAGTTGGCCAAAAATAATAATAATAATAATAAATAACAAAACTTTTTTATTTTATGTTAATTTTTTAAATCATTTTTTCTTAAAAATTAGAACTAATAGAAGCTGGCATTTGTCTCCCTTCCTTTAAATTTCAAATTTGAAGGAAAAATTGGTTAACTTTAGACAGATGGACCTTTACTGCTTAATGAATCAAGATAAAAAAACGCCAAATGCCTAAATTGAAACTATAAGAATGCTTTGTCAAAAATCAATACTACAATTAGTGGGTTCGAGTCAGATAAAATCATTTTAAATTTTATAATTTTTTTATTATTTCATTAATTTTTTACTTAAAAAATCATAATTTATTTTTCCTTATGCATTGATTATTAAATAAAAACTTTTAATAGTTTAAACTGAAATATTGATGAAGAATTAAAAAAAAACTAAAAATAAGTTTTTTTTTTAATTATAAAAATGTATTACTAATAAGGTTACAATTAATGTATAGACTTATATAAAAATTAATTAATAAAAAAATATTTTTTATTCTTATTTAATACCGATGAGAATAATATTTTTTAAAAGTATATGCATTTGATTTATATTTATTTATTTATAAAATAATCAATTATATTAATATAAAAATTATATTTGAATAATTAGATGATTTAAAAAAAATTATTTTAATTCAAAAAAATTGATTTTATAGTGTTAAAAAAATATTCATAGCAAATAGTTGGTGTTATATGTGAAGATGTATAGTTAATTTTTAATTAAATTGATGATTTGATAGTTTTTCTATATGTCTTAATCATACCTAAAGGGCTAAGATAAATTATCTAAAATACACTTTTAATTTTTTATATTAAAATAATTATATTTTTATGTATATGCAACTATCATTTAAAAATTATAAGAATTCATTATATATATTATATTAGCTTATTTTAAATAAAAAAAATCATGTTTTAAAATTTTATTCTAAAATTCAAATATAGAGAAAAATAAATTATATTTATCTATAAATTTTATAGAAAAAAATTAATTGGATGAAAATTTTCACAAGAATTGAGAAATTCAAAAAATAAAATTTAAATGATAAGAGTAATATAATCTAAAATATATATTAATTTTAAAATATAAAAAGATAGTATATATATTTTATTCCCTCTACGTTGTGTGAAAAACAAAAATAATAATATTCAATGTTCCATAATTTCTACCTAAAAATTCTTAATTAAAAAAATTAAAGAAAAAGAAAAAAAAATGACCAGGCTCACTCACTTGGGCTTGGAGCAATTGGCTTACGCGCCTTAGCCTAAAGCACCAAAGCTCGTATGCGCCTGGTAAAAATAGAAATTGGTTACCTTTAATTTCAACAACCTCATTGGAAAAGTCATCAAAAAATTAGGTTTGATCATTTTTGGCATTTCAAAACAAAATTCATTCCTATTTTTGTCTAAAAACACCTTAAAATTACAGAAATAATATCAAAAATTCATTTAGAACATCAACAACATTTTGAAGCGAGACAAAACACATAAAATTTTAAATAAAAAATTCAAAATATTTTAAATTTTTCGATCTACCTCCTCTTATCATTTCATAATTTGTCATTACCACAAACAGATTCTACTCTATGAGACAAACAAATTGATGGTAAACTCGACCATCATAGTAGCCGAATAGGCCTCGTTGATTCTCTCTCTCCTCCCTTCTATCTCTTCTTATCATATAGGGACCAAAATAAACAAAAATTAAAGTTATAAATAGAAAAAAAGTTTAAAAAAGAGAGACCAAATTAAGTGTATATTTTCGGATAAACAATTTTAGTACTCGTGAATAAATAGTGATTTTAGAAATAATAAACGAGTGAATGAATAAGAAAAACGGAGATACTCGAACAATAAATTCACATTAATTAAATAGTGCTTTTTAGTTCTCTCTTAGTATATTTATTAATTGTTTCAATACCTCATTTTCATCTCTTATTCCATTGTAACTCCCCTTCATTTTCTTATTATTATTTTTTTTGACAAGTGTCTTTGTTTTCTTAGGCAAAGCAAACCACTCCAAATGTCAAAAATCACAAAACATGGACAAATTAAAGATTTGATGAATTGAATTCAATGGATATTACAGAATTTTCAATCCATATATGTTGAGATTGCTAAAAATTGCTACGATTTTTTCATTTTTCAATCTTCTCAATCAATCCTAATAAAACATAACTGTAGCTTCTTTTTTATAATCCAAAAAAATTTTATTAAAAAGCTCAAGCGAAAGAAAGCTCATTGGCGATAAGTACATGAAACTAGCTGCAACAGAAGGCAAACAGAATCCAGCAAAACAAAGTAATCAACAATCACAAGGAAACATGTCACACCGAAAAAAATGAAAAAAAGTCAAATCAGAAAGCAAATAAAAAGAATACACAGAGAAAATCCTTGTCATAAAGGCCGACGTATTGCCCAATGAAATAGGAATCCCTTCAAAAAATTAGCGTCCTAATTGTTTTCAAACAAGTCCATGATATTTGCATGCCAGATGAAAATAACCCTATATCACCTATGGACCAAAGTGACATTATACTCAAGAACAGCATCACTAGTAGCGACATTGAGAAAGTTGGTTTTGACCTTGGCAAACTCATTAGCCATCCTAAACTTCCCTTTTCCTCCAACGACCTCAAGCTCACGATCCCTCTTCGACACTGGATTCCTAAAAACACACTGAATGAGCTCCCATTAAACTTCTCAGTTGTAAAAGCAAAATCAAAGTACATCATTAAAGTTAGTTTACTAGCATCTTGGCTGGAAGATAAATAAAGCCCTGGTACATTCCCTATGATTTTCGAGTTCAGCTCAGGCACCACTCTAACATGATCATCAGCAGTGTCGAATGCAATGCCTCAGAAGCTGCTAATATAAGACTGTTGTTAGTGCTGATATGTAGCTGACAAGGATGTTGTTGGTCGAATTCTATCTGTTAGTCATGGACTTAGTGCCATAATAATCTCCATTTTATGCTCATTTTAGCTTACAATTTTCATGTATAAATTGATTCTTTATGATTCAATAAAAATAGAAATATCTTTATGGTCTCAGATTATCTTGTTTTTTGCTTATTTTTGCACTTTGTTTCTATAAAAACCAACAAGCGACAAATACGCTTCCAAATGGTGCCGGTGATTTGTCATCAGCTTGGGTACGATTAGATGCAGCTGCCTTGATTGCAATAGGGTTTTGGCCACTAAGAACGTCGTGAAGGAAGAAGTGAAGGTGAGTCACCTTCTCCTTCCTTAGGGCATGACTGCCCTTTGAGTAATATTCACCGTATGCTGGAACAATAGCAATATAGATGATCAAAGTCATAAACAAAGGCTCCCATTCTTACCATTTTAATTTTTGCTTTTCCTTAAGAGTTATTGAACAATTAGAATAGAATTTTTTTCAAGGTATCCAATTGTGCTCCTAGCCATAGACAAACCAAGTTTTTTGAGTAAACAATCGTAATGGAATGTCAAAAATAAAAAAAAGACATAAAACAGTTGTATTAGAATGTCATCTCAAAACATGCATTTTAAACAAAAACACTGAAAAAAAGTTTGAAAATATCATTATTATTGGAAAAAAAAAAGCTCAACTAGCCGTGATAAAAACCTGGGAAGGAAATTACTAAAGGATTTGGTAGCAATTAGTACAATAATTTTTTAATTAATGGCTAAACAAGGGGCATAAAACCAATTAAAAAGAGAAAAAAAGAATAAGAGGATTACAATTATATATCGCCTCGAAAGATTACTTCATGCAGAAGAAAGTATTAATTTAATTTTGCAATAAAAAAATAACTTGATTCTAGTCATAATTATTATCATGAATCGATCATTACTTCTTAGGGATTAATGGAAATTAATTTTAATTTGTCCTGGATGTACCGGATGATACTTTTTCTTCCGAAAACCACAACCCGAATTGATCTTGCAAGAGTGCTCACCCGCTATATTAATGGACGTCATTGGTAGGTTCGAAGTGAAACGATAAATCTAGTGGTTGAGAATCTTCTGCAAATTTTTTCGGAGTGGGATTTTTGGGCATATAAATTTATGTCACTCCTCCATGTTTAAACCAAGAAGAAGATTTGTCTTCGAAATATATTGCAACGGATCTAAGAGGATATATAGTGGGCATAATGGGCCAATTATACATTAGTTAGGAACCAAGCCCCAAAAGCAATGGGTCCATTAGCCAACCCGTCTAAGGAAACTAATTTCAAAGAAGCAGGCCACGAATGAAACCCGGTCCAGCACCAAAGATTCACAAAGCTATCAACTTAATTTGCAAGTCTTGAGAGACTGAAAATTAATATTCTTGCCCAGAAGAAGTGTTTTATTATAGAAGTAAGAAGTAGTTCATTAACACTAGGAACCACATTGGTCTTAATTACTTTTAACAAGTCTCAGTGGGGCATTTTACTAGGCTTTTAAGGCTTGAATGTAGGGGGCTTCCTAACCTTAGTAGCTGTTTCAAAGCCATAAGCAATCTCAATAAGCTTTGGCTCTGAACCCTTTAGTCCCCCAAAGCAAATGCCAAAAGGCACTCCCTCACTATTATACCCAGCAGGGACACTGATTCCTGGATATTGTCCAATTGCAAGAACAGACGTTACGGCACTAGTACTAGGTGCCACCAATGCATCTAGTTTGTTCTTCTTGATTAATTTCTCCAGTCCATTCTTGGAAAGTTTTTTGAAATTTGACACCAGTTTCTTCAATATAGCATCAACTTTCGATACATTTCGGCTCAAGAACTCGGATTGCTCGAAGAGGACTTGACCATACTCCTTAGTCTTCTCCTGCAAGACCAGTCAAATGAATCAACCAATTGTGAACTGTCTATACTCATGTTGGTTCATTGTCAATTATATGTATTTGCTCATGTACTAACCAGTTTGGAGAATTTTTTGTTGAAGGCTATCACATCTGCTAAGGATCGGACTGGAGATGCCACCAGCTGTTTTAGATATTTATTCAAAGCTGGCTTGAATTCGAGCAATATTGCAAGTGATTCACCACTCTGCCCGTTTGTGATTGTGTCAACATCGCTTATTTGCAAATTGTCTATAAGAACTGCCCCTTCTCGTCTTAATTTCGGAAAAGACAAAGAAGGTCTATTCAGCTTGCACTAATTTGCTGCAACATTATTGAAACTATTACTAGGAACGTTTGTTTTTTGTTACCTTAGTGTTTGAAAATGGTGCTCAAAAGTTTGTTTGATCAGAACGGATCCTTTATCGTTGCCGAAATTGTAAAATGGATCCCTCACTATCCCCAATCTCTTCCCTTTAAGCCCAAGAGGGTGAAGAAATTGTCTGTAGCCACCATGTGGAATGTATTTTGATGCTTCTCTAGTTGCAACATCATTTGAATCAAAGCCTACAATGGCATCAAGGACATACACAGCATCTGATACTGTCCTGCACATTGGCCTGCTCCATCCAACATGTTATATCAGCAAAATTAATCAGCAAAAATTATCACGGTTGGGTAAGAACAACAGATAAATATTGTTATATCACAGAGACGAGAAAAAGGTTAAGAATTCACCTACCCCACAGTGTCTTGTCTTGGGGTGATTGGGATAACCCCAGCTCTACTTGTGAGTCCAACAGTGGGTTTGATGCCCACAACTGAGTTGTAACTGGATGGACATAGGATGGAGCCATCAGTCTCAGACCCTAGTGACACGGCTGCCAAATTTGCTGCCACCGAAATTCCTGACCCACTGCTTGACCCACAAGGAGTCGCAGACAAAACATACGGATTCTTCAAGCAAAAATCATACGTCAATAATTAACACTGATCCTGCTTGTTTGTTCTTAGCAACAGCTAAAAGACCTTTCAAACTTTACAAAAGGATTGGCTATAACCACAATCAAACCCCAAAATCATCGTTTAGTTCAGACAAGTAACACCAAAAGTTCGTGAGAGATAGTAATTAACAGAGCATTACAAGCATTTTAAGCCCGATTAAAAGATTCATTTCAAGAAAAGCGTAAAACAATGCACTTGTGCAAGTGATTAATCAACTCACCTTTCCTTGGCCACTTCTCCCACAAAAACCTGAGGGTGCACCATTTGTCCTAAAATTAGCCCACTCGCTCAAGCTAGCCTTCCCTAAAATGATAGCTCCAGCTTTCCTCAACTTCACCACCACACCTGCATCCCGAGGCACAACTGAACCAAGCAGTGCATAAGAGCCAGCTGTAGTGTTCAGTTTGTCTTTGGTTGCAATGTTGTCCTTGAGCAGGATAGGAATGCCGTGTAAACCAACAGAAGACCCTGGTGTGTTGGCCTTGCGCTCTCTGTCAGCCTTATCGGCTAGGAAGATTGCATCAGGGTTTACCTCTATGACCCCTTTAAGAAGTGGGTTGAGCCTGCGTATCCGTTTGAGGTAGAACGCAACAAGTTGTCTTGAGGTTAGTTGGTTTTGCTTAAAAGCTAGCTGAAGATCATCTATAGTTGCTTCTTCAATGGAGAAGGCACCGCTTGTCTTGGTATAAAGCCCAGACAAATGTAAAAATGCAAGAACGAAAAGCAGTAGCGAATTGGTAGACATAGCTTAAGATGAAATGGAAAGAATTCCTGAATTGAGTTACCTAGCTGAGTTTTCAAGTCTGGAATGGAGTACAGCTGAGATAGCTAGGAAATGTTGCTGCCATAAATAGACAAAGCCTGCAGGAGGCAGCAGGATGGGATCTTTGTGTATGGTTCCTTAGGTCAAGTGCATACAATTATTAGGATGGTCAATTTAGATCTGGCCTGGGTTTTACCACTTAACTTCTGGGTCTATGAAAGTACGGATAAGGGTATTAATTAATAAAGCATTTCTTTTCTTTTTAGTCTAATTTATTGCGTTCCGTGCTTCAGGAGTGTGAACATGCTTTATGTCACATTACAATGATTGGATGAGAATGCTAGAATAGCAATAAGCTACTTTTTTTATAGTGGATTTTAAAAAGCAGAAGTGCACCTAGTCAAGAAGAATGATGGCTTGGACCAAGGTGGGCAGATTCGTAGAGCACTAGGCTAGATATTATGGCATATGCACAGTTTTGAGGCACTTGCGGCCCACATCTATTGATTTCTGTTTACATGGGCTCTGAAACTTGTTCACCGTACTTTAAGGTAACAGTCACTAAATCCCTAAACACTACAATGTGTGAAAGCTTTTTCTTTCTCTCCGTTTTAGAGCCTCTTATACTTTGAAGAGACATGTTCATTGGCCCACAAAGAGTAGTCACTTCGAAAGGAAAATGGAAAGGATTAGGTTTTTGAGACTTGAAATGTGGTGGGGAAGGCGAAAACAACGGAGACAGTTCACTCAGGATAGAACAATATATAGTTCTTTGAAAAAGAAAAAGAAAATCAGGGAAGAAAATATATTGATATATACACAGCCATTTGACCCAAGAGGTTGCAAAAGTTTGAAGCCGACGTAAGGTTTTCAAGGGCCTTCTTTTCTTTTGTCCAAAATTCTTAACCCAAAAGATCGTCAAGATAGATCAAGTTACGGCTTATACGGAGAATGGGGTTCTTACTGTCACTGTGACTAAGGCAGAAATCAAGAAACCTGATGGAGAGGCTGTTCAAATTACCTTTTGAATGAGATGATGCATTGATGCCTATTGATCTTGCACGATGGAAATTTTGTCCTGGCAATTACTGGTATTATTGTTTTTATCACAACCAGTGCTTGAAATTTCTTAAATTTTGTTTTGACATGATTGAACAATTTATTAGTTGAAATTTCTCAAGTTATTTAATCATACATAATTTAAACTTCAAAGGATCATTCTAGTTTCAAGATATTTAATCAAACTAAATTTAGTTGCTTGCTCAAAGCTATACGCAATCTCAATCCGTTTTGGTTCTGTACCCTTTAGTCCTCCAAAGTTAATGCCAAAAGGTACTCCCATATCATCAAATCCTGCCGGAAAATTAATTTGACGATGCTGCTTTCTCTATGTTTCCAATTCCCTTTGTGGCTTGAGCTGCTAGAAAGAGGTCTTGGCCAAATTCGCTGCTACTGATATTGCTGACCCACTACTTGATCCACAAGGATCTGCTGATAGAACATAAGGATTCTGCATAAATATTCAAACCACCAGAATGTCAGTCTTCCGAATATGTTTGATATTTTCTTTCTGTCCTAGACTTACAGTCCAATGAGCATTTATTCTATCAAAATAGCTAGAATTACTAAATTCTTAAGATTAACGTAAACCACCTTTCGTTGGCCATCTCTAGCACTAAAACCCCTAGGCGTTCTAACGGACAAGAAAGCAGACCACCCACTCAAGCTACCCTTTCCAAAAATTATGGCTGCAGCTTTCCTTAACTTCACCACGACGCCTGCATCACGAGGCACGACTGATCCAAGCAGTGCAAAAGAGCCAGACGTGCTGTTCAACTTATCCTTGGTTGTAATATATTCCTTGAGCAGGATAGGAATGCCACGCAGGCCAACCAATGAACCTGGCGCCTTAACCCTGCGCTCATTGTCAGCCTTATCAGCTTGGAAGAGTGCACCAGGGTTTATTTCCATCACCCTTTAAGGTTCAGTCTACTGATTTCTCCAATGTAGAACTCAACTAGCTTCCTTGACGTGCGTTTGTTCTGCTTAAAAGCAAGCTGGAGATCATAGATGCTTGCTTCCTCGATTGGGAATCCATGGCTTGATTTCTCCAAAGTAGAACTCAACTATATATATTGTTTGCTACTCCTGGTCAGGATCAAATAGACAACATTTCCTTACAATACTATACATTTTTAAGCTTCTGTTTTCCTTCTGGCGTGAAACATGCACAGAATATATATATATATATATAAACACACACATACATGAGGGATTCAATTTTGACTGTTCAATTCAATGGAAACATTATTTATTTATTTTTATTTTTTTGTATGAAGTCGAAGAATATATTATAAGTAGTAGTAAGAAAAAAATTACAACCAAATTAAAAAGTGATTAGACTTCTGTAGTAAGTAATGCCAATAACATGTGGACAGTAGTTAATATATATATATATATATAATTTTTTTTTATTTAATGGCAAAAATTACTTCTAAACTATTGAGTTAAGAAAATTTAACATCCATATTATTAATCTAGGCTATTTAAATTCCGAACGGTTAATTTCTTGAAAATTTTTATTTTTTTCCTTTATCTCTAACAGTCAAAATGTTTATTGAAATATGGCTTAATGCCAAAATTTAATCTCAAACTGTTAGAGTTGTGAAAAAAAGAACATTTATATTTTTAATTTAAGTTATTTAAATCCCAAACTGTTAATTTCTTGACAAATGTTATCTTTTTATTATTATTTACAACAATTAAAGTATTAACCGTTAATTTAAATACTTAAAACAAACGTCGTTTTAAACATTTCAAAATAAACAGGCTTTATTATATTTAATCAACATTCAGCACCATTAATTTTATCTTGATATCTTAAGATCCTCTCATTTATAAGATAAAATCGCTTTTTCTCTAATTTTAACTATTAAAGGGGATGGCCGATAAAACAAGAAAATATTTATTTATTTATTTCAAAAACCTGATTAAGAATTCATCAATTCTAATCTCAAAAAAAAAAAAAAAAAAAAAAAAAAAAAAAAAACTGATCAAAACTTCAAATAAAAAAATCATTAAAAAAAAATTAAATTTTTATTTATTTAGTTCTATATTTTTTTACAGAAGAATTTTTTTAAAAAAAATTTATTTTAGAAAGACACAAAAAAAATCATTTTTTAATAATTTATGCCGGATTTTTTTATATGTTTGTATTTTTTTTAATATTTCTAGGTGATTTTTTATTTTATTTTCCAAATTCAAATAAAAATGTTAAAAATAAATTTATATAAAATAATAAAATCTCAAACACATAAAATCAAATATTTTTTAAAAAAATTAGATTAGAAAAAAATGTCTACGGAAAAAACATAAATTAAATCAAATATATTTCATCAATAAATCTATATTTTTATCCTTCATTGATAAAAGGTAATATATATATATATTAAAAAATAAAGTAAAGAAAAAAAACACTTTTTCCATGGTAAATATATAAACAGTTAGATAGAAAATTAAAAATTGAAAAAATAATGAAAATTCAGCATAAATTAAAAAAATAACTATTTTATTTTTGTCCTTTTAAAATAAAGTATTCCAGCAAAAATAGAAAGAAAAAAAAAGGAATCTTTCTAGCTATAAATAACTCAAAAGTTGGCAAAGCAAAAAACAATCAGCAATACTTTTTTATTTTATCTTAATTTTTTAATCATTTTTTTCCTTAAAAATTAGAAATAATAGAAGCTGGAATGTGTCCCCCCTTCCTTTAAATTTCAAATTTAACGGAAAAATTGGTTAACTTTAGACAGATGGACCTTTGCTGCTTAATGAATCGAAATATAAAAACCCCAAATGCCTAAATTTGAAACTACAAGAATGTCTTTGTCAAAAATCAATACTACAAGGACCTCTTATGTCTTTAGACCAAATCAAATTCAGGCCCAACTCATTATAATTTACAAAATAAAAAATTTTAAGGTGCTGTTTGATATCGCTACGGTTTTCTGTTTTTTTTTTTTTTTGCTTGTAAGAAAATAAAAAATGTGTTCAGTTGCAGTCTTGCGTTTATTTATTTATTTATTTATTTTTGAATAATTTAAAAAATTATAACAAATTTTAAAAACAACAAAAAATGCTTCTTTTTTTTAGTTTTTTAATTATTGGATGTCATGTTACCAATATTACAATAAAACTAAAAGAAAATGAGAAATCACAGTAGCATTTCACTGTTCATTCATTGTTTATCTTTTTTTTTTATTTTGATCATTGAAATTTTATTATATTTAATTTTTATTCTTATAATAAATATTAAAATTTTATTACAATAAAACTAAAAGAAAATGAGAAACCATTGCAACACTTCACTATTCATTCACTGTTTAACTTTTTTTTTTTTTGGTTGCTAACTTCCAAGATTTTACACTTTTTTTTTTTTTTTCGTTTGGGTTGCTAGCTTCCAAGCTTTTAAGAAAATTGTTTTTTATTTTGGTCCATTTTTTCTAATCTTTTTTTTATTTTGATCATTAAAATTTTATTATATTTAATTTTTGTCCCTACAATAAATATTAAAATTTTATTATATTTGATTTTTATCCCTATAATAAATATTTTTTCTTAATTTTTAGTAAAAATTTATGTTCTTTTTTAATTCTTATTTTGTGATATGTTTTTATTTTGGTCATTAAGTTTTATCATGTTTGATTTTTATCCTTACTATACAAAAACTAAATAAAATTTACTATCTCAAGCTTTTTTTTTTTTTTTTTTGGCTTTTAGTGAAACTTTTCTTTTTATTATAATTCCTATTTTGTGATTTTTTCTTTATTTTCGTCATTAAATTTAGTAGAATTTTTTTTTTGTTTTAGTTCCTATTTTGTAATTGTTTTTTTTTGTTTTTATCATTAAATTTTTACTATATTTGATTTTTTTCCATGCAAAAAACTATTTTTTACTTTTTCTAAAACATTTTGTTACATTTCGATTTTTGTTTTGTGATCTTTCATTTATTTTGATCATTAAATTTTTATTATATTGAATTATTATTCATTCTACACTAAAATTAAATACACTTTAACTATTCTAAGGTTTTTTTTTTTAGTAAAAAAATATTTTCTATTTTTATTCTTATTTTATTAACTTTTTTTTATTTTAGTCATTAAAATTCTATAACGTTTTACTTTTGTTCTTGCCATATGCATAATGAATTTTTTTAAGACTTATTGTTTATAATTTTTTTTAGTGAAAGTTTTTCTATTTATTTTCATCTTTGTTTTTTTTAATCATTTAATTTTTATCATGTATAATTTTATCTTTATTTTCTTTGCCAAATTCTCGATACGATAAAGGTTTTTTGTCTTTTTGTTTTGAGTGGTTTTTCTGTCTCATTAACAAATTACGGATGAATAATATATGGCAAAAATTGATCATCTAAAATTCAAAAAACTATCATATTATTATTTTAATTTTCAGTTATTATACATATTTTAATTATATCAAACAATATCTAATCAGCAATATTATATTATTCAACTTTGCGGACTTTTCATTTAGCTAACCTTGCTGTAAATTATAAAATAAATGTTTTGGTTCTTTTTTTTGAATTTTTCTCACGTGATACTTTTAAATAATTATTTCTAAATTTCATATTGTATAGCTCACCTCGCGGTAACACGCGAGATGTATGCTAATTAGCTACTATACCACCATAATTATCACTACACTATCATCTTCATATGTATCACTACCGTTGTAATATCATCACTATCACTGTGATTATCGCAACTACCACTTTCATTTCATTTTTTTCCTGCCAACATCTCTTTTAACATTACCATAATTATTATTAACTTTACTAACATCATGATCTCCATAACTTTCACAAACATATTGTGACTGGATTTAAAACTATCATATTATTGTAACCACTTACGTTATATAATTATCTTCCGTTACAATCATCATTATTTACCAATAAAATTATAATCATAAAAAAATTGATATTACTATATTCTTATTATCGTTTTTCATATCATATTATTTATTCATCATGTCGTCATTATTATCACTATCATCACCATACATGTTAACCTCATAATACTACTCCTTAATAATAATTAAATTACATAATATTATTACTTTTTATAATTTTTAATTAATAATATATTATTATATTTTTTAATTAAGTTTGAAATAATAAATTTTTCTTCATACGTCTTTGTTAAAAAGAATAAACAAAATTTTTTAGAAATTAGCTTTTGATTTTTTTTTAAATAACGCAAAAAATGGTATCAAACGAAATCTAAAAATTTTAACAAATTTTTTTTTTTGAATTTTTAATCAATTTTTTCTTGAAATTAGAATCAATAAAAAAAAATCTAACACGTGTTCTTCTTTCATTTAAAATTCAAAATTAAAGGAAAAGTTACTTTTTTAAACAAAGGAACTTTTGCTGCTTAACGATCCAAACTATAAGAACCCCAAATGCCTAAAATGAACTATAAAAGTGTTTTTTTCAAAAATCAATACCACAGGACTTATAGTTTTCTTAAACCAAATCAAAACTACGCCCAACCCATTGCAATTTACAAAATCAAAATTATTAAGTTGTTGTTTGGGATCACCAAGATTTTCTGTTTCTGTTATTTTTTTCTAGAAAAAAATAGAAAATTTGTTTAGTTGCGCTCTTGTATTTATGTTTTCCATAAAGGATTTTAAAAATTTAATCATATCTTAAAATACAACAAAAAGTAGTTTTTTATTTTTTTTATTTAAGTTTTTTAATTATAGGATATTATGTTATCACCACAATCATCACTACACCATCAATATTACCTCAGTACTATTGTCTCAAATAACACTATCGTCCTAATACCTTCACCATGGTTACCACAACACTACATTCCTTTTGCTTTTTCACCATGGCCACCTCTTTTAACCTTACCAAAATTATCATTAACTCATATTATCGTATTGTTATGATCATTTTTAGCATCATATCAGTTATTTCTCATTACTACCACCACTACTATACATGTTATAATCATGATACGACCATTTAATAATAATGATTAAATTATATAATATAATTGCCCTTTATAACTTTTAATAATTATTATTACTATTATAGTTCTTATATTAACTTTGAAATAAGAATTTTTTTCTTCATAAATATTTGTTAAAAAAATAAACAATTTTTTTAGAAAACAATAAACAATAAATATAAAAGAGTTTTTGATTTTTTAAAATAAAATCAAAAACAAAAAATGGTATCAAAAGAAATCTAAAAATTTTACTTTTTTTTTTTTACGGCCAAGATAATTTTTAGGCCGGCCTTGACACGTGAAAAGTTGAATTTAGAACAAGTTTAACAAAAACAACCAATCGAGATTCCTTCCTTTTTCGTTAAACCACAAAAACATCAAAATTCTCTTGGAATAGGTCTATACACAATTCCTCAACAATCCGACTAATCATGATGATGATGGAAAAACAGGCACTATAGCTGTTCATTCTTCAGAGGGGCATGATCGTCTGCCTATAGATACCCTTTTGATGCAACGCTGACCTAGCCACCAGGATGCTTCTGGACTACATTATTACAATCTCCATTTCAGAGGAGAAACGAAGACAAGTTCAAAGACTGCAAACGATCAAGGCCTTATTGAGCTTCAAAGTCAGGATATCTTAGGAGCAACTATGAGTTAACAATATAGTTAACAATATATACAATGCCATTTTCTTGGCTTCTTCAAATTGAGCCGGCTTTTTCTTTTTTTTTTTAAGATAAATTTAAGGTATTCGTGATGATTTCTGCATCAATGCAGAAACATATCTCTACCAGCACAAAGGACAAAATCCTTGTATGCAAATCATTCATCACCAGTAACGAAGAAATACATGCTTGATAATTTGAAAATGTCGATGAATGTATCTTTCCTGGTTTCCTTATCAGAATGCTTCAGCAGTTCTACACGAAAATGCTAAGTTAAAAACTTCCAAATAGAAACTCTGTAGTCATTTGAAGAGGAGGCTTTCTTATCGCGGTAGCTTGCTCAAAGCCATAAGCAATCTCAATTAGCTTTGGTTCAGTACCCTTTAATCCACCAAAGCAGATCCCAAACGGCATTCCATTGATATCATATCCAGCTGGGACGGTAATTCCAGGATACCCACCAATTGCCAGCACAGACACCGCACCTGAACCCGGTGTCACCATTGCATCCAATTTATTTTCCATCATCAGTTTCTCAAAACCATCTCGTGAGAGTTTTTCCATCAACTCTATAGCCTTCCTTTCTTTCTCTCCAATGCCATTCGTCTCCTCTGCTGCTATGAATGTGTCCTGACCATAATCTTTGGTGTTCTCCTGCATTTAACAGAGCCATCATTGATAAAATTAACTCCTTAAAGAATTGTTCATTACTTTGTTTTATATGGCTAGCTCATGCCTTAAATTTCCAAAAATTCATCAAAACATAATGAGCTGTAATTTCTAAGGCCAGGTTTATTGAATAAGAGAAATAAAGCACTCACCAGAAGAGGGTTATTTTTGTTGAAAGCAATTATGTCAGCAAGTGACCTCACTGGAGAACTGATAAGGTCTTTCAGGTAATCATTTAAGGAGAGTTTGAACTCGGCCATCATTAGTGTCAATTCACCACTTTGCGATGGATTGACAATAGTATCAATATTTGCTATCTCAAGATTGTCCACTACAGTGGCTCCACTTTCCCTACATTTTTCAAGATCCAACGCGCATCATATAAACTGGACTTTGAGTAGAAGTAAAACTTCATATACAGAACCTGTTCTAGCTAGAAAAATTACTAAAAAATCACTAGCTCAGTCTAATGCTGTCAATACCTTAATGTCTTCAGGTGATGCTCAAAGATAGGAAATGTGGATTCATTCAATGAATTAAAAAATGGGTTCCTAACTATCCCCAATCTCTTTCCTTTGAGCCCATTTGGATTGAGGTATTGCTTGTAACCACCAGCAGGTATGAACTTGGCTGCTTTATGCGTTGCTTCATAATCTCTTGGATCAAACCCCACAATGACATCAAGTACGCGAACTGCATCGGAAACTGTCCTGGTTATAGGCCTGTAGATTCATCATTGAGAAATTCTTTCTTTGTTAAAGATTGCAGATGTTATGGCTTAGTTCTATTAGAGTTATTTTGGCAGGTTTGTATGCTGTTAGGTAACAACAAAAGACATGAGTTAGGACCTTACCCAATGGTGTCCAAGCTAGGTGCAACTGGGATAACACCAGCACGGCTAGTGAGACCAACAGTGGGTTTGAGACCTACAACAGAGTTATGATCAGAGGGACAGATGATGGAGCTATGAGTCTCCGTACCAAGTGATACTGCCACCATGTTTGCTGCTACTGAAATTGCTGATCCACTACTTGAACCACATGGATCCCCCGTTGCGAGGTAAGGATTCTGCAAGTTTTCACAGGTCAAGCATTGAATTCCATTAGGGACTACTGACTTGTTGGTTTAAGCCTAGTATTATCAGTCCATATGTACTCCAAGAAACTAGGCACAAGAACAAGTTCAAACATTGATGTAACAGCACCTGTACAAGTTCTCTTTTATCAACCCAACCTTCACTTTGATAAAGGGATTCTCATCATGTGCGTGTTTTGATTATTGCAAGGTTCATTAGTATGAAACTACATTGCAATACATTCTTCGTTTTTCAATCCCAACCATTCTATATATAAGCAGAATTTAATCCTAGGAAGATAACCCAATCCATACATTAGCTAAACATAATAGTAAAGGAATTCGGTAATTTAACATTATAATCATTAACAGTTCCAAGACATTAATCACAAGCAATGTGCATTGGAGCAAGCCACTAGGACTAATTTAAGACTACTTCCATCTTAACAGCCTAGCACTATAAAATCCTATTAAAATAAGCAAAATCTCAAGATAAAAAAGGTTGAAAGACATAGCATGAGAGAATTGGAGAGAGCTTACCACTCCTTGTCCAGCTCTAGCACACCAACCATTAGGTATATGACTTAAAGAACGAAACTTGTACCATTCAGTAAGACTAGCTTTTCCCATTATAACTGCACCAGCCCTTCTCAACTTCTCCACAACACTTGCATCTCTGCCCACCACTGATCCCACCAAAGCATAAGACCCAGCTGATGTGTTCAACTTATCTTTCGTCCCAATCGTGTCCTTTAACAACACTGGAATCCCATGTAAGTCCCCTAAGTTTCTCCGGCACTGATTTTCTCTCCTTTCTTTATCAGCATTTTTAGCCTGGTCACGTGCATCTGGATTCACCTCTATTATGCTGTGAAGCAGGGGATTAAGAGTTTTGATTTGGTTTATGTAGAAGTCCACAAGTTGTGTTGATGTCAGCTTGTTTTCTGCGAAGGCTTGTTGGATTTCCTCTATGGTGGATTCTGGGATGGTGAAATGTTGGCCATTGATTGTGATGAACATTAGGAAGAAGAAGATCAATTGCGGGAGGAGGAAAAGAGATGGAAGGTTGACCACCATTTTTTTGGGCTCTGTTTCTTGAGAAATTTTGGTTTAAGGAGATCGAACGTCGAATCTATATATACATATATATAAAGAGGAAGGTGAAATGGCAATAAAGTGGCATTTAATTTAGCATAATCCTATTGGGTATTCCCTTGTTTTGATATTAAAGTAAGAAAGAGGCTATTGGCAGAGCATATTTAATTTATCACAAGTTCATGACAAAGATGACCTTGGCTTTTTTATCCCTTTGGTCTCACGCGGTCACCCCCCATGACTTCACTACTCTTCTTCCTCTTCTCAGAGCCAGAAAAAATGGGGGCTCTTTATTTACAGCGGAGTTTCCATGGCCAAATAAAATGAGAAATAGTTCATTCTTTAGAGCCTCAATCCCTCACCAAAGTTCCAATTCAAACCCACAAAAAAAGTCACTAAGATTAATCTGTTTTTGGTTTTTAGGTCAGAAATCTAAAAAAACTCAAGAATAGAACTCAGACGAAAACTGTCTAGATTTGCAGACCTTCTTGACCAACAGGAGTTCCTTATCCCAAAAGTTTGATGGTTCCATACAGAAGCTAAAAAGAAAAAAAAACTGTAGAAGAACACATCTTTTATACATGAAAACAAAAGAACTGAAAGGTAAGAATGTATCTAGTCTAAAGAATGGTTATATATACAAAATCCTATCTGAAACAAAACAAAACAAAATCTTCATAAGAAGAAAAATTCAAAATCTACCACATTATTAAATTTGTTGATTTTTTTTATAAAAAACTTCTAATTATGTTATTGTCCTCCACCATGCATGATTAGATTGCCATCTTCATCCACCACCACAAGAACCAACCAGAGTCTTTCATTGCGCCTAAACGACTAGAGCAGCACTATGGCATTCAAGTTGAGAACGCTCATGTTCCTATACAGAACTTGTTCCCAGCTAGAGCACACATAAAAGAAATCATCCCACGCATTCCAATTCCTCAATGGCATGTTGCCAAACATGATGTTGGTCTCGTAATGGCATGGTTCTAAGCTCTTGCCTTGTGGTATCAATATTTCCTCCTGGTTTGTTAGGAAAAATTGTCCACCATGAGCGTCTACTGGGATGAAAGACGATCGTGGTGGAAGCTATAACCAATCTCAATTCTGTATCACCTACATCATGATTTGTGTTATTAATAGGGGCCCTGCCGATTCCATCACTCTCAGCACCTTCGAGAAAAAAAAAAAAAACAAAAGCCGGAGTTAATTAGCTCGGCAATGTTCCCCTGATGTAGAGATGGAAATCCTTAGAAAGTTCCGAATCTAAGTTTAAGTGGACTTAAATTGCTTTGGAATCCTTAACTTAGTGGACTTAGATTGCTCTTAGAACATTAGTTGAAGTGGAATTGTTTTTTTCGAAGCTAGTTTAAGTGATTTAAATGGCAAGTCATTAGACAAATAGAAGACTTTACGGAGTATTGGTTCTTTGTTTTGAATTGAGAATCACAAAAGCAACAAATATTTCTCTTTGTGACAAGGATAATCTAAGTAATCTTGATATAAGGAAACCATTATTATTTTTTTCTTTTCAGATTCACAAACGTTATGGTTAGATATACCCAAAATTTGTTCCTTCCTAAATTCCAAAATCGTTTTCAGCATGTGGTAAAGTTTATTTTTCTGGATACATCTTGCTGAAAGCACCAGTTTATTTTTCCAATACAAAATGTTAGAAGCACCTGTCCTAAGCATCTAATTTGTTGATATGGGAATGGACTTGTTTACAAATATTGACTTGGTATCTATAGTTAAATGAAATCCTCCAATTTCCCTGTTCCAACTTCCAAGAACAAAATTCAAAAGATTTAGAGTTCGGCTAAATCTATTTGGCTGGACTTTAAATCAAATAGGAAGAGAAAATTTAAGATATGCAATGCAATGATTCTGTCTCGCGCTTGAGTTTGCGAAACTGGTCTTTGCTCAGCATGTGCCAGTCTTATTAGTAAGAATTGTCTCAAGGATTCTAGTTGGACACACATTCTAGTCTAGTTTGCTCGCTCTTCCTTCTTCTTGATAGCAAATGTTTATTACAATTAGCAGATTCAAAATGTAGTGGGAAAACTTTTGATAGACACTCTAAAGAGCAAGACAAGGAGGCTTGCGAGACAGTGTAGCCTGCTCAAAAGAATAAGCAACCTCAATCAGCTTTGGTTCCATCCCTTTAAGTCCCCCAAAACAGATACCAAAAGGCATTCCAATGCTGTCATACCCTGCTGGAACTGTAATTGCGGGGTAACCTCCAATAGCTAGCACGGTAGAAGCAGTTGTACCGAGTGTCACCATGACATCTAACTCATTCTCCTTCATCATTTTTTCAAATCCTTCTTGTGACAGTCTTTCCATACGCTTCACTGCCTTAATCTCCTCCTCTCCAAGCCCATTTGTCTTCTCCGAGTCGATAAGTAGTTCCTGACCATACATTTTCAGGTTTTCCTGCAACACACAGTGGCATGCATGCCATATCTTAAATCAAAGGCAGAAACATGCAGGAATCTCCTAATTGATAGGGAAGCACAAATTGAGGGCCACTGTAATTTGTAAGTCGATTAATAGCGAGTTAAGTTTCTCTGCAACCTTCTTTTTGCTAAGCAAAGGATCACTAGATTCAGAAACAACTAACCAGTTCAGGATTATTGGTGTTGAAAGCTATGATGTCTGCCAATGACCTCACAGGAGATTCGACAAGTTCTTCAAGGTACTTATTGATTGTTTCCTTGAACTCAGCTAGCATCACAACATTTTCACCACTTCGATCAGAATCCATAATTACATCAATATTTGCAATTTCAAGGTTATCCACTACAGTTGCACCTCCTTGCCTACAATTTCCAGAAGAGGGTGGGTAAAGTTTTTGTAACGCAACTGGAGTATCAACATTGATGTGTGTGATTGTGTCCAAGTAGATTGTACTTATCTCTGCTTATGTTCAACACATACCTCAATACTTCCACATGGTGGTCAAATGTTGATACAACCTCATCCTTGAAATATCTCACAAATGGATTTCTGACTATGCCCAGTCTCTTCCCTCGTAGACCATCTTTTTTCAGAAACTGTTTATAACCATCTGCAGGTACAAACTCAGCTGCTTCTTTTGTTGCTTCGCAATCTCTTGGATCAAAACCAACAATCGTGTCAAGAACATACACAACATCCAATACATTCCTGCATATAGGCCTGCATTTTCATTTCAATGCAAAATCATCTGTTAAAACATCTGCAAAAGATAAATGGAAAGCTACAGAGCAGTTAACTAATGTATATTTAATACCCAAACTTAGTCTGGCCGAATTACACACCCAACTGAATCCTGGCGGCGTGAAATTGGGATGACACCAGAGCGGCTGGTGAGCCCAACAGTTGGCTTGAGCCCAACAACTGAGTTGTGATCTGATGGGCAGAGGATAGAGCCATTAGTTTCAGTCCCCAGTGATACCGCCACCATGCTTGCAGCTACTGATATTGCTGATCCACTGCTTGACCCACATGGATCGCCTCCTTCCACATACGGATTCTTCACATCCCACATAAAAATTGATGTATTTTCTATTATTATCACACTTGTTAACTGATTATTCTAAAAAAATTGAATGCTTGAATTTTCTCTTTAAAAAAAATCAAAACTGCAAAATCAGTACGTACCTTTGAAAAAAAAAAAACGAAAGAGAAGAAAGAGAGCTCAACACTGAGGATTCCTTTATAAATTTGTTTTCCAAAACTCTATATTTCTATCAGGTTTATACATTTAGCCATCAACATTAGTAATAATTGGCTAAATTAAGCCTATGGGAGAAACAATTGGAGAAAATCTTCATGGCGATGTATCATTCATCCAATTATAGAGTTGAACGGCAGTTCTAAGCCATTGATTTGGACCATTGACAGCCCAGCACATCATTGCAAAACGAGGATAATTAGTGTCTCAAATTTATCAAGGGTTATACTAGGTTACTAACCATAATGGGGGGCAGAAAAAAAAAACCATGAAGAAAGAGAGAAAGAAACTAACCACAGCTTGACCTCCTCTAGCACACCAACCAGAAGGAATGCCACCACGAGCCCTAAAATAGCTCCACTCACTAAGACTCGCCTTCCCTAAAATCACAGCACCAGCATTCCTCAATCTCTCCACCACGTGAGCATCAACTGCAACCTCGGACCCCAACAGGGCATAGGACCCACCAGTGGTGTTCAACTTATCTTTTGTCGCTATGTTGTCCTTTAACAGCACCGGGATCCCATGCAAATCCCCCAAGAAGCGACAGCCCTGATTTATTTCCCTTTCTTGATCAGCCTTTTCAGCTTGCGCTATTGCGTCTGGATTCACTTCTAGTACACTGTGAAGAAGAGGGTTCAGTTCTTGGATTTGGTTCAAGTAGAAGTTGACTAATTGTTTTGAGGTTAGTTTGTTTTCAGTGAAAGCCTGCTGCATTTCTTGGATTGTGGCTTCCTTGATTGTGACTTGTGAACCTTTGACTGTGTTCATGATGCTTAATGGTGAAGAGAGATGATTATTGGTGGGTTTTCTCTTCTCTCTCTATGGCTATAAGCAATTGACAAGGGTTTGGTATACCTTGAGCTCCCATCCATGAAGGGATTAATTTATAATTACAAAAAAAAATTAAAAGATTTGGAAGGATAATTTATAATTTATAAAAAAATAATCTTTTTTTTTTTTTAGCATGTAGCCTGGCAACGAAGAAATATAATTTTTCAGATTATATGGAAACATCTATTTAATTTGTTAATTTATTTTTTATTTAATGTTATTTATTAAAAAATATATTTTTTTTCTATATATGGATTTTTCAACAAAATTTTAGAATATGATCTTTTTAAAATGCATTAATATAATTTATATGATTTTTAAGTGTGAGCAAATTCTTATAGTTTTTAAATTAAAATAGCAAATGATGTTTTTTTAGTTGAAAATTTTTTAAAAACATAAGGAATAATCAATTAAATACAAAATTTTGATTAAAAATTTATTATATTTTTTTTAAAAAAATACGAAGAATTACTAGCTTTGTACAATGCTAAAACCAGCACCTTCAAGCGTTCGGGTGACGTTCAAAAACAGGAATTCAGGAAATTCAGATTCATTTAACAGGTTAAAAAAGAATGGATTTCTAACAATCTCCAATCTCTTCAGTTTAAGCACTGTTGATTAAGGCATTGCATCAAGTAAGTAATTAAACAATTGAGACGGAGGAGAAACATCGATCCTAATTAAGGAGAATGGACCTTTGATCAAGTAATCCAAAATCAAGGAATTAATAAGGCTTCGATAAAAAAAGAAAGATTCAAAATCTACTACATCAGTAAATTTTGTGAATTAATAATTAATAATAATAAAAAAACTCTAATTATGTTCTTGTTCTCCACCATGCATGATTGGATTGCCTTCTTCATCCACCACCGCAAGAACCAACCAGAGTCTTCCATTGCGCCTAAACAACCAGAGCTGCACTATAACATTCAAGGTGAGGACACCCATGTTTCTATGCAAAGCTTGGTTCCAGCCAGAGGTTAACACATAGAAGAACTTATCCCACACCTCCCACTTCATCATTCGCATGTCGGTCTCGTGAAGACATGGTTCTACAAGTATAACTTCTAAACTCTTGCCTTGTGATATCTATATTTCCTCCTGGCCTGTTAGAAATTGTCCACCATGAGCATCTATTGGGATTGAAAGACGACTGTGGTCGGACCAGAGCAATCGTTTAGCTATCACCAATCTTCGATCTGTATCAGCCTCCATCATGATGTGTGTTATTAATGCAGGAGGCCCTGCTGGTTCCATCACTTTCAGTACCTTTAGAAAAAGGGAAAAGACCAAGAGGAAGCAGAACGAGGCAGAGTAAATTATGTCCGCAACAATTAGCTATGGTCCATAAGATGGTACTGAATTGCTGATGTTGTCTATTTCCGAATTGTCTTCTAAAACTGCACCTTCTTGTCTTCATTTGCAGATTACAAGTCGATCTTAACTTTTTTCTTCCGGAAAAAAATTTGCTATTGGCACGAGCAATATGTGAAATGATAAAATCATCCTGAATTATTCAATCCACATTTTATTTTCCTTAAAATCTGAACAATTTGGGAAATTTTGTCAACATTCTCCCTTGCGTTGATGCTAATACAAAGATTAAACTTGCTTACGCACCGGGGCCTCAGGTATATTTTCTTAAAAGAAATTTATCAAAATATGGGCTTAGCCTATGAAAACATTGATGAGAACAAAATCTAGATCCAGCACATGATCCGTAATATTGGTATACCCTTCACATGAATGTAAGGTCACTAGAAACATCAAGAGTAATCCTCACTCCAAAGTCCAAAATTATCAGCTAGTAAAAAGAAAATTAGTAAAAGTTTAACAAGATATATGCAAGATAAAGTAACTAAGTATCAACATTTTCAACCTATCTGTTCAAATGTTTAAGAATAGGATTTTAACTCAAGAATATTTTTCTTAAGCTAATATAGATTCATCTAATCAAATATTACTCGATGGCTTGTAGCTTTCACAAGAGTTAATGTTAGGCTCAATCCTCATCACTACCGACTGGTCTCTAAAGAATCAGAGAGGACGAGAGAGATTTCAGCAGTGCAATGCCACAGGCAACAGCATATTTTTGTTACGTTCATAAAGCTAAAAAGGAAAATAATATAAGTTAAGTTAGAGAGAGAGCTTTTGTTTCAAGTCCAAAGAGAAGGAGAAAGGAGGCTTGCGGGATAGAGTAGCCTGCTCAAAAGCATAAGCAACCTCTATCAGCTTTGGCTCCATTCCTTTTAGTCCTCCAAAACAGATACCAACTGGCTTTCCCTTGCTGTCATAGCCGGCTGGGACTGTAAGTGCAGGGTAACCTCCAATAGCTAGAACTGTAGAAACATCCACGCCGAGTGTCACCATGACATCTAACTCATTCTCTTTCATCAACTTTTCAAATCCTTCTTCTGACAGCTTTTCCATTAACTTCACCGCCTTCATCTCTTCCTCTCCAAACCCATTAGTCATCTCCGCTGCAATAAGCAGCTCCTGACCATACTTGTTCATGCTTTCCTGCAGTGGTCAATGGCATGCCAATTGCCTTGTCTTAAAATCAAAGACCAACAACAATAATAAAGCCTCAATCCCAAACTGATTGGGGTTGGCTACTAAAATCCAAGACCAACTTATAAAAATGTGGTTGTGTAGCTGCAGAATCTTTTGTAGGATAGTTCACTTGAAAACGTAAATATTTCAACTGAAACTCCCAACGTGGTAAATTTGTAGTTGAACAGACGAATTTCCCACATGTCATTTTAGGCGCAAAACATGGAGGGGTACTGTCCTTGATGACAGAAGAGCATAAAATCACAGGCGGAAGGATTTTGTAAACTGGTTTAAGCAAATTCTTCCAGTGAGCTAGTTTCTCTGCCTATTTGATTTGTTAGGTAAAGCATGATCGTATTGAGAAACTACTTACCAGATCTGGATTATTATTGTTGAACGCGATGATTTCTGCCAGTGACCTCACAGGAGATTTGATTAGTTCTTCAAGATACTGGTTGATTGTGAGCTTGAACTCAGCTAGCATTACAATTGCTTCACCGCTTTGGGAGGGATCCATAATGACATCAATATTTGCTATTTGAAGATTATCCACTACATTTGCACCGCCTTGCCTATAATATCCAGGTCAAATTTAAGAATAAGGAGCAGTATCAGATTCCAGTGCAGACAATTTTGGATACTGGAATTTGCTCATGAAATTGACAACAACTATGCTACTTAAATGTGTATGATTTGTCCAAGTTGATAGTACAATACCTTAACACTTCCAGGTGGTGGTTGAATGTTGATATAACAGTTGAAACATCGAAGGAGTCCAAAAATGGATTTCTCACTACGCCCACTCTCTTCCCTTTGAGCCCATCCTTTTTCAGAAACTGTTTATAACCACCAGTAGGTATATACTCAGCTGCTTCCCTCGTTGCTTCAGAGTCCCTTGGATCAAAACCAACAATTGCATCAAGCACATACACTGCATCTGACACTGTCCTGCATATAGGCCTGCATTTTTTCATTGGTATAAAAATTCATCAGCTAATACCTCTACAATAAGTAAATGGAAAGATGCATTGAAGGTCAGCCTATTGACCCCACAGCTTACTTTTTTCTCACAATTTGTCTTTGATTTTCTCTCTTCAAAAGAGTATTGGAGAAATAAAAAAGTAACGTGTGAATATCAGCATAAGAAATAGACATGTTATCAGGCCAGCACTGCATCCATGCATCTCGAAATTGTACCATTACAAAGAAAAACTACAGGGAAGATAGTTCAAAAGTTCTTTGTTCTTACAGCAACAGAATCAAACTGAGTGTCTTGAGACTTCATCATTACAAGTTTTCAAGATTAAAAGAAATGCGATAATTGGCTAGCTTACCCAATGGAGTCCTGGCGAGGCGAAATTGGGATGACACCAGCCCGACTAGTGAGGCCAACTGTTGGCTTGAGCCCAACAACTGAGTTGTGATCTGCAGGGCAGATGAGAGAACCATCAGTTTCGGTCCCCAGTGATACTGCCACCATATTTGCAGCCACTGATATTGCCGATCCACTGCTTGAACCACATGGGTTTCCCGATTCAACATAAGGATTCTGCACATGTCCACATGAAGTTGGATTTGACTAATCGAAAGGCTGATGATTCCACTGTTAAGCAAATTAATAACCTTGTATTGATATCATTACTTATATTTAGCTATTAACTTCAACAGTAAACAAGTAATAACCAAATAAAGCCAAGTTAGAAAGAAATTGATAAAAGATCTTCATTCGTTCCTATGTTTCATCAAAGCCTGTAATCTAATACAAGAGTTATTATCCATATAACACCAAGAAATGCTACTCAAATTTGAAAACCTTTTTGCTACTATCAATGAAAACTGACTAAAAATTCAAATTGCAGTCATTAATGTTTCTCAAAATCAATAAAGAAAGAAAGAAACTAACCTCAGCTTGACCACTTCTAGCACACCAACCATCAGGAATATCAAAAGACCTGCAATGATACCACTCATCAAGACTGGCCTTCCCTAGAATCACAGCACCAGCATTCCTCAACTTCTCAACCACGTGGGCATCACGTGCAACCTCTGACCCCACCAAGGCATAAGATCCACAAGTCGTGTTCAACTTGTCTTTAGTCGCTATACTGTCTTTCAACAGCACTGGAATTCCATGCAAGTCCCCCAAGAACCAACGGCCCTGGTTTCTTTCCCTTTCTTGATCAGCCTTTTCAGCTTCTTCTAATGCGTCTGGATTGACTTCTAGCACACTGTGAAGAAGAGGGTTCAGTTCTTGGATTCTGTCTAAGTAGAAGTTGACTAGTTGTTTTGAAGTTAGTTCGTTTCGAGCAAAAGCTTGTTGGATTTCTTCGATTGTCGCTTCCTGTATTGTGAATGGTGAACACTTTATTGTGTTGACAAAGAGGAGGAGCAGAGAGATTGTTAATAGTGATGGAGAGGGGAGAATTCTTGCTGGGTTTTTGAGGATCTTCATTTTGGTTCAAGGGTTGAAGGTCCAAAGTCAAAGTAATGGAGAGAGGGAGAACCGAATGGGGTAGTTTGTTTAGGTTGCCTTAAAATTTAAAAGGAGCAACTTAGCGTTGGGCACCGGACAAAGCCATTGATTTGATCAGCCAATGGTTTTGACCCGTTAGATTAGCATAATTTTTGGGGCCAAAAGATCAAGTGTTGTCCTTATGATTCTTAATGTCCTTCTCATTGATTTGATAAGCCTCGTTGTTTCAATGAAATCTGAAAGAACCTAGGAAAAAAATATATCAAAAGTCAAAAGCAAAGAAAAAGATGGCAGAGCCAACCATGAGCTTAATCGAATTTGGCATGGTTCTCCATAGGGGTTTGGAACAAAGCAATGGCAAAAAATCTCCCTCTGTTTTTTTTTTTTTTTTTGAAAACGACACGTACTCCCTCTGTTCTTGATTTCACAGAAAGAAAGCAAGGGAAAAAAAAAAAAAGAATAATAAGCCACACAACCCAAAACGACACCATTAAATTTAGAACAAAAAAAAAAAAAAGAAGCTCTTATTTTATTACAGAACGACACAAATTTCTATCAAAACTACATCATTTTCATGTGCTTTGAGCAAAACGACATCGTTTCTTCAACTGCAAAACCATTGTTTCATTGAACCCTTCTCTTTTAGTTTCTTTAATTGCTGGAAAACTTTTTAATGTTAAGAATAACTAGTGACATATACAGTAATTACTCAATAAATTCACTTAGAAGAAAGAGATAAACATATAAAATTACATCCGAACCTACCAAAGGTGATAAAAAGATTTTCACATTCGCTCAATTTTTTTTTCTCTCATGTTTTTCTCTTTTTTGTGTGTGTCTATCTTTTTTTCTTTAAATAGGACTATGGAGTACCTATTGTACATTTCACTAGTTAGTGCTTGAGTATTATAAAATTTCTCTTTAATTGCCAAGAAAAGAATAACGAAAAATCAAGAACAAAGGAACGAATTAAAATCCAGAGACCAAGATCAAGAATATTCATTAAACTACATTTAAACCCTAACATGCCCCAAATTAAGAATCAAGCCATGATCTACTTTCATAGTTTGACAAGAAAATCAAATTTAAGGGAAACCACTAGTAAATTATCTGCTTCTTATCCTTTTATTTTTTGGAAAACATAATCCAAGGGTAAAATACACTCAAAAATGAATATTGTAGGACAATATCAATAATTGGTAAATGGATACATGTCATAGTACTAAACTAGCATCAAGAATAAGGTAGTAACAGTAACCACTAGTAAATTAAGAATCAAGCCATGATCTACTTTCATATTCAATGGACAGACAAAAAGCCAATGAATATTATACATCATTTGCAAGTAGTGAATTTGCAGGCGACTCTGCCACCATAACCAGAATTAGCCCTCATGAATCTCAGAGCTGTTAGGAGGACACTTCTTTGGGAACCCATTAAGGCCCAATTCATGCGTGTGACAACACTTATTGCATTATAAGGGAACTCTATACTGTTATAAGAGTTCAGGAGGGCGGTTGTTCCTTCTCTCAGAAGAGTCCTATAAGGGTCACCTCTCCCTTGCAGACCTTGCCATAATGTCATATCTGTACCATATCTTCGAGTCGCAAGCAACCCGAAAACAACACCTACCTTCATGTCAGGGTTCACTGCCCTCCAGTAGCATTTGTACTCTGGCATAGTCCAGTTCCTGAAAAATTACTTTCTCCAGTTAGTGGAAACATAGATCATACAGGTCTACCATATTTGAAGTCCTAAGAACCAAAATAATGAGCCCTTAATAATGAACTTACTGGTGTGGACATGCTGATGCTTCTAGGAATGGAGCTGGTGGCATGGGAGGCAAGGGAGGCAGTGGAGGCAATCGAGGCATTGGAGGAAGCCTGAAAGCTGGAGGAGGTGTTGTAGGAGTTATGGGTGCTGGAGGCATTACAGGCGTTACAGGTGTAGGCACGGGGTTTGCAGACCTTGGACAAAAAGACATGGGTTCAGCAGGCTCAGTGAGCAAAGTATCCACCGAGTAAAACTCCGTATCAAACATCCTGAACGTTAGTCTAAGCTTTTGGGCAGGACCAGCTGATACACCACAGCCATTTGAACCCTGACCACTGCTTGACACCTGAGCATAACAATTGCTCAAATCTGGGCTGCCATCAAACCTCATTATATAGTTTCCAAACCAATTTGTAGTCTCTTCCCTTGACGTTGTGATTTGACTATTACCATCAGCACAGGCCATTGTAACTTTGATTCCTGCAAAAACAACACTGTCAAACGATTGCTACGAAACACAGGCAAGTGGATATCAGGAATGCAGTTCTTGACCATGAAGGGTTTTCATCTCACCATAAATGGGATAGTCAAAGAGAGATATTTGGCCATCCTTGCATTGGTCACAAAAGACAGTACCAGTCACTGTGACATCTGCTAGAGTTCCACCAACAGCTGTTGCAAAAATAAGAAAGGCACAGAAAAGAAGTTTGTGTAACCAATCCATGTTTCTTGAAGGATACAGAAGTTACAACCAAGCTTTAAAAAGAAGAGTAAAAAGGCTAGCTGTAGAACAGAAAGGTTATGAACACCCCAGCAAATGTCAAAAAAGAAGTAAATGAGTAGAGATGTTATTAACTCTCAACTACCTGTATTTATGAGATGCTGAATTTTTTTTTTTTTGAAACAAAGTTAAGTACGGACAACTTGTTTAAGACTAGTGATGATAAATGGATCCCATTGTCATGTGGCATGGGTGGCAGGTCCTCTAATTTATTGCTACACACACATTCTGATTGACAGGAAGTTCTCATTTTGAACCTTCATTGTCCTAATTTGCACTATGTACTTGAGAAATTCCTAGATTGGTTGAGAATTCAATCTTGTTACTAGAACATTAATTTTGTTGAGGCTCTAACCAAGATGGTTGAATCATCTAGAACGAAACCAGCTCAATTAAGCTCTCTTAAAAGTTCAGAAATATTCTGCCTAGCAAGCAGCCATATTCATGGGAGGATCTTCCTGGCACTACTATATCAGAACCCACTGCGTGTATCATCATCATCACACTAAACTTCGAAAATGTCATTATATAATGTCTAGGAGTTGGTTCAGTTGTTATTGAATTTGTGACGATATTATCATCTCAGATTCAATTTTGAGAATAGGCCGTCGAAAAGAAAAGAAAAAATAAAAAATAGTAAAAGCACCACTTCAAACATGGATGGTTTGTTTAAAAAGAAATTTAATCTCCATGCGTGACCTGAAATTACTTTTACTGCTATAACAAAAGAAAGGTTTTGGACTTGAATCCATTAAATATTTTCCTAATGGAGCAGCATTCTAGCCGTCCTTACCTAACTCATTCATGGCAGAATCAATTTTATTGTAGACGTTTGATACGTGGTAAGCTACACAGCCGTTATCTTTTGAACTTTTGGCGGTGGAGGAGGATGTTAGTTAGTTAGCCGTTGAAGTAGCAAGAAGCATTGATTGAGGAGTGAAAGAGACGCTCGTGCCAACGTAGAGCCAAGCCAATTCCCCTTCTCTTTCCAACTACAACGCAGGTACATGCATTGCATGTGTGGTCATATTGATGCGGATGCCTACCTTTTGCCATGCCTTTCTATTGCCTACAGAGAGCTCGCGCGTGCCAACTTTAAAAATAATCGAAGGGTCTTTACTCTTCTAGTCCTATGGTAATCGTCTCTCCACTTCCAAACTAGCTCTGCTTTTTATTGCGAAGGCCCTTCACGCATATGATTCTGATTACAGTGTCCCTATCTTCACAAACTTGAGGAATAAGATGCATTATTTTATAGAGTTGTGGACGTTCCACGCAATCTGTTTTGACCACAAGATGGGGAATCCTCCAACCTAAGAGGCAAGCATCGGCAGTCTCCCGTGTGGCCAATCCTTGAGGAATAAAAGGGCAGTAGTGGGTACAACTATTCTAAACACTCTAGAACTTGGAATTTTCGTAAAGGTTTCTTGGACGTCAACACTTTGCTAATTTAGGGATAGGATCATGTGATTTAAAGAGAATCTTCTTCTATCCAGAACATGCTCCAATATGTACTTCAAACACCGACGCAAGCTGTTGCTTGATTGTTCGTACCCGGATTGCTTATTGAGCACGTCCAGTGTTCTACCCGTGTAAGGCTCATGGATTTGGGATGATTAGACCTTGACGTCTCCCTATATATAACCAAATAAAAAAGATACTTCAAACATGTCCAAGATGCGTCCCGGAAGAGATTGACGCCGGCATTCCATTTGTGTACGCCTACGCTCCGTAGTTCAACTCATCAAAATACAGAATGCGTAACTCTGCCAGGAGGTAAAAGAACAAAGAAACACAAGCTTATTTCAGATGTTCGTGCGCCTCACTTGAAACCAATTAACTGGTCCTTAAACCTCTACCGGCAGAATTCACACCAGCAGTTCTGTTATAATATCATCAATTTTACATGGGATAAGTGTGCGAAGCCCTGTTCACTTTAGCACTCATACTAGAAATTTACAAACATGAGATTTAACAGTCCGAACACGCTGAAAAATCAGAAGTATCAATGCACATGCGAGTCTCTTAATTTATTTAGACACAGAATTCCAACAATCAAATTCGGCACTCAGAATGAATAGAAAGGAGAAAACAAAGATGAATGAGTAGTAATGTAATAATACATAATCTTAAGGTTTCAATCCCAACTATAAAACAGGCTATAAAGGCAAACCAGCATTAATTACTTGTAAGCCCTACCAAAATTGTCTCAACATTGTGTTCAACAGTAACAAGAGTCACGGCAAAACTCGCACAAATATAAAGGAGAAAACAAAACACCTTCGACTACCAATAAATTAAATATTCCTACTCTTTTTCTTTTTTCCCAATCCTCAGCATTTCATTTGCAAAACTCCATCTTCAATTTCCTTCGGCAACTTCACCCTCAGTAGCAAGCCCATCCTCAACATTATTTCCATTCTCAGTTGCATCGGCACTGTATATAAGGAAATATTAATTTCACAAAATTAAGCAGTTCACTACATAGCAATTCATACATAATCAAAGACATGATTTGCAAATGCCTAAAACTCTTAACTTTCACCTTTGATTTGAAATAGCTTCCATTCAATACTACTTGCCTCAGAAAACAATCATAATCAAACAAACACTGCAAAGAGAAACCATATCATGGCGAAATACTTTTCCAGTAGGTTTTATTATCTGATATGACATCACCAGTTAATACTTAGAACAATTTTAGGAGGCAAGAATCCTGACATATCTGCATAACTAGAATATCCAGAGTGAGTCATGATTTTGGAAATATATCGACCAGTTTAACACAAATTTAAAAGTAAAGAATCTTTATAACTTCAAATCACACAAGTTCGCAAAGACCTAGTAATTAGCTCCAGTCCACAAAGCTAACGCCGATCCAGATCCATGTGTAATCCAATGTTATGAATATAAAAGATTCTCTTGCTTAATACAAGAATTCCCAAAGAGGAAATCAAGGGTTGTAGTCAAATATTTCTCTAAAGTTATAGAGAAAATCAGGTTTAAGATAAAAGCAATCACATAAAGTTCAGTAGCTCAGTTCCAATCTAGCAAGCACGAACAGGAATGCAACAGGAGGCACCATCTAATCAGATTCAAACAACTTCCTACGATTTTGAGAGCACACGAGCTCTCAAAAACCGACAAGTGAGTAGAATCAGCACAAACGATTGTATCAGGTTAACATTTCGTCCTACAGAGCTAGTAAATAATCTTAAGGCTGTATTTCCCAAGTACACACAATTCAAGAGATACAACTACCTCCCTCCCAATTAAAAGAATCAAAATTATGCCCCACAGACAAAAAATAAACTAAGCAAGAAAGAATACCAGTATACCATCTAAACTAGCCTAACATCTCCCAAGCAAACTAGATCTAAATACACATCACTAATCAGCCAACTAATCAATGAAAGAGCTTATAAGACAAACCTCTGTGGACGAGAACCAGAATCAGCAACATCCGCCTTCCTCCAACTTCTCTCATTACCGGAACCTCCACGACCAATCCCAAATCCACTTTTTCCATAGGAATCCCCTCTCTCCAATTCCTTATTTCTCTCGCTGCTAATTTTCACAGCCTCCAGCTTCTCATCAATCTCCTTATAATCCATCCCTTTCTCCTTCAAAACCTCCTCTCTAGGCCTCGCATCTCCAAACGGGCTTGATCCTTTAGGCTTCGCTAACACTCCATTCCCATTACTGACAGGTAAAGTTCTTGGCTGTAGCTTCAATTTCGGCCTCTCACCACCACTAGCACTGCTAAAATGCTCATCTTTCTTCCTCCCCCAATTATCCGAATCAGCAGCACCACCGCTAAACCCATGCCTTTCTCTCGATAAGGAATCAAAACTCCCTCTCTTCTCAAACCCACCGTTATTCCCTCCACCAAATCTCCTTGGCCCTTCATTAGCTGCCTTATTAGAAACCCAGCTCTCCGATTCATCAGCTTTTGACTGAGAATCGAAAAAAGAAGATCCCCTCTCCCTTTCCCTCCTCTCATAGCCATTCCCTACTGGCGATTTCTTCGTTTTCGACCAATCATCAATCTCATCAGCTCGCGAAGGAGCAAATTCCCTACTCGGATCCCTATTAGAAACCCTAGAACTTCCGTTACCACCGCCACCACCCCACCTCGAATTTGATTCTTCTCCACCGTTACGATAATTTGAACCATACGATTTAAACCCACCGCCGATGCGGGCCCGGTCAAGCTCTTCAGCGGAGCGTTCACGGGGCCGAGTTGGGAGATTGAGGAGATCAGGCTCATGAGTCGGCTTAGTTGATGAATAATTAGAAAATTCAGCTAAGGAAAAGGTTTGGGTTTTTTTCTTTTTGGGTTGTTTGGTGGCGGCGGCGGCTGCTAGAGAAGGGAACTCAGCGACGCCACCGAGTGGTTCGGCGGCTAAAGTAGATGCTTGTTGAGAACTTTGCTGTTCTTGTTGGAGTTCAGCTTCTTGTTCTTCGGCGTCCAAAGCCCACGCGCCGGGTTTGCCCCAAGGAGAAGAAACTGTTGCCGCCATGGTTATGTTGCTGTTTTCGTTCTGTTGCTTTTGTCTCTCTTAAAAGGTTTTGGTTTTGAGGATGTAAGACTGCGTTCGTTGGCAGCAGAAAAGGCAATATAAAGGGTGAAGGGTGTGGATTTGATCGGACGGTGGATAACGGGTGCTGGAGATTCTATGAGTATTTGATGGTGGGGATTAATTCATAGTTTCAGAAATATATACGGATTTCGGAGTTCCATTTAGGAAGTGTTTGTTCTGCATAAAATATTTTTATAGGCAAATGTTTTTCTGATTTTTCTTGTTTGATTTCTGTAAAATATTTTATAGAAAAATAGATTATCAACTATCTTACAAATAATAATACACTCAAAATATGTTGTTAAATATTTTACAAATAATAATAAACTCTATTTTAATTATTATATCATTATCATTATTGTTGTTACTATGATCATCACTATCATCGCTCCATCTCAAATTTCAACCACGTAAATATTTTATAACCATCAATTATTATTCCATCATCCTTACCATCATCCCTATTTTTTCACTACCATAAAAATAATAATATATCATTATCATCATTCTACTACAATTATATATTTCAAGTCACTACTTAATAATAAAAAAACATGTAAAATATCGCAAAACAGGCTACTTTATATAAGTGTATTTTGGAATAATGAAATTGTAAGGTTTAAAATTCTAAAATATAATGTGTATTTCTTCGACAAAATCTTAATAATTTTAATATGGTAAACTATTTACTCTATTGAATAAACTTCCTTTATTGTAGTAAACAATTTGAATTCCTCACTCCCATTATGGATAGTTTGTTATAAACCACACCAGAAAAGTGGATTTGGTATAAAAACATCAAAACTTCACTCCAAGAGCCATTCTAAATTTTAAATTGATTGGAAAATTCAACACCAATATAAAAAGTTATTTAAAAAATATGTTTGATAAATCCATTATTTTAGATTGTATAAAAAAAAAAAAAAACTGTATCAACACATAATTATTTAACCAAGTAAATATTTACCACATGCAGTGTAATTAAATCAAGGGATAATTACTAGAAAAACCTCCTAAAAGAGATTTCTATCTAAAAAACCCAACAATATATTTTTGAATTTATCAAACCCAAAAAAAATTATTTTTACCAAAACACCTGCTAATTAACTATCAACTTAACACTAATTAATATAATTTAGTTGTTGACTAAAATATCCTTTAATACAATCAAAATCCTATTTCTTTCTTTAATATTTTTGTCGATTGATCATAGACGACAGAACAATAAAAATCATCAAACACATATAATACATAAATCCAATGAACTTTTCATCATTCAAAGGTTTTAACTATATTTCTCTAGGTATGTTACGTTCCTTTTCAATAACAATTTTTGGAATCAAATAAATGAATTTCATGATCTGACCTTCGGTCTTGCTCAGGGAAATTCAAATATCATAGCACCAGTTTTTTAAGAACTAAATTGCTAGCAAAAAATTGTTGAAATAAAATTAGCAAGCCACTTTTTAAGAACTAAATTGCTAGCATGGCAAAACCTTTGGCAGCCCACTCCATCCCAACTAACATAACACAAGGAATTTAATCTTGTTAAACAAATCAACACAACAAAGTTCAGTTAGAAATTTTCGGCTAAGCTCACTCAACTTAAATTAGAGAAATTAGATTGTCCTTTTCTTATTTTAGGGGAGTAGTATTTAATATTCAAAAGCTTCGATCACAGATGAGTAAGTACCATTCAGTTACGTCTTCTGCCAGTAATTGTTAGCTGCTGGATTATGCTTTGGACTCCATGGAAGGATAATTTTTTAATAGAATTCTTTGTAAAAATTTTTAAGATAAAAATTTTTTCGTTTATTTATCATTATATTTTCTATGATTAATTGGCAGAAGTGTTAAAAAAAATGTTGACAATATAGAAGGATATTTTAATCAATAACTAAAATATATTAATCGGTGTTAAGTTAAAGGATTAACTAGTGGGTGTTTTGATAAAAAGATAATTATTTTGGATCTGGTGGATTCAAAAATATATTATTAGGTTTTTTAGAGTGAAGATTTTTTTTGAGAGGTTTTTCTAGTAATTATCTCTTAAATCAATACATATTTTTAAAAATCTATATATAGATGACATTTCATTCTATTCTTTTCTGCTTAAAAAATACCCCGTTGGTGGGAGTAATTATAAAAATATGATGTTAAAGGTGTTTTTCTTTGCAGCTTCCTTTAGAAAATGACTCCGGGCATAAGAAAAAATAAGTAAAAGGAAAAAGTTATAGCCTTGTGTAATAGTGATTTTCACTGCAGTAGGTGGAAAGAGCATTTTTTTGATTTTTAAATATTTATACTCGAAGTTTACATAATGTTTCATTGTGGTCTCTGAAGTCTTAAAATGAAACTTTTAGTCCCCTTGTTGCTGCACGCTTACGCACATTTTGCATTGGGCATGACTCTTTAGGCCCAAGTGCTGAGGCTTGTCTTTTTTTTTTTTCATTAATTAATTTATTTATTTATTTAAATTGGGAGTGAAAATTATTTAAAAAATTAATTTTTTTTAATTTTTTCACATAAGCCGATAATTACCTAATATATATGATATGTTTTTATATATATGTATATTATTCTTATTGCTTAAAATTAATCTCTTTGATTTGTCATTTCTTATAACAATTCTAATCAAGTTAATTTTTTTATTCTTTTTTATGTAATTTTATTTATTAATAAATATGATTTATTTTCTCTATGTATGAATTTTTAACTAATTTTTTGTAGCTGTTTTTATTTACTTAATTCTCATGTAATCAAAATTTAAAATAGAATTCACTTGTTTTATTTGTTATTCTTTATATAATTAAATTTTATCGAAATCAATTTTGTAGTTTTTTTATTGTATTCTATTAACTTTAATATATTTTTTACAACTTAAATTTTTTTAAAAATATTTTTCGATTTATATTACACATTCCGACCTCGTGAGTACGGTCATGATGTATAAAAATAATAATACCGAGTCATTAATTTTATTAAAAATCAACTATGCATCTACAAACATAACACCAAATATTTGTTATTATTTTTTTAATACTTAAAATTAATTTCTTACAAATAAAATAATTGAAATAATTAATGTTTTAGAAGAACTACCTAATAATTCAAATACATTTTTTTATTATAATATTATTTTTTATTTTTTAAATAAATATATATAAATCAAATGTAAATATTTTCAAAAAATAAAATAAAATTTTTGTCATCATTGAAAAAGATTCTTTTGTTAATTTTCATATAAATTTTCATATTAATTATTATTTTATTTCTTCAATGCAATCTTACGAAAAAAAATATTAAGATATTTTTTTAAAAAAATTATATTAAATTTAGTTTATTATGGATTCTTATTTTAGAATAAATACATAAGAAAAAACAAATCGTGTTTTTTTAACTATAAAATTTATTCAAAGCATAAACATAAAATAGATACAAAATTTTGATTAAAAATTATAAAGTTAAATGAAATTTATATTTTATATTTAATTTAATATATTTTAATTGATCTATGATATAATATATATTATTAAATTAAAATAAATATATCTAGTTGATTATGCAGGGTAGCGCGAAAATACTACTAGTTAATTGCTGTTGTATGTTACATGGGCTAACAATACGTAGTTACCATTACATTGTGGTTGAGCGAACAGAGGGGAAGGTGCTCCCCAGTTGCTTCTGCATTTGGACTCGTTCCACGAGATGTGTGACCTATTGAGCAAAGTTCTCAGGTGATAAAAAAATAACTTAGGAGTAAAATTGATAGAAAAAATAATTTAGATGTGAAATTAATAATACCTCAATAATTTGACAGAATATTCGATGTTTGCCCATTTTCTTTATGAACAAGGATTTGTATTTTTAGATAAATTATTATCTGGATACTAGATTAATGTACTTTGATTGATATTTAACTATAAAAAAGAAAATGGTCTGAGTCTTTTAGGTTCTTTCGCCCCTAAATAATATTAAATTTAATTTGATAGATAAATTCCGAGGACCAACAATTTCCGCAAATATTATTGTACTTATATTTTAATATTAATCATTAAGCATCCATATCGCTCTACGAATAAGGTGGGATTGTTTGAATTTTTCGGTCTAAAAGCCAACCATTCTAGCCCTTTTTTCTTTCCCCCTCAGAATCTCTATTCCGGAGCTTTTTGTTCTTCTTAATTTCATAAAACAAATTTTTTTTTTCAATACACCATCGTAGCCATAGTCCTAGTTACAAAAGCAATTGATACGACCATGGTCAAGGATTTCAATAAATTCGGTCTTTTTTATTAATCAATCACAAAAAAAAAAAAAAACAAATCCAACCCAAATCAAAATATTATTCAGTTTTTGATTATTTAAAGATCTAATTTTTTTCAAGGAAATATTATGATTTAAAGTTTAAAATTATACATACATCCTAATAATTTTCTTTACGGTGATTTTCATTTAAAAATAAATTAAAATTTTTGTTAAATTGGATACTTATGCAACGACTTATTATATATATAAAAAAAAGGTTTATTGTACCATACAAGTAATAACTATACATCTTTTAATGTTTATGACACGTTCTTAAAAAAATATATGAAAAATATAAAAATTATGTTTCTGAAAATAATTTTAGCATGAAGCTATTTTTTGTTTAATATTTTGAGTTCATATATCGTGACATGATAAGTCAGATGACACCTTAAAAGAAAATCCTTATAGGATGACATATGGTTAAAAATTAAAATTTTCAATTGAGAACGACATGTCATCCAAACCATTTTCCGCCCTCTTTTCCTTTCCTCTATTTTTAATTTTCAGTTTCATTCCGATCTAGCGCGAAGCGGTCCATCATTTATTGGCCCACTCCTCTTTACTCTATCCCGGTATTTATTACCATTTCATTTTCATAGTTTATTTTCAAATAAATATGTTTTCAAAATTCCAACATACACTCATAAAAAACTCAGAATTCATTGCATCTTTTTTTTATATAAAGTTTGTTATTTTTCAATTTCGATAGGTATAGCAGTATTTTTATTTTAAACATTATTTCTTTTATTTTAACTTAAAACAATTCAATAAACTTAAAAATTGATCCTCCAATATTTCGGATTTGAGTGCTCGTGTGAAAACCTTGGATGAAAAAATTAATAGAAATTGATAAAAGTGCCTAATTGAGAAACATCTGAAACATTTGGAACCTAATAGATTAATGTTTTGTTCTCAGACTCAATTAAGAATTGGGAAATACTTTAGGTGCTAATTTCAATCAAGAAATGACATACTTCGTCACAGAGAGGCTAGCTAATTAACGCCTTTCTATCAAAATGCATGGAACTCCATTATAACTCAACCTGCTCAATATTTCCTTCGGAAGATCAAGTCAAGCTCTGCAGAAATGGCCATATTTTGCTCCTCAATATTTTACTAACTACAAGACAATGATCAATACACACTTACAAAGAGAATCGATGAGAGATTCCCATTAAGGAAAATACAAGAACCAATATGTACAAGTGGCACGATGAGGGCAAAGTTAGATCATGGATCTGGCCCAGCATCTTTCCTGGCACTGGTTTTGATTCCATTTTGTCATGCCTGTTCAAAGTTTCAGAGAAGTTCGGGCACTTCAGGTTTGCGAATGACACTTTCAATTGAGGGCCATCTTTCACACGGCTTGTCAAGAAATGAGATCTACAGAAGCAGCCCAGTATTCGTTCACCTCCTCACTGTGCAAATACACCTCGACCTTGGTTGCTTTCTTGTTCCAATGGTGGTACACCATCTTTTCACACCCCAGTCAAAGTAAAGAAAGCTCATTGCTCATCTGAATTCTGTACAGTAATTAAATGTTCTTCAACACCCTTGAGAGAATCCGCACTAACATACCATGTTACAGTTCCTGCAAGGAGTAATGAGCCCTCTGTCATAAACTCAAGTTAATAGCAAATTTCCGCATCAAGGGAGGCAGATAGGACACTGCTACTAATCAAAGCAGTTAGTTGTAATCAATATCAACAAGGAAAATGAAGAATCAGCTCACTTGGATGCCAGATAAGCAATTGAATTGAAGGGAAAGTAAAAGGGGTCTATCAGATATAATATCAAAAGGAAAATGAATAATCAACTAACTTGGATATCAGAGAAGCAATTGAATTGAAGGGAAAGTAAAAGGGGTCTATCAGATGTAATATGAAAAAGGAAAATGAATCAGCTAACTTGGATACCAGAGAAGCAATTGAATTGAAGGGAAAGTAAAAGGGGTTTATCAGATATAATATCAATCAGTTGCTTCTAAATCATAGAAAGCAGGTTCAAGCATTTCAATATGATTCGTTTGTAGATACCGAAGTATATCTGTTTGTTTGCCTCATCCTTAAATTGGTCGATATAGAATTTTAGCATCATCTGCCCAACACTAACAACCTCATGCAAGGAGTAAAAAAGGAGGAGAAATGGGATACGGAATGTAATTACCTATAGGCGGAGCTGGTTCATGTTCTCTTGTCGCATGGAGTATGACTGTTCCTGAAACAACAGTGATAAATCCACATAGCTCAGAGGCTATGCTGCTCACATTTTGACCAGACCAATCCTGCAGAAAGTACGTGAGGACAAACAACTTGAGGTCATCGGTTCATAGTAATTGTAAAAAACAGTACTATATATATATATATATATATATACACAGAGCAGAAACAAATCCCAGTAGTCAGTCAATTCACCTTAAACATTATAGCACTGGCAATGATGGTCAGAGTTGTAAACATTACATAATACACCGGAGAAACAATTGCTGCATTGAATGTATCCAATGCCTGGAACATAAAACAGTACTGAACATGAGAATGATATCAATTAAATAGAATCTAGTCTGCCAGAAAAATCTTAAGCAAACGATGAGGATCAAACTAAGACATCAGGTTGATCACTTTCACATGTCATACAAAAAATATACCAGAGATAGTCTTTGCTTGAAACCTGAATAAAGAAACAAAGTTGCATAATTGAACATGGAGGTGTTCTATTCTAACCCAATCTGATAGCCTCATAAATAACTGTGCTAAATACTATTACCCACCAACACTATCCAAATAGACAGTTTCTTCCAAATATCTCACACTTAGCACCATGTAGTATAGCTGGCCCTTTGTCCACAGCTTTTATCTGGACATGGAGGTATTCCATTCTAACCCAATCTGATAGCCTCATAAATATGCTAAATACTATTACCCACCAGCACTATCAAAATAGACGCTTTCTTCCAATCTGAACATGGAGGTATTCTATTCTAACCCAATCTGATAGCCACATAAATAACTGTGCTAAATACTATTACCCCCCAGCACTATCCAAATAGACGCTTTCTTCCAAATATCCCACACTTAGCACCATGTAGTATAGCTGGCCCTTTGTCCATAGCTCTCATCTGGACATTTGATGGGAACAGGTTGGCTGACTACACCATCAGCTTTACTTCATCCAAACAATACAACCTCCTACCATAGATTGATTAAACTACCTACTCATCCTTATCCAACTAAAGGAAATATATTCCCCGGTTAAAATAAAATTTAAATTCTTGTAAGACAGCATCTCAGACCCAAAATCATATATATATATATATATATATAGCCAGGCAATAAAATCTCTAGTTGCTAATTCATATTACATGGCCTCCTTTGAACTCAAAACCACACCTAGGCACCTACTCCAGGTTCTGTTTCTATTATTACTTGCTATTTCTTTCCTTTTTTCCTCTATACTAATTAAGCATTGGATTTCTGCTTCTCATGCAAGGCTATACCATGGATTACATTCGAGAAAAACAATTGATGACATCAAACTTACCCTGTTCAGGTAATTTAACTGTGTGATGACACAAATCACTGCAACTGAAAGGAAAAACCAAGTCTGAGGATAAGCTATCTGATTTATCCCTTCCAATGTCAACTTTATTGCGATTCCAATGGCTTTTATGCTTACAACCTGAATACCACCAGGAAAAAGGAAAAAGATAAAAAAGAAGCTAGAGTTAATGATCAGAATGGTAACGCATGGTAACTACCAAAATGAAAATCAAATGAAATGCCATACAACTTTGAATAAGAATGTCTGTTCAATCTAACTCAAAGGCTCTGTAATTACCGTTAGCGATCCCATTAAAGAACATATTCCCAAGTAAACCAATATGTTTGTCTGCCCACAGCGAGGTTCAAAGTGCAAAATCAGAGCTAACACTATTGAAAGTGTAGCTGCTACATATATTAGAAATGCTGCGAAGCAAGAGAGACACGAAAACAAAAACAATACCTCAATAAGTAATTACACAAGACAATAAATTTATACAACAAAAGAGAAGAAATATCAAAACATAAAAACTGAGTATCAACCTGGTTGGGTTGCCAAAATCCAGATTTCTTGTACAGAACTAGGAGTATGCTCTTGAGGTGCATGGATTACGATCACTACTGATCCAACAACGCAAGATACACATCCTACAACACCCATTTTCTGCAGCCGTTCCTTCAACATGAAATGTGCCAAAACCGCACTGCTCAAATTTCAACACACTCACTAGTTAAATATCGAAACGCAAACTATTCAATCGCTACTTAACAAACAAATAAAAAGAAAAGATTCAACACTCTGCAATTTGTACCTGATAATTATACTCAGTGCACCAAGCGGGGTAACTAGAACTGCAGGAGCATAAACATAAGCCACAAAATTCGCAACCTCCCCAACAATCACTGTTTGCACAGAATTAATAAACCAAAATTGAACACAACGTTACGCAACGAAAACAATCCTTGCATAATTCAAACAGAAAGATCATCCAATCCATGTATTACTTACTTGTCACCATGCCTGCCCACCATAGCGGCTCTAGCAAGTAAGTATAACCTCCAACTCCTACGTTGTTGAGTGAAAAAACATCACTTATACGAAGAAGAAACAAAAACTCAGAATTGTTTTTTTTTTTCTCTTTTTAATAAAATTTGGATCCAAATCTAGATTTTGAACTTAGAAATGTTAAATTTATCACATATTAAAAAATCCTCATCTTTTACTCTCAAACTTGCTAATTAAATTGAAAATTCAGATCACTTAAGTTAATTAAAACAATTAAACAAGATAGAAAATAAATGAACTAAACTGAACTGACCTGCGCGAGTACCATTTGCACCAGCTCGTTTGAGTCCTTTCTTCTTCAAAATGAAGCTTGACCCTATAAACACACTTGATGCTATTGCTAGAATTAGCCCCCTTGAATTCTCCGATACTCCCATCTCTCTCTCTCTCTCTCACAAAAAAAAAAATTATGTGCGCAAAAATAAATTAAATACTTACTAATCACAATTAATTCAATTCTTTTTCTTCAAAACTGAGATTGTTAGATTTACAATGTGTGAAATGAATGAAGGAATTTATTCATTTCGCGCCAAAAAGAGCTAATTGAACAGAAACGACAAGGTTTTGAAGTGTTTCTTTCTTCTCTGTTAAACTCTTTCTGGTATGATTGGGTTTCTCTTTCTTTCTTTCTGCGTTTGGCATTTTATTTGAAATTTCCGATTTGAAGGAGTGGTGATTACGTGTTTCGCGTAAGAGTATTTAAATCTGCACAACGACGCTAGAGCAGCCAGAGGGTTTTGACTTGATGCGAACATGACTTGGAGTTGTGCACGTTGCAGATTTTTATTGGGTTATAAAAGGAATTAAAAAATGTTTCATGTTGATTCATTTATTGCTACTTGTGTTCCTGGGTAGGTGGACTGGGGGGCTTGGTGTTAGAATGACGAAACTGCCCACCTTTGGAGAACCATGAATCAATACCATTCAATTATTGGGTAAAAATGGCAAAGATGTAAGAGGATATTCACTTGCATTTATGGACATGAATTTACAGGACAAGCTGGACGACAGCAAATGTGTTAAAGAGGTTGTAGTTATGGCCTTCGAGGGTATGAGATTCCCTTTCAAAAACAACATAGAGGAACTTTGCATCTTTTTGTTTTTTTCAATTGCGTTCGTGGGAATCTTTGGGTGATGGATGGAACGTCCGGTTTTAGTGTAAAAAAACACAACGTAATAGTTTTCCACTTTTCCCTTTCGTAGAATAGTTAATGAAGATTATTTATGAATTTGGGCAATGGTCTCGCCTAGTCTTACTTCTTAAGTTTCTTGAGCCCATAACTCTTGACCGGCGACTATCAAGGATTGTCGGTACCTTACTTTCCATCCCCTCTTGTAGCAAGTGCCACAATGCCATATAAAAATTTTATCCGATCATCCGATAAAAAAAAGGTTGAAAATGGAGTCAAGGAAGCTTCGGTGGTCTGTTTCATTAGCAGTACATGGCTAAAGGAAACTTTAATTGCAGGAATGTTCGTGTCACTTGGTGATTAATGCAAGGCAGTGTCAAACGCTAGCTTCTTCTAGGTTGCATCAGCATGAATAACTATGAGGACGCAACCCATATTAATTACTATCTCAAATGGGCCATCCAACAAAAAACAGTTTCGCAAACTCAGGCCCATAAAAATCTGAACCCATGTTTCCTCCTATAAAGCAATGTGCACAAAAGCTATAAACTAATCTTAGCTTAGAGGCCATCTGAACTCAATTGAAGCCCATTTACAAACTTGACTAATTAAGAGACCACAAAGGACAGAAAATCAAGTAAACAACATCCCTCCAACGACCAATAAATATGACCACAAAGGCTAAAGCGATGGTAGGACGCCACATCTGATGGGTTTCTTATCCACATTATCATGGACCACAACTATTGACCCTTCCTCGTAAATATCGTAACTAGGGGACAATTATCAATTTCACAAAACCCATCATAAAAAAGTAATATCTATCCCTTATCTTGTCCTTTGCTTCTCCTACGCCAACCCTCCAAAATAATCAAACCCCCTTTTTGCTTTTTCTCCGATGCCAACCCATCGCAAATAATCAAACACTCTTTTTGCTCTGAAAGCAAAGTAACCAAACAGCATTAATCTCCAAAAATAAATTTAAAAAAAAAAAAAAAAAAAAAAACTAAAACGACCAATTCGCAGAGATTATTAGCAGACAACTTCAATAGATAGTAATAAAAGCCTCTCTTATTTATGCCAGCTCAATTTCAACACATAAAAGGCATGATTGAGCCACCAAACCGCAAGAGGAAACTAAAACAAAGGACCCAGATGTAAACATAAAAATCCCAAATCCTAAATCACTAAAACACACGCAATACTAGACAAGACCCAACATTAAAAAGACGCATCAGGACACACGGCCAAACGATATGTCAATCAATACCCTCTAACAGAGTTGACCACAGTCAGCAACAACAACAGGCTTAGAAGTCTGGCCGCTTGATTTTCCAACCTTCTCAATAGCCTTCACCACATCCATGCCCTCAACAACTTGACCAAAAACGACGTGTTTCCCATCAAGCCAGTCGGTCTTCACAGTGCAGATAAAGAACTGAGATCCGTTCGTTCCTGGACCAGCATTAGCCATAGAAAGCACACCAGGTCCAGTGTGCTTCCTCACGAAATTCTCATCAGCAAACTTAGCTCCATAGATTGACTCACCGCCGGTTCCATTTCCGGCAGTGAAGTCACCGCCTTGACACATGAAGTTAGGGATCACACGGTGAAACTTTGAACCTTTGTAGTGAAGCGGCTTGCCGGACTTGCCAACGCCTTTCTCGCCGGTGCAAAGAGCACGGAAGTTCTCGGCTGTCTTTGGAACCACATCAGCGAAGAGTTCCATTACAATCCGGCCGACAGGATCGCCGCCGACGGTCATATCAAAGAAAACCTTAGGATTTGCCATCACTGAAGAGAGAAATTAAGGATTTGATTTCTGGGCGAGATTAATCTAGTGTTGTTTGATAGGGTTTTCAACCTATTAGGGGGTGTTTTTATAGTGAGAGAGGGTCGATTTACATCGTTAGATCAGGAAACGTGGAGGAATCCTGGTGGTTTGGGGTTTAACTGTGGTTAGGTTTGTTTTGACTAGGGTTAAGTAAGGGATCCTAAGTGGTATATGCTTTTTGGCTTTATTTGCGCCGAGGAGAAACGGTGCCGTTTGTTGGGGCTTGTGGTTTTGTTTGGATATGGCAAGTGTTTATTGGGATTTATGAGGGATAGGTAAATAGTACAAATTTCGTGCATGATGGGCCATGATAAATGTTTGTCCGTGATTTTATTTTATGGAGAAAAATCTGAATATAATCTAAAGGTGGAGATTGTTCAAGGGAGCCTCATTGGTTTTGATTTCAAATCTTAGTAGATTATATTATATTATCCATTAGCGATCCTAATGGTCGGTGATTAAAATCTTAGTAACGTTAAAGAAAATAAATTATTGAATTATTCAATAAACAGGGTAACTGACAGCTATAATTAGGCAGGGTAGCATACTGACATTGAGGAACCCATCCCTTTACTAAGCTCATTCAACTAAACGAACACTATCGTTGAGGGAAAGTATTTAACTAAACAAAGTTACTGTAGAAGAATTCGAAAATGGAGTAAATAGATAAGGAAAATACTTGAAAGAGAATTGACAATATATAAATATTTTAATTGTGTTTGTCGTCTTGTTGTTTCTAATAGCTGCATATTAAGTACAATCAGTATGTTGATTTTTTTTTTTTTTTTTTTGCTAAATTTGGTTCTCACTGTTTCGATCTTACGACTGTTTCTAAATGTCTCCTAGTTTACGTCTCCTGCCTCTAGGGTTGACACTGTTTTTGCTCTCTTTTTTTATTTTTGCACCAATATATATATATATATATATATATATATACAGTTTAGTTGCATGTTAAGTTAGACAATCCAGCAAAATCTCTTTGAAATTCCTCAACTTCTATTATACACAAATAATATAGAGAATTATTTTTATCAAAAGAAGGTAGAAAAAAGATTAATCGTTTTTTTTTTCGGTGAACACGAGAAAAAGCTAGCTGCAGCACACATTTGCCCAATTAGTAGTTTTACCTTGGTCTATCTTTATAAATTAGCTTGGCAAAAGGATATGAGTTTACCCCACTAAAACTTCTCTACTAAATAATAGATATTAGATTCATTCTTTTAAAAAGATTTTTAGTTATCAAGCATAGACTATTGCATATATTAAAAAAAAGAAAAAGAAAAAAGAACAAGAACTATATAGATATAGATATAGATATCCATCTGGAAATAATTTTGACAAACTCTACATGATAAAAATATGATTGATAATGTTCAAGAAACTAATTACTTGGGACCCATTTCCGGGATGAATAGCATTACGACTGGCATGTCAAAGAGAAACAAATATACATTTCTTGTCATGATCTATAATAATTAGTAGTTGCTTTGTGTTGCAACAATTCTCACCCAAAAAAAAAAAAAACATGCTGCTTTGTAGCATCACGCATGCGAAGGGAGCAGGGCCCATTCAGGCACAGGAGAGAAAAATCAGCCCCCCTGGACAGATCCATTCTCCTACATGATTACAACAATGAATGATAGAAAAATAAAAATAATCACCTCACTAGAGAGGGGATCTTGTAACAAGATATCTTTAAATCACAGAAAGAGGATGGCTAGTTGTCTCAAGACAATGCCAGATTCATGATACATGGGACATTTTCATGATTTTTGCGTGATATCCCTTCACTGAACTAGTGGAACCATGAAAATCTTAGTGATAATCTACGCTGTATGGTTCCAATATTGTACACATGTTAATGTCTTGCGAAATTTTACATTCTAATCTTACAAAAATTTTGGGCACGCCAAAATCTGATATCTGTACACGATTTTCATGATCTGTTACTAACCCAACTAAGTTCACCTATTCTTCAACAAGTGTTTCACAAAAAGCCTTCGGTCTGTAACAATCCGGGATAGACGAGAGATATTATATGTCTCAAGGATGTCACTGATGCTTTTAAGAACGCATGCCCTTCAATGGCTACAAAAAACAAAATAAGGCAATTATAATAGCAAGTCTAAAAAATAAATTCGAACCATAGTTAGCAGCATGAAAGGGCTATTACCTTTTAATAACAATTTCACTTCCTTCGAAAAATCCTCCACACGCCCTAATACAGGTCTTATTCCACAAATCTGTAAAACATAGAGCTCCAAATACAGAGCCATCTCCATTATTTGAAGTAGTAAGAGACAGACAGACTGGATTTCAGGATTCATGTGCTTTGATTTGTTTGAACCACATAGTTCAGAAACAATAGCAGCTGCTTGATCCTGCATTTTAAAACATAGCAAGTCAGTACAGGCATCAGAAGCATAGAGTTTGGACAGATTTATACATAAAAAAAAACATAGAAATCACTCATCGATGGTCAAACTTCATTTTCGGCAGACTAGAAAATTTGGCCCAGAGATACTAAAACAAAACTAAGCCCTGAAATTCAATCATCTCAAACCATTCACATTCCTTCAATGAGAGCACTTGACTCGATGATAATCCAAGAGCACTTATCACATTTTACCTGCAAGCCATGCAAGATCTCCGGCATTGGCAGCTCAGGAATCTGAGCGAGATCAACAAACCCCACTTCCTCTGACCTTTTAGCAGCACCCTCTGCTTCCATAGAGAGATATTTCAAAAGAAGAAAAGCAATCCTATAGATCTGCAGGGCAACCAAGTCTGAAAAATAAGTTGGAGAAACTGGATTGGTAGTTTCAGTTGATTGGCCCTTGATTACATTAGCAGTAACGTTGGCTGAGAAAGCAGAAGACTTGGGTTTTGATGCACCAAAGAGAGGTGAAAGAGCAAACCATCCATTCCTGCTGTTTAGAAATGATGGTTTCTTGCAGCACTCTAACTCCTCTTTGATGATAGGAGCACATAAGAGGGGGCAGATCTGCTAGAAGATTCTCCAAAGCGATGAGTTCCTCGGCTAATAAAGGCTAATAGATGAATACTTTTCTCCCTCAGCTCCGAATCCATTTCTTTCATGACCTTAACCCATGACCTCCAATGTTTAGCTAGCGCACACATCAACATAAGAGTATGTTCTGTTTCTTTAAGAGCACTCAGAGAAGTCTGTGTCCTTTGTGCCCGTGGTCTTTTCTTGTCATGACTATCAGATGGAAAGTCAGGTGCACTGAGACAATAAGAAATCAGATCAGCTTTCTCTGAAAAAACATAAGGTATCACACTGTCCAGAATATCATTATATGAAGAAGTGTCTCCTAAAGAGTGAACCAAAGCTACAATTACTGCCAAGCCAAGGCCCCAAATAGATTGAGGCTTTTCTGTTTTGTCAGAAGACTTAAGGAAGCCACTATCGTTCGTCATAACTGTGGGAGGCCCAACATCTGATGAGTGTGCAAACAAAGCTCTAAGAGACGAGAAGAAACCAGCACTCAGGAGCATTTCAGCACCTCCTCTCACACGTGCCAGGGTCAAAAGGAACTTCAAAGTAATTGGAACAAATGAGAAAGAACTTTTATCATGAACTTTCAGAATAACATGAGGTAATTGGAGATGTTTCTGTATGATGGGGAACCAAGTGTTAGGTGTCAAAAAACATCTCAATACTAAGTCTATGGTAGCCAAGGAGAGGGAACAATGCTCAGTAGCTGTAATGCAATTGCATAGAATAGGCAAAAGCCCCAGACAAACATTTGAAACCTCAGCAAAGTCTTCAGATTCCTTATCTGAAGTATTACTAATCTCCAAAGAGAAAAGAAGCAGCATGAGCAAAAACTTTACTGTTTTATTAACCCCAGTAACAGAAGACCTGAAGTTACTCAGCAATTTGAGGCCAGAACATGACGTTTTCAAGACAAGTATACTAACAGAAAAAGGTAAGTTGCTTTGTGCAGATCTCATTAGATGTAGAATTAATTCAGCTTCTGCACCAAGGATATCAAGAATCTCATCAGAGGCATCCAGAACTGGAGCTAGCAATTCTACTGTGGTTCGAAAAGATTTGCATATGTTGTCAATGCATGAAAAGCAGAGTCTGTCAGGAATCTTCCCCTCAGTACTAGCCTTATTCTCTGGTGACTGTATGGGAAAGAAAATACTAATCATTTCAACAAGCAAGAAATTCCAAAAGCCAAAATAAATAAATAAATAAATCCAATGATATTCAGAAAGGAAAGATGGATAAACATACAAATAAATAAGCCCTTTAAAAAAGGCTATAAACAGTGGGAGGTTAACAGGTGTCAATGGCAGATATAAAAACTGTCTATACTGCACATTGTGATTTACAAATAAAATTGCACATTTCATTTTCCTATGTTATACAGTGCTTCCGAGCCTTGATCATCAAAATTATTGTACATGACTTCTTCACAGCAGCTCATAGGAAGAAAGATATGAAGACCTTGATCCTAGAATTTAGTAGAAGTTCCCAAACAAAGATTCCATGACTTCAATCAATACAGTTATAACAAATCAAAGAAGTAGTTAACTGTTACAAACAATAGATGCACAGACATCATTTTCATTGCACTCTTTACCTATCACATACAGACTCCGAAAAATTCCAGAAAAAACCAGTGTTGCATATTCAAACAATTAAGATGTAATCTTTCAAAAACTTATGATAAATAATGTAACATATTTTTTAAGAAGTCAAATTAAAATGTTTGGTAAAAACACCAAACTTTGAGGAAAGTGTTCCAGTTTTCAAAGCTTTGTGCCCCCAACCAAGAAAAAGAAAAAAACAGCATCTGTCATGCCCTGAAAAACCGTTAACAGATCTTTGACCTCAATATTACTGCAAAATTAGAAGCTGTAACAAAGAGCAGTGAGAATTCAGATACTCACATTATCTTCCCACATAATCAGAGCAGTTAGCAATGCTTTCAGTGCAGAAAGCTTTGAAAAAGCCAGTAAAACCATTGAATTTGCATCCTGGAAGCACTCCAACATTGTTTGTGCAATTGCTTTAGAGTCTTTCCAATTTGTGTAATCCCACATATTTAATCCCATATCTAATTGTATGCGCATCAGGTCATACAAGTGAATATCTTTGGCATTTCCATAAGGTTCGTCACCGTACTTGTGTTGATAGCTTAGCAAACAGTTTGATTCCACCAGATACTGAGAGAGTTCCTTAAATGGTCCAGGACCAATTTTACGACCTTCTAGCTCTCCTTGTAGATGATAATAGAGATCGTTGAGTATCAGAACTTTTAGTTCCTTTCCTTCACTGAGAAGATAGTGAAAATTATGAGATTTCAACTTATTAGGTTATACGTTCAAAAGAATCAAAACCCAACATAAATTATCAAACTGCCGAAGGAGTTAAACCTAGGTATTAGACCATGAATAGTCTCTCCAACAAAAAAACCTAATGACCCAATGGAACATGTATTGATATCACATCAGACTTTGGAAAACATTCCATTGCAGATATGCGTTTCAATTCAGGCAATCACAACCCTAGGTGTATAGAGTTCTCAGTTAAGAGTGATGCATTAAAAAAAACATTCAAATAAAAATGAAGCATGTGTTGACATTACCTGTAACCCTGCTGAGAATATTGTGCCAACAATTCAGAAAAGGCAAGCTGACAACTCAACTGCTAACGCAAACAAAAAAGGATACAGTGTCACCTTAAAACAGTTGAATTGCAAAGAAGAAATTGGGATATTGCTGCTAAGAAATAAATGTAAGGACCTCTTTAAGGGATCACCAATGAACTATCAACTTAGAAGTGAACAAAGTTCATCGAACAATTGACTAAATAGAAAGAATTGCTTGGCCAATTAAAGACAGGATCATACCTGTTTAAAAGTGATCTGGATCTTCTCAACCAATGATACAGATAAACTTCCTGCATTACTGGTTACTATCTTAACCATCGCATGGACAATGAATAAACTGGCAGCGACCTGCAAGACGCATAAGACAATGTAATTGTGGAATGTTCCATTATAGCCTATTAATGGGTGTTTCCAGAGGGATTTTAGATCGTAAAATGGTTCACCACAGTCAAATGATAACAGCATCAACATATATGTCAACAAGGTTATAGTACCAGAATCAATAGAACCAAAACTAATACATAAACAATGGAGAAAATTTTAAAAGGTCACCTTTGCACGATAAGATATTTCATTGTCATATTCACAAGAAGCATATAAATTGATCAGATTGCTGAAAATCGATCTATCGCACCAGCTTGACAAAATATCTTTCAACTCGCATCCATTTGCTGATTTTGAATTTTCTGTGCTTGATGCCTTTTCATTTCCCTCCTTTGATTCAGACATTTCTTTTATGATAGACTCAGCATGTAACAACTTCTTCTTCAGGAACATTTCATGTGCCATCATTTCCAATATAGTGGATTGACATTGATATTTGAATGCCAAGCTTTGAGACTGAGTTTCAGTCACATATTCAAACGATGATGCTTTCAAGCGAGCAACTGATGAGATACAATTGGACAATTGTTTCCAGAACTTTCCAGAGCTCTTCAGGCACTCCAATATGGATACATAATTAACAGCCCCTTGCCATAGTGCCTTGAGGAAATCAAGTACAGTGAACAGTATATGGGGATTGCTGGAGATAAAGAAAAGTTCAAATTATAGCAACACAGCTTATGAAGATAAATCATATCAAGCAACATCATAGAGATAGTGATTTGATCAATACTTAGGAAATTTTTTTGGGATTTTTCTGAGCCAATTTAGGACTTACGAAGGAACTTGTTTTGCTACGGAGAAACATTTACTTATATTCTCTCTGACCCTAATTAAGGGTCTGTTTCTTATCTTATGCCTTCTCTTATCATTACAATTTCTCCTTCTGACAAGTTTGTGTTTATTTCTTAAGCTGATTAGCATAACTTTGTGTCACATTGAAAAGTAAAATTCCTGAAAAAAAATACATTCGAATCTTGTGAGAGCAAACCTGTCAATAAATTCATTTGATCTTTCAACATATTGCATAAGCGCATCTAGCAGACCTGACTTGTTGGAACACTGGGAGTCATTTGAAGGTTCATTTATAGGCTGCTTTGTGCCACCAGAATTACTCAACTGGACCTCTGTATCCTCTTTTAGGGAAAAAATAACAAGAAGATAAGCAGGCTGCAACAGAGAAACCACCAATAAGCAAATGATGTAGACTTGCTAGAAAGCTGTTATTGAGATATCAGACTTGTGTTCACAAAATAAATGCTATCCAAATGTTTTCCATGAAGGACTAACTATTGAGATAACTGTAAATGACTTCTGACTTTAACAAGTGACAAAATTGGTTTTGAAATGCATTGATTATTCTGGCACCCCCATTCTTTCCACAAGAAAAGAACACTTGTATGAAAGGATTGTGAGGTTCAGTGTCAGAAGTCCAATTTAAGTGGCAAGGAATAGGAAAAAAACCAACCAGGGGTAAACTTGTAACTCCTGCATGGTGCAACATACCTGATAACGAGCTGCAGAAGTAAGCAGATTGACTGTAGCAACAAATAAATCTTCATTCCAATCCAACTGCTTAACTAATGTTTTTTTAATAGAATGCCTCATATCTGCGATCTAAAAGAAAGCAGTTAATCAAAATTAGGATAACAGCAATCAAATGCCAAAACGAGGAAAAAAACAGCTTGAAATGCCAAACCTGCTTATCATCCAGGCCAAAGCACACATTGCCAGACAAATATGGTTGCATATAATCTGCTGTGGTAAACAACATAGATAGCACCTTAGCAGCACCAACCTGTATTGCCTGCACATAAAACAAAAATGCAAAGATGAAGGCAGTGTTATTTGCCACGTGATCAACGAAACATGGAACACAAATATTATTGAAAATAAATGTGCCTGATAATGAACTAACACAGTCAAAAGGATAAAGTCAACTTCATATAGGAGACTAAAATATAAGAGGTTGATTGTAATTACTAAGGGAGAGAAATAGAATTTAGCAGGACGAATTTCAATTGAGTGGATGAAGTCCATACAGGAGAGTGAGAATATGATATCAAAGATATAGCAGCCGCAACAACAGGAATTGGTTTCGTAGTAGATGACAACACTGATAGATGAAATACAGGAAGACTTGGTGAGATATCCTGAAAAAAAAAACACAAATTATCAAGTGAGAACAGAAATATTTAAATAAACCATGGGTCATAAAGATCAACAAAACAGAAAAAAGTATGGTAGTATGGTGGTAAGAGATTCATTTATTTTATTTGTTTTGGAGCATGAATTAAAGGTTTGTAGATTATTAGAGATTTCCATTTCAAAGTAACAATCATGAAAACTTGAGAAAACGTGTCAGATTATTTCGCATTATATCATAAATCCTAGAACAATACCTTGCAAAATTTGGAGAGCATAGTATATATAATATCCAAAGCAGAGCTAATAGCAAGCTGAAACCCTTCAATCTCCTCCAGTTCAACAAGACGGCTGACATAAAGATTCTGTTCACAAATATGCTTATAATAGTAAGCAAAAAAAAAACAGACCAACTTCTCATCACTAAGGAAGATGAAGGAAAGAAAGCAAAAGGAATGACCGACCTCTAAGGTTTGCCTGGTTGTACATACAAGATGAAAGAGTGCATTGTGGATGGAAGAATCATGGAGTAAGATATCATGGATTACCATGGCCAATTTTTCAGAGGATAAGACTGACGTGATGCATGTTTTCATCACTTCCAACACCTAAAACAGTGAGACAGTATTAAAGATTGATTAGTATCTTTTACCTTTCATAGAAACACCAACACCTCTGACTCCAATTAAAAAGCTATTTGGCAAGTCCAAAACACATAAAGTTCAGATAAACCAAGGAATCATCAAATTAGAAGAATGACTTCATGATTACCATCATAACATGAAACCCCAAGCAACTTCGAAATGCAAGCTTTTTAAACAGGGAATTCTTACTATTCCCGACTTAGGATAACAACCATGAATTACCTCTTGGACTGACAGTTGGAAAACATCAGAGTTGCTCTTTACATCTCTGATCATGGAATTTCACCTCACACTCTTTAAATTTTTAGGTACTCCCCCATCCACATAAACCTCTTATGTGAAAGGGTGAGTAGTTCTCCTTGAATAGCAGATGAACCCCCCTCCCTCTCCCCACAAAATATTTGGTATTTCATGAACTTATATCTAAATTGCTTCAGCCAATAATAAAGCAAGAAAAAAGCCATAAGCCCTGCAGCGGCGCGCGGAGAGGGGGGGAGATGCGCTTCAGAAATTTACATAGAGTGGCCTGGTTACTCTCAGGTCAGAACCTACACTACTCAGCTGACTAAGACTTCTACAATTTCAACATAAAATGGCCCTAAAAGAGAGAAATATGTTCAAAAGTAGAAGCAAAGCAACTAAGGGAACCAATTTATAGCAGCTGACATAAAAATAATGCATATACCTTCAGTGTTACTTCCCATCTAACATGCTTCACCTTGTATTTCCAGTACTCATGATTAACTAGAATATATTGCAGAGAAAAAACGACCAAGGCCAGAACCAGATCATTCTCTAATCTTGCCTCCACCAGCTGCATGGTAAAATCCAGCACTGCATGGGATTACAGCATCCATGTCAAAAAAAAAAAAAAAAAAAAAAAAAACAGGCAGTAACAATGTTAAAGTCTATGATAGGAAAGTGTGAAAATCCATGACAAAATCAATAAGTAGAAGTGCTAATAAACAAGAAGATAGAAGCTACATGTTAGATCCACACAAATTTAAATAGTAAATAAGGAAATTGGTGCTGCAATAATAGTACTGACATGATAAGAACACCAACCATTGATCTCACAGGCACCACAGATTAATGAAAACAAGGAATATGGCATTATCAGAAAAGCCAAGTGAAAATGCAAAAATGTTAATAATGCAATAGGATTGTTCTTGAAAGTAAGAGAAAGAGATGTACAGCTATTTGGATTTGCTATCTCACACATTTGTTGTAAGCAGATAATCATCTTGCAATGAACTATGGGTGTATAATGTAAACCGTTTAATCAGACTGCAAAAGGAAGAGACTTTAGCAATCACAGCTTTTGCAGATAGCGACCTTCTCTCCTCTCCTTCATGGGTATAGCCACATTATCTAACCACAATTATGTTGATTTAGTTCCACCCTTCTTCTGTTTAAATCCTCAGTAATGGTTATGTGGAATTAATAGATTGAAACATCAAATTGGAAGCCAAGTTTAAGATTTAGTCTTATCACTTTCATTATTGAACAGTACAAACAAAGTATCTACCACAATACCAAATGCATCCAAAAGACGTGAGCATAAAAAGGAGGATATTCTAGAGAAGAACAAAGAAAAACGTAGAATGCAAAAGAGAGAGAGACAGAGAGAGAGAGAGAGAGAGAGAGAGAGAAGAAAGAAGAATGCACCATACAGCATACATATAGGACAGCTTAAAAACTGACATATACCAATTTCCAAAATCAAAATAATAAATCCAAGCAGAAATTGCAAAAATTGAAAAGAAGCTAACCAGACTAATTATAAAACACAAAATACAGTTAAGAGATCAACCTGATATAGTTAATGGTTTGTCATAATCATTTTGCTCGGAGTCTATTAATAGCAATTTTGCCAGTTTTCCCGAAAGCAACCACGATCCACTAGATCAAAGAAAGTGTAGGCAGAATCAAAGAACATCGAGTCAGTACAATGAATGATAACCCCTGAAGATAGAAAATGCAACCCACATATGACAAAAAAATGACTAAACATAAAGGCAACCTTAAACCAATTATTAACAGCCAAACCCGCAAACTTCAACCCCCTCTCCCACTGAACTCCATGTCCCCCCTCTCTTTCCATAGACAGTGTTGTGCATAACTGAGTGAAGATAACAATTAGGTTTTATCTTATAGTCCACTATATGCTAGTTGAGGTAGACAAGAAAGCAACAATTCCACACTATTACAGTTCTATAATGTAGTTGGCTCAATGGCTTGTACTAAAGCCAATGGCAACACATGAATATAAACTAGGAATACTGAGAGTGCAGCACAACCATGCAACAGAATCACTATTCCTTTCTTTTTTTTTTTTAACTTAAAAAAATATCAAACCCATGTGACATTAAAACTATAAAAAAATGCAAAGGTAGGGCTATCTTTTTTGTTTTTCTTTTATATTTAAAAGAATCAAACTCATATAATAATAGAAACAAAAACAAATCCTATAAAAAGGACTTCAACAGGCAGGTAATTGAGACCTCAAATATCAAATACAAGCATGCTTCAACATAATCACAGGTATGTTCTGAACCACAGGTTTTTACCTAGATGGACCATCATAGCCAGCTTCAAAGACACTTGTCTTCCAAGCCGTATCAAATATATTTGCTTTCAGGACAACAGCAGCAATATGAGATGGAGCACTAGCAAAAGAGGACAAGGTACAAATATGTTATGACTGAGGTTGCAGCAATGAGTTTGGTTATTGAGCATAAACAATGCTTAGTGAAACATAAATTTAACATAACAAAGAAGAAAGATACAAGGGATTCTTAAAAGAAAGTAAAATGCAGCATGAAGCCACTGTAAAAACATAGAATTCCCTATATACTCACAAATGATTAAAGTCATAAATGAAAACGGAACTGGTCAAGAGACAGAACAATTGAATTACCATTTCAACATACTTGCTAAAATACTGACACCCATGGACATCACTGCAGCATTTCCAGAATTGGAAGATGATTTTTTTATCACAGCACAAATGACCTCAACCACCCTACACAGAAAGTGAAGAAAAAACTACTTGATCAGAAAAGATAAAAAGGGGGCAAATTGCAAATAAAGCATCAATGGATTAGATAATAAAATGAAAACAAAAAAGAAAGAAAATGCAAAAGTAATCATGCAGTTGATTACCAAAAGCTCTTTTCCATCTGCTCATTCACTCCTGCTGCTTGAAGATAAAATGTGTTGCCAATTTCCATCAATGGAAAAGTTATGGCCTACAAATGAATACGTATGAAACATAATTGGTTGGGGCAAAAAATTGAAATCCAAATCCCAGTCCTTGTAACATTATATCATAGACTAGTTTCTAAAGATACATCAAACATAAGGCAGCCAAACCTTGAGAAAATTACCGTGTTAAAGGAAACTAGTCGGCTCAGAAGGTCAAAAGTAAGAAAAACTTCCTCGTTACTCTCCAGATACAGCTCATTGGCCAAACGCAGGAGCAAGACAAGCAACCCTGATTGTGCATACTACAAAAATAGATGCATGTTGACAATGAAGCAGATTATAGAGATTGCATTGCAACACATAAATATGTCAATCTTTGCTCCGTCAATTCATATGTTTTTAAAGTATCCTGGTCGAACAAGCTATCAAAAAAAAAAAACCTCCATTTTGACATTTTAGCATCCATATACAATAAAAAAATATTGTTATTTACAAGAAGTAGCAAGTAATGTCAAAAAAGAAAAAGTAACTCTAACTACAGCAGTCAAGTCATTCAGATGTTACCAACAAACCCAGCACTCGTAACCACCATCTAGTGAATAAGTCAGTGAAAGGTAAGCAAAATCAGGCATGTCAAAGGAGGAAATGTATGGAAAGTTAAAATCTATCCCCATCAGTTGCAGAAACAGTGGAATGACTTTCTCCCAGAGTCAGTTACAACTCCAGAAGAAGGCTTGAAATAAGTGATTTGCACATGGCCTGATTGTTTGCCCCTAAAGAAGATGCTAATGAGAGCGGGTAGAAAATCAAAACATAATTCTGCATCAATGTTGTTCTTAAAGATAAGAAAATCCTCAAGACATTTTGCTACAGCACTAAAGTCGGGAAGAAAGAAAACAGTTTATCACTTGTTCAACTTCAGCAACAGTAAAAATCCCAATTGGAAAACCTTTGTTGCAAAAACTGAAAGGATACAATCATGGCACACAGTTAGCAAATGCTATAAACATTTATAAACTTCCACAGTACCTCCCAACGTACAAGAGCTGTATTCCCACCAATAAATTTTAAAACATGTCCACGAGTTTTACTAGGAATGAGTAGACTTTCTGTCCCAGGAACATTCAGTGGCAGTTGAGTTTCAACAACCTGAGAGGCTCTGTCAACCAGGGACTCGCTAGTAATTTCAAACAAGGATGATACACCAACAGATTTATCAAGAAAGTTATACCTGTTGACAACATGAATTTACAATGTATCAGTTTGCTCACCATCCCACATTACCATTAGAATGGGGGATACATGCTAGACATATCAAGGACATTTAACTGAAGTAAAAGGGATAAAAAAAGAATAGAAATTCCACTTACACACATTCTGCTGGCCAACTCCCTTCACAAAGGGCTGATAAAAGACGAACAAATTCTGCAGTCCTGAAGGGAAAGTCACCTTCCAAGTTGCAAAGAAGACACCGAATAGGACCATCAATAAAACTTTCCTTGTCCCAAAACTGAATACAAAGTGACTCCTGCAGAGTTCATGGGCAAAATTTTCTCGAATCAGTGAATTGTGAGCAATAATATGATCCAAAAAAAAAATAGCTGACCCTAAGAAAATAGCATATACAAACCTCTCCACGATAAATTTTACAAAGAATATCCAGTATAAGATTGAGGGTGCTATCCTCTGACTGCATCTTGGAGAAAGAAGTAAAAATAAGAAACATTTTGATTAAGTGCTCAAAAACCAATTGAAACGACCTAAACATGCAATTACCTGAAGATTAATCTCATAAGAAGCAATAAATGCAGAAATAAAGGTTCTCAAGACACTTCGATAACCAGCAACAGGTCCCTGGAGAAAGAAAATACAGCATGTAAAAGCCAATGAAAAAGTAAGCCAGCATTATTATCTCAGTATCAGAATGCACCAATGCAAAAGGGAAAACCTAGACATAAACCCTTCAAATTTTTTGTAACATTATAACTCATCCCATAAACCCTAAAAAGCCCAAAGTGAGAATAACTTACATCTGATTCTTTCAACAATTCACTTTCAAGAATGTCGACAAAAATACTTAGAGATGCACCTTCGAAGGCTTGACGAACGTAGCCAACATGATCAATATCCTAGAAATGAATATAAGGCAGAAAACAGTCAGCATCAATAGTACGAACACATAATGCTATAATAAACGAACATCTGAAAAACTGCTCACCATTAGCACACTATTTTCCTCGCTCCCAGGAAGTGATGAAATTAGACAGAGACATACTGCCCATGCAAGAATTAGTAGGCCAGCTTCTCTCGTTTCAAGCGTAACAAAACTAGATATTAATACATCCATCTGTTGGATATCAGTCACGGAAAACACAGGAGCACCCTGCCTGAGAAAATGACAACAAACATTCTAATAATTAGCAAAAGCACATAAATAGACAAAATGAAGGGAAATGATACTTTGAAAAGAAGGAGATAGAGCTAACAGCAAGGTAGAAACCTGAAAGGTACTTCATCATGCACCAGCTGAAGAAGATTTTCCAGGTCCAGGGTTTCTATAAGAATAAGTAGGAGCTGGATCCTAGCATGATAAGATGACTTTAGTGCCTCAGCTGAGATTGCAAGCTTTTCAAAGTTATACAACCCAGATAAGATCCCCTGTGAAATGATGTTTATGAGTCAGGACTAGGATAAGAAAGGGATATAGAAATCAGTTCCCATGAGAAGGTAACAATATACCTTGTAAAGCAAACACAGCTTTTTCCATGTTTCACCATTACAAGTACAAAGTGACTCGTAATAAAGCAGGAAAAGGATGTCCAAAACCAAATTGTCTTCAATCAGTGTCCCCTCAGCCCACAAAGTGAAAATATCAACATCCTATAAAGTATTCCAAAAATCCACATCTAATGTTAAGGGCCATAAATCCAATATCCGATTCAAAGAAGAAAAGCAGATATCCATTTTATCACCAGTAAAGCCCATACATTGCAGACATCCAAATGTAAACATTAATAAAGAATGAATATATGGTGATTAAGAGGCTTAAGAGGCATGAGAACATACAAAAAAATCTTATCAATCAGTAACTCTGGCCATTTCAATAACAAGTTTAAGAAACAAAACCAAGAAATTATTTATAAAGAATAGACAAAACCCTTGCATCTACATTTATATGCACCTGATTCAATAATCTTCTTAGTAAGTATCCATATTTTATTAATTAAATTGAAGAAAGCTTCAAGAGTGGCCTAAGCCCCAGACTTAGTAAACAAAGTATGACAGCTCTATCATGATCTACAGTACTAATACTGGTCCTGGAATTTATTTCATTTTCTACATGCTCATGATTTGAATGCATTGCAAATCAACCTAGTTTCTCTTTCACCTTGCCAATTAACTGCCCCATGTCTCTGTAAAGTTCCCAATAGCTACTATATATATAAGAATCAGGCACAGCACTGCAGAAACAGGCACCATCGGTTTAAATAATATACAGAAGAACTATTGGCCTAATCAGCTGTAATCTCATTTCCTAGCATGTCTGTATGTATTCCCACAAATTAAAGGATGCAATACAACTGACTGCAACTCAATCTTATCCAGCCAGCAATTCCATGTGGCCAAATGCATAACATACAATTTGAAATTTTGTAGAATGTGAAGGATAAAACAACATCCACCACCTGCATAAGCTGATGAAGCCATCAAGTAATATTACAATTATAACAGGCACTTTTTATCAAATATACCATTTGCTCAGGATGACTGGAGGATAGAAGATCCTGCAAGAGAGAGATTAATTTCTGTTCCAACCCATCTGAAATCAACTTTACTGCTTCATCCCTTACAAAATTTTCTTCTTTGGAGCTAATTCCAACATACACTGCACCAAGTGGCATCATAGGTGTAAGGTTAATAAGAATCCTCAAATCAACTAAGCACATAAAAGCAACGTTACTCAGGGTAGGGAAAGTACTTCCAGGTTATGGTCCAAATTTTTTTAGCATTCCATGACACGAAATATATATATATATATGACTCATAAGAAATAGCAAATGGAAGAAACTTAGTACTAAGCGTGGTGGGACTTACAAGCATGCATGAGAATTCGCCTGGTGCACTTCAGCAAGCATTGTCGCTCAATGTAGTACTGAAGCAATACCTTCAAAATAATAAAAAAGAAAAGGAAACAAAAACTAACCACCAGTGGAACAAACTGATTATCGATCTCAATGAGCAAACATATAACACATATGAATCAACTTGGCAAAGACTCATGCAAATTATGTGGAATTAGCAAAACAGTTCTAACATTTCAAATGCTCATGATATTGGACTGTCAAAAAAAACCAAAGTGAAAGACCACACTTCGAAAAGTAACATCTTTTATCAATCTGCAAAGATCGAAAGAGCCAGAAGCTGGATTGTATACCCAAGAGAGTTTCATGTCCTGGCAACATGCTAACAAAGTCAAAATCCTACCGGCTATAAGAAAACTAAATCACAGCATCGACTGCAGACCACTTATCTCTAATTTAAATCAAAACTAAATGCAACAAATTAATTCAAAGAGAAAAAGCCGGAAAGTTACTAACCACATGAAGATAGTCTTCAACCATAAAATCAACCGCTAAATCATCACGCTCAAGAGACCTCTCAACAAGTATATATGACTGCACCTCATCTAAACACTGAAAACACAAATTTAACTCGATGATTAAAAAAGGAAAATCATAATCGATACTACATTTTATTCAAAATTTAACATACGCTGAGACAAAATAAAAAATCCACAAAAAAAGCTGAATTCAATATGAACAACAAAATAAATAAAACAAAATCTAACCAGATAAGAGCTAATGCGCAAAGCTTTATCTTTCAATTCAGGCTTAACAGGAATTTCATGATATCCAATTTTGATTTCCGCCGAATTCAAAGCCTCTCGTGATTTTGCATTCGGTTTCTTAAATAGAGAAGCAGTTTCCACAAACCATGCGTGATTCTCCTTCAGCTTCTTCGCCTACAAATCAAGAGGAAATTCAAATAGTAAGCCAATAAAGAAAAGATAAACAAAAAGAGAGAGAGAGAAGGGGAAGGGTGGTTACGAGGTGAGGAGGTAGGTCAGAGGAGAGAGAGGAGTTTTCGAGGTCAGTGAGAATGGAAGCGAAAGAATCAAACCAGAGTGAGGAATCGACGGTTTTAGTGTTTGACATTGAAAGAGATTTCTGTAAAATGGAATTTTGAAACCTAAAAACGAAGAAGATTAGAGAGGATTTGAAGTTTTTTCATGTTAGATTTGATTTGATTTTGGCGCTTTTGGGGTTTTTCAAGTAGAAAAAAGAAAGGGGGTTTTAGGGCTTTGCAATTTAGTAAATGACTTGTCGGTTTACTATTTCAGAACGGCTGTTTCCTAGATGACATGTCCTTTATGTAGGCGACCCCATAATAAATTGTCTGGGGCAATGGAGGTATCGATGGGGTGATCTTCAGCCCATCTTATGATTGTGAAGAGATTCTTTTTGGGCTTAGAATCAGGCTCTTTCAGAATTGCTTCTTCTAAGATGGGTTTTACTGTGTTATTAGCTAATTTCTTCGATTTTTTTTCTTTTTTTTCAAGAATGAAATAGAATGGGTGAAAGAGAAAAATATAATTGAGAAAAATATCATTAGTATAAAAAAATGATGAAAGAATTAAATTACTAATGGAATTAAAATGTAAGGACTAAAATTGGTCATCGTATTTTTTTTATTCTTTTATTAATTAAGAATATTCTTAGGTCACTTTTTGTATGTTAAAATTGTATTTTTTTTATTTAAATCTTAAAAATTTTATTGATGTATTTTAAAATTTTATTTCGAGACATAACGGGTATGGAAACAATCCATTCTCGACATCTTATTCCTTGGGTTTTATTTGTTTGGGGGAAAACAAATTTTAGGAACTTGTTTTTTCTATTTTTCAATGTTTGTTTTACATTTAGAAAAAAAATTAATAGAAATATATTTTCAGTTAACGAAAAATAATAAAGTATTTTTGAAAAAAAAATTTCCTAATTTCAAAAGAGGAAAATATTTTCTTTCTCACGGGTTGTCTCACTATCTCGTTACTTACCTCTCTCTTAATATATTTTTAAAAAAAATTTCTCTATCTTCTTTTTATTTAAAATATATCATATTAATTTTTAATTATTTCTTATCAAATATTATTAATTATTTAATTATTTTTTCTCTATTTTTATTAATATTTGATTTTTTAATTTATATATACAAGTAAATATTCTTAAAAATTATTTTTACACCTTAAGTTATTTTTACAATAAATATTTTAATAATTTATTTCTATTTTTTTACTATTATCTCAAAGACAACCTAAACTATACTTAAATTATTGAAAATGATTATTACAAGACCGTAATTTAAAAAAAAATTGAAATTAATCAATTCATCAAGTAAATACATTTTTTTTCCAACACAATTCATTTGCAATTAAATCAATAATTTATAATTTTAATCAATTGTAAAATTTTATTGGTAATTATAGTGAATAATTAGTTACAAATTATTCTAACATTAATCTTTTGAGATCAAATGAATGATTATCTATAAATGATAACTAATAATTCATAAAACTATTTTTAAAACTAAATTATCAGTTAAATTTCTAAAAAAAAAATCTTAATTGAGTTACCAAAATAATAATGTTAAGATTACTTAGAATCTTTTTTTACGAAATGTGATATTGACTTGATTTTGTTTCAATTAATTTTGATGAATTGGTTTGATGGTTAAAAAAGTATATTTTATTTTTTGAATTAAAAATTTAGAGTTAGTATTTATGAAAATTTATTAATTTTTTTTAAATGTATCTTATATTGTAAAATTATGAATATGTGCTTTTGAAGTTTCTCAAAATTTATTGATATAACAATCACATATGTTTTTGTATTTTAATTTTCTATATCAAACAACACTATAATATATTTTTCAACAGACTTTTTCATGTAATTGTCAAACAGCAAAAAATATGTTTTAAAAAATAATTTTCTGAAAAATAACTTACTCGATAATTGATTTTTCTATGAAACTTATTTTCTTCCAAATAAACACAACTTTATACGAGCTATTCCTTCCGTATTTGGCATGCAAGTCGTTTGATGGATGAGTGAACTTGCAATTCGTCTTCAAGTGTATGTATATATATATAATTAAGAGTGCCATGAAAGGCAAGAGGATGGCACAGTTGAAAATTATATAATTAGCTTGAAAGGTGTTTGACACTTTGTCTTGTGAGAGTCTTACATAGTTAAATCTGTATTTATATAATAACTTAAAATTTTAATTTATTTTTATATTTTTAATTATATTATTATGTCATTTATTAATATTTATATTTTTAATTAATTTTTCTGATCATAAATAAATTTTTTAATAAAAATATCTATAAGTGAAAAAAAAAACTCAAAAACCAAACATTGAAGTCATATTATTTTAAGTTTTTTTTTTTCCTTTTTGGCATTCTAGCCAAAGAGTAAATTATAAATCTGTCTCTCTTGTTTTGAGAAACAAATTAATTAGTCTCTCTTATTTTAAAAATTAATTATTCAATCATCATGTTTTGAAATTTACACATATTAATGCTTTTTACTCTTTTGTAATTTGTTTTGAGAAATAGAAAAAAAATATAAAAGAAATATTGAAAGATTGAAGAAAATAAGAGATTTTATAAAATAAAAATAATATTGAATTAAATATGATAAACGCTGATTAAAGAATCAAATAATAGTTTTTTAAAACAAGATGAACTAATTAATTTGTTTTTTTAAACTAGAAGGGCTAATTTATAATTTATTCTCTAGTCAAAGGTTTTTTTGGTAAAAAAAGAGTTATTTATAGTCGAAAAAAATTGATCGAAGGGACATGTTAGAGACTTAAATATTATTAAAAAGATCATATGTGTAATTAAAAATACAAAGATAAATTAAAAATTCAAATTATTATAGAAGGATAGAATTAAATTATTGAAGAAATTAAAATGTAAAGAAATAAATGATTCTTCATCACATCCTAATTATCCTTTTTTATCAGTTAAGATATTCTTATGTCACATTTTGTATGTTAAAATTTTATTTTTCTTAATTTGAATCTTAAAAAATTTATATATGTATTTTGAAATTTAATTTCGAGATGGAACGGGTATAGAATAAATCCATTCTCGACGTCTTATTCCTTACACTGACCATTCCTTCAATATTTGGCTTGCAAGTCATTTGATGGATGAGTGGACTTGCTATGTCGTCTTCGAGTAGATATATAATTAAGAGTGGCATGAATGGTAAAAGGATGGCACGGTTAACAATCATATAATTGTCTTATGAGAGTGTTATATAATATTTTAAATTTTTAATCTATTTTTAATTATATTATTATGTCATTTATTAATATCTAAGTTTTAAATTTATTTTTTTCTTATAAATAATTTTTTTAATCAAAATTCTTGTGACTGAAATACTAAAAAAAAAACACCAGAAATAAAGCATGCAGATTATATTATTTTAAGTTTTTTTTATTTTAATCATAGATATTTTGATAAAAAAATTATTTATTGTTGAAAAAACTGATCGAAATGATATGTTAAAGACTTAAATATTATTAAAATATAATATATCTAATAAAAAATGTAAAGATAAATTAAAAATTCAAATTATTATATAATGATAGATTAAACCATTTATTTATAAATTACTAATACTATAAAGACAGCAAACATCAATCAAATTGCTTGGAGGGGGATGAGGATGAGGAAAAGGCGAAAAGCTCCTGCCTGCAATCGAGGAGAAATATTTGGAAAGTTAATGCAAAACTCAAATTTATGAGTAAATTTCAATGAAATCATTCACTTTTAAGCCAAACAGGATGCAACTATTTGTCCCCACAAGTTTGCCGCGAATCCTCCCTAGTCACGTGGTATGTTGAGATAGAAACCTTTACCTTGACAGCAAAAATTGTGCTTGTTCCCTTCGTTTTGAAAGGCGAAAGCATGGCACAGTTAATAACTATATAATTAGCTTGGAAGGTGTTTGATACTTTGTCCTCTGAGAATCGTAATCATCATTTAGAGAAAACATGGTAGTCAGTCAGATTTTCTCGGATCTTTCAATACGTTTTCTTCTGTATTATCAAGATAAATTCCAAAAAATTGATTTTACTGGCAGTTTTAGTTTCAAGTGCCAAGTGTCAATATTTAAATTTATAAATATCAACATAGTAGATCCATCAAAATTCATTTAGCTAGATTGAGTTTATGAATTTGAGTTAATTTCTTGATAAGATGACACATTTTTTATTTCGTGAAATTGAATTTAAAACTTTATATTTCTCTCATTATTGATGTCTCATTATTGGTTGGGTCTAGTTGTCGAACTTTACTTTTAAAAATGGATGCTTTATGAATCCATGAGAGAGGACATTACATACTTTCGCCGTCGTGACCTTGTTCAGGAACTAAAATGAAGATTTGAGATTTTGCGTGATTCACTTTGCTTTATCATTAGTTTTATGTCCTCGTGGATTCCTCTCGGCTACTCATGCTTAATAAGGACAGGATGTACGACGGATTACTTGGTTTGTTGAGAAAATTTGCAGTTTCCATGCGTTTGTATTCATTCGAGTGATGTGAAGACTCGTGAACCGAGACTCGAACATGACTTGAATGTGAACTCTAAGTGGTGGCCGAGGAGGTTTGCTTCTTTTGAAAATTTATTCACTTGAATATGTCAAACTAATGTAGGAGATATGTGTTTAAGACTCGCATAAAAATGAGATTCGTAGATGGGTGAAAAAAACATCATGGCATGTGAAGCCTCTCTCAATCATAAAATGGAGGCCGGGGAGGCCATTTTCCGAACTCGGGGTGGTGGAAGTATTTTGGAGGAATCTTGGGGTAAGGAGGAAGCTTAGGAAGAGGAGGTCACGGCTTCTTATAAAATGGAGGGATTTTCGGGATTGGAGGGAGAGGCTTATAGATTGGAACGGGAGGTGGTAGAGGCTTGTAGATAGGAACGGAAGGTGGGAGAGGCTTGACGATTGGTGGTTTTTGTTTTGGCTTGTTGATGGGCACCGGAGGTGGCTTAAAGACTCGGTGGCTTTGGCTTTGGTTTGTAGATTGGAACGGGAGGAGGCTTTAAAGTGGTGGTTTTACCTTTGGTCGGTAGATTGGAACGGGAGGGGCTCGAAATATGGTGCTTTTGGCTTTGGCTTGTAGATTGGAATGGGAGGGGTTGAAAACTTGTGGTTTTGGCTTTGGCTTGTAGATTGGAACAGGAGCGGGCATGAAAACCGTCGACTTTGGCTTTGGCTTGTAGATTTGAACAGGTGGTGGAAGTGGCTTCTTGTAGAATGGAACTGGTCGGGGTGGAGGGAAAACCTTCGAAGGGAGGGGAGGAAAGACCTTAGGCGGGAACGGTATGGATGGTGAAAGTTGTTCAATGGTGGAAGTTTCCCTTTAAGTAATGGAGGCAATTTAAGTGGTGGGAGAAGCGACAGTGCACCAAAATTTTCTCTAGTTACATTTAGGTGATCGGGGACGCGGCAATGGTGGTAATGGGCGAGGGAAGTAGATCGCCGAAGTGCAAGTCACAGTGAAAATTTCGGTTTCCCCGCCACCCAAATGTGTGTTTCCCATCGGTTTTCGACTTGAAGACAATCTTGGAGGACTCTAGGCCATCGATGGTCGGGCATGGTGCAGTCGATGCACCGTGAAGTTGTGCATAACATTCTTCCTTTAATTTTCCATCCTTCACAACATCATTTGGAAGAGACACTTTGAACTTCCCTTCTTCGTCAAGCTCACCCACCCCTCTTGTTTTAAACTCTCCATTTTCGGGCTTGCAATCAATTGTCACTTTAAGCCCCGCGAAGTACTACATCGATTGTTATCATCTTTCAAATGGTGCAAGATATGTTTGTCTCGAGGCCTAGTCGATCATGCCATAAGCCTCGTGACCTTAAAATGGACAATGCATCGATCTCTATAGGATTAAACAAGATAGTTACGCCGATTTATGCCGAAATTAAATGCATGTACCTCTTAACATATGCCAAAAAAAACACGGTTACTCGAAAAGGCATGAATAGTCTTGATGTTACTCGTGCACAATCCGCACATTCTCCTATCCCAACTACCTCAACTTTCTTGTCATCGGCATAGCGAAGGTTGCAGGAAAGAGTAAGGACACGTAGAAGCACGAAGTGCTCCTCTAAAAACGGGAGAATCCGCATTGGGAACACCAAGGAGATGCAAGACTTGGAAGCCGTAATAAGTTTCTTTGGTGTTGTTGATGAAGGATTCGATACCCCGAAGACTAATTATATAATGCTATCTGCAGGAATGATTTCAAAGGCTCCCCGACACCAAATTAAGGGCATTACGGGTGTATGCGATTTGGCAAAAGGATGCGATTTGATGAGTATAAAGACAAATAATGATGTTATTGTTATGAAACGTTGTAGTGTTAAATAATTTTTTTAAATAAATAAATGCCTAAATTTAGGCAAACAAATGGACAAGACTAAAATGATCGAGAGCAAGCTTGAATAAATTAAAAGTAAGTCCTTTTATTTTCAAAAATAATTTAGTTAGTCTTTTTTTATTTCATAAACCAATAATTTAGTTATTTTTGTTCATTTTATATTATTTTTTAATTTTTAAAAATAGGAAAATTTTACCATGAAAATTTGATTAAAAAAAGTTATGAAATAAAATATATTACATTAAACCCGATAAATGCTGATTAAGAATTTAAATAATTATTTTTAAAAACATTAAGGACTAGTTAATTTATTTATCAAACTAGAGGGATTAATGTATAATTTACATTTTATTTTATGGCTTTGTCGGAATATCCATCGCTCATGTCACTCAACCTGTCTTGAATGCGTGCACAATTCAAAAGCGTGCAAAGCAAATGCTTGCTTTATTGAGTAATTTATGAATCATTCCATTTCGTTTGAAAAAATAAATTAGTTGTTTCTTCCAAATATGGTATGGCTCTGTTTCATGGGTTATACAAAAGGAGAAATTTTATAATATATAAGAAATAACTAACGACATATACAAGTAGTTATTTTTCGTATCCATTTTGAGAAAAATAATAGACATACAAAAAAAGAGAAAATAAAAAAATTTGAGTAAACTTGTAAATCTTCTTATTATTTTTTATGAGTATAAATATAATTTCATTCTTTTTTATATGTTTATCTCTGTTCTTAAAATGTATTCAATAAATAACTAATTTACGTACCATTAATTATGTATTATAAAATTTTTTATATAAAAGATCTATCGCTATGTGGCTAGGTTTTTTTGGGGAAAGTCAAGTCGGAATTTTTACTGTAACAACTGACGCGGGACAGGTTAAAGTACCCGGGATGTACTTTACTGTGACCACTGACATGGGACCTGCTAATTGCACGTCGTGTTGGTTTTTTTTTTTGAAGTGTCACCCCTCTTGAGGAGTATGAGCCTATGACAGAAGCACCTGGTAAGAATGTATCTGATTAACCTTATCGGAATCACGCATGAGAGGCCTCTAGTTTAGGATGTGAGATACAAGTCAAATTAACATGTTTTTGTTTTTCTAGCTCTAAGGAAGCAAACAGGAGGTGGTTGAATATTTAATAAGGGGTTTATATATAACTTTTTGGGGAATTGCTTGCTGTTTTAAGATTCCGGCTAGGGAGAACGGCCATTCATGGCGTAGTTCTGTTACATCCCAAATACCTGTGTATTACTATTGAATTGATAATAACATTGCGACTAATTTTTTTTCGTCCACAGAACTAGCTGGAATATCATTTCAGGGCAGCTGGAATTTCCCAAAATGTTACCTTGTACAAACCTTTCGGTTTTTCGTCCACAAAACTTGAAATTCATTTCAGGGCCTTTGAGCTTTCCCAAAAATCTTTCCTCTGACAATCCTAAAATATTGCGGCAGCACAGAGTTATCTACTCCTACAATTGCCCTTAGTGAACCTAGACTTTTATTTCTTGTGAAGCAGCCATGAAATGAGGTGTCTTTTTCAAACAATATTAATTTCTTCTCTTTTACCCCTCACTCTGGCTTAAACAGTTTCCACAAACCATGCGTGATTCTCCTTCAACTTCTTCGCCTACAAATCAAAAGGAAATTCAACCAGCAAGCGAATAAATAAACGATAAACAAAAATAGAGAGAGAAGGGGAAGAGGTGTTTACGAGGTGAGGAGGTAAGCCAGAGGAGAGAAAGGCGTTTTCTAGGTCAGTGAGAAAGAAAGTAAAGGAATCAAACCAGAGTGAGGAATCGATAGTTTTAGGGTTTGACATGGAAAGAGATTTCTGTAAAATGGGATTTTGAAACCGTAAAAACGAAGAAGAAGGAGAAGATTAGAGAGGATGAGAAGGTTCTTTTTTTTTTTTTTTCGGGTGTTAGATTTGATTTGATTTTGGCGCTTTTGGGGTTTTCAAGTAAAGAAAAGAACCGGGGGTTTTAGGGCTTTGCAATTTAGTTAATGACGTGTCGGTTTCCTATTGTCAGAATGGCTGTTGCCTGTATGGCATGTCGTTTTTGCAGGCGACTCCCAAATAACAAGTCTGGAGCCATGGAGGTATCTATGGGCTTATCTTCAGCCCATCTTATGATTTGCGAATAAATTCATTTTGGGCTTAGAATCAGGCTCTTTCAGAATTTGACAAGACCAAACCCAAGCTTGTTCCGACGGACACTCCTTTTAAGATGGGTTACACTGTGTTATTAGCTAATTTCTTTGATTTTTTTTGTCGATGAGACTGAAATACAGTGGGTGAAATAAAAAAATAAAGCATCAAACAAAAAGGTAATTAAAAAAATCACTAATTTAAAAAAAAATCATAAAAGAATTAAATTATTAATGAAATTAAAACGTAAATGACTAAATAATTAGTTTTTCAAACAAAAAGGCAATTAAAAAATCATTAATCTAACAAAAAAAATAATAAAAGAATTAAATTATAGACAAAATTAAAACATAAATGACTAAATGATTATTTTTTCAAACAAAAAGAACTAATTAAATTGTTTCTCAAAACGAGAGAGACTAATTTATAACTTACTCTTAAAACTTTTAATGTGTTCAAGTCTTAAATAATTAATTTCTCAACTAAAAAAAAATTGTTGAACTAATAGTTAAGATATTGCTAGCTCACTTTTTGTATATTAACATGGTATTATATATATATATACGTCTTAACAAGTTATTTATGTATTCTAAAATTTAAATTCGGGACGCAATGTGTATAGACTGAACCCATTCACCGCATCTCATTCCTTACATGGACTATTCCTTCAATATATTTGGCTTGCAAGTCATTTGATGGATGAGTGGACTTGCCATGTCGCCTTCGAGTAGATACATAATTAAGAGCGCCAGGAGAGGGAAAAAGATGGCACGGTTAACAATTATATAATTTGCTTGAAAGGTGTTTACATTTTATCTTATGAGTGTCTTATAAATTGAGGATAAATAGTTAGATCTATATTTGGTCTCTATTGGATCGCTGTTAGATCTATATTCAGTCATTATTTCATTGTTAAATGTAATAATCCCAACTAATTTGATGCTATTTAATTGTTATTTAGCAACAGTTTGAAATTCATTGCTAAAACTCATCCTTATCTAGCAAATTTTTTTAGTTTATGTTTTTAATTGTATTTATTATGTCTTTTAATAATATTTAAATTTTTAATTCATTAGAGTAAATCTTTAGACCAAAATACTTCTTAAAAAAAAAAACTTCAAAGATAGAATATGTAGACCATGTCATTTTAAGTAGTTAGTTTTTTTTTTTCATCATTTCAATCAAATTTATTTTGGTATAATTAATATATAGTTGAAAAAATTAATCGAAATAATATATTAAAAACTTAAATATTATTAAAAAATATATAACATGCGTAATTAAAAATGTAAAAATAAATTTAAAAATTCAAAACATTATATAAAGACAGATTTAACTATTTATCTATTATAAATTAATAGTATTACGAGGACAACAAGTTAACATCAATCAAATTGCTAATAAGGGCCTGATCTTAGACAATGACAAACACTGATATTAATGAAGATTGCTGCTTTAACTTCTTGCAACTTATATATTAACCTCCTTGATGGAAGAATTGAATGATATACATATGTGTGCGATTGTTCTAGTTTATATGTACGTACATTGACAAATATTGATTGAGATTTTGCTACCAATGCCCTTCCTTAAATATCATCATTAGGAGAAAAATATCGTAGTCACTCAGATTTTCTCGAATCTTTCAATACTTTTTCTTCAGTATTATTGAGATAATTGCTGGCCGTCGTAAGCAAATTCATGCAATGGAGAAAGAGAGATGATAAAAATTTAATTTTGTGTTCATTGCATTATATTTTATTACACTATATAAAATACTTTTTTTTTCAACTGCATCTAAAAAAAATACATAATGGAATGTATCCTTCAACAATCTCTCGAAAAAACACAAGACAGGATGTTCCATATGACCGGATCCTTGGACAATGTTTTACATTGTAGTTGGCAGATACAGACATATTCTAGTTCAATGTGCTTATGTTTTTCATTCCTCAATTACTAGTGGATAACCACAGGCACATGTAGAGAGACAATCAAGAACAATATTGTTAATTTTTGGTTCGTGATTTTTTCTAACTAGTCAGATCCCTAAAATTATGTCTTCATTTTTCTAACTACGTTGGCAGTAGTTCCTTTGAACATCAAAATAAATTACTCTCTTACTCTAAAAAAAATATTCGTATTTTTATCTATATTTATTTCAAAATATTTGCCTTGTATATTTTCTTAAAATATTTTTAATTAATGTTAGTTAAAAGATTAAATTTGATGACTACATATATTTTAGAAAAATATAAATAAGAAATTCTAATATAGAATAATAAAAAATATCTTTTCTTAATCTATATGAAAAATGAAGAAGACAACGTTTTTGAAGGAAAAAAAAATGATAATGGGACACTTCTTGAGGCTTCAGTTCGGCTTTAAGCTGATCGTGCTGATCATGCATGCAGCAATGCAACAGGCAAGGGTAAAGGAAAATGACATGTACCATTATTGTAAGGCATTCAAAGATGAAATTTACAAGTCAAGAAGTAAAGAGGAAATTCACACAGATAATGAATTTAAGTTGATGGATAATAAAGGCAATAATTAATAAATTGTACTTCACACTCTTCGCTCTTCGTGATCTCTTCTTTTGCTTCCTTTCGCCATCTTGAAGGCTTTATTGCAGCACAACACGGAGAACTTCATACCAGCAGTCATATATAATTATAAGAAGCAATATTTTATCCTACTTGCATCTTGTGAAAATGCTGCAGAATAGTCTAATGAATGGGAGAATATGGTGGCAAGGGAGGCCAATTTCCGAACTTGGGGTGGTGAAAGTACTTTGGAGGAATCTTGGGGTGGTGGAGGTACTTTGGAGGAATCTTGGGGTGAGGAGAAAGCTTAGGAAGATGAGGGTATGGCTTCTTATAAAATGGAGGGATCTTTGGGATTGGAGGGAGAGGCTTATAGATCGGAACGGGAGGTGGGAGAGGCTTGTAGATCGGAACGGGAGGTGGTAGAGGCTTGTAGATCGGAACGGGAGGTGGGAGAGGCTTGTAGATCGGAACGGGAGGTGGTAGAGGCTTGTAGATCGGAACGGGAGGTGGGAGAGGCTTGTAGATCGGAACTGGAGGTGGTAGAGGCTTGTAGATTGGAACAGGGGGTGGGAGAGGCTTGACGATTGGTGGTTTTGGTTTTGGCACGTAGATGGGCACTGGAGGTGGCTCGAAGACTGGTGGCTTTGGCTTTGGCTTGTAGATTGGAACGGGAGGAGGCTTGTAAACTGGTGGTTTTGGCTTCGGCTTGTAGATTGGAACGGGAGGAGGCTTGAAAACTGGTGGTTTTGGCTTTGGCTTATAGATGGGCACTGGAGGTGGCTTTGGCTTTGGTTTGTAGAGTGGAACGGGAGGGGGCTTGAAAACTGGTGGCTTTGGCTTTGGTTTGTAGATTGGAACGGGAGGGGGCTTGAAAAGTGGTGGTTTTGGCTCTGGCTTGTAGATTGGAACGGGAGGAGGCTTGAAAACTGGTGGTTTTGGCTTCGGCTTGTAGATTGGAACAGGAGGTGGCAGGACCTTTGGGATTAGAGGAGGCTTGTAGATTGGAACGGGAGGTGGAAGTGGCTTCTTGTAGACTGGAACTGGTGGGAGGAAAGGCTTTGGAGGGAAGACCTTTGGTGGGAGAGGAGGGAAAACCTTCGTAGGGAGTGGAGGAATGACCTTAGGTGGGAATAGGTACGGATGGTGAAAGCTTTTCAATGGTGGAAGTTTCCATTTAGGCAACGGAGGCAATTTATGCAGTGGGTGAGGCCACAAGAACGCTGAAGTGCAAGTCACAGGTGAAAATTTCAGTTTCCCTGCCAGCCCAAATGTATGTTTCTCATCAGATTTCGACTTGAAGACAATCTTGGAGGACTCTAGGCCATCGATGGTTGGGCATGGTGCAGCTGATGCACTGTGAAGTTGTGCATAGCATTCTTCCTTTAATTTTCCATCCTTCGCAACATCATTTGGAAGAGACACTTTGAACTTCCCTTCTTCGTCAAGCTCACCAGCCCCTCTTGTTTTAAACTCTCCATTTTCAGGCTTGCAATCAATTGTCACTTTAAGCCCTGCAGAAGTATTTACATCAGATTGTTATCGTCTTTCAAATGGTGCAAGATATGTTTGTCACGAGGCCTAGCTGATCATGCCATAAGCCTGTGACCTTAAAATGGACAATGCATCGATCTCTATAGGATTAAACAAGATAGTTACGCTGATGTATGCCAGAAATTAAATGCCTGTACCTCTTAACATGTGCCAAAATAACACGGTTACCTGAAAAGGCATGAACAGTCTTGATGTTACTCTGTGCACAATCTGCACATTCTCCTATCCCAACTACCTCAACTTTCTTGTCATCAGCATAGCAGAAGGTTGCAGCGAAGAGTAAGGACACGTAGAAGCACAGAAGTGCTCCTCTAAAAACGGGGAGAATCCGCATTGGGAACACCAAGGAGATGCAAGACTTAGAAGCTGTAATAAGCTTCTATGGTGTTGTTGATGAAGGATTCGATACCCTGAAGACTAATTATATAATGCTGTTGCAGAAATGATTTCAAAGGCTCACCGACACCAAATTAAGGGCATCACATGAGGCTAGGGACCCTCCTGAGATGAATTTGTTTCTGGTTTGAAAAAGATGGTAACGTGCACCCCGGCTTCATCAACCAAATGACATTATCTTACATTCAATGAGCTCTCAACTGTGCACAGCTAAATCTTTCTGTGCTCTTTTTGTCCGTTTAAACCTACTAACCAGCTCCTCATAAATGCTTCACTTTACTAAAAACTTGTGGTTAATTTACAAACAAGCTGTTGTTTTATAAAATACAATATACATGTTTTTTTGTAGTACCATATTTAGAACTTGGAAGAGAAAGAAACAATACTTTACATATTTGGGAGGCAGATAACAACTTCTCGTGAATCAGCCTGATATGCCAAGTTGTCAACCATAACTTTTCTTGAAAGTCCAAGATATTAATGCATTCCTCACTGATAAACCGAATGGTGATGCCATTTTGGTGCTACAGAAAAGAACAGTCAGTAATAATGTTAGAAAAGAAGAAGGAAAACGGAACGATGAGAAGCTAAAAAAAATACTGGGATTCAATCGGAGAGCCATTATTTAATTAAAGTTAGCACCCCCATTAATATTTAGGCGAAGCACATGCTGCTGTCACGTCCTATAATATGAAACCCCAACTGAAAATTTAGGCTCTTGACAGCTTGATTAAAGGACCGTACCGTGCATCAGTCACCGGAATTCAATGTCGAGTTTCGCATCAAAAAAGGCACCCGAAAGCAATTTGATTTTTCAAGGTTTTAGTCTCTGATTACTTAAGAGGGACTCCTAGCTAGTTATGCTATAATGTGATAGACGACAGGTTGAAGGTTAGTTGATTTACATGCATGATATTGATGAGTTATATTCTACTGTAAATTCCAACTGATGAAATCAAACAATGACATTTTCACAATATCGCAATCTTGCGTTAGAACGTTGAGCAGCCACCAATATTGGTTATGGGAGATCAGGACATCCTGAGGACAAGAAAGCGACAGATACCACAAACAAGGGGGCTTGCTAGTTTCTTGGAAAGAAAATAATTTTAAGAATGTTAATTAACAAATATTTAAGGGGAAATTTTTTTTTTAAAAAAAGATCCTATTTGCATGGCCTCTAGTCTGTAGGGTTGTCCCACGCTATACTTTATTTCCAACTATCACAAAACATTTTGCACCTTAACATATACATCATGAAAATGATATAGGAAAATTTGTGTGGATTATATTCGTCTACGTTCAAGATCAAGCAATCAAAGACATAAAAATGAGGGGTCGTAAGTGGGTGACATTAGGTAAAGCAACAAACACTCTCTTAATGATGTCATTATTTGCCGTTAAAAATGCTTCAGGATCCCCCAGATCTTAATTTTTCTTCCCCTGAAAGATGACGCATACATGGTTTGGACACTAATGGAGGCAAACGACACCATATAATATTCTTCACAATAAGTTTATTTTATGCTAAAATCGGCATAACAACCAGTTGTGCAGGTACTTCCATCCTAACACAGTAGAAAGCGTGAATTGGGAGGCCCTAGCATAGTTAAGGTGCTGATGCTAAGAGGATGGGCAAAAGAGAGGAAATTAATATTTTTTGAAAAAGACACCTCATTTCATGGCTGCTTCACAAAAAATGAAATGGAGAAGTAAAAGTCTAGGTTCTGTTGTAGTGTTGTTCACAAAGGGCAATTGAAGGAGTAGATAACTCTGTGCTGCCACAATCTTTTAGGACCGTAAAAGGAAAGATTTTTGGGAAAATTCAAAGGCCCTGAAATGAGTTTCAAGTTTTGTGGACAAAAAACCATAAGGTTTGTGCAAGGAGACATTTTGGAAAATTTCAGTTGCCCTGAAATGATATTCTAGCAAGTCGAGGACGAAAAACATCAAGTCACAACGTTATCATCATTTGAATAGCACGCCCACGGCCATTTGGTGTGTAACAGAACTACGCCATGAAAGGAGGGCTTTGGACCATTTCAAGGACTAGAATTGAATGGTCGTTCTCAAAAGAATCTTAAAACAGCAAGCAATTCCAGGAGAGTTAGATATCAACAACTTAATAAATATTCAACAACCTCCTGTTTGCGTTTTTGCAGCCAGAAAAACAGAAGCATGTTATTTTGACTTGCATCTCACCTCCGAAACTAGAGACCTCTCATGGGTGATTCCGATAAAGGGTAATCAGACCCATCATACCCGGTACTTCTGTCATAGATTCATGCACCTCAACCGGGGTGACAATTACATCACGGGTCATTTGACATGTATATATATGTACCTAGCAGGTCCAATGTCACGGTAAATGTTTAGGAATGATGTTATTTGTCTGAAAATAGTTGTCCAAAATAAATTTCCCAGAAAAACCTAGTCACGTAATGGTGGATCTTCTGCAGAACCCATCAACGAGATCCATACCATCAATAGCTGATATTATTTGGAGAACTTATTTAAGGACTAATACTTGAATATCAGGAAAACTCATCAAGGACTAATATTTCGCAACAAATACCATTATTCAGACTCTGACATAAGGAAATCCCCCATGAAAATAAGAATGATTGAAATAGCAAAAATGCACATGTAATATGTAAGGAAGTTCAAGACAATCATATCCTTCCTACCTCGGAGTTAGTTTTCTTCAAAAAGGCTCAACAGTCTAAAAATTCTCCAAAAAAGAAAAATTTAGAAATTTTCTTTCAAATGCTACAACAACGAGGCAGGTCTTTACTGGCCTAAATTTCCGAACTAGTTCAGTTCATGGGCTCTCTTAGAATCACCAAATGCCTAGTGTGAGTTACAAGAGTCTGCACTCTACTACAGAGACGTGAGCAGCTGAAACAGGGTAAGAGCCACTGTTTACTTCTTCTTCTTTGACTTCTGGGACTGTGACTGGGTAAATGCTGTTCCCTGAACATTACAAAAATATAGAAACGAAAATTTATCAGTTATAACTAAATTCTCCGTAACCAGATGATACTGCAAATGAAGCTTGGAAAATTCTCCAAGGGAAGAAGGTCGTGGGGGAAGGGAAACTATTTGAAAGAGGATTTTTTTATCGAATAAATCAACATGACAATGAATCATAGGAAATTGAATGCAAAATTAAAACGTAAAGCTACACACCTGAAGCCATTCATCCATGGAGGCATCTCTAGTCCCAGTTCCAACCTCCACCTTCGGAGCCCTCTTTGTTTTCTAAAAAAAACAAAAGCAGCAAATTAAAAGAATTTCATGACGCAAACATATGAAAGTAGTAAATAAATAAGCATGCAGGCATAGTTGCAAAGATATCAACTACAGGAAAAAAATCTAATAAGCTCCCAGCCCAACAGGTATCCAAATCAAATATATTCATCAAATGATTTGTCTGTTCCTCTGAAAACTAAAAGACTTCTTCAATGCCAACTCAAATAAAGTATTGTATGGTCAAGCAATTGATGAAAAATATTCATTACGAAGATAAATTAACAAATTTAATGGTAAAGTTTACTGTAATAAATTGCTTATAAAAAAAAATGCAAAAATGAGAGTGGAGTCATGGCAGATGAGTACCTTAGAAAGGTTCTGTATTTGGCCATTAACCCATAGGCCAAAGAGGACAAGAAGGGCAATTCCAAGGGTAAAAAGAAAAACCGACTCCATGCTTAGGAAGACACCAGACTCAACAACTTCAATGGTACCATTGTAGAAGGTACTTTGATATGGATGCTGGTCTATCTCATAAATAATGGTGCCCACGAGATCGAAGCTTCCAGGCTGCATGAGGAGAATCAAACGTGTAAGTTGACTATGAAGAAAGGAGCACATAATGGATGGAAAGTCAAAGTTGATAATTGGGAAAGAACAGAATTCTTGGAGTGACGATGCACGTACCTGCAAGTATTTGCTGACACCAAATATGTATGGGAAAGTAGCCTGAGCAGAGGACGGAACAGTTGCATTGTTGAAGCCCTGAATTAAAACAAAAGAAAACAGTTGAATAACAAATAGCAACTTCAATCGGCCTGATCAAAAACTCAAGAAAGCAGTTATCAATCGAAAAAATTCTTAAAAAATCCAACAATACAGAAGCACCAAAAAACTCTCAGCAATAAGAACTAAAAAAATAGAAGGGCCTCGCAGTCTAACTAAAGCAACCAATAGAGAATCACAGACAATAACACATTGCCAGTTTCAAAAAATGATAATAAAATGAGTAAACTAGCCAGACAAAAGTTTTCTACAATTTCGCACTTGTAGTGGGGAGTTGACCTCAGAAAAGCATTACAAGCAGAGTATTGCAGAAATAGTCACCAGAAAAACAAAGACTTCTCCAAATGATCCAGACAACACTGACACAGCACACATAAAAATAACCTGAATAGTAGGGTCGTGCCTTTTGAAAACCTTAACAGAGCCATGAAATACATAACAAAAAGTGATTGTGATTCACATGTCTAATCAAACACATGCAACCAAAGAAGAGCATTTATTAATCACGGAACAATGGACATAAGTATTTTGAAGTTTCAAAGATGTATTGAAATTTCAAATCTTTGATGTTGCAGTGTCAAATGTTGGATATTAATCAAACACATATCATCAAATACAAGACTATATTGATTGTTCATATGGAGCAGAATTATTTTATCACCAAAACAGCCAACTAAAAGATAATTCAGGGCAAGATGTGCAAGTCAAAGGCATCTAAAACGTTCACTTCTTCCTGGTCAATAATGTTATAGATCTTACCAAATCCTAAAGTACTATTGGAGCATTACTATCTACAAGATTTACTGAATGCATGCTGGTAATTCATGCAACAGAGCAATAAAAACCAAAAAAGAATTGTTTCACGTGTCATTATCCTTATCCACACAAACCACAATGTCACAATTAGACAGCCAAAGGATGGAAAACACAACAAGTAACGTAGCACAACACTGTATATCGAAGAAAAGAGATTGGCTTAATTTCAAGGCCTACAACTGCAATAATTTATAACTAATTAGAACCTGGAATGGAGATCATGACATTTGATTTGCAAATGAAATCATGCATAAACCCACAATTACCTGAGCAGAGAGATTCTGAACCAGCAGCTTATGATCAATAGGAAGATGAACAGTGGCCCTAATTCCAATGACAGTTATGGGCAACTCCCCTACATTTCATGCAAACAAGAAAATAAGCTTATCCCAATGCAAAGTACATAGCAATAAAAAATATAAACATTCAAATGAGGTCTTTAATGAAAAACTTAAGGCAAATGGTCCAAAGGAAGATCATAAACCAGTATTCTAATCCCATTACAAAATAAGCCTATAACAGTTTTAATTACCATCATTTTTCATTCCAACTAGTAGTTCAGTCTCTTCTCCAGCCAACACCACTACAAAAGAAAAAAGAGATAGAGAACAAATTAAACAAACAGTACATATCCATCTCCCAAACCCAATAAGAAAACCGATATCTTCATAAATGAAAACAGTATCAATGAAATTCTTACAACGTGCGCTGTTTTTGGGGAAAACACAGACTGTATCAACTCCTGGAGCTGGGCTAAAATTCCCATCACCAAAATCCTGTGCATCCTCACCAACTATCCCGAGATCACTGACTTCTTCTGCAGTGTCTGCAACTTCAGCGTCCGAATCTGACTGACACCTAGCAACTATAAACAGCAACAGGAAAAAAAAATTTCAAAAAACTTGAAACAAAAAATTGATTGGATTGACAAACATGCATGGATTAAAATTCAAAGCATTAAATACTCCATTCAATCCAATCCCAGAGGAAGCTATTATAACTAAAAATTCTTTTACTAATTAGCTTTAGAAAGCACTTTTTCTCGCTTCCCTTCCGCAGAAAATAATCAAGGCCGACCAAATTTCGCTTTCAAAAAGCGACACAAGCACCTTTGACAACTACTTTTCTTGCCTCTTTTAATCAGCAAAGCAGAACATCAAGTCAAATTTCACTTTGAAAAGCAAATTAAAGCACAAGAAATAAATCAGTAACGAGCTATAACAGAAACGTAAGAAAATCAGCGCATGCATTACAATCGAAATATCAACAAAATAATTAAAGATCGATCTCAATTCAATAGATCAACGCGATGAAAAGCAAATGTTGAGCAACATGAGAATTTCATTTCAGACAATTAAAAGAAAGCGCGTGAATTCACGAACAAAAAATGATGCGTTTTGCATGTGTGTGGATCTGGATCTATGAATAGAGAAGGGGAAAGTGATATAACCTTGAAGGAGAGGCGAAGCGAGGAGGAGGAGAGCGAAGAAAAAAACCCTAAGATTCTTCATCGTTTGCCTTTTTTTTTTTTTCAGTTTTTATTGTTACTGCTTCGCTTTGTTTTTATGGGAAATCAAGCAGCCTGAGACCAAACCTTAGTTATCTGAGTCAAAACTCAAAAACGAAACAAAAATAGTAGGGGCCTATTTATTGTGTGCTTGGAAATAAAAGGGGAGAGCTTGATTGACCAATAACGGGAAAACGTAGGCCTACGTCGTCGTTTCGACGTGTGCTATTGCATTTTTCATTTTTTAACTGTTTCTCTCGTTTTTTCGTTTGGCCTTCTATTAAAAGCTTATATGTCATATTTTGGATTTTATATTTTTCTTTTATCCTCCCAGCTATCCAGGCCTAATGATCAAAACTAATCCCTCACATTTTTGTTTTATCCTCTAAGTTATCCAGACCTAATGACCAAAATTAATCCCCCGCACTAATACTCCCTAATGACCAAAACTGATCCCTCGCACTAATACTCATTGTTTAATCAAACTCACAAAACCAAGACAGCAATCCTTTAAGATTTTTACATATATAAAAACTCAAATTCGAAATTATTTATTGAAAAAACTAAAACCCCCTACCCTCTTAGGGCATGTCATATATATATATATTGCTTTTTAAAATTTTGAAAGGCATAATCTCTTGTACAGGCCAGGATCCAATTAGAATTACCTCTCATTGATGAAAAAAAATTATACCAATCCTAATAACTTCATGTTATTGCTATACTTCATTCTCTTTTTTTTTCAAAAAAAAAAAAGCTGACTTGTCATCCACAGCTTCTACTGCCAACTATTTTTTCACTCCTTCAGAATTCATGCGGCAGGAAAACACTACCATCTTATTTATGAAAATTATAAACAGAGGTAGTAGATTCATGACTAAACAAATAACCTTACACATTGCAACTCCACACACTTTCTCCTGCCTTCTCCAGTTATACCCATAATCAGTCACTTGAAAAATTAAATGAAAACTGCCACAATAAAGTATTAACTATCAAACTCAGTATCTTAGTCTTAAATATCTAACTCGGTATCTTCACTTATACAGATACTAAAGTTCGGCCCAAGCATTTGATAAAATAACTTCCACGTCCTCTCTCTAAAACAAACTTTGGAAAAAGGAATGGCAACCATGTTTGGCTATCCGATCAATCGCCATGGATGGTGTAACGCTCCCACTTCCTAGTCGGGTCATATATCTGCCACAAGAGCAAACGAATTTAATGTGAAAACTGACCATTAAACCTTCCCCTTGGCTCCACCATATTAGTAGCAGGTATCCCAGAAACATCATACAGAATGTGAAACGTGAGTGGAAAGAAGCAAATCATGCATACACACATATGCACAGAGAGAGAGAGAGAGAGAGAGAGAGAGAGAGAGAGAGAGAGAACACACCTCCCATCTTGAAGCAGGAAAGATGTGTTTATTCTTTTCATACCAGTGCCTCTCCACAACTTTACCAGCATGGGACTGTTGAGGAACAAAAACCAAATAAGTATAGCTGTTTCAGCAATGTATGTGAAGAAACATTTAGGCATGTTACAAAGGGAAAAAGAAAATCATAAATCAATATAGAAACAACAAACAGATGATATAAAGACATACCTCATCCTTCTCTATAGTTGCATCAGCAATTGTTCGCACATCCTCGTGCACATCAAAGTGGAAGAGCTAAAAACAAAAAAAAACATTCAAATTAACTTCCTGAAATAAACTTTATTACGAGAAATTATACTGAGAAGAACTGGCATTACTTTTTTAAAAGCACCAACAGACTTAGTAAAAGAATATACATTTGCAAGAATTGTACTTTGGTACTACCAACACACTAAGAACTTGCAGCTCTTTCCATGTTAGGTTTCTTAATGAAAAGAAAAATTCCAAAACCAACCATTGTCTTAGCTTTCAATTCTTATACTGCCTAAGTGAATACAAAAACAAGAAGGGAAGGAAAATAACACCAATCAGATGATCCAAATAATCATTATGCTTATTTTGTCTTATTGGCTACTCAATGGATAGTGTTGGAAATTAGCCTTACCGGTCCACTTTTCCCCCTAGCCTTGTTAATGATCAACTCGTAGAAACTGTGTTGCTGAAATTCCACAATCATGAAAATGTTAAATTTGTTAGCATGAACACAAGATAGCAAGTGCAAAGACTGTAATTAAAGACTAAATTTCAAAATTATCTCACATGGGGAATGATAAGATCCTCTTTCACATAAAGCAAATTCTCCACAGAAGTAGTTCTAATTTCTCTGAACTCTGGTGCAAGTTGTTGCTGAACTGCCCGAAGAAACTCTCCTATGGTGTCCCCTTTACGAACCTAAAAGATAAAACCGTAAACCAACCATGAATTAATAAGAAAAAGGATATGTGAACTATTTGCCAATACTGAGAAGAAGAAATCAAAAGCAAGTCAATAGTTAACAAAGCGATGTAACTCTAACTAACCTGGATCACTCTTCTATGGCCTGCTCCATCCCAGTAGCTGTAAGTGATTTCAAGGGGCTCATCTGAAACAATAGAGAAAGTTGATTTAGCACAAAGTGTAATTCAATGGATCCGTGTTACATAGGAGAGGTTCAGGAAAATAATTACTTCGAATCTGTTCCTGTTCACGAAGCCACTGTTTCCGCAGCCTTTCACGCTCAGCTTGCTCCTCTGCCTCTCGCTCACTGAAACAGCATCCTCAGCACCCCTAAGCTCATATGTTAGTCCCAAGTCCATGCAAAAGCCTTTCACAGTTGAAGGTGCATGGAGAGACAGATAGAGAGAGAGAGAGAGAGAGAGAGAGAGAGAGAGAGAGGAAAGGACGGAGAGAAAGAAACATCACACCTGTCAGGCAAAAAGCTTGTTTCCACTGTGGGATCTTTTCCGAATTTCCCACGCACTAAATTCTTTGGCTCTGAGCTTTCTGCAGACAGCATTGATAAAGGATAAGTGTTAGGTTAAAACATAGAAGTTGCGGTCCAGTTCCAGTTGCTACTGAGAAGAAGGATACAAGTAAAATCAAACAAACCTCATAGCAACAGGGCAAAAAATTTACAAAGTGAGAGTTCTGCATGGGCAAGACAATCCAAAACTCTCACACACACACAAAAAACAATGGCTACTCTATTGTAACAGAATTTTATTATCCATGTTCACTATTTCTAAAAATACTACCATACCACGATTTAAATACCAAGAGCAACCACTTTCAACATATATACAGAGTATGATTTGATCATGACAAGCACTCACTGTAAGCCTTTTCAACCCGTCTAAACAACAGAAATCCTCAATAAAACCAGCTATAAGGAAGTTATAAGGTGAACTGGATTCCAAAAGACCAATAATAAGATCACCAACAACCAGTTACAAATGATGGATGAAGTAGAACTTGACAGCAAATTTACATTGCAGAATTAGAACATACAGAGCTTAGCTAGTGCACAATGCTCTCGTCAAAACAAAAGGTAATTTTTACCCACAAAATGCAGCCAACGCAAACCAAAATCCTAATACACAAATAAAAATGCTAAGTATGTCAAATCATGTAATTTCTTACCGTTTTCACCATCCTCTTCGTCACTTCCATTCTCAAAATCATCAGCAAAAGACAACTTAGAATTACCCTTAACCTTCCTCTTTTTCCGCTTCTGCAACTGAAACTCCTCCTCCCTGCCAATACCAACATATCAATCTTCACTGACATTCAAATTCAAAACCCCAAAAATAAAACAAAAACGCGGTAATCAAACTCACTCTTTCCGTAGCTTTTCTAGCTTCTCCTTCTCTTCTTCCTCGAATTTGGTCTGAATATTAACCCTCTGTATAAACACACACATCACAACAACGATTAAACACCATATAATTTTCACTAACATTAACATAAGACCGAAGTCCAAAAAAAACAAAGTAGTAAACTTAATTACCTTCTCTACGTACTGTTCTCTTGTAACCAAACCCACAGTTTCCTTCTTAAATGCCGTCTCAAGAATCTAAAATAAAAAATCAAGCCCAAATTATAATCAAAACAAACATAATCGCAGTTAACTAACAATTAATCAAGTTAAATGATTAGCAACCCTGAAAATGAGATTTTTTAAGGAAACCCTAGAAATTTACCTCAGAGGTACTTGACCCGAATTGGAGGAGACCGGGCTGGCCATTACCGGAGGCGGACTTGGTTTTGAGCTCTTGGATTTTAAGGCGTTCAGCTTCTCTCTGCTTCTGTAACCGCCGGATCCTCACGGCGTCTTGGGCCGTGCCCACGTACCCGTCTCCCATGCCCGACATCTTCGCTTATCGGGTTCGGTCTCTCAAATAACGTTTTTCTTTTTTGGATCGAGAGTGAGTGAAATAAAACCGCCAAGGGATTTGGGATTTGTAAGGAAGGTTAGAATGATATGGTAGGTTGTGGTTTATTATAGGATCATTCAGGAGTACTTGCTACCGTTGGATCAGATGTCTTTTGTTTCATTAAAAGAACTTTCGGTTTTGATCTTTTTTTTGAGATATTTTGTCCTTATTATGCATCGGTAAATCAATTATTATTAATCCTGATAATATAATAATAATAATAATAATAATTAATCGAGTAAATTATAAATTAGTTCTTTTATTTTTAAAAACCAAATTAATTAGGTTTGTGTTGTAAAAACTAATTATTTATTTCTTTGAACATCATTGGTCGTGCTTAACTTAATTACTTTACTTTCAAAGTTGTCATTTTTTTCATCAACAATTTCGTAATTTTTACCTTTTTTTCTTTTTTTATAAATAAAATAAAATAAATAAAAAAAATATTAATTTTAAAAAATTAAGATTATAGAAATTAATTAATTAATTTTTTTAAACAAAAAAATTCTTTATTTCTTAAAACTAAGGACTAGTATATAATTTACTCTAGGAAGTGATTCTGCATGTATTAAATGATTATATGTCTAAATGATCTTTATCACTTTTTTTTTAAATACCATATTTATTAAATAATTAAATATTATCCACTTTATGATAATGGATTAAAAAAAATAATAATCAAACAATCGAGGTTGAAAGCATAAAAATAACAGCTGTTTTTATATACGTGCGTGTATAATAAAAAAAATGGTTATTGAATCTTTATCTATCTACATTGATTTTCATCACTTAATTTTCTTTTATATCATTATTATTATTTAATTAAATACTATGCTCTTAATAGTAATGGATACATAATATTCGATAAGTGGAGTTGTTAATTTATGATATGCGATGACGATTATGATTTTTTAATAGAAAATAATCATTATTATATTGTATTTCTTTTATGGTCAATTTCTAATCGATAAACACTAATCACAAATATTGGACAGTTGTATAGGCATCAACACGGATTCATTTAATATTATCATTCAACATCTACAACACAATTATCATTCATTCAACATCAATAGTTAAAATGTATTTATTTCAAAGTTTAGTATAATTGAAATATATGTTAATCGGTTAAATTTATAAATTTAATTGAAATGCCATGTGTCAAGTAATAAAAATGATATAGGATAATTAGTAGAAAAAAACCTTTTAAAAAATTTTCTATCTAAAGAATTCATCAATTTATTTTTATCTCTCAAACACAAAATAATAATTTTTTTACCAAAACACTCAATAGTTAACCCTCCACTTAATATCGGTTTGCCATTGCGTGTTTCGGTAAAAATAATTATTTTGAATTTGATAGTTTTAAAAATAAGTTGCGGGTTTTTTTAAATATAATTGTTTTAAAAGGTTTTTTTTTATATAATTATCCCTAACTTAAATGAAATTGTTACTTTTCAAGTTTTGTATTTTTATTTTGGATGCATGTGTTCTAGTTACTCAATGCATCAAAACACGTTATACTTTCGCTATATAATTTAATTTAATCATCCGATAAAAGTGCTAAGTTTTAATTAATTAAAAATCGATACTGCAATTGCTGTTTTTTTTTATATCAATGTATTATAAAACGGGGGTCATAAATGTTCATAATTATATATATTCTTGATTTTTTTATTTATAAGATACATTTTGAATTAAATTACAAGAGAATAACAAGAGTCTACTTTCATCGACATTAATTAGTTGAATTGTATCAATTCTTATAGCTACTAGGTAGTAAAACTAATTCTTTAGTTGATTAAACAAACAATTGATATAAATAAATATAAATTAAAAAAATAGTGTGTTAAAAAAATAATAGCCAAAGGTTAGCATGTTAGCGGTAAAAGAATCTCAAGAAAGTCTTTTTTTTCCCTTCTTTCCACTGTAATAAGAAAAAAAATTCTAAACTTAATCGTCATAAAAAAAAATCAGTATCAAACTCATTAAAAACTATGCAATGAGATTATTATTAGATAATTACTGAAAAACTCTCTGAAAAATTTTAAATCTAAAAAACTTATTAATTTATTTTTAAATCTTTTAAACTCAAAACAATATATTTCTTATCAAAATAACCAACAAGTAACTAATGTTAAATATTAGATGTTTTAGTAAGGAAAATATTATTTCGAATTTGAAAGATTTAAAAATAAATTAATAGATTTTGTAAAAATTTTTTCTAGTAATTATCCCAATGATATATGCTATCGCACAGTTTAATTAAAACATTCCAAGTCTTCCTGATATATATATATATATATATATATATATATATATATATATATATATATATATATATATAGTTTTTAATACAACTCTGTGCCTACGCAGGAAATTCAGAATTCTGCATGAAGAAACAACATTTTTTTTTCGAATCAGTAAAAATGAATGTTTTGCAAAATCTATCCTTATATTTTACACGTTTGAATAATTTTATTCAATCATTCTCAATTATTAACATAAAATTATTTATTATATTAAAACTTGTCGTGGGAAATATTATTAATCACGTAACGTGAAATTTTATTCAACATGCTCAATCTAATTTTCTTAAAACGTTTTAAAAAATTTAAAAGAAAATTGTAGAGTTAATAAACCGAAAGATTCACAGCTTTTTCTCTTCGTATTTTCTTTTCCAAATCTGTTATTTGGTGACTTTTAGGAGGGAGTCACGTGATTCTAACGAGTCCCCGGTAGGTTTATTTATATTAACTCACGGTACTTCAGTCACATGAATGATGTTTTTCCATTCCGTGTCATCTTAAAAGCCAAAATAATAATACTAATAATAATAAAATAAAAAACAATAATTTCACAAAAATAAAGCAGGTAACTTGGGTACGGCGCAAGCCAATCAATATAAAAAGCAGCAAAAATGACCATACCTTGGCACATCAGATAAGCTGTTGACGATTTGGCGCTCTAACATAATCCGCTAATGGATCCATTCACTGACTTTAATCCTCCGCCACCTCCTGACACGCGGCACCTGCCATCCACTCACCCGAACCCTAAATCCAGGTACTATATCCATACTTTCTGTTCCAATTGACGAAGGTTGAAGCTGATTAATTAAGTTTTGTTTTTGTTTGTTGATTTTTTGCTTAATTGAAGGATGTGCAATTGTGCTTGTTTTACGGCATTTTTATTTTTGTAGCGAGGCAGAGATTAAAGGTAGTGTAGCTGCTAGGAAAATTCAAAAGGCGGACCGCGAAAAATTGAGGAGGGATAGATTGAATGAGCATTTTGTTGAATTGGGGAATACCCTAGGTAAGTACTCAATGCTTTTGTATATTGTTTCTATAGTTTTTAATGAATGTGATATGTCTCCTCGTTGCTGGATAAATTTAGTTAGTGAGTAGATTAGATACCTATTTTGCTTTGGTTAGCGATTGGATGGATACTGTATGGATAGATTTTGCAATGTAAGAGTTGCTTTATGTTTTGTACGACTTAGGATGGGTTTGAATCATGCTATGCTGATTTTCGCAGATCAGAGTCAGACCCTTTTTTTATAATGTTCTGGAAGAAAGTTACTGATAGCTACAAGTTTTGAACCCTTCGATTTTGTGACTCTTTCTAGTTGCTGAATGCATTGCATGCTTGTGTTATGAGGATTGAGGGGTTGGACCTGATGTTTACCTTGCCCATCTTCTCTCTATAAGGAACGCAAGATTTGATGCAATGGATCACTTAAAGTTCTTTCAAATTATGGATAAAACGTTTCTTACTTGGTTTAAGATGTTGAAGCATCAACTGATTATGATCAGAATGGGTTGTTAGCAGTATGTGGTTATGTCCTTTTGACCTCCATGTGGTGATTTTGATATATAGATCCTGATAGACCCAAAAATGACAAAGCAACCATTCTAGCTGACACAATTCAGCTGCTGAAGGATTTGACATCCCAAGTTGACAAACTCAAGGCTGAGTATGCTACATTGAATGAAGAATCTCGTGAGGTGATCTTTTAACATCTGTAATTTTTTTGTGATTGTGATGATTGATACAGTATGCTTAGTCTTGCAATGTTTCACAAACAGTTGTCGCAAGAGAAAAATGACCTTAGAGAAGAGAAGGCATCTCTTAAATCGGATATTGAGAATCTTAATATTCAGTGTCAACAACGGCTCAGGACCACATACCCATGGGCTGCCATGGATCACTCAGTTATGATGGCCCCACCTTCTTATCCCTTTCCCATGCCAGTGCCAATGCCTCCAGGTCCAATTCCAATGCATCCTTCCCTGCAGCCATACCCCTTTTATGGAAATCAGAATCCTGCAGTCGTTCATAACCCATGTTCAACTTTTGTTCCATATATGGCCCCTAATACCTTGGTTGATCAGCAGTCCGCACAGCATGTTTCTTCTCTAGCACAACTTGCCAGTCGATCCCGTGTTTCAGGAAAACAAGATTCAAAGAACAAATCTTCAGGGGAGAGCAAGATTGAGAAAAGCGAGGGTTCTAATGATGTTACCACAGACCTGGAATTGAAGACTCCTGGGTCTATAGCAGATCAGGTAAGTTGTAGTAGCCTTTCAGATTGGTTATGACTTATGAGAGATACAAGTAATTGGAAACATTTTACACTTCATTATTAGTAATTGTATCTTCATTGAATTAAAACACTTAATATAATAATGTTTGCAGGACTTGTCTTCAATACAAAGAAAATCTAAAACATCCATGAGGAAGGAAAGCAGTGTTACGGAAGGGAGTTCTTCAAGTAGGTGTTCTTCTTCTCGTAGTGTACAGGATAGCTCATCCAACAGTGTAGTTGGCACAAAGGTCGATGATCTAGACAAGTGAGAGAATTTATGAGCACACGGTGAGTCAGGTTTCTTCATATTCGTAATTCATTCCCATTTGTGATTTATTATATTCAATCTGCTTTCTTCAATTTATTTCTTTCATTGCCCTGAACTAGTTTCTAATCCCTTAAGTATCTAATTTGTTTCTAAACCGAATCATTTTTTTTATTGAAGGCCGGATGCTTACGTTCATATAAGCACACCTGGGGGAGTTCTCCCTGTGTGAAACTTCCATGTGTGGTGGTTGGGATCATCTTTGCCATTTTTATCTCTAAGGACAAGAACAATCCTTAAGTGCGGTTCAAACCTAGTGTAAGTGAGAGAGCTCATTGGTTGTAGGGAAGGCAAGTTTGCATAGCGGTTCATCACTCATATCTGTTTGTAAATGACTGTCATAGGAAATTATTTAATGAAGAAGTGGCTTGTGGATATTTAATGAAGACGATATTCAGTCAATGATTCTAGCCTAAATTTATGTATATAACAAGTAAATAGTTAAGAACAACTTTTTAATGAAGTCTACTAGGATGAACAACATAAATTAGGGAAGTTTGGATATCAATCTTAATATGCAATGATATTTTCTTACCACCTCTGTTTTCTTCTATTATAGATTTTGTATTGCGCTTTTCCAATTTTGACAAAGTCCTTAATGTGATTGTCCTTGGATTTCTGATATTGTTGCATTGACAGAAGCATGCCTTCTGGTTTGGAACCAATGGAATGTCGTGGTGACTAGTGTCTCAGGCTCTCAGCTAACGTTCTTAGCTTACTTGTATCCATGATGCTCAAGTGTAAGGTAAAGGGCATTGGATGAGAAGGGCTGTCTGGATTAGGGAGAATTGGGATGACATTTAATTATGGCGTTGGATACAATCACTGTACTAGTGATGCTGCAAGCTGGTTACAAGATCAGACAAGAGACCTGAACGAAGAAAAGGACTTGGGTTGCCCTGTAAATTGGCCAAGTATGGGCTCATACACTAAGAGAGATCCAGTAGGTTTCAAGTTGGGTTAATGCGTGGAAAACGACCCTCAGGACCCCAATACTGAAAAGGACTCCACTCTAGGCCCACCTCATACTGCTGATATAGATTTGTCTGTGGTTGAACTTGAATGTCCCAACCATTCCCGAGGAGGAGGTTTCTTGTCACTACAACTAAGATTCGAATTTTGGAATCCAACCTAGCCCTTTTAGAGAGGGAGGTCTCGTACTTGACCAAAATCTAAAATCTCACGAAGAGGCATCCCCTCTCACAGAATAATTATTAATTCCTCCACTATATAATCTACTACTTGCTAGAAATAATTATGGTTCCACCGTTGTCACTTTCCAAACGCAATCAGGAGCACCATGCGTTGCAGGTTAGTTGTGCACCATTGTTTAATATCCATCTACTCAGTGGGCCCACTTATCTTATCTGAACTATCTTTATTGTTGGAGAAGAATATACACCAACCGGGTTAGATCTTTTTGCCAAAGATGCACAACATAATACATAAGCCGAGGGTGTGGTGGGAATGTGGCCTGGTTTAATATCTTCCATCTTGAAACTGCCAGTTATAACCAATGTTTGTTGAAGACAATGTTTTGTTCAGTTTGGTACGTTTGGACCTTTTTGTAAATTGCTTGACGCAAAAACAAAATAGGATGCTAATGTGATCTCATTGTCTCAACCGTCTTAACTGTTTTTCTTGGATTTCTACTGAAACTTCAATAACGATGTGTTGGTTTCCCTTTTTTCTGCTAACATGACACCTCCTACATGTGGCAGGACCTTCTTGGATTCCACTGCGCTGCTACCTTAAATTTTAGTCACCATGAGATTTTGCACGATCAAATATTACTCACTTTATAAGCTGAATGGCAAGGAATTATGGTCTAATCTTCCATGTCCCAAGGAAATTCTGTCGTGTTTTCAAATCCTCTAAAATTCACCGCTTTGGATTTAACATTAAATAATATTAAATGGTAGGTGAACCACCTACTCATCAACCAACCAGGAAATCCCTTGGTCTCAAGATTGTCTAACAATTAGGTTTTTGATTTAACAATAAGGGTAACTTTTGTTCAATAAAATTTATTCACGCTGTTACATGCATCAGGATCCATAGATGTTTAAGATTGGCTTGTGTGTTGTTTTATAGATCATGGACAAAATATCCACGTGTACGGTCCGAAAGACCTTAACCACAGATTCCATTTTAGACCCACCCCATTTTATCCGTTGCATATCCTTTATTTTTCTCTGTTAAACCACGTGGCAGGAGGAAAGACGCTCAGTAGTGAATAGAAACAAGTATCATACAAAATGGTGAAGGTAAGAAACGACGTCGCTGTGGTTGTAATGGTATTGACATGCAGTAGACTCGTAATTTCTTACGTACGTGTTGTCGTGCACAACCGAAAGTTTTTTACCTGGCCAAAAACGTCTTCTCGTTGAAGAAAGCGACACCTACAACTGTAAAAAGCTTCGATATTTTTATTATGGTCAGACTGAATCCTTAACCCCGCGCCCTTCGAGCGCGTTAAACATTGTCAACAACCACAAAATTATCAATTACTTCACTTACTCGCCTAGTTGGCTAGTTGATAAGAATTGATAATATTATATATATATATAAAATAATTTGATAACAGTATTCTAATTCTTTATTTTTGTTAATGCAATGATAAAATTCAAATCAAATCTCATGTATATTGATAGAATTAAATTAAAGTAGTCAAGGAAGATATCAATTAAAATAAATTAGATATAAATATAATAAAAATAAATTATTTATCCAGAAATTTTGAATTACGAGAAAGTGATTATATAAAACTCGTAAATAGTGAAACAAATATAGTTAAATATCAATTAAAATGGAGCGATCTTATAAATCGATGAAGTGTTATTAACATTATTTTACGTATCTATTTTAATTTATAATTAATTTTACTTATTTAATATTGACAAGAACATTAGTTTATAAAACTAATCGGTTAGATTCATCCATGTTGATTTTTTTTATATTATACATATTAGTATTATTCTAAAAATACTTGTAATACTATTTTAGAATGAATCAAATGAAGAAAAAAAAGTCATGAAAATATGTTTCGTGTAAAAGAGAATTTTTGAAACAATTCTCAATAAAGAAAATAGCACTCCAAAAATCAACAATTTTTCAAGCTAATCAGTCCTCCATCTAACAAAATGTGGTAAAAGCAAATTTTAAAAAACTTATGACACCCCTCGTGCAAATGACGCTCTAGAAACTCGCGTGGACCCAACAACTCTCTGCCTCCCACAGCATACGGTAAACCCACAATCTCAAAGCACAAACACAACAACCACAACTTCAAACCCCAGCCTGCCTCTTTCTCCTCTCCTCTATCACTCCCAGCAAACTGTAACGGAACAGTTTTTCTTTTTCTTAAAGCCAAAAAGCTTGACTGAGCAGCCATGGCTATGCTCTCCACTGCACTCTCTGGTCCGAAATCTGCAACTTCTTATTGCGCTCCCGAGTTCTCTGGTCTTCGCCGTTTATGTCCAAACAACAACAGCAACAGCAACTCTCATTCCCAGTCCTTTCTTCGCTTCTCTTCTCCCCGAAAACCTCTTAAAAGCGTTGTTGCCATGGCTGGCACTGGAACGGTGCGTTTTTAACTTTCTTTTTTCACATTTTGCTTCCTTATTCAATGTCTCCGTCTCCTCTAGATCTTGTTCAATAACTATTAATAATATTTATAACCTTTACTTCTTTTTCTTATTGGTTTTTTTTTTTGGCTTGGTGGTAGGTGAGCTACTGTATAGTCTTTGTTACATAATAGTTAATAATAATAAACCGATGTAGGTAAATGGAGTTGTTTGTAAAGGAAATTTGATTGTTTAGCATAAAAAGATCGTTGGTTCTCTCTATGAAATTGCTCACTTTTTTATCTGCATTATTTTTTATGTTCTTCCTTCTCTTTTTTTTTTATTTTTTATTCTTTGAGCATGATAGATTCTTCCAATTGATTATTCATTAATTGATTTTTCTCTTTCTCATGCTTGCAGTTCTTTGTTGGAGGAAATTGGAAATGTGTAAGTACCTTGCTTAATTTCTTACTGATTTCTTGTTTTTATCTCTTTCTCTCAACTTTTCTCATTAATTCTTATAGTCACTGTTTAAATTGGAAATGTGCAAGTACCTTGTTTATATATATATATATATATATATATATATATATATATACCAGTGTCTTTTATGCCTTATTTTACATGAGATAGATAGGTATTGGATTCCTTCTTAGGTTTTAATTTATACTGACCCAGTTTGTCATCTTTGTTTCTGTATTTAGAATGGAACGAAAGAATCCATTACCAAGCTTGTTTCAGACTTGAACAGCGCAAAGTTGGAGTCTGATGTTGGTGAGTTAATCTTTTCTTGTGTTTCGGGATTTTATCGGCTGTTTGCTAGTTTATGGGCATTCACTTGTTATGGTTGTTTAGAGCGAACTTGTATTGTTGTTTGGACTCGTATTTCGAGTTTGTTGCTTAGTTTTTAAACCGATTTAGACTTGGTTTTAATGGCTGGGAATGTTCCCACTCTGTCTGTTGTTATGGAGGATATCGTGGATTTTTTTTTTCGATATAATGTACTTTTGTATTTTTTTTCAAGGTGAAATTTAACCCTAGTTGTTAAAAGGTTCTTAACTTCTCATTCTTACTTTGAGTTGTGCAGATGTTGTAGTAGCACCTCCCTTTGTTTACATCGATCAGGTTAAGTCTTCCTTAACTGACAGAATTGAGATAGCAGCTCAAAACTCTTGGATCGGTAAAGGCGGGGCTTTCACAGGAGAAATCAGGTCAGCTAGCTCCCCCTTTCTCAGTTATAGCTTTGTTTGGATGGGATGGCAACTGCTACAAGACCAATAAAACATAATAAAAACCAACTTTATCCTACAAAACCCTTTTTAACGCTTTATATACTTAAGAATTGATTGCACGGGTGATTAATGTCAATCGGCTCCCTGATCTTTGGGCATGGTTGGAAATCCCATCCTAGAGAAATTCTTTTTGGGTCCATTATGGAGACATTCAATTGTTTTATGCTATATACACTCAGTGCAAGCCAAATTTAGCTAACTCACACCCCTGAGTTTTTCTAACTGTAGTACTATGCATCCGTGGAGAAGGAATTATAAGCAAGGGTTATTCTGTTTTATAGCTTAAACCATACATGGCTTCTATGCTATTGCTCTTGTCCCAGAGTCTTCGAATTGATTCTTTTCATTTATTTGCAGTGTGGAACAACTGAAAGATATTGGCTGCAAGTGGGTTATTCTTGGGCATTCTGAGCGCAGGCATGTAATTGGTGAAGATAATCAGGTGAAAATTTAAAGAACTAAGTTTTTTAGAAGTTGTAAGGACTAGATAATAATTTCTCATGCTATTATGTGAATATGGAACTTGACTGAAATTCTGTTAACTTCAGTTTATAGGAAAGAAGGCGGCTTACGCCTTAAGCCAGGGTCTTGGGGTAATAGCTTGTATTGGTGAACTGTTAGAAGAAAGAGAAGCAGGGAAAACTTTTGATGTTTGTTATCAGCAATTGAAGGCATTTGCAGGTGATTGCTGATGTTTCTCTCTTAAAATATGAGATGTTAGATTAAAATGTTAGAACTATGTCCTAATACCAGTTGTGTCATTACCTGTAGATGCCGTGCCCAGCTGGGATAATATTGTTATTGCATATGAACCTGTATGGGCTATTGGTACTGGTGTAGTGGCCACACCTGTGCAGGCTCAGGAAGTACATGTAGCTGTCCGTGATTGGCTTAAAAACAATGTCTCGGCAGAAGTCGCATCAAAAACACGTATCATCTATGGAGGTACTTCACTCACCGTGTGTATGTTGAGAACATGATTTTACCTCAGTGATTTCACTTGCAAACGAATAGGGATAAGGAAAGCTTCACTTTTTCTTTCTAGACTAGGGCAAAAAGGGGCAGTATGGTAACCTGCAGGGTTGAATTGGTTATTTTGGTGCGACTCGGGGGCAAGTCCATGCCATTATGCAGCCACGAACCTTTATCATAGAGTTACGTTTATGGTTTGGTTCATTAGTTTTTGCCACTTCTAAACTCTTCCTTTGCCTTGAATGTATTAGTTCTTCTTGCTTTTGTAAATCTTGTTTCCTGCTGTTGTTTGTAATCTAATTATAACTGAATTTCCTTTTTAGGATCTGTAAACGGAGGCAACTGTGCTGAACTTGCGAAGCAAGAAGATATTGATGGTTTCCTTGTTGGTGGTGCATCCTTGAAGGTATACTTCTGCCATTAACCTTTTGCTTCAAAATTCCAATATCGTAAATGAAAAACCTGTCTTGCTGTCATAGAAGCACCTAGAATCCTCTCCAACTCAACAAATCGGATAGGAATTAACACTGTCACTGCGATTTTCTGTAATGTAATGCAGGGCCCCGAGTTTGCTACCATTGTCAATTCTGTAACATGCAAGAAAGTTGCTGCTTAATTATATGAAGTTGGCGTTGGCAACAATAACAAATAAAGGGCAAAAAAGAGCTGCTTGAGTTTAAAGCTTACTGTAATCACCCTATGAGTTAGTCTTATTAAATAGAGTTTTGCTTATTCATCCATTTTTTTTTTTTTTCCATTCCTAGAAAGAAACAAGACCTTCTGCTTTAGCGTCTTTTGACAAGGCTATAAAACATAAATCGGGTTGATGTTATAATCTCAATGAAGCCCCCCTCACGATCTTTTGATACAATTTGCGTACTTTTTGTGATTTCTTTTCGAAAAGCATAAAGAACCCTGATGCCAAATGCCGACCAGCATTTGCCACATGTTGGTCTTTGATTCAGCATGAATGAATAGATCCTGATTCTTGAGGACGGCAGGTCGTTAGCCAGTCAGCATGTCTGGGACAGGTGTTCACTGACTAGAAGATATGCCCTGACTGATTGAACATACGTGCACTGCAAAAAAGAATTGCTCAAATGGTCACGGCTCTCAGCAACACTTGTATTCCTCTTGCTAAATTTAGTATTCCTCTTGCTAAAGTTAGCAGGAACTTGATTGAAAAAGAAACTGAATAACAAACTGGCGGGCCAGCAGAAATTGACACAGAGAGGAGAGAAAAATAGGTGAGAGTAAATTAAAAAAAAAATTAAGTAATTTTTGGTGTGTTTGAATGTGATTGTTTTATACTTTTTATATCTTTTTTTTCTTGAAATAATTCTATAAAGTAAGTATTGGTTAATTATTTTTAAAATATTTTAAAAATTTTCTCTTAATCCAGAATCCATAATATATGATTAGTTTGCATAATAAGTTTCACTAATTTGTTTTGTTCTTTATATTATTATACTGGTTTCAAAACCAAGCAATGAATGCGAATTCTCTCCTTTTTTCTTCCCCCCTTGAAGACATTGGTCTTGGTAGAGCAATGCTTGTTTTTTATTAAATTATTTTACCAAGTGAAATGGCATGTTTATTAGGGTTTTTTTTTTTTTTTTTTTAAGTATGATATTTTACTATTTATGTGATATTACGATTATTAAATTTATATACACATTACATATTGGCCAAATCATTGAGTAAAACAATTTTGACATGGATATTCTGTTTAAAACTCAAACGACAAGAAATTTAGGATTATTATGTAAAAGGTAATAGCAGATTAGGAGGATACCTTGATCATTTTAGGGAAAAAACAAATCTTAGTTGTTTGCAACTTTTCTGTGAATAGTGTGTGGAAATAAATATATAAAAACGTCTCTATAGTTTAAAACTATTTATGAATTGTAGATTAATGTGGGAAAAATATATAAAAAAGGCTAGCACTGAATTTTTTATGAAAAAAATAATTAAATACCCTTCAAAAATGAAAAATCAACGCCAGCTTTAATTAGCGTCGAGAATATTTAGGAAGTTTCGACCCACTAAGGAAGCTTATATATTGATAAAATCTCAAGAAATATATATATTCAACATGTGCTTTTATTTTATTTTTTTACCATCGACATGATTAATTTTCAGTGATTAGTTGTTAGGGTTAGAAGGGGCCGGGGAGAAATCAAAAATTAATACCAAAAATGAAATAATAAGCTTCCAAAAACAAAAATCAACGTCTGCTTTTATGGTCCTACCATTATCATCATTTTAGGTTCTTTTAGGATATATATATATAGAAGTAGACGAGCAAGAGAGAGATACTTCCTCTTCTAAACACAAACCAGTAAACAAGAAGAAGATATTGCAAAGCAATATGACAGGTCTCGTAAAAGCCTTTGTTGCAACTCTTCTTTTATGTCTTGCTACCGAAGGTAAGAAAGTCATATGTCATAAACTTATCTTTTCTTTCTCACACACATCTTTCTTTTATTTCCTTTTCTCTTATCAAAATTTGTATAAAAGAAAAAGGTTATACGATCGGGCTTTGCCATAAACATAAATATGCTGTTCTATGGTAAATAGATGAGCTGATTTCATGATGTTGTAATCTTCTCTTTGAAAAGGGAGATGTATTGTCACTTGCAATAAAAAACGAATTTTTATTGCTCAAGAGAGAAAATTTATATACAAGGTTTTTTTTTTTTGTTTTCCTGTTTTCTTTTTTGGTATGGGTAATTGATACCTTTTGTCATGTAAATAAAACAATTTTGAAACTATATGAAAGTTAATCACGAACAAGTTTCCTCCTCAACAAAAGATGTGACTGGATCCTGAGAATATTGTTAAGACCAATTAAATTAACTATTGACGAATACATATAATTCAGATGTGATCTCACAATAAAATCTTGAAAAGATGGATAATGAAAGTTGGCTTGTTGTGGTACTATAGCCATCTTATTTTTATTTTTTTTCAAAAAAAGGGTTTCCAATGTTGTTGTAATGAAAATGCAGGGTTATGTGCTTGCTCGTTGAACAACATCAACATTGGGACAGTCCGAAGTGGGAGACAAATAAGTGGGAAGCCAGAATGGAATGTGACAGTGGTAAACAACTGCCAGTGTGCCCAAAGCCAAATAAAGTTATCTTGCATGGGGTTTCAGACGGTGGAAAATATTGATCCATCAATCTTGGTAAAACAAGGTGATGCTTGTCTTCTTATCAATGGCAATTCCTTGGAGAAATCAGCTTCTGTCAAATTCTCCTATGCTTGGGATCCTCCTTTTCTGTTGTTGCCACTAGGGTCTGTTAGCCATGGCTGTTGAATTAGGTTTTTTTTTTCCCCTACTAGCTAGGGTTTGTATAATGATGCTCCTGATTAAGGTATAGATGTTGTTCATGTTATGTATGACTTGTCGTCTACAACATTTCTGAATTTTGACTTAGCCCTGAATGGTGGTCTGAAGTTTCTAGACAGGCCCACGAGCAGTTGATTACTAGAATTTTTTAAAAATGACCTCATAATGTGAGTAAATTATAAATTAGCCCCTCTAGTTTCAAGACATAAATTAATTAGTCCCTCTCGTTTCAAAAACTATTATTTAATTATTTAATTTGTATGGAACATGCTTGATTTAATATTATTTTTATTCCATAAATTCTCTTATTTTTTCATATTTTTCTTTTTTCTATTTCTAGAAACAAAAAATCAAAATAAATTAAAAAAGGAGCAAAAATGAGTAAATTATAAATAGATTTCAAAGATTAGGAACTAAATGATTGGTTTTTAAAAAGAGAGGAACTAATTAATTTGTTTCATAAAATGAGAGGGACTAATTTATAATTTATTCCTCAAAATGTTCTGTCAATCAAAATCCCAAAAACAAAAAAAGTAATCTCATTTATGTGAGATGACATAATTGATGTTTCTCAAGCTTAATAGTTTTGTCTTGTTTTTATCTGTTCAACTAAAAAATTCTTTAAATTCTTAATTCAGAAAAAAAAAATCTTGTCTTCTAGTTATCTCTAGATTTAGTTCTTTCTTTAACTTCATGAATTACTTAGTTCCAAAGAGAAACATAAAAAATGAAAATCGACCGCATTTTTGTTTTTGGCTACCATTCTTTATTTGAGTTGTTGTCTAGATAAATAGCTTTCACATTTTCCTCTTTCAAATGGTTCAAAACCTCTTTTTGTAAGCATAAAATAACTTTGGTATCGACACTTGAGTGTGCATTAGCCAAAGAAGAAGTTCATTAAGGATCCTACACTCAAAGCACATATTCCATAACCAACTTTGATATTAAAGCAAGAAAAGCCCATCAGGGCATCACTCCCTTGCATCAGAAAAATTCACCATTGAATTGCTTGAATTGAGAGAAAGGAGAGGAAAAAAGAGATGGAGTGGTTCTATCCTAAGAGAAGGGGTCCTGAGTGGAAAAAAGGGTGGTCAGGCCAGACCGTGGCCTCAATCTCTGCTCCACCACTCCCATTGCTAGCCATTTTTGGCATCGTCATTTCCCTACTGTGGCTCTCCCAGTACACAGGCTATAAGGCCCAGTTGCACCACTCTGCAATCAACCTTCAAATTTTCCTGTTTTTGTTGCCTATCCTCCTGATTTTATTCATGGCTTCATACTCCACTAATTGGTTGCTCCACTATCGGCTCAGAAGTTCACAGCATGTTTCAGCTCCGCGTTCCACAGGCTCCTTTCCTTGGGGTATTGCCATTTTTGTGATGGTGCTTTTAATGTTGCTGTCTTATCAATCTTCATTTCATTCCAAGTGGTTTGGACCTCTTCGGGGGTCAGATTAATTTGTTTAGTTACTAAATAATCAGCGAAAAGAAAAGGAAAAACTCTGCTAAATGTTGATTAATCTGTTTAGTTGCTTCGATGTACAGCTTATAATCATGGAAACTTTTAAGTTTCTTCGTCAAGCAATACTATCTTCTTGTGTAATAATGTAATGCTTTGAAAGAATTTACACCATTTATGCATACTGTTGTGAGCAAAATGTTCAATGTATCTGTGAAGTCCAGTCCAGCTTATTCAAATTCAACAGTCTGGTCAAGATTACTATGTTCCTTTGGTTTAAAAAGGACGGCAGGAACTGAATCACCGGCATGGTCAACACTCTCCATTGTTATGTTCACCTCTTTTGTTTTGGTTTATATACAAATTTTGTAATCCAGATTGATTTTTTTTCCCCTGGGTTTACTTAGTACCCTAAAAAAAACACTTTTTTTTAGTTTAATTACATTAATTTATGTTTTTTTTTTTTAGTAGTTTAGTTTCATTGATTTCTGTAGCAAGTGTTCTCTTCTTTTTTTCTTTTTTTAGTTTAATTACATTATACATGTTTTTTTTTCCCTTTGCTTTTTTTTTTCATCAATTTAGGTTCTTTTTTATTTAATTTTAAAAATTTTCAGGTTTATTTTATTTTGATCTCTAAAATTTTAAAATAAAAATTTTAATCCCCTAACCGATGCTCTACACATGATTTTTTTTTCCTTTTGCTTTTTTTCATCAATTTATATTATTTTTTTATTTAATTAGGTGTTAAAATTTTGAAAAATAAATTTTGCTTTTTTTAATCAATTTATGTTCTTTTTTTTTTTTTTTTGTATTTAAGTGTTAAAATTTTAAAAAATCAATCATTATTTTTTTTATACAAACTGACTATTACGTAATATATACGATATCTTTTACATATATATGTTTCTTTGCTTTTTTTTTTCATCAATTTATATTCTTTTTTTATTTAATTAGGTGTTAAAATTTTGAAAAATCAATCGTTATTTTTCTTTTTCACACAAACCGACTACTATATAATATATAAAATATTTTATATGTTTATATGATATAGTCTCTTCTTTTTTTTTTAGTTTCACTATACATGTCTTTTTTTCCCCTTTGCTTTTTTTTTTTCATCAATTTATGTTCTTTTTTAATTTAATTAGGTGTTAAAATTTTAAAAAATCAATTGTTATTCCTTTCTTTCTTACACAAAGTGAATATATATATATATATATATATATACACACACACACACACACACATACATACATACGATATTGTTTACATTTATATGATATGTTTTAAGATTTTAGAATAAATAAACTACTATTATTGTTTAAAATTGATTTTTTCGATAAAAATTCTCACCAAGTTAATTTTTATTTTGATTTCTTATATAATTGTATTTATTAATAAATATGACTTATTTTCTCTATGTATGGATTCGATTTTTTTTATATCTTTTTTTCTTTGCCTTTTTTCATCAATTTATGTTCTTTTTTCTATTTAATTAGGTGTCAAAAGTTTAAAAAATCAATCGTTATTCCTTTTTTTTTTTTACACAAAGTGACTATTATATAATATATATGATATTTTTTTACATTTATATGATATGTTTTAAGATTTTAGAATAAATAAACTACTATTATTGTTTAAAATTGATTTTTTTGATAAAAATTCTCATCAAGTTAATTTTTATTCTTATTTTTTATATAATTTTATTTATTAATAAATATGAATTGTTTTCTCTATGTAGTGATTTGAATAGTTTTTTTATACCTTTTTTTCTTTGCTTTTTCCCATCAATTTATGTTTTTTTTAATTTAATTAGGTGTTAAAATTTAAAAAAATCAATCGTTATTCTTTTTTTAACACAAAGTGACTATTATATAATATATATGATATTTTTTACATTTATATGATATTTTTTAAGATTTTAGAATAAATAAAATACTATTATTATTTAAACTTGATTTTTTTCGATAAAAATTCTCATCAAATTAATTTTTATTTTTATTGTTTACATAATTTTATTTATTAATAAATATGACTTATTTTCTCTTTGTACGGATTCAAATAAGTTTTTTATATCTTTTTTTATTTTTTAATTCTTATATAATCAAATTTTAAAAATTGAATATATGTATTTTATTTTCTTATTTTTTATATAATCAAATTTTTATCGAAATTAGTTTTATAGTTTTTATTGCATTCTATTAATTTCAATATATGTTTTGCCATTTAATTTTTTAAAAATATTTTTTATTTTATTTTATACATTCTTACCTATTAAGTATGGTCATGATGTATACGGAATAATAATATTAGAGTTATTGATTTTATTAGAAATCAATTATGCATCAACGCATACAATACCAAGTATTTGCTATTATTTTTTTATATTTAAAATGATTTTTTTCAAATAAAATAATTGAACTAATATTTTAGAATAATTGCCTAATAATTCAAATACAATTTTGTATACTAATATTATTCATTGTTTTGTAAATACATATATATAAATCAAATGTATATATTTAAAAAAAAAAAACTTCTCATTACTAAAAAATTTCATTTGTTAATTTTCATACAAGTTTTTATGTTAATTTTTGCTTTATTTTTTTGATGCAATGTAATGAAAAAAATATTATGTTTTTTTTGTAAATTTTATATTAAAATTTGTTTATCATGGGTTTTCATATATATACTATCTTTTTATATTTTAAAATTAACATATACTTCAGACTTATAATACTCTTACAATTTAAATTTCATTCTTTTAATTTATCATTTCTTATGAAAATTCTCATCCAATTAATATTTTTTATATAAGATTTTATTTATTAATAAATATAATTTATTTTTCTCTATATTTGAATTTTAGAATAAAATTTAAAAATATGATTTAAAAAAAATAAATTGGTATAATATATATCATGAATTCTTATAGTTTTTAAATGATAGTTGCATATATATAAATATATAATTATTTTATTTAAAAATGTTAAAAATGTATTTCAAATAATTTGTCTCATTTCACTAGATATGGTCAAAACATATAAAAAAAACTATTGAATCGTTGATTTTATTTAAAATTAACTATATATCTTCCAACATAATACAAATTGTTTACCATGAATAATTTTTTTACATTATAGAACCAATTTATTTGAAATAAAACCATTAAAATAATGTTTTAAAGGAACTAACTAATTATTCAAATATAGTTTTTTATGCTAATTGTATTGATTATTTTCTAAATAAATAAATATAGATCTAATGCATATACTTAAAAAAAAAAAATCTTCTCACCAATATTAAATAAGAATAAAATTTTATTTTTTCATTCGTTAATTTTTATGCAAGTCCGTATATTAATTGTAACTTTATTTTTTTGATACATTCTTATAAAAATATATAGTTTTAAAATATTTGCTTTTGAATTCTTAATTAATATTTAAGGTTTAAATTATTAGAAGTTTTTATTTAAGAATTTTTGAATAAAAAAGAATAAATCATGTTTTTTTAAAAGAAAAAATTTTATGAAAAACATACAAAAAATTTGTAATAATTAAATAAAAAATTAATGAAAAAATTATAAAATTTTTAAATGATTTTGTTCTATCTAACCATAGCCTTGCGTATATAATTTCAAAAATTAATCTTCTCATCAACATTAAATAAGAATTCTTTTCCCTCATTTGTTAAATTTTTGTAAAAATCTATCCATTAATTATAACTTTATTTTTTGAAATAAAATATTAGAAAAATTATATTTTAAATTTTTTTTAATTCTTGATTAATATTTTAATTAAAATTATTATGTTTTTTTATTTTAAAATTAATCCATGAAGAAGAATTATTTATATTTTTTTAATCAAAAAATTTATTAAAAAATTAAATGAATAAAATATTATAATTTAAAAAATTTAAAAAATTTTTTAAAAATATTTTCTATGAGACCGAAGCGTAGCACGGACAAGTGACTAGTTCATTGCTACATTTGGTATGGACAGACATGAAAACAAGTCCATGTCAGTGAAGCCAAGATGATCTCCTGTGGCATGGGGGAGGGTTCTGTAGGGAAGGATTTTATTTTCCTAAGATTTGAATATGAAGAATCACAGACGAACATAAGTATAGCCCATTTAGCTCTACACTTATTCCCATAGGAAAGGGTGCTGAATCGAAGTCCTTTCAAGCCCAAACTCTCAGGCTTAAAATAAAACAAGATTCTTCATGGCCGTTCAATCGAAACTGATAAGGCCAAGAAATTGTCTTTGCGAAGCTAGACCCCACAAGTATTCTCGATGACTTTTTCTAGCAACAAGGCTTCGTAAAGATTGGACCACGAAGGCAGGGGTAGGTTTGGATGATCGAAGAAAAGCTGTTTGTCACAAATAAAGAACTCTTTTTCTTTCTACCATGGCAGCATGACCTAAGCAAAACGTTAGATCAATGAAATTGACATTCCACGTGTCGTTAAAGACAGCGAGATAAACCAGGGACACAAAATCATTATAAAAGAAATTAAACAAGTCCTATTTAGGTGTTGACAGTGACATATCCAATTGGATTTTTGGTTCCGCATTCAGTTTGGATCTTCATGGAATTTTCGACTTTTGGAATTCATGAATATTCAGTGGACACAAAACCATCATCATGATTTTTCCTTCTTGCTTGGCAGACTATTTAATCATTCCGAAAGCTAATTATTTGTTCTATGGGGTGATTATTTCTGGGGAAATGAGATATTTGACTAATGCGCACTTAACTTGAAATTCAAGGGAGTGTCTTGGGTCATAAATTGTCTTTTGCAACACTCATTAGTCTTCAGCAATCAAGCAAAGTCAATACCCACACTAAAATAAACCACGAAAAAACGTATCTACAGCTCGTAAATTAATATAAAAAATACCCCGTACTTATCTTCAAGGTTTCTGTTTAGTTACCAGGAGTAGGTCATACCCATTAGTGAAATACACGTTTTGAGCCGAGTCAAGTACAGTTTTATCATATCCACTTTTTTACTTGTACTAGCTAAATGATTTTCTCAATTTTCTCAGCATCCAAACAGGTTTACAGTTCTTTCATCAGGGTGAATTTTGTCTTTAAATCGTATTAATCAAGACTCTTTTAACTTGCGCCAAATAAAGAGCATATACATATTTGACATGAGGTAAAAAGAACTACTTCATTAAGATCTCATCCACCAAAGTAAAATCAATCAAGACATGAATACTCAAACCCCAATCACATATCTTAATTCACCATCCTCTAAGACATATATATATATATATATATATATACACACACAATAATTTCATATCACACTATATATTCAAACAATTAGCTATCTTTCAAACATAAACCAAGTTGCTAGAAAGCAACAGAACAAAACTATTCTTCAACCTATACTAATTAGTGAAGCATCAAACGAGCCAGCTATCAAGAAAGGTAGATTGAAACCGCACCAAAACAAGAAGCAACACAATCACAGCAGCCACACCCCAAGGAGAGCTCCCTTCTGATGGCCGGTTGTATGTCCTCCGGCGCTTGTCCCACGGTGACATAACAAAGAGCATGTCAGGATTTTCCATAGATGACAGCCAACGAACTATGACTATTAGCACTAATGGTACAACCAAGAGGGCCCAACTCATTTGTTCCTCAGCAGCCTCCACAATATCTTCATAGCTGAAGTACCAAGATAGGCCAAGAAAGATTGATATTACTGCTAAGATTAAGAGAACTGGATATGGTAGAGGATTTAGAGTGAAAGCATCAAAGAAGGAGTCACTTCTTCTCCTGTAGTACATTGTTGCTTTCTTTTTCTTGGTGTGGAGATGTTTACAAAGTTGTCAAAATTCAAGAGGTCCTTGAGAATTCTAGGCCCAGTGTATTTATAGCAAAGAAACTGTCTGATATGGTTTGTTACGATATATTGAACTCAGTTGTGTTGGAAGTTTCTGAGCCGTTGATGTGTTTATCTGATGGATTTGACAATTGGTTAAACGATCCAGGGCTAGTAATCTTCTAATTGTCTAATCAAACTTTAAGTAATAAGCAAATCAAGTCTGAATCCAACCCCACCGTCAATGAACTTTGTTTCCGCTTTAGAAATATCACCAAAGCTTAATGCAAAATGCTACCCTCTATAAAAAAAATAATAACCTCATGTATTAAAAAAAAAAAAACTATTAGCTCCATTAACGAATCTTAACAATAATAATATCTACTCACCCAACTGGCATGGTGATCAAACTATAAAAAGCATTGAAGAAATTCATTCAGCATTGGTGGTGGACCAGCCAATTTCCATGAAAGATGCATGTTTTGAGGTTCCAAGGGGGTCCACTAGTGGTCGGCTAGAATCCCACTTTCAGTCAAAACAATAAAAGCTTGAAACCACCACAACCTTGGGATTAATAAACAATCCACCTTCTTTTCAAACCCTAATTTTGGTTGATCACCAAGCATCCACATGAAAACGTAACAAGTCATATCCACATCGTTTTCCTTGGGTATTTCTTGAGTTGCTTAATGGATGGCTAGTCGGTAGCGTTTGATATGTGCCACATAAACATCATTCGAGTTTGAACCACTTTTCCATAATCTGTCTTAATTCCGATTGCTATCATCGCTTTCTTGACTAAGGGGTGGTAATCAAACTAGCTTCAAGTACAAGCAAAAGGAATAAATATATTCACCAAAGGCCACCGCATCCGGACTGAAGTTGCCTGCCAAATGTTGTCAATATTTCACGGCCAAAATCAGAGAAAACTTCGATCTGTTAGCGGAACTGGGAAATTCAGTTGGAAAGTTATCTCCATCTCAGCAATCAGTCAATGGATTTTGAATATGGTGATCATGGCCAGCTATTAGAAACCACCTCTTCATTAAGCTCTATTAGAGACTAAAATTTCTGTTGCTTGTAACTTCGACATCAAAATGCTTTCAGTAATGCACAAATATGGAAATAATAGCTAAGGCTTTAAAGCAACAAGGAAGCAAGGGAATAGCAAATACGTAAACATAAATCAATTAAATTTGAAGATTATATTTCAACTGGTGGCAAAACAATGCAAGTTTCTTTTTTCACCATAACGAGTATAATCGAAAGATAACTCATGGGGAACAATAACAAGGGTGCTTTCGTTCTCTAAAATCATCACTGCAACTAGGCAAACATGAAAAAGGCCATTACCCTTGAAGAAAAAAAACACGATAAAAAAAAATACAGCAAAGCCAAGAGAAATATCATTGAAGAATAAAACTCAGGACTCGCACTCACCCCTGGACAAAATTTGTGGAATTTTGTTCATATGTACCTAAATCTACAAAAATTTGCAGGCCTATCTACAGCGCTTGTTAGGGCCAAATGAAAAAATTCATCCTTTACTGCAGTTGGTGACAATGGACCACATGGGGCCCCAACAAAAATACATATGAGAACCATTGTTTGTCAAGGCCACTGATACATAGGGGTTGGCTTAAACAAATAATTACAATCCTTTACTGCTCTTTGCAATTAGAAGATAACAAGTCAGTATTTTTCTCACCATGATTGGAAGAGTTGCTGAACGAAATTTTGAGAGTGGATAATATATATTCACCAGAAGTTTACTAATCAGACCTTTCCTTCATATTGGAAATTCATTTTGTAATCATGCTGCAAAGTAGCCAATGTGTTTCTGCAAGAACCCTCTGCAAAAGCAGTGACACCCAAAGAAAAATAAGATCAGACTGTCTTATGGAGCCATAATTGAAAAACCTGGTTAAAGCATATTGAATGTAGATATTTAGCTCAATTACCCCCAAATACGGAATGCAGATATTGAAGATCATCTGCTGAGCAAGCGTCTATTAAAGCATACACACCAGGTCTCAGAGCTTCATCTATCTCCCTGTACATTAATTGAAAAGCAAATAGTTTCTGTTAGTGCTGCATGAATCAACATTTTAAATTTAAATGAAACTACATATATTAGAACTATGAAACTGTGCTCAAAAATTGCAAAGACGATGACAATAGGATGTCGAGGACCACCTTCTGATGCCAGTTTTAAGCGGGCCATATCCTGAATACACCCAAATGTAATTGGATAAAAACTTGAAACAGTGCTGGCCAAATACATCTTTCTGCTGCCGTAACTGTAAATAATAATAACAAACAAATTAAAGCACAGTTAATAGAGGCCAAATGTATAAGTTTTTTAATAACTACCAGAACTTATAACAGCAATGCATAAACCAGAAACATACTAGAGGTGAACTGACGGAGGTTTAATTACACTAGCAAGAGTAAACTTGTTATAGATACTTGCTCAACCAGAAATTGAGAAACGCTACTTGCTCAAGCTCAAGCACGATAGCCGAATTTTCAAGACACATCGTGAAAAAATCTACAATAAGTGCACTCTCGAGGGTTTAAATTCCAAATGAGCTACAGGGGTTCATGCACCAAAAAGTTCAACATGCAAAATCTTGTAATTAATCCCTATAGTCACTGCAATCAAGCAGGCAGTTGGTTTTTTTTTTTTAAAGAAGAACTAAGGTCATGTCAATAGGTCAATACACAAGCCTTCTAGGAACTTTTTTGGATAAATTCCCATGTTACGTTGTTTCCTTTGCCAACATGCTTAGGTGTTTAACAAATAAAAAGACCATCTCATTCCCCCATCAAGATGAATAAATTCTAACCTCAACTAAAAAATGCAATAAGAATTTCTAATATCGCAGCTAACACCAGCCCAAAAAACACAGGCTATTTATTCATTGCATATTGCATGCTCACAATAACATTAAATACCTCCTCATAAATCCTCCGGAGTGAATGAGCGCATTTTACTCCCTCTTGTACTTCCCATGAAAAATAACCTTTTCTGACTGATAAATCAACACCAACCATCTCCAAACAATGAAGAAGAGCACGCTCAGATACTTGAAGTAAAGCAATGCACTGTTCCGACTCACTGGAATCACAAAATTATCAACATGATTACATATAACAATTACTTTGAGATAAAACAATACCAAAAAGGACATAGATGACAGCTAAGAAACAGAGAATAATATATGTGGAATAGAGACACATTCTGAAATTGCCAAAATGCCTAAGCAGCTGTATACAATTGGTTGTTTTAGGATGTGCTTTTTTGTTAACAGTTGTCTTTAGGTGTCAAGAAAAAATAAAAATAAAAAAGCACTAATTATCAAAGTAGGAAAGGCCCATTCTCTCTGTCCTATTAAAGAATACAGCAGATCTAAATCCTTTGACAAACTGTGAATAATTTTTTGTTATGTGTATATGTTGAGTCTGGCCAGATGATAACAAATCTAACTGCAACATTTATGTACATAGCAATCAGGTTCTTCAGATATTAAGCTAAACAACATAATAATAACCTTTTGTGATGCTTCAGAACTGTGTACAATAACCGGCAGCATGCAGCATACAACTCCACAGAGAATTGTTTATCTACAACAAAGAAATTCATGCCTGCCACAGGATTACAGTCTTGGTTGCCTGATAACAAGGAATTAGATACAGCTGGATCTTCAGAAATTCTCAGTTGACCAAAATCTTGAAAAAGTGCCGCTGGTATACGTAAAGACTGTGCTACATGCCAGGAATCCATTTGAAATAAAGCATGTTTTCCAGAAACTCTTGCTAGTACCTCAACACACATAAGAATGACCGCTCCTGGATCTGGTCCATTATCCCTTTCACTACCCAATGCTGTCCCATAGAAAATTAATGGACTTTGCACATGTAAAATTATGTTGAACAAAGCAGCAACTAAACTCTGAATGTTCCTTTTAACAACATTTAAACGTTTGCGACCTGTAAAGCAAGTAGACGGTTAGCATAAAAATCTGCAATTACAAGAGAAGTTTTGAACAACATCTTTAAGCACGGCACCAATCCCCCACTGGCAGATTGGTAGCTAGCCTGTCTGGCAAGCAGGGAGAACAAGGTTTGACTTTCCCCCTCTTCCTGCAAAAAGCAAAAAAGGGAAAGAAAAAATCACTCAATATACAGCAGTCACGAAACCAGAATATTACCTGAAACATATTCCAGAATCAGATCCAAGCAGTCAATGCCAGCTGCAACAGTTGAAGAAACTTTTCCACCATCTACATTCCCAGTATTAATCTCATAAACTATTGGGCAGCCTTCATGCACTCCAACCAGTGCTCTTTCTATTGCCTGTATTGCAGACAAAAGATGCAACTCTGATGGTTTTCTTATCAAACTTTTGAATGACATCCTCAACCTAGCTTTAAATTCATCCAAATGGTATGGATGAGAAAGAGATGCTGATACTCTATGACTGTGGTGTATCTTAGTGCTTGATTCTTTATCACGAGAAGCCAGAGAAGCTTCTTTCCCCTGTAAAGATATGCATTTTCCTATAGCCTTCAAGTGTAACTCTAGTAGCTTTGTATACACATCCCTAGTCAAGGTAGGATTAGTTATGAGAAAATGACTCCCTAACTCTTGCAAATACTTCAGAACACCATCTAACCAAACAAAAGAGAATGGTTTTGGCACCTCAGTGCTATCTGCTAACTTCAAGAGCAAGACTTGAGATATGCCAGTAAAACTTGGCACCAAGCTAGACAACGAGGGAGTTCTTTTAGTCTGCAAATTGAGCCTCACAATAGCTGAAGCAGCAATTAATAGCTGCCTGATCAATACTGCTGCTTTAGGATGATCGCCTTTTAGAAAACTTTGCAGCCATTCCTTATTTAATGGTTGACATTCATATGGGTCAAGCTTACTTAGAACACTGGCAATAGAGGTACTGCTTTCCAACTGTGAACTATGTTTATCCATGGTAGCTTTCCAAGAGTCACCTGAACCCAGTAAACTGCCGCTATCATCAGACTTTACAAAATATCGAGCATCAGATAAATGTTCAGGTCGGTGACCATCCTCAACAAACAGCATGTGAAAGGAAAAACAAATAAAATCAGCAAACACATTTATACAATGATTGATTTTTGAGATGGGTTCACCTTTCCATCTCAACAGCTTGACCTTATAATCACTCTCTGTTGCATTTGTGTGGTCCAACGCAGATGCTAGGCCCCACATGAACCCACTGAAGCAAGAGACAATTGAAGACAATTTGTTCCAATCAACAACATCGATTTCATCTCCAACTTTCTTGCAAAGAGCATTCTTCAAAGAAATAATTAAGTCTTGTGTCTGCTCCTTCAAACTTTCAGCGATGAGGAGAACACTTTTCCAGCTTTCAAAGTCATTGGATGTATCCACACATGGATCAGATTTGTTTACACTGCTCTGTTCCTGGCCAAGATCAGAATTGGGTTGCTCTGTATAACGTTTCTCAGCAATTATGGAGTCCACTGCACAAGTACACTGATATTTGCTTAGTGTCAGGAAAACATACGATGTGTGATCCATCAATGAGAAGATCATATCTGTAACTTCACAAGCTTTATCTTTGGATAGCTTCTTTTGAAGCCTAAACACCACAGACAATGATTTGGAAAGCCATAATACAGAACGTCCATCCTCTGACAGAATAGGAATGAATGAGGATTGAGTAATTCCAATTTTCTCCTCACAATATGACATAGTTAAGTATTTTAGGGCCCTCCGGCAGGTCACCAGCAACCTTAAAAGCTCATACTGTCTATTTGAGAAGAACGAGTCCCCGCATTCTAAGAGGTGGCCAATCAAATGCCTGAAATGTAGATACCATACATGGGTGAAACTTAAGCATATGTTACATCATACAAAGCCATGCATAGGTGAAACTTAAGCATATGTTACATTGAAAATAAGTGATGCAGACGATTAAAGACTAAGATTTACGTGTTTTATTTAAATTATAGAATGCAAGGGTATTTTACTATTTTTTAGGTTTGCTGGAAATCTGGAAATTGTCTATAGGTCTAGGCTTTATTTCTGTTTAGTATTTTTATTTTTTAGGTTTGCTGGAAATCTGGAAATTGTCTGTAGGTCTAGGCTTTATTTCTGTTTAGTATTTTATTTTCTTAGTCCTGAAGTTATTAGGTTTTCCTATTCCAAAATTGGAATAGTTATAGGTTTTCCTATTCTAAATAGGAATAGTTACGTTGGAGGTTTAGGAATCCTTGTCCTAATTGGATTTGGACTTCTACAACTCTATAAATACAGTATGTAGTCTTTCAATATTCAGAATGCAATAATATCAAATAATTTCCAGAAATTTGCTTTTGATTGTGTGACTCAATCTCCCTTAGGTGTGACTCCTAAGAACCCTAGGTGTGAAGCTTAGGTTTTCTACCCTCTAGGTGTGACTCCTAGAAACCCTATTAGTGTGACTCTAATAGTTCTATAATTCCCAGTACAAATCCACATCAATACAGACCTAAACAGCCCTAAACCTCCTCCAAAGATCAGTTCCAGAACAGCCCCTAAGCTGTCCTGCATCAGTAAGACTAATTACTGCAAGCACATATCATTACATATACTTCCAAGGATACAGATAAGGAAAAAGAGGGTAGATGGGAGCAAGGGTTCTACGTCATTTTTTCATACATGCTGACATTACTCTAAAACTAGTGGACATCACAATTTTAACTTCTGCTGTCTGCAGGACTCTAACTGGGAATGGTTTTAATTCATCTATTGTGCCGAAAACCTACATAAACAATCTGCGTATGCTTGCTTGAAGTGAACATAAAAAAAAAAAAAAAAAGACGTTAAAGCATAATGGTTTTGAAATTATGAGAGGCACAATTTTACCTTTCAAGGTTCAGCGTGCAAGTGACATAAAGTGAGAATGATTTTGAATTGATATATCCTTTTGGCATCCAACACAAAAGCCTAAGCAAACTTTGACACGCTGTAAATTTCATGATGGTTGATTCTTCGGAAATATCTGCAGGCATCTCAGACAATAAATGGGAGGTCGGTTTCCCCTCTGCAAACTCATCAAATGTAGAGGACTTTCTGCCTGAAACAACATATGAGTTTTCAAGTGCACTTAAATCCTCTTGCCATTTAGGTGACTCATTCAGTTCAACATCCCCAAATAGCGGCAGGACTAATTTCTCCAATAAATTGCAAAACCTTGATGCCAAATGCCTGCGAACAAACTAGGAAAAGAGGCAGTATCAACATCATGCATGTTTGGGGGGTGGGGGTGGGGGAATTGTAGGTAAAATTGCATCTTACCTTATGTTCATACAGAAGAGAATCAGCCAGAAGTTCTGCTGAGATTTGATGAACAGAAATTTTATTCTGGAGGCCAGCTTCAGTTGTATGGTGCCTTTCCCCCTGTGTACAGCTTTTCGTTATAGATGGAAGAGAAGTAAGGATCACATGCTTGAGGAACATCTTCAACTTCTTCTTACTAGCATGAATGGACCATATATCAATATTTCGGCAAATAATCCACCAAATTGCAGCAGGTAATGACTTCTCATTCACAGAACAGACAGCAAAAACCCACTTCTCAATTCCATGCAGAGCTTGGTGGCAGGTATCCGGACAAGTTGCAGCATTAGAAGAGTAGACTGGAAGTTGTTCATTGCCCAGTAATAAGAGGTAACTCATCATGAACTCAGTAAGATTGGCTGCCTCCTGCTTCAAAGTAGCAATGTGTTTGTTCCACTTTCTGCTCCTTTTGCGGTACAGTGACAAGCCAGCATCATCAAGCAACTTGAATTGGACAATATTATCATTGCTTCGCTGCATATAATCTAAAGACTTTATCTGCCTGTTCAAATCAACAAGCCTCTGAAGAGCCATAGTATACAATACATAAATCAGAGGAGAACAATCTGTCGTGCTTCCCTGAAGATAAATGGAAGAAACAGATTGTATAATGACAGGCAGAGAGGCTGAAGGTTGGACAATCCAAGAAAAATAGCCCCCATCTGTCCAAACAGTATTGTCTATCCAATCTCTTGCAGAATATGCTGTAAATGGATCTCCCATTACTGCTGACATCTTTCTTGATACATCTGGAGGCATAAGGCTGACTGCTTGCCTGTATAAGCTTCGGCAGGACATGTACACGTAAGAAAAGAATACAAGGACCCAGTGGGTGGACACTCCAAATTTCAGCATATCATGTGTGTTTCCAGCAAGCTTGACATCAGAAGTTCTTCCTGTCACGGAAGAGATGAACTCATTGACACTCTCTGGCTCCAGTCCAACCAGAATACTCAGGTACGGTCGAATTACAGCCATCAAGTCCTTTATAGTTCGTCCAACAATGATGCTGTTCCCAACTGTGACATTCAGTGAATCTAGCACCAGTACGTATATTTCAGACAATCCTCTTCCAAAAAGTTCCAATTGGAGATCAAAACCATGCATGCTGCAATTCGCATTTGAGTCACCAAATGCTTCCCCATCTGCCAATGAGCAATTAGTCTTCATCCATTTCATAGACTCTGACAGATCTACAGTTAACTGTCGAATACATTCACTGGCCTGCCCTTCTGGTATGGAGTTTATACCATTACGAATGGCTAGTTTAAACTCATGTGAGCACAACAATATTTCCACCCCTTTTGCATATGATGCATATGGTAGGGAAATTTTGCAGAATCCTAAACTATCATAATTCAGCTCGGCATCACCACCATTGTCATGTACTATTATAAGCCTTGTTGCTTTACAGAGAGCAAAGATAGTGCTTTTCAACTGCAGCAATTTAAAGGAAAAAAAAATCAGGACATGAAAACCATCTGACATGAAACAAAACAGATAAAATCTCAAAAACCCAATGTGATGCCAAATTTATTTGGCAGATCCAAAGCAAGCATGTTCTATTGGATCGGGAAAGATTCAACTAACCTGTCGAAGTTCGCTATAAAGCTTGACCAGCTGGCATCCGAGCCCTAGTATCTGAGAAGTTAATGAACATTGATTTGGTGCATCCTTAAATGAATGGCCAAAGGCCAAGCAGGAAAGTATGATAAACCATAACCTGGTTAAATCATTCTCAATAACTTCATGCTCAATATCCAAAAAGTACCCCACAGCAACAAGTAGCTCCCTTGCTAATAAAGTTAAGGTCTCTTGTGTTTGTGAATCTAAATTATATGTTGGCAAACAAAGTAAAATGGTAGCCATTGACAAAATAGCATTGTAGACCTTCTTCAAGAAATTAAGGCAAGCTCCTTCAGATATATCCTCTGTTTTTACGTATAGCTTTTCATGCAAAAAGCAGGCTAGTAAATTATTAATAGATTTGACTGTGCAGTGAACATCCAACAATATAGGCCCAACTTCCAATTTAGATCGAAGGTAGCCATTCATCTCAAGCAAAAGAGGCTCTGTAATCTGTACGAAAAAATTGAAAAGTGATTTTCTTTTTTCTGCATTTAAAATACTGTGTCCATAACTACTGTCTGAAGGTGTACTACTACCATATAACATTTTAGACATTTGACCAGACAAGTGCCTTGAACCTTCAGTTCTCTTCACCATCTTCATATCTTCAGACAGCACTGGAGTTCCTTTTTGCTTTTTCACACGATCAACAAGCACATGAAAGAGTTCCCCTAAGCCACTCATAACAAATTCCTTCTTTGCAACTATAATTCTTTCTAGTTTATCAAAGAAATGTCTATGGTAACTTTGAATGACAGTTTTTGACTCTTTCTTTTCTCCATCATTGGATCCAGAATACTTTCCAGTAACACGTAAGCTAAGAAATCCATCAATGTGGATTGGATGAAAAAACCCTTGTGATAAAACCTCTTCAATAGCAACTACCAAGTTTCTTGTCCAACCAGGATTGCTTCCGTCAAAACGAAGATGCAAGACACCCAACAAATGCAGCAATGGCTCAAGGAGTTTATCCACAAAATCACGAAATCCATTTTTCCTTGTTGGATGGACCCTCAAGAACTTGGCAAATGGCTCAAGCACCAGGCAAGAGAACTGCAAAGCAAAAACACCCACATTGCCACCCTCAAGCTTCTCATCATACACTTTGCAAACAAATTCAAGAACCGGAAGACTAGACAAAATCCACAAGTCCAAATTCTCATTCGACAACCCACCATGAGATAAGAATACCAGAGAAACACTATCAAGCACAACACTACACAATTTAGACACAGCACCAGAAAAAACCGATTCTCTTGAAAACAAAGACGAGACTGTCAATACAGACAATGCATTTCTTGCAACGCACCCTATAGCCCGCAAAAAGTTCCGTGAAAAAGTCAGAGGAACTTGCAACCTCAAAGACTCCTCTAAGCAAAACTTGAAAATCAACCAGCATCTATAATCCAAGCACGCCTCAATATCTCCAACGTCAGGTCCCTCTCCATGAACTTTGATTTTCTTATCTGTGGAAATCAAAAGAGACTGTACCCAATCATTAAGAAATGCTACAACTCGTGATAGTTTCACCGTTTCACAATCTTCATCTGGGTCGTTTCCTCCTCCTTTCTCGCTCGAATTCACATAATCAAAAGCTAGTTCAACCTTCCTGCATTGCAGTTCTCTCAATATCAGAACCAAACCCTAAATATTCCATTGAATTATAGATATATAAAACTCCAAAATTTAACAGCAAATGAACAATTAGAGAGGAGGAAAAATCTAACTTTTGAAGATGAATTTCTCTGTTTTGAATCGATAAAATCAGCTGTAAGTTCCTCCATGGACTCTCAACTTCTTCGGTTTCTAGTTTCCCCTCCTTCTCTTTCGCTGATTCATCATCAATCCGGTTCAATTTGGAAGGTTTTTGTCGTTTGTCTTCATGGCTACTAAGTTTTCTCTTCTTCTTATTCTTTTTTGCTGATAAATCGGAACAATCAGCCATTATTGAATTGAAAGACTGATTTTTTTCTTAGGGTTTGTAGACTTTGGGGTTTAGGGTTTTTGGAGTACTAGCTAGGGTTTAAGGTGATTGAAACGAAGAGGCACACGATTTGAGCCTTTTGTCCTGAGTGTCGTTTTCTAACAAACTATATTTTTTAGCTCGTGTGCCATCATAAACTACGTCTACGTAGAATAATAATTATAAAAATAAAAGCCAATTAATTTGCGGAACTCATTTCGATAATTCTTTTCCTATTTATGTCCATTAATTAATTCTAACTAAGAAATTGTATGTATTAAAAATTCACAATCCTAATTAATATCTAAATAACTATTAATGATATTTTTACATACTAAATACGTTACCTAAATTAAAATATAATATGTTTAAGAATTGTTTTGTCTGATATAATTTATAGGTGTAATATATTTAAGAATTGTATAATTCTTCTCCTACTGATTAGAATTGCTTGTTTTGCTTTTGAGTCAAAAAAAAAAAAAAACCAATGGTATATGATAAAATTATAGGATGTAGTCGTATGTTCTAGAGTGTTTATAATTGTTTTGAGATTTGTTTTTAATTTCTTATTAAGGAATTCTTCTTGAACAACAATATTTAGGTAGATGAGGTCTCCGAATATAATTTATATAATTCTTTAACAAAATATAATTTATATTACTTTGTAACACATTCTCTTAAGTGATAACTTCAACGTTTGAACTTAAAATTTAATATTTGACAAAATGAAGGTTGTAAGACTTGAACTCATGACTAATTGATCAACCAAGCTCTAATACGATATTAAAGAATCATCTCACCCAAAAGTTTAAGATATTAGGCGAGGCTTCAGAATATAATTTATATTACTCTCTAACACATCTTTTTTAAATTATCCAAAACTAACCATCGGTTAACTATTTTTTATGAAATGAATTACTTTTCAATCAAAAGTTACAAAGCTTTAGCATTTTTTGAATTGCAAAAGAAAACTTAAATCTTATAGCGGTTATAAAAAGATGTGAAAAAAACTTTGAATCTTTTTATTGAAATGCCAAAACTCTTTCTAAGGAATGTTTCTTTTTTATTAACACACTTTTATTTATCAAATAATAAATTTAAATAAAAGAAAGTGATGCTTCGCTTTTACCGTTAATCATACAAACACGCCAACGTCATGGGCACCATTTTTCCAATTTAGTACACCACCATTATCCGCCACCATTTTAAATATTCAACAAAACATACAACTTTAACATTTGAACTTAAAACTTACACATGTTCACATTACCTTGTATTTAATACTTGACAAAACTAGAGTGGTAAAACTTGAACTCATCACCAATTGATCAATCAAGCTTTGATACAATATTAAAGATCATCTCACCCAAAAGTTTAAAATATTAGGTGAGGCTTCAAAATATAATTTATATTACTTTCTAACATATCTTTTTTAAATTATCCGAAACTAACTATCCGTTAACTATTTTTTATGAAATGAATTAATTTTCAATCAAAAGTTACGAGCTTTTGCATTTTTTGAATTGCAAAAGAAAACTTAAATCTTATAGCAGATTATAAAAAGATATGAAAATAAACTTTGAATTTGTTTATTGAAATGCCAAAACTCTTTCCAACGAATGTTTCTTTTTTAGCAACACACTTTTATTTATCAAATAATAAATCTAAATAAACAAAAGTGATGCTTCTACTTTTACTCGTTCATCATACAAACACGCCAACGTCATGGGCACCATTTTTCCAATTTAGTACACCACCGTTATCTGCCACTATTTTAAATATCCAACAAAACATGCATCTTTTTACCCCGTAAAAATATACACAAGACAATTCGGATTGAAAATATATATATAAAAAAAAAAAAAACGAGTAGATATTTGTATGTGTAAATCCCCTTAAAATACAAAATCCATATTTCACTCTTTAACTTATTTTGTATTTTAAGGAGACTTATGTATATTATTATATACAAACATACATGCAAATATCCCGCAAAAAAAGAATATTTTCATCCAAATTAACCATGGTGGACACTCGCATGAACTAACCATCTTGCTGGTATATATCATTATACATTAACACAATGACATTAGTTTTCTAGTCTAAGGTTTTCCTATGCAACCAAGTTTTGACTCCTATGATTTTGCAAATGAATATTGTAAACAACCACTTTTATGATGTAATTAGTAACACATTTTATGTTCTATGTCATTGTACTTTCAAGGATAACATTCCTAAACTAAGGCATTTTAGACTTTTCCACATTGATTTGTGTAATTTTACAAAAAGAATTATTTTTTTTTAATTTAGAGATTTATCGTCTTTTAATCATTTTTAGTGGGTATGAATTGGTTTTAAAATCGAAAATTTCAAAAATTTCACATTCTTAAAATCCAAAAAAACAAAAATAAATCTTGAGATGTCTATAAAGAGACTTAAACTTCGGCTACATCATTGTACATGAATATTGAAAACGGAAGAAGGGACGAACAAAGTTTTCATAGTAGGTTGTGTATCCAATTAATATTTTTTTTGTCGGCTAAACCAAACATTGATTCATGTATGTTTACAATATTTTAATAGTCAATGATATAAAGGTATATGTGTTTACTTTTTATTTGTATATTACACTTAAAAGTGCGTAATTAATGACTTTTTTGAAACCAAAATGTCCGACTAAACTTTTTATTAAAATACATTTGCTATTGATTATTTTTATTTGAACCCAATTAAATATCATGTTATAAGTTTTAAATTAAGATGTATATTGCTTTTTTTTTGTTAAGTGTAATTAAGTCAAGAAAAAAACAATAAAAAGTACTAAATGTCACTTCAATCAGCCTCAACAAGTAAATAACAAAATCAACTATTAATCAACTTAGAAGGTCAAACTTAATTAAATTTACACAACCATTGAGTAAAAGAGTAGGTTTTGAAAAAAAATCATGTAATTGATTGGATTATTATATAATCATTGTAATCACGCACGCATGCATGCACGTGTATATGATGTATGTATTGACCTACATTCCTTCTAATTCCAAGTCCGTGTAAAAAGCACAAAAAATCAAAAGAAAACCCTAATTCCTCGTAACATTCCAATAAATAAAACAATTAAATATGGCTTTGAATTTGTAAAAAGAAAAAAGAAAAAAAAAGACATTTGAATATTTTATATATAGAGTACTACACCGGAGCGTCAATTTTAATGAAAAGCAAGTGACCTATTTAGAAACGAGGTCGAAGGTCTCGGCTTTGCAAATATTGTTGAAACCTCCATATCGCCTATTTCTACTACTCATTAAGCTATTTTTGCTGAATTCCGAGCAAATCTCTCTACTCGTCAAGTAAAACTATGGATCCGAACACAATATTCGATGGAAAAAATAAAAGTTGTAAGAAATTTATGTCAATTCCAAACATAATAAAAATGGTTGTTGAATATAAATAAACCTTGCTTATATGCAACAATTTAATTGGTGCGGACTAAAAAAACTTAATGACTTGTTGCTACCCTATGTCTCTATTTAGAAAAATGCAAAAGTTTATTATCAAGAGTTCCATGTGCAGTAGAAGCCAAAAAAGTATTTTCTATGCTCAAAATTCAAAACTCAATGTTCATGTATTGAAAGATACAAGCATAACAAATGCAATGCAAAGAAATAGATAAGTTAAAATCACATTTTTTTATCCGAACAACACATGAAATATAACCTCATGAGAAAAAATACAACAAATATTAAACATATGGTCAAGAGTTTCAAAACGAAATGAAAACCAAAACATATACATCAAAGGCGCAACGATTCCTAACTCTCTAATACTCTTAAAGATATTGTAAGATGCGTAAACATGAGCACATAAAAGAACCGATATCCAATGACAATAACACACCTAAAAAGAAAAGAAAACTTATTGGCAAGGCTAACACAAACTAACTAGGTTTTTTTCACAAAGTAAGACAATATCAAAGTAAGAGCCACAATTGAATTAAGACAAACATATCAAAAAAACATCAAATAAGAGACAAAGAGGCAAGCCAAATAGACCAAAACCAATCAAGAAATGTGATAAAGAAGAGAAGACTCCAATAAAGTACATGATCCAAAATTTTGAAAGATAACGACCAACAATAAACACACAAATAACGATAAAGAATCTTAAAAGTCATAGCTGAACGATACTTGTATAAAAAAAGATTTTGGATGAAGAGAGAGCTATACGAGCTAAAAAATAAAGGATGACAGGAGCTTAAAAAAAAAGGAACAAATAACAAATAGAAAATTGGCTATCCGAAAAAGTAAAGATATTTGAAAAAAAAAAGTTACAAACAACCTCTATCGGTCCTATTTTTTTCTTTGTAACTACCAAGTATGTGAAAAAAAAAAAAGCTAATTAGAAGTTGTAATACGTTAGCAATATCAAGAGTTTTGAAAGAGAAAACTCAAACAACAAAAGGCAAAGCAAAACATAAAATCCTTACGGAAAAATAAAACAACAAAAGAAAATAAAATTTTAAAATAAATAAATGCATAAAAGTTCTTATACGCAACCTTTTTAATTTTAGTCAACCAGGAAAAAAACACAAGGTAGCCAAAGTCATGAAACAACAAGAATGACCTAATAACCTAAGCAATGTAAAAAAAAAAAAAAAAAGCAACTATGCAAACAAAAGGAAAAGCAAAATTTTTGACTTAGCAAAAAGCCATAGCATAGGCAAAAAGCACAAATTAAAAATAAAATATATATACAAAAGAAAGAGCAACATCAATCAAGATAGGAATCAAAAATAAAACAAAGAAAACCACCACAAAAAATAAACCAACATATACAAAAACCCAACAGGGCAAATAATTAAAAAAAAAAAAGCTTCAAAGATGGAAACCGACACTGGAAAGAAAAAACAGCATGCCTCTAGGTATAAAAAATGCAATAGAGTGTCTTGAAAAAAAAAAAAACATGGTTAGCTTAGAAAAAAGGGA